GAGGACGCTCTTGACGCCCGAGAATGTTCCTCCAGCGTAGCGCATGCGGGTCACGATACGATTCAGGTTCTGGAAGTGCTCCCACACGAAGCGTCGAATGCCTGGGTTCTGCGGGATGACCTCGCCGCCATAGTCGGTTGCTGGGCCTTTCGCGGGTACGTCGTCGATGTACGGTATCGTGTACTCGGGAGTCTCAGGTTGCAAGATGTAGGTAACGTCGTCGTGGAATATAGGAACTGCATTCGTCCAACCCATGGGAAGCGTCGTGAGCCTCATCGCACCGTAAGGGGTCTGGAACGTCGTGAGATCGCGCGAGCTTTCGGAGATGTACCGTTCGTCGTATCCGACATAGAGGTCGAGCATCCCGCCGCACGCCCGTCCCCCGAATTGTTCGGCCAGGTATTCCGGTGTGGGTGGAACCCCGGAATGTTGAATCGTGACTGCGTTAAGCGGTTCGAGACTGTGGACGAGTCGCAGAGACTTCCCATCCTTCTTCACAACGCAGAACCATCGCGAACGGTAGGACGAGTTCGAGGGTTCGTACACTCCGGAGTCGATCTTTCGTCGGATGAGTGCGCAGACTTCGTTGTAGAGTCCTGGGGGGATCGGTATGTTCTTCTGGACCCAGGGCGTGTGAGGAATGACCGGAAAGTCGATTGGCGGGAAGTATTCGGCCTTGAAATTACCACGCTCGTCGTCGGACCACGCGAATGCGTCGTTATTCGTAGCCATAAAATGATGAAGGAGGTCCCGCTCCGCGGGTTGTAGAAGTCCATCGTCGTGCAACTTATCGGTGGTCGCTGCCCGCTCGGCGGTATAGCGGCCTCTTGTATCGGACGGCGGTGGATTCGGGTTGAGCTCGCGCATCGTCGAGAGCGGGTCTCCCTTGATGTCGCGTATGATGCGGAACTCGGCAGGCAACGAGCCCAGAACTGGTCTAGTCTTGCGTGCGACTGGCTTGTACTTCTTCTTTGATTTTGCTTGCGCGAACGTTGCGACGTCGGCGTCATCCTCGATCGAAGAAGTACTACTATGGGTATCGCCAGCGCGGGTATGAGAGAGAGGAACAGTAGAAGGAACGTGGGAAGCATAGGTGGTATTCGTCGATGACTGGCTGGCTTCTGTACTGGTTCGGACGCTGTCGAAAATAAAGTTGGAATAGGTGTCGGGTACTGAGAGGTATGTGGCCGCTAGGACCGGGTTATCAAGCGAGGAGATATTGGCATAGGCGGAAATGGAAGGGGTATCGTTCTCGAAGTCGATCACTAACGCGACCTGTTCATCCTCTTCGGCTTGAACTAGATGTTCGAAAGTGTCGACGATCTCTTCTGAAAAACCTCTTGGAATCGGGGGCGTCCTCGAGGCATCGTCGGAATGGTCACCTGCTCGTTGGTGTTGGGACACACGAGCGTGATCGTCTGGTTCTCGTTGAAGTAGTTCTTGACCACGCTCTCCGTGATGACGTCGAACGGCCGACCCAAGAGTACGTCGTACGATGCTCTGCGGATGACGTGGATCTGGAGGTACAGTGTGATCGGTCCAACTTGGCAGGGTACGTTGTGGACTAGGCCCAGCGAGCGGTCGACTCCACCGTTTGCAGACTGCATGCTGAGGCAGATCGTGGGGTCGAATGCGAGACCGAGGTGGTAGCAGAGAGCTTCCGACATACAGATGACCTGTGAACCAGGGTCGAGGATGCACGCGACTTTCTCCTTCCGGTCGATGAGCAAGTCAACGGTACGCAGTGCGTGCGACTCAGCCGCGACAACTAGCTCGCTAGGCGGAACCCCCTTGGGCAGAACACGGAGATACGTTTCGTACGTGTCAGGGATGATTGTCGCGTTCGGGTCCAGCTCGTTATCGTGACAGTCGAGCTCCTGTTCGCTGCCGTTCGCGCTACTTTCAACAGAGGCCATGTTCGTCGACACCGTGTTGGCATCGTGCGCTACTCGGCGAGGGGTAACAGCTTCGCGATACTTGTTTCGGATGTCGGGCGAGATGCTGAGGAGCTCTTCAATAGTCAAGCTGACAGTTGGAGTGGTCATAGACCGCTTGTAAACGGTTTCCGCGATCTGGGCTTGAACTACCGGAGCGAGGTTCGTGTACGAGCCATCGCGATTCTTAACCTTGGTCGGTGCGGCACCGAAGTTACGGGTAGTTGGCGGCACGTAGGTCGCGTCTTTCACGTTCGCAAACGGGTGAATCGTCGCAGACTTGTCGGCTGTCGCAGCGTTGCTAGGCGTCGACGTGGTCGGGGTAGTGCTCGAGCCCGCTGGCGCGTCCTTCGCAGTGGCTGTAGGTGGCGCGTGGCTCGCGGATCGTGCAGTGGACTGTTCGACCGAGGGCGTAGTACTCCTGCTCGTAGGCGGCGTCTCCGGGGGGGTTTCGAATCTGACCGTTCGTTCGCTTGACGGTGCCCGAGCCGGGGACTTGCCCTTGTCCGCGGATAGGTTGGCCGGCCTGGCGGTCGACCTGGTCTGACGTTTCTCTATCACGACCCCGTCGAAGACCGGTCTCCTCCGCCGCTCCTGCGCGTAGATTTCCGTTAGATACGAAAGCTCGTCCTTAACACGGTCGAGGCGTTCCTCGAGACCGAGCGAGTAGGTCGCGGCTTGGTGGCTGTCGACTGTTTCATATAGCATGGTGTCAGCCCTAGAGCCTTGCAAGATCGCGTTTGATCCGGTCGCAGGCGTCGAGGCGTGTCCTAGCTTGCCCATGCGATGCGCGTATTCGAAGATCGCGTCACGTAGCGTCTGGCCGTCGCCGCGGCTCATGAACTTGCCATCGAAAGACACGATTTTGCCCTCCGCCGTGCGTATACACAGTCCCTTCTTCGTATCCTCGTCGAAAAGTTCGCAACGGCCAATACGACACTCGGGGCGTCCACAGTAGTAACAGAACGGCCCATCTCTCGTGGTCGAGTTCGACGCGGCGGGTGCCCGACCGCGGGTCTGCTGGTTCTCGAGCGTCTTGATCAACGTCTGTAGTAGGGGTAGTAGTTCTTCCGCCTTAACACCACCAGCCGTGGTCGCAGGGGCAGCTGTCGGAATCGTCGAGACCACTGGGGACATCACTATGGTCTGTTGAAACGTCGATGCCGGGGTAGGTCCGTCGAGGACCCACTGCGCCGCCTCGTAGATCATCGCAAAACTCCACGGCTTCTGACGAGGGTGATCCTGGTATTTCAGTAGAAGGCGCTGCTCCACTGGCGTCCACAGCGCCGGCGAGAAACCGAGTTGGAACTTTCGGTCCTGCTCGAGCGTCGATAGCGAGCCTTGCGAGATGAGATATTCGGAGATCATGTAGAAGTCTCGGTAGTACGCTGCTAGGTCGAGGGCATTGGACAGGCCGAGCCGTACGCGGTCGGTGACGACCTTGTCTAGATCCGCGATGGAGTACTTGTGCTGGTCGTCTGCCCCCGGGTAGAGCTGTCGTAGCGACCTCTTAAGGTCGTCGTACGTTTTGGTCGCATCCTTAAACGTAGGTTGCATCTCCCATAGCTCGGAGACTCGTAGCGGAGGGTACCTAGTGGCCCACGACTTCTTGTCTCCCTCGGTCTTGATACCGCAACGCGAGAAGTGGGTTTCGAGATCCTGGAAGTATCTGTTGAACGAGAGAGGTTCGGTTTCGTCGAAGACTGGCGCGGTCGAGTGACCTCGGGCAGGCATGGCAGGCGGGTGCGCTGCGACTGCAGCAGCTGGCTGAGCGGCGTGAGACATATCTGGCTCGTTCGTAGGAGTAGTAGAACTGGATGAGTTGCGGGTTTGACCTGTCCTCGATGTGGACTGCACTGGTCCGGGACGGGCTCCGGAACCTCGACGACTCGTGGTAGGTGGGGGTGGAGTTACGGGAAAGCTGCTCGAACCTCTACGCGTAGTAGGCGTGTTCGCTTTCGGGGCCACCTCGTCAAGGGGTGGCGACGGAGATAGGGAGGATAGTGGTGAGCCGAAAACTGACGAACGGTCCTCCGATCGGTCTGTCGGAGACGAATGACGACGGGGATCCTGCGAGGCTGACTGAATGGCAGTTGGACGTTGTGCAAAGGAGCTTTCTGGTTCGTCGGAACCAAGAACACGCTCTACTTCTGCGGGAGCTTGTGGGATAGGGGTTTGAGTCGAAGGGAGTGTACCAGGTCTACGACGAAATCGTGCTGCGGCCCCAGGACCTAATCGACTCTCGATTACCCACGCGAAAATCGGTTCTTCGTAGTCCTCGTAGTCGGCCGGGCTGATGTCTAGCAGACGGGGCCGGGAAATCCTGCTTTAACTTCACCCCCTCGCGGTGGGCTCCAAGATGATGTGACCGGAAGCACCACAAAGGCCACACACAACACACCCGACGAAGGGCGAGCAACGATATGCGAGACCTAGTGGCTAGGAGGGTGTACCGAGATGGTACGATGGTCGATAGTGGAAGGAGCGAGGTCGGCAAGGCTTCGCGCAGGCCCGATCTGCTTCTACGACAAAGTAGCGGACGCTTCGAGACGGGTCGACCACGGTCACGAACCGAACGAATCGAGGACTTGACAACGAGACGAGGGACTAGACGAGGCAAGCGATGGCAGAACAAGATGTAGAGACACCACTCGGGGCGTTGACGAACTCTGACGGACTGACGATCGTACTGAATGACTTCTTGCGTACGGACTGACTGCTGACGGACGTACGACGAACGGACAAGTTGAGAGGGTAAGGGTATCTGGTATTCGAGGGGGCTCGCCCCGCAGTATATACAGGATAGAACAATGCCTGCACAAACAGGAAAACACGTGCATATAAATGATCCGAGTCGAACGATACGAGCGCTGTCCAATCGTAGAGGCCAGCACACCGGCTATCGAATTGCCCGGCGAGCACACACAGAATGCGCCAGAATGGCGTAAGACCTCGGCCCTGTTGAACGTGATTAGCTCCGGGCAACCGCCCGAACGGTACTTGGTTAGCCGTAGCACCGCGACCATACGACCGAGGCTGTCTTGCAGATTCTTCCCCAACACCACCATGCCCAACGTACGCGTCGAACCGACCGCGGAAGCTCACATCGCCCGCTACTACCGCTTGATCGAAGTCATCAAGGGTGAGGCCGCCGTAGAACCACGTCTCCTGCCCGTATCTCGGGGCGAATGGCTGTCGTGGGCCAACTGCGTTCGTTGGATGCTCGTAGGTCTTCTGTCGCCTTCGTCGGCCAGGGATAGATCCTCACCGGCTTTTCCAGCGCGGTCTCTTCGAGTCCTACTGCAAGGCGGTCACCGATGATCCGAACTCCGTCCCATCGCCGTACTCCTTCAACGACGTCGTCGAGGTCATGAACTACATCGACGAGATCTTCCAACGTTACAAGCTGCCTCACGACTCGCTGGGCGCACCCTATCCGACCATCGCCTGGTCCGAGGAGTCCGTCCTGCATCGCGAGGCTATTGACGAGCCTCTGGCTCCGGTCTCCTACCAACTCGACCCACTGTATGTGCCGGAGTATCGCCGCTTGCCCGACAACTTCAATCACTTGGCTAACGCCGTCCACCGCCTGAGCGAGGACCAGCAGGAGATTCGTAGGATTCTCGGGTCGCTCTCTACGAGCGTCGCCGAACTGGGAGGGCGCGAGCGAGGCATTAACGTCGGCGAGCCTGTTCGAGACGCAGCCGGTCGTAGGGGAGGTTTCCGAGGTCGTGGTCGTAACACTGGGCCCTTCGGTGGACGGGACTTCCGCTAGAGTCTTCTTAGTGTAGTCGTAGCATGCTGGCCAATGTCGAGCAATGCCTAAGTCGGTGAACTGCGCGCGTGAGCTCGATACCTCACGAATCGGGGTGTAGTCCAGATGGGAGCGTATCAACGTATGACCCGATCCGCTGCCTCGAAACAAGCAGAGAATCCTGCAGGCCAGCGAAGCACAGCCTCGAAGGGTACTAAGGACAAGCAGAAAGTGGTAAAGGCGGCTGCAACATCGTCCGCCGCAGCTAAGAAGAAAAGTCAGAAAGCTCAGGAGAAGCAGAGGGAGAAGGAGGAACGAACGGATAGTACGTGCCCTTGTCTACTCCAACACACACTAATCAACTTCACTTTGCTGTGCGTGTCAGAGATACGCAAGAGAAAATCAAAGATGATGGAGGAAGATGAAGCATCGCATGATGAAGAGGACGTAAGGCCCCAGAAGAAGAAGTCGCGCTCGCGCAACGACAACGCACAGGAGGAGGACGAGCCTGCCAATGACACGGCGCAAGGCAACAAGGTAGCTGACGTGGTGATGCAAGACCAGACGGCTGACAGCGAGGGCGAGCAGCCCAAGAAGCCACGGCGTATGTGATTCATATACATTGGCACATGAAACTCACAACACCACGCTGCTCTAGCTATGCCAAAGCGGAAGTACGGCCAACATGCAGAACCTGCGCCTACGCTAGACGCGGACGAGGAGGACCTGGCACGAACATTGGGTAAGTCCTTTGGCCATCGTGCATACATCAAACTATGACCACCTGCTAGGCGGCGGACGAAAAGAACAGAACGCTCGGGCTCCTCCGAGCAAGTCGGTCAACAGCCCCTCACGAGCGACAGATGCGGCTGCAAGGGTTCGCACCCTGTTCCGTAATTTGCTCTTGGTGACATGACTCATAGTGACGTTCACGAAGAAGCAGGACAAGGGTAAGAATCGCGCCAACAACAACTCGGATGACGAGCGTAGCAAATCCCCGGCCGCCAGCGACGATAGTCGCAAGAATTCTGACAAGGCCAAGCGCACGGCTGCAGGCCCACATGACAAACCATCCGATGACTCAGATCAGGACGACAGCAGCAAGGATGATGATCAAGAGGAAGGAGAGGCGTATGAAGACGACAGAGATGAGGAGGATGAAGAGGAGACAGACCACGCAGAAGAGGGACAGAGCGACGACGATGGGATGATCGTCAGTGTCAATCATCTCTGCAATCATATTGAATGATGCAGACATCTCTCACACTTTACAGGTCTTGTCTGACTCCAGGCGCAAGGGCAAGGGTGCTCGTCCCAAGGCGTATCGCACCGGTGGGGCCAAGGGCGCGCGCCTCAGGGTGTCAGACTTGCCAACATGGCTTGTTCCACTTTTCCATGCAGCACAAGATGCGCTGCGCCTCCGCACCGCTCTGAAGTCCGCCTGGACGAAGGAGCCGTCAGTCGTCTCCAAGCGGCTGCCCAGCGTGGATGATCTCATCAAGGCGAGCGTTCAAGATGCATATGAGAAAGGCGACAAGAAGGTGCGGGATTCCTGGAGGATGTTGCAGGATCGGAAGGGCAAGGACAACAGCCAGAGAGAGCGTCATAGGCAGGACATGCACAAACTGGTAAGCAAACAGATCTTCTGATGCGTTGGCATGAGCTGATATAGCGGAGATCGTGCGCGCGTTATCTCAAACTCGAAACGAGCTCAAGGGGAAGGCGTCCCAGGTGATCCAGAAGGCTTACGACCTGAGCCCTCACCTATACTCTCTTGATGACAGGAGGCCAATTGCGTTGTGGCTGATCGGCAAGGTCAGCGTGAAGATGGGCGATCGAACGGCTTTGCTTCCTCGTTTCATCTTCGGGGAGATAGAACACAACCTTGGGAAGGAACAGGGCTCGTCCGTGGAGAAGAGTGTGAGTACAATGCCTTAGCTATACTACGGAAGGAAGCGCTGATCATGAATTACATCATGAGCAAGTACAACCGCTTGCTACCTTTCAGGCACCCGGCAATCCAAGAGCTGATCTACCTGTACTGGGGGCCCGCCAAACGTGAGGGTGCGTGCATCAAGGCGGCGATGGTAGACTTCAAGAAGGTGCCTCTGAACCTCATCGCACTAGTGTGCACCGCCGTAAGCCCTATTCCAATCCACGCACAAAACCAACTGACGTCATTGCACTTGTGTAGATAGAGGGAGCATTGGCTGACGTCGCCGCGCAGGTGGAAGAAGACAACGAAGTGAACCTGAAATTTGCGAACTCGGTCTACGCCAAGAAGTAAGTCTGCTTACCTTGTGGTATCTATACTAAATGTTGGGCGCAATTCAAGATGGGACAGCCTGATGAGTGCACTGGAGTACATGAATAACAAGCCGTACCTTCAGGAGACGCAGTCACTAATCTGGTCGTATATAAGGTAACTTCTCGCAATCAATATGGCTTGGTTTGCTCACTAGGGACGTAGGTCGAAGATGCAAGGGGACGAGGATGGTGATATGGACGCTGTGGAGGAGAACCAGGAGGAGGAAGAAGACGGGGAACGTGTGGGCGGTGCGGCTATCGACCTCGACCAGCTGAACGTCACCTTGCCAGCCGTGGCATCAGGCAGCAAGGCAAAGACTCCTGCGGCGTCCAAGACTGCAGCTGGATCATCGAAGGATGCAGCGAACGCAGAGAGTGGACCGTCACGTCCGTCGCGATCGAAGTCCGGCGCGAAGAAGGCCCAGGAGAGTTCGGGGGAGCAAACTTCCAGCAGCGAGCGTGAGGTCGATGAACTCGGCAATGAGTGGTAAGTCAGTCAGTGTCCAGTGGTTTCTTTGTATCTCACTGCGAGAGGTACATCACCAAGATGTCGTAGTTGTCCTGTCGCATCAAGGCCGTGAACATCATCAACTTTGTCTGTTTCGCGTGGCAGGAGCAGTAGAATCGGTCCATTTCCAAGGCGAGTGTTTCTATGCCCATACCACCTCTATCTACACTTACTCATACGACAATCCTGCAGCTACTATATCTATCATCCTCTGTACTACTACACATCAGACGTGCGTGCCTGCTACGTATCCCACTCTCCCTCTACTACTATTTGCCTGTCTCAGCCGTGGTCGTCATCCCGGCGCCGTCTGACCTCGAGTCTATGCCTATCTGTTGATCGTGCTATACCAGTAGTTATGTGTCTGTATATGTTGTACAACAACCCGCACTGCTAATATTTATGATGTGATCTGGTACATGTGCATAAGTGGACATCAGCAGACTTAATTCTGTACATAACTGTACTTCAGCACGCCCACTGAAGTACATATTGTAGGTGAAATAAGGGCAACTAAAGACCAAAATGACAACACAATTAAGACTGAATAAGACACAAGATGTCTTTATTGCGTACATTAGTGCTCTTATGCATAATATCAAAGACACAATAAGACGGGGACTTGTCTTAAGTGCCATGTTTTGGTCTTATGTAACATTTTATGTCTTTTGTGTCCTATACGTTCCTAAGATGTCTTGTAGATGACCTCTGATGAGACCTTATGTAGGCACGGTTTTTCCTGATGACGTTCGTGAGCAAGATATAATGAATGATGCGCGAGACGACGCGTCAGCAAAACCGCCCCGAGGTGGCTTCAAGAACGTACCTGAGCCAGAGATACCCGTCGATAACCCGCTCGCACTGTCCGGAGCCAAACTTCAGGCTCTAACGCAAGCCATAGCCTATAGAGGTGTGATGTCCCGAAACGATACGAGACAAAGACGACTAACCGCTTTGAATATCTCCTCGGCGAGACATCTCCTAGAGCAGAACCAACCTCCGATATCTGACGAAACACTATGGCGAAGCTTGTGGCATGAAGACTTCAGCCGCCCCTTCGCAGTCCTACTATGGAAAAGTATGCACGGTGCCCTGAGATGCGGCGAGTACTGGCTGAAATTCAAGGGATATGAGCACCGGGCTCAATGTTCGTTCTGTGATGAAGAAGAATCCCTAGAACACATACTATTACGATGTCCAGCGACCGGGCAAAACGAGGTATGGGAGGTACTAGCCCCGCTGTGGAAGAAGAAAGGTCTCACATGGGCCCGACCAAGTATGGATGACTTACACTCACTAGGCTTAACATGCTGGCGCGATAATAAAGGACGTGCTAGGACAGGAGCTACGAGATTATGGAGGATAATGATATCAGAAGCTACGCACCTTATCTGGAAGCTCAGATGTGAACGTGTTATTGGTCATGCTGACCAAGAAGGCTGGGATCACGATGACTCAGCCGTCCGCAACCGGATCGCCAATGTGCTTCACAATAGGTTACGACATGACCTAGAAGCCACCAAGACCAAATACAATGAGTTATCACTCTCCGATGAAACGGTCTTAGCAACCTGGCACGGTCTAATCCAAGACGACCCAGCCTTACCATGGAACTGGACGAAATGCAGCGGTTTTTTAGTGGGTAGTGTCCCTAGAGTATGCCTAAATTTCGACCCAGGCTGATGAGCCCCACACTGGCCTTCGAGCCGTGCGTAAAGGCATTTTTCTCCTTGGACTGCGTATTCGATCACTTATCAAGACTCAAGCTGGACGGTTGGGGCCCACCAATTGTGGCTTGCCACCGCCCGACATAGCTATCCAAAAAAAAAAAACAAAAAAAAAAAAAAAAAAAAAAAGTACTGCCAGTCAGACTGAAATCAGAGTTTCGCAAGACAGATATCTGCCTTCCTCTCTCTCTGCACTGCCCCGCGTCGCTCGATGTTCTTCTTAACGAGTGGCAGCGATGCCGACTGAAACGTCGGAAACCAGCGACATGATGTGATGGTGTATATGACAGAAAGTTTGTTGACGGCGTCGCTGCCGCCGATGCTCTATGTAGAATCAGCGCATCCCCAAGAGCGGGAAGACAGCTAACATCATTGCGTGTGGATCTGCGCTTTCACTCGGGGCAATAAGTCCGGACAAAATTCCCTGTTGCGTGGGTACAGGCCCTGGCACGTTTGCAGCAATGCAAATCGGAAATTGCTGTGAAGACGGAGAAAGGCATACAAAGCCCAATCCGTTCCTTCTCCCGATGCGTCACGTCCGCTCGCCACCGAGGTCCGCGGCCCCCTTTCGCGGTAAAATTGCGAAAACGCGGCCACCAAACAGAATTGTAGTGAAGGTAACAACGGTAGTTGAGGTTGGAGATTTACAGGGAACACCGATCCAAGCGTCATTGCGGACGTGACAGATGCGCCGAACCATCTATCATCCATACAGTTGTGCCGGCGGCGAAGGGATTACTTCGCGTGTCTCTTGCCAGCTTCTTGCGCAGATGGACTCATGTGCCAAGGGATCATGCACCATCCGGGAGAAGACGAGAAGGTTGATGAATGAGATATTCCATGCCCCACAGCAAGTGGATTATTGCGATGGAAGACGGTAATAGAAGCCGTACGCTGGCCGGCAAGACACAGGCGTAGAGGTTGAACATCGCGGAATCGAGGCAGTGCCGCGCAGGCGGCTACAGACTAGCTGCTCACTGACGGAGCAGTCGTCTGCCAAAAGCAGTTTCCCGCTCAGACAACTCTGGGAATGACAACGCGACTGCGTGCTCAGCGTCCGCGCTTCGTGGATCACGCCACTGTCCACATGAATATATCCATTGGAGATGATTCTACATCATTGACATTAGGACGTCCACAGCTGTAAACGCTCAGTCAAGGGTCTCTTGCGGTAAGATCAACGTTGGTCTCACCCTAAAGTTGATGCAGTCACCGTCGACAAGCACGTTGATACAGATGACGGATTGTTGACGGTACAGGTCCTAAGCGGAGAAGGTACTTCGGTGTCTTGGGCTCAAATCGCTGAGCGCTGAGCCACGCTGAGCCTTCCAGTCAAGGTTTCATGCCACCGCATATGGTTCTGGCATGCATCTACAAATGCAAAGCCCAAACCCGTCAGCTATATCAGACACGCCATCCCGAGGACGGCTCGATGTCCTCTCGCGGGACTGGCTCGCAACGTTTTCGGACATCCGCCACGGCAACCCGATTGGACAACTGCCTCTGCCACCTACGAGCATGAGATAGGAAACATCGGAGAGATCTACTGTATACCGGCTTCGGATCCGCGGGTATCCGAGCAGATCAGGGCAGTGCAACCCGGGTTAGCAGCGCACAATGCACATAAGAAGACTCACCGCGAAGTGCTGACTGGTCGGGATGCATATACATAGATCGCTACCAATCGCAAAATCTTCAGGCAACTCGGCGACTGGTCGAAGGTCTTGCAAGCATCGCATGCACGATACAAGCCCTGGAATGTATTCGGGGTACTGTACTTGGAAGATACTTAGCTCGCTGCCCTGGATCCGGGCCGCTGCAGCCTTGCCACAACAGCCTACCATGTAAGTTACTGCACAGCCGAGTGAAGTCAGTGAACTTCCTGGGTCGCCTTGGGTCGCTTGCACGGATTGGGGCGACATGTGAGCCGGGAACGACATCGATGACGCCAGTAGCGTATGCTGAGGACCGCACAGCATAGTCAGCGCCTGGCTTCGGTTTTCCCGTCTTCATGACGAGACCCACCTCCATGCAGCCGGACGCCACGGTCCCCGGCGCGACGGAAAGCAGCCTGGCGATACAGCGAGACCGCGTGCCCTCCGATAGGCTGCTGCTGGCGGGAAAGCGCGACTAGAGTTCGGTGCACGGGATGGGTGCTGTATGCTTGTAGTGGAGCTGGATGCGCGGAGAGGACGTCGCTCGGATGCGGCAGGTGGCTGAGGCGGTGGACCGTGACCGATGGTGACCGATTGTCACAGCGGCTAGATTTTATAGCTGATGGAACGTGATCGGTGTTTGCCGGGGGTGCCTCTTAAGAGGTCCTCTCTGCGCTGCCCCACACCACCATCCCTTCCTTTCCTTCAGCCTGGTTGATATGTCGAACGTATTCGTGAGTACCCAGCCCGCGCCGCCCCTCGCCTGCTGCAAACCCGCCCGAAATTGACCTGTTTGTGCAGTTTGACATCACCGTCGATGGCAGGCCGCTCGGCCGCATCGTCTTCAAGCTCTACGACGACGTGGTCCCCAAGACTGCGAAGAACTTCCGCGATCTCGCGACGGGCGCGCACGGCTTCGGCTACAAGGGCTCGTCCTTCCACCGCATCATCCCCAACTTCATGCTCCAGGGTGGCGACTTCACCCGCGTAAGTTGCGATCGAGATCTCGCCGCGTCATAGCGCGGTCCTGACCGCCATCTGCAGGGTAATGGCACCGGTGGCAAGTCCATCTACGGCGAGAAGTTCGAGGGTGAGTGCGCGCCGTGCGCGATCTGCGTTCTCCGGGCCGTGCGATGTGCTGACGGCACTCGCGCACAGACGAGAACTTCAAGCTCAAGCACTCGAAGCCCGGCCTTCTCTCGATGGCGAACGCCGGCAAGAACACGAACGGCTCGCAGTTCTTCGTTACCACGGTCGTGACGTCGTGGCTCGATGGCGCCCACGTCGTCTTCGGTACGTAATCGCCCGGGGTTAACGGGGCGAGTGCGCTGACTGTCCCCGCCACAGGCGAGGTCACCGAGGGCTACGAACTTGTCAAGCAGATCGAGGGGCTCGGCTCCGCCTCTGGCACGCCCAAGGCGAAGATCACCATCGCCGACAGCGGTGCCCTCTAAGCGCGCTTGTCGATGGCGAAGATGTGGGGCGAAGAAGGGAACAGAAGATAACATATTGTGTATATCATTGAGGGCGGAGTGCTCGTGCCACGCCCCTGTGTTTCAATAGAACACTGTTCGAGGAGTTTCACGAATGTTTGAGACGAAGGCAACGAACCTTATGAGCGATTGGGGTTTCTGGAAACGCTTCCCAGGTACCGATATGTACGACGCGGTGCACTTGCATGATACGGGTCCGTTGTTGTGCTCTGGTCTCAGGTGGTGTCGAAACCTGTTGATTGGTTTGTCGTGCACGACATGTTATTATGCGCAATCGAAGTGCAAGATGACTCGGCTGAGCCTGAGGTACGAGGGCACGGTATACGCGAACATTGTGGTCCCAGAACCCTTACGACAACGGCTAGAACTTCGGATCGACCGAGTTGCATGCCGACTACCCATGTGCGCGAGTCTGGACTGTGTGCATATTCTGAGATCAGTATGCTTACCACCAATCTGGGCGCGCGCAGATCGGGGATGTGCAGGGAGATCAAAGCCTGGACCCAGCCGCATGGTGTCCTGTCGCAGATACTCTCGTAACTTATGAGGGACTTTCCGCTACGAATAGAAGGTGTAGGAGGATCTCATCTAGGCAAGCCGTGGCAACATGCGAGGGGCTGGCAGACTCGCTTCGTCCGAGTTTACAACTGAGCCCTGGGCTTTGGCTACCAATGACAGCACGTTCCTGTGCAGCTGCTACTCCTGCCGTTGATTGGCGTAGTGCATATGCCAGTATTGTAGCAACATCACTATACACCGCTTGCAAAGTGATCTCCGCTCCGAGTCGTCTGTGAGGTGCACGTCCACCTCCGGGCGCCCCGCCCTTGAAGCCCAAGAATAGTTCGAACGATCACACTTGCCATTTGGGGGAGCGCACTAGTCACGTGCATCTAATGGCTGTCGGCGACGAACCGATGCGCAATGGCGACGAAAGCGACTCGTCCTGAACGTCGTTGCTGAATCGACGCAATCAGACTGTGGCAATACTGGCAATACATATGTGCAAACTCTGCGTCTATTGGTCGCTCACATCACTCGCGATGACACTGGCTGACCTTCGATGTCTTGCTTGTGGCGAGTCGGACGAAAACCCAAGAATTCTGGGGTGAGTTTTGTTAGGGGCCATGCGAGAATATGCGGCGATCGCAGGTCCTTTCGTGCAAGCGCATAACTTCTGCGGTATGCTTCACATTCTTCAAGCGACTAGTGAGATTCTGAACGCACGTACACAGGTTTTCCAGGTAGTGTGGCCTCCGTCCAGTTCCCTGCACGGTACCGAGGCGAGACATCAAGAGTGTGAAGACGCTCCCCTCGCTGTCTGTATGTCGCCAAGGCTGACATTCGGCCGTCGATCCATGTCAGGCTTGACATCATCGCTCATTTTGGCTTCTGCGGATGACGCGTCGTGTCCCATTTTGATCAAGCCTTCCGGCAGGACAGGAATATCCTTCACGGAAGCCTCGGAATAGAGTCGCGCAGAGTGTGCTAGTTTCCTGACGACAGCAGGATGTTCTCTCGGCGTCAATTATAAGCCAGGAACGTAGCAGGTGCTGCCACGGACATGAACTCCCCTGGGCGAAGAGAGGAGGGAAACACGGGGTGGGGACGGTGACCATTTGTGGGGATGTGCGTGCCGCATTGACGCGTCGACCACGTGACCGCGACAGGAAGACTCCGCGAAGTTCTGGTTCTGTCGCTGCTCCGACATGCACGACGATCCCAAAACAGAACCCCCTCAGTAGCACGGTCTGCGTCCAAGTGGCAACGCCTTTTCTGCATCCCCCGCAGCGTGTTGCGAGAGCTGACACTGGCATGTGGATGGGCGCCAGGACTGCCCACGGGGGGCCGCTGGGTGGGGGGCCGACGAACGGCGTCGAGGACACAGGAACAAGAGGGCAGCGAGGACGCCACAAAGGACGCCACCCGCCGAACGCGGGCGAGATCGAGGACGCGGGGGCTGCGCCGGGCATCTCCCAGGCATGCTTCTTCTCGTCAAGCGCCGTCCACTCTGGGCGGTCGCCTGCCCAAATGAGGAGCAGCGCACGCCGGCAGCCCCAGCGGCCATGACAGCGGCCGCACGCAGATCGAGCGACGTGCCCCGTCCGCCCCCCGTCCTATAAGATCCCCAGCCCCGCCGCCACACGCCGTCCGTCTCTCCTCTCTCCCCCATCACGCTCTCTCCCCGCACAGCCCCCGCCTTCTAGCACAAGTATCCCCAGCCTTCCACCTACCGCTATCCTACTATCTGCCAGGCGTCACATACATCGCACTCGCCCCCACAAAAATAGCCTATATAAGCCCGGTACGTCCAAGGCCTGCTATCTCCCCCGCGCATCATTGACGAACCATCTGTCTCCGCTGCAGGCTCATAGCCCGTCCGCGCAATCCACGCACGCCGTCGTATCGTCTTCCTACGTTTTCGCTTTTCTTTGCACGTTGAATTCCCTGCTATCCAGTCCGATACCCATCCGCGCGTGTCCACAGAAGCTCTCTTATACGTCCATCGCATCTCGTTTCGTGCAGCATGCAGTCTCAGTTGCCTTCCGCTTCCGCTTCCGCGCAATACCAGCATACCCAGCCTCTGTTGGCTCCGCTTCCCGTCTCTGACGACCGCTCGTCTCCTTCACCAGCACTGCAGAATGTCTCCCGCGACACCTCTACCAGTCCACTTTCCATTCCAGACACCACTCGCTCGCCTAGCTCTGTTAACACGTCCACGCCACAGTCGCCATTGACGCCGTCTAATTCGTCCCCACGCAGCTTCCGTTCGTTCTCGTCTCAGCAGCACAACTCCGACTCGCATTCGCCCCTCTCCGCCTCGCCGCTCAGCGCCAGCTCTCCTGGAGGCTCGACTTCATCGCACAGCCGGCTGTTATCGGGCCTTGTCAACGCGGCTCCCGCACGGATTCGATTCGATGATGCAGTGGACGCGTCTGCTACGCCAGTCGTCGCTTCTTCTTTCAGTCCTTTCAATCACGACACGTCCTTCGCACATGCCCACAACACTCCTAATCTCTCTCGGCCCGCTCCTCTATCTTTGTCTCTGTCTTCGTCGACAGAGAAGCCGGACCACCCTGACGTCCTCGGGACGCCTATCACTAGCCACGGTCTCGCGAACGGTCAGGCGACCAGTAATGCGAGGCCGTCTGCCTTCCCGGGTGACACCACCTCTATCGCGCATACGCCTAACTCTACCGCCACATCGGCAGCATTAGCTCCGACTTCTCCGTTAAGAAGCCTCATTCCGAGTGACGGTTTTGGTATGTGATCTTCCGTCGTCGTATGTTAACGCGCGGCTAACTACCTTATACGCAGCAGCGCCGAAGGCTCCCGCTCTTTCTCCCCCCAACCGCATCCCGTCGGCAGGGCAACCTGCTCTCTCCTTTGTCTCCGCTTCACCCACGAGCAACGCTACTCTGAAGACTTCCCAGACGTCTCCGTCGCTCACAGTGGACCAGTCGCAGCTACAGAGCCCCTCCGCCGCTTCTTATACGACGCAACCACGAGGTCCGACTCTCGCTCCACCTGACGCGCCGTTGGGTTCCCCGGGCTCGCAGCGCACATTCACCCCTTCACAGCAATCGTGTGGGGCCACCTCTGACTCGCTCACAAGCCCTGTCGCGGGCACGCCGGGGACGGCGGACTTCCGCACGCCAAACGTGTATATTAATGGCCTACCCCCGAACTTCCCGGAGGAGGAGCTGTTCAAGATGACGCGGGAGTTCGGGAATGTCATCAGCGTTAGGACATTCACCCGCCATGTTTGTGACAAGCCATCGTGAGTGACGGTTCACTTTCGTTCCTTGGCCCGAGCGGGACTTTTTGTGCGGGAGGTCCGAGTAGAGTGCATCTATCCGTGGCCATTCGTCAGTTAGAACTCTGATCTCATCCCGCGCGGTGACCAGGGCTCTGGCGGACGGGTGGCGAACACGGATTGGTTCATCGACAAGCGCTACGAGATTGGTCGCCAGGGTCACCTTAGACTCGATCTGTCGCATTGACGGCAACCATTATGGGTGTTCCCCGCCATGTCATTTTATATGCCGAGTTTCAGGGACAATGCTGACAATTATCTGCTTTTTGGGCGGCGTTCACTCCGCGGCGTAGGGGCTATGGATTCGTCTTGTAGGTGTCCACCCATCAATATATGCGCTGTCTATGTTGACTAGGTCATGTCTAGGTTTGAGTTGATAGACGCGGCGGAGAAATGTATCGAGTCCCTGCGCAAGTATAGGAACCTCCATCCGTCCTTCTCGAAGGTACGCGTATCCGTCATTCCCTCAGATCTCACTTCCCTGATATGTCCATTTGTCCCGTTTGCTGTATTTTCCAGCAAATCCACAAGATACCTGGCACGGTTTACTCATCGCCAACGTTCCAGGCGGCCGCGGGTGCGCAGTGCCTTCCAGCCGATTCGTTTAAAGCGCGGATGGAGCAGCTTAAGGACAACGCGTCGACGAACCTGTACATGGAGGGCCTACCGCTGTCGATCGACGAGATGATGCTTGGAGCGTTGGTGAAGCCGTACAAGATATGCAGCAGCCGGTTCTTTCAGACGAGGTTGAGCAACCCACCGAGGATGATTGCGTTCGTGAGGTAAGTGTCACAATGTTAGCGAGCTGCTCTAAGGGTGACGTTGATTGTTCCGTGAAGGTTCGAGTCTCGTACTGCGGCCGAGGAGATTATTGAACGCTTGCACGGGCGCATTATCCGTGGTATGGAGGATTCGGGCGCGAGGATCTCGGTCAGGTTCGCGGACACGACTGAACAGCGGGAGCTAAGGGTAAGTCGTTCGCGCGGGTAGCCTCTCCTCGGGTTCCTTCTGCGCCGCGGTGTTGACTACAGAACTGACGCGCTTCTTGCAGCGCATGGAACGCACTAGCCACGACGGCGAGCACTCCCCTGGTCGACTGTCAATGGCCCAAGCCGCGCTGCTAAACTTAAATGGAGGTCAAGTCCCACTCCCTCATCTTTCGCCACATATTTCGCCGGACCTCGGACGACTGTCGCCAGGCGGAAACATTTCTCCTTTGCTCGTCGGCGGGCACCTGCCCGCGCAAGTTCCTCACGTCCGTACCCCGCTTGCCCCTCTGGCGGCCGCCGCCGCACAACTTCCCTTCCATCAGCAGCAGGCCATCCTGCAGCAGCGCATGCAAGATTTGTCGCTCGCTGGACACGACTTCAGTTCGCACGCGTCGCCGTACCTCCCCCAGGATCTTCGCGTCACGCCGCACTTGGCGCAGATGCGAGACGAGCTGCTCTCGTTGCAGGAGACTCAGGCACAGCTCCACCTCAAGCGTGGTCTGGGTGTGGGAGGTTCCGCCCGCGCGGACAATGGGTACACGACGATGGAGAGGATGATGCTCCAGGTGCATGCGCAGCGACAACAAGAGCAACAAATTCTCGAGGCTCAGGCCCAAGTGCAAGCGCAGCGCGGACAAAGCAAGAGAAGGCTCCTCGACGTGCTCCAACCGTGTTCCATCGAGGACGACTTCCACGCGACTGCTATGGCAGGCAAAGGTGGAGCGCGGTTCGGGTCGCAGACAACGTCGCAGCAGCTTGGTACGGGCACCGGTCAGCGGCAGAGGAACCAGACGCACGCCTCGAATGCACGGGTCGCCGATGTCCCTGGCGGACTGGACCAGGCGTTGCACCTCCGGTCGACGACTATGCCTTCGCAGTATCTGAGCTCGCGCGCTTTCGACGGGAACGGCGGGTCTATCTCGACGGGTGTTGACAGGAGCCATGCTATCGGCCCGACGGCGAACAATAACATGTTCTCTGTCGCTAGCAAGAACGCCACCAACGCGTTCACGAGGAAGTCGTCCATGCATAACATCCAGTGCCTGAGCCAGACCCTTCCGCGCGGCGTCAGCTCGACGACCACCCAGGGGCACGGTAGTGCGCAAGACCACGGGCACGGTCACGGCGCTGACGTCGATGATGGCGAGCAGCTGGCATCTCCGGGTTTGACGTTCTCGCCGCGCACACCGGCGACGCTGAGCCCTGCTACGCCTTTTGGCGGGTTCTCAGGCTTCCACGCCGCAGAGTCGTACGAAGGGAGCGGGATGGTCGGCGTTATGGAGAAGGGTCACCACGGGTTCGCGATGGGACATCACCAGGAGATGGGCGCGCATGCGAAGGAGGAGGCGAAGAAGATGGGCGGCGTGCATGGTGGAGTGGGTGTGAAAGGTGTGCATGTGTAGTTAGTTGTCGTCGGTGTTGAGAAAGTAGAACTTGCAGATTAGGTGTGATGTTGAACGTCTCGTTGGCGTAGAATCCAGTATCGTACAGCACTAGCAGAGACGTAGATAGGTAGTAGTTGTGTAAAACAGTAGCGTTTCTGCTCCAGACGTGCAGACATGAAGTCCATGGTATCGAATATTGGATTCGGACAAGGCCCACATGGGGCCGCCATCAGCTAAGCTCATGCTACGAATGCAATGGGCGAGAGTGTATGTCAACATACCTACGCACTTGCTCGTCATTGAGGTCCTCTACATGAACGCGTGCCAGTGGTTGCGCGGCACTTTGATAACTCACATACGAGATGCAAAAAGTGAAAATGCGGTTTGCTATGCGTATGCGACTATGATAATGTACAAATGCGTTCACGTTCACTTCACGTTCAATCCTTTATCCAACCCCCACAAACCGTTTACCTACCGCACCCTGCGCTCCTGCGTGCCGCTCTTGTACAGCTCGCCGGGCTGCTCCGCCTCAGCGTCAGGGCCGATCTCGCGGGGGATGGCGCCGGAGCCGAACTGGTCGGCGCCGCGGGGCGCGTGCTTGCGCCCGTGTTGGCCGTCATGGTGCAGCTCGGAGGAGGTCTGGCCGGAGCCGGGGTGGCCCAGGTGGGCGTGCACTGGGGGTGGGTGGGTTCAGTTTCCGGTCGCTCAGAAGAAGCGGGGTCAAGAGGGAGGAGGATGGGGGAGAGAGGGAGGGGAGGACTCACCGTCTTTGGACGTCGCGCCGGTGAGGGTGTCGCCGGCCGAGGTGGGCTGGGCGTACGGGTCGCGGTCGACGACGGTGTTGCTGTCGGGCGCGGGCGCGAGCTCGACGGGCTGCCCGGTCGTGCGCGCGGTTTGGATACGGTGCACGGCAGGGTCGGTGTGGTGTACCTCGTCGGTGTGTGCGGGGCCGCGGCCTACGGGTGGTGCGGGGTGGCCGGTTGATAGTTGGTCTGGGGAGGATTGTGAGTGGGTGCGCTGGGGGATGGAGGGAGGAAGGGACGTACCTCCAGGGATGACCTGGGTGATGTGTGGCCCGACGGGAGGGACGCCGGCCGCTGGGGGCGCGTCGCGGCCTGTGGAGGGCGGGAGGTGCTCTTGCGGGGGGTTGGCGTGGGCGGTGCCGTTCGGACCCGGCGGGCCGCCTGTATCAGCGATGTGAGTGGGATGTATGCGGATTGAGTGAAGGAGGATGTACTCTTTGGGAAGATGGCCTCGTACTGGTGGCCGGTGGAGGCCTTGTCTGCGCCGGGGATGCGGCCTCTGGAGGCGTCGCCGCCGACGTAGTCGTTGTGGCGCTGCGCGGTCATGCTCTCTGCGGACATGGTGGAAGTGTTTGTTGTCGTGAAGCGAAGGATAAAGCTGGGTGTGCGAATGCGAGCGTGCGTGGAAGTCGTGAGGGAGGTGGTGAGGGCGGAGGACGGCGGGGAGGGGCCTTATATAGGGGGCGGTGGGACGGGTTGCATCATCGGCATCATCGTCGACCCAACTCTGGAGGGTGGGCGCTGGGCGTGGTGCAGCGGAGAGCGGCCTCGCGTGACGTCATCAGTACGCGTCGACGTTGCGGAGCCTCGTGTCTGTGCCGTTTCGGGAACATCCCTCGCTCTCGCGGTCACGTGGGCTGCGCGTCACAGCCGGTCACTGCCTCTTGACGAGACTGATGTTTGTTCCGCGATCCGACATATTCCTCTGCGGCTCAGCGCTCAGCGCTCAGCGCTCGCTCATCATGCAGTGGTGCCCTGACGGTTGCGGAGAGATCTGCTGCATTGGCAGCTGGCTGAGGTCGATGCGTCCGAGTCAAGTTCGCTCTCTAGCCTCGGTGCGCCATCTCTGGGTCTATTGCTGGATACTGTCATATTGTGTCAGTCTTCAGAGGCTGGCCGGTATCGTACGCGACATACGCTGCCAGTGAGCTCCAGATCCAAGTGTGAGCCGATGGCTGATGCTGCGTTACAGCAATACAATGTCCTTTGGCGGCCGTGGGCGACGAGCGTGGATCGCAGACGTACATCGCGGATGGTTCTTACTCGCATCACTTCCTATGCGTCCTTCCTGATCTTCTTCAATGACATGTCAGATTGGAATGTGGCTCGCTGTTATGGTTGCTCCCACCTTGTCTGCAACAGAGGTGAGATACACTACTCACTCACTGGATCTGTGCAACTGGGGCACGGGTGTCCCAGGCCGCAGGTCAGCGAGGTGTGGATTCGGGACACAGTTACTGCAGGTATTCCGCTCTGCGCGAGTACAGGTCTACTGATCAGATCAGTAGGAGTAATTCGCACCCGGGATGGAAGCCAGCCGATCTGGACAGCCCGTATTAACCTCCATGATCCTTTTCCACAGGTGTGTTAATAGTAGGTACGCCAACCCATCAGACGTCGCCCGCAGAGCAAACTCTGCCATTCCCCATCCCGCCTCGCCTGCCTCTTCATGTGGCCGCGACACCCCCGCTCTCCCCCAGCGACGTCTCTGTTTCCAAATCATGCTGCCTTCGCGGCTCTGCTCCTGCTTTCACTCGGGTATGGCGCAACGACCCCAGTGAACAGGACGATCGACGACTACCTCGGCGACTCCGCGACGGGCGCACGCCCCGTGTTCTCGCCCGGCTGGAACTACGGGCCGACGTGCCCCGGGTGCTACGTCCAGCCCGACATCGCGCTCACGTTCGACCGCTCCTGGCACGACACGACCGTCTCGGTCTACAGCGTCACCACGAACATCTCCATCGAGTTCACCGGTGCGTCTCCCTTGCCCCTCACCGGCCTCACCCCTTCCCCCGCTTAGGGCTGATGTGGGGTGCGCAGGGACGGCGCTGTGGGTGTATGGCATCGTGCCGAACTACGTGCGCAATGCGAACACGCTCGTCAACGTTTCCTTCGCGCTCGACGGCGCGCCCGCGGGGAACTACACGCACCAGCCGTCGAGTTCCACCGAGTTCTTCTATAACGTCACGCTCTTTAGTACCACTGCGCTGGAGAATGTGGCACACACGCTCGTGATGACGCCCCAGGGGACCGCAGAGGCGTCGTATCTGGCGTTTGATTGGGCGGAGTATACGTGAGTGCTGCTATTTGGGTCGTTTTGGGGATGTGGGTGAGAGGTGTGGTGTTGATAGGGCTGTGTGATTTGCAGGTATGAGGAGGAGGTCGTGTCGAGCTCGACTGTGCAGTCTGCTGCCACTAGTAGTGGTGAGTCGCGAAGAACCCTGGTCGGAGCGACGACATCTAAGTCTGCAGCTGTGCTGACTTCTACGATCGCCTCCTCGCTGTCAAACGCCATGTCACCACCCCAATCCGCATCCACACTACAAGCAGCATCACCAACAGGCTCATCGTCGATACCGAGCCAGACACCCGCATCGCAATCGACAGAGAACGCAAACACGACCCCAAAGCACAATCCACCAGTAGCAGCCATCGCAGGCGGAGTCGTCGGCGGCCTCTGCGGGCTCGCACTTTTGGCCATCCTCTTCTACCTATGCCAGCGAGCCAGCCGGAGAGGCAGCACGACCGGGCGCGCGGACGCCGATGGCGACCCCATGGCGAAGGTGGACCCCTTCCTCTATCCGTCCACGTTCCAAATCGGTCGAGCCGCTGGGATTTCCCTACACGGGAACCCGTCTTCACTGGCGTCACCCAGTGCTGACCTGCGAGCACCCACTTCTTCCCATGGGGAGGATGGGGCGTACGTGAGCTCTGCCGAGCTTTCGAGCGAGACGGGCGCGTTGCCCGTGAGCCTGGGGGCGAGGCGCTCGGTGCTGCCACGTCCGGCCGCGCCGCGCGCGAACCAGAAGGTTGCGAGGAGACGCGAGGAGATCTCCCGCCAGGTGCGCGACGTCGAGGACATCCTCGCCGAGCTGCGCCGGCGCCAGTCCGTGCTGTCCGCGCGTTCCAGTCCGTCTGTGCTTCCGGGCGGGATGTCAGACGCACCAGTACAAGGGGGCGAGCCTCCTCCGTCGGTAGCGCAGGCGTTGCTGCCGGACCAGGATGGGATGGTTATGGAAGAGTGGGGGCGCCGGATTGATCGGCTGCAGACGGAGTTGGAGAGGTTGAGGGCGGAGCAGGAGGGGATTGTGTTGAGGGATCCGCCGCCGGCGTATGTGTAGCGATCTGCGTATCATCTGTATGATGCTTGGGCGGGTGGCCATTCTTTGTGTCCAATTGTATTGTGATACGATGGTTGGAGGGAAGGCGTGGGCGACGCAAAGGTAGTGCAATTGTGAGTGAGCCCGCCCAAGGTGACCTGGAGGCCGGGTACCTACACCCGAGTGAGAACTTGAATGCGAGGTGCGGAGATTACAGAATCCGCACTTTGAAGACATAGACGCATACATGACGGACCAAGACATACGTTGATGAATAATATGGACTCGTCGCGCGCGCACTCAACATAGCTGTTCTTTGTTACCCTACCTACGTACGACGTGCGCGTACCAGCGACGTTCCTTATCGAGATTCCACATGCCAAGGGATGACTGATCCTCCCTGAACGGCGAGGGGGTTGCTCGTAAGAAGATGGAGCTGCGTCACAAGCCAATCCTTGCTACCGCCATCCGCGGCTGCTTATGCTGGGATCCTGACACCCCGGCTTGGATAATGCGCACTGGATGCGCACATCGTGACTCGACTGGTGATGAACGAAAGAAGTGTCCTCGCGAGATGTTTGGTGTATGACTTCGGTTAGCTTCGGTTGCATATGCTATCAACGATGGACCAGAATTGGGGATGTTGCATATTTGATCTAGATGTCCACTTACCTCCGAGTCACTGACTGTTCCATGTCTTCGATATTCTTTAGCAAATATCCGAGAAACTTGATACACGTTCTATGCGGATCCGAAGAGAGATTGTTGCATCTACGCACACTGCGTAAGCCATGAGTAACCCGTTGGCAGAGTATTGCGATCGTATCACTTGAGTGGTGTACAGGGACCCGACTGTTCCATCAGTTCTTGCATATTGGCCTCGTACAGCGGAGGAAAAGGATCATTGGAAAGGGTTGCATTCAGATCGTCCGACGCGTCTCACATTGACATCATACCTCACCCGATATAGTCGGAAAAGGCATCCGCGCAGTCCGCGCTTGTCGGCATGTGCCATATGTCCGAGCCAAGGATCGGTAGTTGGCAGTTAAACATTGTGCCATCCGAGAGCTTTCCCGACACTTTCGGCGCATTACTACATAGTCGAGAGGTTCGGGAGGTTCGAGACATTGAAAGCCCAGCGACGCGCTCGCGGCTTGGCGGCCTATCATTACGGCACCGGCCATTCTGGACGTACGATGTGGGTCGCCGTCAAACATACGGGAGCATTGGTGCTATGCAGGGATCCCTGTTTGTGTTCAATGTGAGAATAGTAAAACAACAGAGGGCTGTAGGACAGAAAAATCGTTGGGAACGAACCGATCTGAACCAAGAACCGAAGACATGGTAGGCACTCCACTCCACAAGCGCCCTCGAGTCCTTGATGCCGAGACGTGTGAGATCTGTGAGATTCAGGACGCTATCGCAGAGTTATGCGAAGCTGAACAGTGGCAGTGTGTACCTTTACATGCCGACCCGAGCCTGACTGGTGCTGCTGTAGATATGAACAAGAAACCTTGCGCGGACCACTCCTCGCATACGGGCGACGCTCTATACATCTCAGTTCCGCGAAGCAAAAGCGCAGAACGGTCTACATTCGACCGAATTAAGACAACTTCGCCGGACGGAAAGGCTGCATGAATGCCCGAGCGCTTGCAACGTTGCTGAGAAGAATGACAGATCGGGAGGCCTGGGTCGACGAGGAGCGTCCAAGAGAATTTCGTTGTTGAACGCGCGTCACTGCGCGCGCAGTCACAGACGATTTCATCCGTGTGTGAGCGCGAGTACACCAATACGTGATCATACCTGCAGTGAACAGAGCTATGGCCTCTGATTTATCTCCTCCGTGATGAAGACTCGGTGCACCACCACAGGAGGCTAGCGACAGAGTGAAGGTCTAGGCATTCGAGGATTCGATGTGCACTAGCGCCATGCAGGCAGCTCGGAGCGCGTCAAATCTTGATGAATTGGGTTAAAAGACCGGACGCCCGGCTACCGCTGTAATTAAAGACTCGATATCAGCATGACTACTTCGCGATTGGATGGCCTCACGTCTGAGAAGATTGGGTACACCGTTACAATGGTGCCATCCGAGAATGCGCATCGAGAGGGATCTCTGAGACTGGTTCCCAATGCATTGGACAACATGGAGCAACACTGAGACATTTTCCGCAGACATCAGGCCCCAGTACATTCCTGCCAATCCAGACTAGTTCAATGACATTACGATTAACACATTGGATCAGATAACAATCTACTCACAGTCTTCCCCAAGTCTTCCCGAACATCACCGTGTCAGTGCGAGTAGAACAAACACGTGTTCCCGGATATGGGACATGGTCAGTCGCGCGGTCCCCTCGGCGCACTCCCATCGGAGATAGACGTAGTGGGTGCTGCGAGGAAGGCCTTCGATGATTGGCGGGATCTAGAACGGCGAGTCTTAAGCCGCGATTTGTGAAGCACTAGCAATATATCTATGGCGCGCTGCGTACTACTCACATTCTGCCCACGGATGACCGTGGATTCGCAGCCAGCTGAGTTCGGTTCATCGCCGACAAAAAGATTGTCAATCGCCTCGACTAGGTGGTGCGCATCTGTGGCCAGGTGAGGGTCAGGGACATCATGTCATTATGCCGCCGCCGGCCACCATGTGCTGTGCAAGAATACTTAGTACGCCTCCGCCGGGGCGCGCAAGATCTGCAAGATCCGCGAAAAAGCGGTGCCTCCACGCGAGTTCGTGATGCGCCGCCCGTCCGCTGCATGTCGACTTGTCGGTGCGAAAGAAGGACCGAGCAGTCGTCGACGTTGACGCGTTGACGCCCCTCAAGCGTTCAACAAGGGGAATAAAATTGCAGACGCGCAAGATTGGCAGATCTACGGGGCAAATCTATAACATTATGGGACGACGGTGTCGATGTGGCGCGCGTAACTCGCGTGGCAAGCCACGAGAAACGCACATGGAGAGCACATGGCGTCCACGTTCGCCGCGTGGGCTCAGCCACCTACCGGCCGGGCGGGTCTCTGTTCCCCGGCGCCTGTGACCCCCGCCCGAGCTATCCCCGAGGCGGGATCACCGCGCGAAATGTAGGACAACTCAGTACCGGGAAAACAGGCATCAGGACCGGGAAATGAGACCTGTGAGTACTGAGGTGTTCCCGAGGCGAGGGAAAACAGTAATGGGAGAATGTGACATAAATACCAGGAAAATGGGCAATTTCAGTACCGGGAAAACAGGAAGACAAGAAATATTGCTGAATGTGTGCCACAGGCCGGGAAGCATTGAATTAAATGCGATCACAAGACTGAACATATTGGGAGCACCGGGAAATCAGTACCGGGCAATAAGATATCTGAGCAGTGCCAGGAAAATGATGCAAGAATACTCTGAGAAATAGGGGATACGATTGCCCTGATATTCTAAAAGTCAAGCATATCACTGACAGTGTACCACAGGCCGGGAAGCATGAAGATTAACACACAGAATTGAATAGAACTATGCTGCCAGCCCATGGCTTCGGCTGGCAATGCCCAAGAATATAACCTTCATAGTAACACAAAGCACAGAATGAAAGAACTGCCGCCAGACCTGAGGCGAAGCCCAGGTCTGGCATTGCCTAAGCATGGAATCTTAAAAGTAACATGAAGCACAGAATGAAGAAATCACCCGCCACGGGCTGGCAATGCCCAAGCATATAACCTTCAAAGTAACACAAAGCACAGAATGAAAGAACTGCCGCCAGACCTGAGGCGAAGCCCAGGTCTGGCATTGCATAAGCATGAAATCTTAAAAGTTACATGAAGCACTGAATGAAGAAATTGCCCCGTAAACCCGTGGCGAAGCCACGGGTTTGCGATGCTCGTCTATAAAATTATGGGACGGCGGTGTCGATGTGGCGCGCGTAACTCGCGTGGTTTTCGCCTACGCCCACGAGAAACGCACATGGAGCGCACATGGCGTCCACGTTCGCCGCGTGGCCTCAGCCACCTACCGGCCGGGCGCTCTCTCCTCCCCGGCGCCTGCGACCCCGCCCGAGCTGTCCCCGAGCGGGATTTCCGCGCGAAATGCAGGACAACTCAGTACCGGGAAATAGGACCTGTGAGTACACATGTGTTCCCGAGGCCTGCAAAGATGGGAGGGAAAACAGTAATGGGAGAATGTGACATAAATACCAGGAAAATAGCCAACATCAGTACCGGGAAAACAGGAAGACAAGAAATATTGCTGAATGTGTACCACAGGCCGGGAAGCATTGAATTAAAATGCAATCACAAGACTGAACATATTGGGAGCACCGGGAAATCAGTACCGGGAAATAGGATATCTGAGTAGTACCAGGAAAATGACACATAAATACCAGGACAATAGGGGATAAAATTGCCCTGATATTCTAAAAGTCAAGCATATCACTGACAGTGTACCACAGGCCGGGAAGCATGAAGATTAACACACAGAATTGAATAGAACTATGCTGCCAGCCCATGGCTTCGGCTGGCAATGCCCAAGAATATAACCTTCAAAGTAACACAAAGCACAGAATGAAAGAACCGCCGCCAGACCTGAGGCGAAGCCCAGGTCTGGCATTGCATAAGCATGGAATCTTAAAAGTAACATGAAGCACAGAATGAAGAAATCACCCGCCACGGGCTGGCAATGCCCAAGCATATAACCTTCAAAGTAACACAAAGCACAGAATGAAAGAACCGCCGCCAGACCTGAGGCGAAGCCCAGGTCTGGCATTGCATAAGCATGAAATCTTAAAAGTTACATGAAGCACTGAATGAAGAAATTGCCCCGTAAACCCGTGGCGAAGCCACGGGTTTGCGATGCTCGTTGAATATGGTACGCATCTCCGACCACGCGAGAGCGGGCCGCCGGCTTGACGAGATACATCTTGGGTTTCAACACCCGTAAATGACGGGTGACACTCACTTCACAATGTTTATGCAGCGCCGGAGGTGAATGCTCAACTGCAGGTTTGCGATGGGCATCACGACTACTCCGGGGTTTTTGACGGCAAACAGTGTGACAATCCGGCTCGAACTGAGCCGCATTGCTGGGCGCATGTGAAGAAGTCAGGCGAAACGGAAATGCAGAAGCGTCGCCGTAGCTCACCTCAAACAGAAAGTGGAGTTGGGAGGAGTAGATCCACACGAAGGTCCGGCAAGGCATGTGTTGCAAGCATGCTTATTCGTCTGAAAGGCCCGCCCGTCCTGCTGAGCTTTCCAGAAGCTACTGAACACCATAACATCTGGTCAAGGTCCGTTGCCTTCGCATCGGTGCCGTCCATATTGTGTGGAGTTGTAGTCCTTCCTACCTACGCACGAATGCCGACGCTGACCGTGCACAGACAACGAGCTGTATGCAACGTGGATCAGCTTCTCCATAGAACTCAAGGGAAGCTTATGCTTACGCAGTCTTCGGGTTAAATAGATTGTTCCAACTTGGTTCCACGTACAGTTGTCAGCATTGTGCGTGGGCACCACGCCTAGATCCTATACGCACAGCGACCTTGTGTCCGGCCATACTATGCTCACAAGCACCATTGTTAATGGAGAACGTGGTTCCAAGGTGACTTCACAGTCGGTCACAGGACCAATATGTAACGTACGGCGTGTGGCGACATCTCGCTGTTCGATCATGTCGATCGCGCTAGATCCGCATCGACATCTTCGTGAAGCTACCGTCGCACACAACCTGTGTTGATAGAATAAACGTAATAAAGTGGTAAACGTATTGCTTATGCGAAATGAGCAATATGTAGAACCAGACAGCCGTAGCAACACTCACAGGAGCGAGCCGTAGCATCGACTGCCGCCGAGTCTCGAGACACATACATAATGCTTTGACAGCGCCCGCAAAAGCTACGGGAAACGGGGTACAGTAAGTCGAGAGAGCGCAAGCTACTGGCATTAAGGCAGCATAGGGGGTAAACTCACTGAGTCATGCGTGATACTGTTGCGGAACGAGCCCAAATTTCGAGGTTATAGACTCGGAGACACAACTCGTTTGGTAATCTGACCAGACCGGTACGGTAGCAAAAGGCAAGATAGGTTTCATCATTAATGAAGCCCTTCAGTGACAAACTGACAACTGTTCACTCACTGCGCAGCGCTTTGTGCCTGTTTTCATGCATGCTTCTGCACTGGCCCTACTTCGAACCGCACTAAGTTAGCAGAGATGGAAGACCATAGCAATAACTAGTGTGAAAATGGCAGATTTCAGCCCAAGAAATCGCAAGAAGAGTTAGGATCCACACCGTATCTTACGCTGACGTCCTGCGTATCTGGTACTATGCAACACGGTCATTGCATATTTTTTTGTGTCGACTTGCCAGACGCGCGCATAGGGAAGGAGAATCAGCACAACTGACACAGCCACATAGTGACCTGACTAGAAGAGCTGATAGGTTTGTAGACAAGTGTGTTGGAAGCGATTGCGTATACAGGGCGGAAGCAAAGCTGGATTTCCACCGTTCCTGCTTGGTACCCATAAGCGCTGGCGCGGCGGCCATGGACGGGCATCGAGGAAGATTCCCACGCAACTTTTGGCGGATGGGAAACCTGGAACAAACAACTCACGCCTCTACACGTGACCTATTTCCTCTTTGAGCCTGGCGAACGTAGTATGTCTGCGCGCGCGCAGCGTCTCTCTGCTTGAACCCATTCATCATGGGCACTTCCGTCGCGCCCTCCTCACCCGTCTCTTCGAGGCCGTTAACATCCTGCACGGCTTTCCTACAATGTGCACTCCACAAGAGGGATATAGACCGCTAGGGAAGTCAATTGAGACTGTCGAGTTAGGTCATAACAACGTCGCGCGGGCTCATCATTGCTCGCCGCAGGGCCACGGCTACTTCAATGTGCCCATAGTGGCGCCCTTTAAAACCCAATGGTATGCATTGTCGACCTTCCTAGGACTCTACGGCTTGAGGGCTAATGTTATGTGATTCAGATTGTCTGAGCACTCGCTTCAATCGATGGGTCGTCAACGACTAGCGTTCTCCGACAAACAGCTCAGAGGACTTTTTTGTTTGATGTCCCTGATAGAGTATGGAACTCACGCGCCGCCACAAACCCATCCTACAAGCTCTTTGTCGCTGAGCGATGTGGACAATCTACATGGATTTTAAACATTCTCGATGAGGCAATGGCGCAGCCTACTGCCCACGTCTATTGGTCACATCGTTCCCGCTACTCATTGCATGGCCTGCACTGGAAGTCGGTCTCAGCATCCATGGTCGCGGTCTTCTATCAGGGCGTGCAACATGAATATTTGTGGACCTAGGGGAGTGCACTTCATATCCGATGGCTGGAGTGTGCCCTGGACGAGCGTCCTCAACAAGCGCAACCTGGACTCTCTGGTCACTACGCGTTCCGCTTCAATGCACGCGCAAGCAACTGTCTAACTGTCGTGTGTAAGGTTTCCCTGGGCGCGCGAGAAGATCACAGTGGCTCATTGGAGCGCCAGCCTGGATCCATTTGGACAGAGACCGCAACCGCAACCTCTCCATCCCGTAGCGCATCATATGGAAAACAGGTCACCCATCCTAGGCCGAGCGACATCTGTCCGGAACGACTCGCTATTCTCAGACACTTGTCTAGTCGCTGACGATGGTAGCTCTCCTGGAGCGTCCCCGCGTCGAGCGTGGTAATGAGATGAGAGCTTACCCGGCACAATGGCCAGGTAGGACTACATACTCCGCGGAAGAAGCGAGACGCTCCCCGCAGAGATCAGGCTCAGCAGCACACACACTCAATTGTATCTGTACAAGTTCCGATGCAAATAAACTGCGAACGCGACTAATATGCTTGGAAAAGGATGCTTTCATGTTTCACAATTCTATGTTGATACCTGATACCCACAAAATGATCATTCCACTTTCTCTAGAAGATAGTGCGGTCACGGCGATCTACTTCCGTTTTCATGCAGTGAGTTCAGCTTACATACTTTGTGTACCAGTACGGCATCGCTTGAGAATACTAGCATGCGTGTCCATCGACTCTTCTATCACAGTGTGGACCGAGAATCCTCAGACGTCGGCGCGATTATGAAACTTGCGAAGGCGCTGAACGTCGACACTTTTCGCCTATGGGAGATGACATGGAGTGACAGACGGTCTCAGTTACTGACTGTGGTGTCTGCATCGCTCATCAGAGGGAAGAATGGGAAGGAACATTTGCATAATTGGAGGGAGCTAGAGGTGAAACGGTATCGCCGATCAAGAGTGTACATGCCGCAGCCATCAAGGTGGCTGACCGCATTACGCAGTAGGGATCACCACCTCTATACATGGAAGCGTGGTGCATAGCTAGACATCATGGAGTGTGAATCGCACACTGTCATGGAGGGAACGAGCTATCAACGTACCTGTTATCGCCATCTATTGCGTGGATCCCTCAAGCTCTTGTCGGACTTTCGCAGCTTGCAGTGCTGGACGAGTGTCAGAAACGTTCAATGCGGACTTGATAGCGGACTTACCCATCAGCGGAGACGTGCGCGCGAAGGTCGTCATCGCCGTCAGGAGCCTCTGCAAGGCGGCGATGAGGCCGTCGTGGTCCGCCTCGACGTGTTGTTGCTGATGAGCGCCAGCAACAGCTTGGTCCGCGAGCAATGAGGTCGATGTCCAGATCATACGCAACCTAACTATCTCACCAATCAACACACGGCTCACTGCCGTCCAGAGCACCTGCAGGCGGCGCGGGGTCAGCACGGCGTTCGGGAAGCGAAGTGCGCAAGGGAACCCGGGGTTAGAAAGTGCAAGACATACCGCCATGATGGGATCCACGTAAGCAAAGCCGGCAAGGTTTACGGAGTCGATAGCAGCGACGGCTCTCCGCGCAGTATCCAGGTCCCTTCCCGGCGCCCCATTCTGGCCCTGCCCGGTTGCGCCATGGACTTGCATGATCGCGACCAAGGCAAAGGTGTGAGTGACCAACAGATCCCGAGCGATACCTTGTTCGAGTGCGCCGTGCAGCGGCGGCAGCGCGTCCATGAACTGTTCTATAACGTTTTCTAGCACGAAGAATTCAGCGGCGAACTGTTCTACATAAGCCATTGCTGCGATCGTGGGCATGAAAGGATGTCAGCCAGCGCTGGAAGAAGACACGCGGCGATCTAGGCGCACCAGGAGTCCATTGGGAGGCAAGGCGCGAGGCACGCTCGAACAACGCGGACGCTTTGGCGCGCAATGCCACCGAAGACGTGCCCTGCCCAATTTCGGGCAGTATGCCAGACAGGAATGCCTGAATTGTGAGAGAACCCCGTAACATAGGAGGTAACCCACGCTGATGGAAACTGTAGTGAGGATCGCCTGATCATGAGTGTCTCGGATCTGCCTACCTGTGCGTAGTCTTCTATCTGTAGCGGCCATGGGGTATCCACCTGGGCGCCTGGAGAACCGTTGAAGTGAGACGGCGATCCCGCTCTGACTGACCAACTCTTATCGAGGATGAAGACATTCCAGAAGGCGTTGATCCTCTCTCCCTCTTCCAGAACATCCGCCGGCGGCGCTAGGTCCACATTCATCACACCTGGAGGGTTCGCGGTGTTAGAGTTGGATCTGAGCTTGTTGAGCCGGCAACTTAGGCTAAGCGCCACGGCTGCGTTTGAGTGGTACCGTCCTTCCAGGGACCGATTGGCGGCGAAGAAGTAGTGGGCCAAAAGGACTTCGGCCTGGATGCTGTAGATGATATTGTAGCGTGGCGCCCGCACCAAAGCAGCGGACACAGACTGTACCGCGCGCTGGAGGAAAACAGGCTCATGCGCAAGCATAGACGCGTTCCCCGAGAAATGCACGCCCCACAGGTACACCGCATTGAGGAGAGCGGGGGACAGGCGCGCCTGGCAGTGTTCAGCTGTGGGGACTAGCGCGTACTCGCGGAAACGGCCATGATGGAGGAAGAACCCAACCTGGTCTGCATGCGGGAGGAAGAATCCGACCCTGATGAAAATGAGCGAAGAGCGGCAATTTCAAAAGATCAGGCGTCTGCTTACAACATCTGTACTACATCAGGAGAAGGTTCTGAGGTAGCATCGAGGGCTGTCACGGGAGTAGCCTGCGGTATTAGATATGCTGTGTTCTGAGCGGATGGCCCCGCAGCCGCAGTAGAACCAGAGGCTACCGTTGGCAACTGGACTGTGCACGAAGTCAAACTCGAAGGTCAGTACGCGCTGTACATAAGCATCAAGGCATACTCACGAGCAAGACCCGGCTGAGTCGTTGCTGTACGAGGGTCGTGCAGGGTTACAGAAGGTGCGACGGAGTCGGGATGCTCGAGCTCGTAGATGCGTGCTTCGAGACGAGCGATGTTGTCTTCGAGCAGTTGAGTAGGACTTCTGGTTGCACCGTCGGTGTACTCGCAGTCGTACTCTCGCTGAGTGCGAATGCAGGGTCCGCAAACTGGCCTCACGCCATCGCATTTCTGAGAGAGGTGTCAACAGAACGCGTTGCACAAGAAAGCAGGACAACACGTACGAACTTGCGACGACGACAGTTCAGACACGCTGAACCTCGCGGCGCCCTGCCCGAGCCCGTTGTGGGGGTGGGGTTAGATCCTTGAGCAGACATTGTTGAGTGTTACGAAAAAGAGGCGAATAAGAGGGGACGCGTATTACTCGACGCAGATCTGTCACTCCAACTGTGCCGCCATGGTGCCTTTCTTATACCCACTACGTGCGGGAAGGTTACGGGTCTGTCGGTGGGTGTAATCTACACGAGATCGAAAATGTCGGAGCGGCGCCCTTCCGGAACAAGGGGAGACGACTGTGACTTGAGTCAAGCCATTGCCTGAACCGAACCTGGAGGACGCCCGCGCCAACCTGAGGGAGCGCCCCGCGGTTCGTCGGCTCTCGGCGAGGAGGATGCAACCATATGAACATGACGAAAACGTGGCAGCGATGCATGATGAATTCCAGGTCCTGTACCGTGGCGTCGTCGCGCGGGCGCGGTACGGTACAGCCCGCCTTGGCCAATCCGCGTTCCTGCTCGACCGCGCGCCCATCTCAGATCCACTCCGGGCTGCCCTCGGGATCTTGTTTGCGCCTGTTTCCCAACGCCCTCCAGCCACCCGCCTTTGGTCATCCCGACTCCGGCCCGCCCCGTCCGCGCGCACACAGAAGGCAAGCCCGGGCCAGCCACTTGCTACCGCGCGCGCAACCCCCTGCCGCCGTGTCGCGTCGTGGCGACGCCACTAGCCCAGGGCATCCTCTGATTGGAACACTAAGCATTTGGGGCATATCGAACGTCCACCGGAGATGCCGATGCAGAATTCCGAATGGCCCCTGCGTTTCCCCCCGATCCCGCCTCGACCGTCCACTGTCCATGAAACAGACCACAGCCACCTTCGTCATCGTGAACCCCCTCCTGTATGGTCCAGCAGCGCGCGCCAGTGATCGACGAGGTGAAGGCTCGCTTTCAGCCCGCTTATTCAAATGGCCCGTTCGCTTGCCCCCACCAGCTCGTCGTGATGATCCGTCAACCACGGGCAAGGGCCCGACGCGATCATGCCCCTTGCTGACGCGTATGCACCTATATGCACGAGCGAGTTGGCAAACGTTGGCACAAGACAACAAGCATGCGATCACCGCACGGCAATTGAGCGCGGAACGACGAGCCAGGTGGCACACGTTCACCTGGACAATTCGGGAAAGCACTGGCCAAGGTTCTGCTCACCTTTCTCATGCGTCTATGCTCCAAAACACCTGTGCAGCCACGCGGGCATTCAGTTGCAACGATGAACGCAAAGAGTTTGAGCACGATTCTAGCGTGTTGACCTCGTCGTCTCGCCTCACGGCTCGCTGATGAATTTTCCTGAGTCATGCTATGCATCCAGACGCAAATAATTAGAAGACGAAGCACATTGCTGACAAGAAGCGGGCGAAGCAGATGGTGGTCCTCAGTCAGGATCAAGCCGTGTAGCGTGACCGGCGTCTGGGAGAAAGTCTGGAGGCGGGGTTGGCCGTTTGCGAGCTGGGTTCTCTGCCAAGAGCCTCCCGATGATCTCGGTCGATCAGCCTCCGATGCGTCACTGTGGCTGAACTCCTTCTCAAAGGCTGAGGCCATTAATATTATCGTCTATACGTCATGTATGTCGAGCTCGTTTGCGGTGAAGAGTAAATGGAATGTATTGAGCTGAATCCATATCCTCATGCTCCGAGGGTGAAACAACGCACATCCGCGAAACTGTTCGCTGCTCACGGAACCGAAGCGTCAGTTCGGGATGTTACGGGACACAAAGTCAACGTGCGGCTCTCCGCTATGAATTCCAGGACGCAGTGCCTCAACTGACGTGAGTCAATTCTTGACGTACATACCTACGCAAACGATGTCCTGGCCGCGGCTAGACGGCTGCAGTCGTCTGCAAGCACCCAGTACCCAGTCTGAGTAGCTCCTTCGTCGGGCCCGCCGAGGGTACCCAGGATTGGTAACCCACCCGGACTGTATCCCCATATGTCTGGGTCTCCTCGGGCCTCATAATTTTTGGAGACGGGATGCGTACCATGAGACCCCTCGCACCATTCATGGGTATGCTTTTGCGTCGGCATTGAGCGCCTACGCCGACCGAATGCACCGAAATGCGTTCGGGCGACTTGAAAGCCGGGGACAAGACATCTTAGTTTGCCGTAGAGATTGACCGGCGGAAGTGCGCTGCGGATTCAGGATGAGGAGCGATGCGAGCCTCGCACTCATCACGTCCAACGACTGACGGGCTCCAAGTCCTGGGCATGTGGATCTGTAACTGCACTGAGGCTGTGGAGTACCACAAGCGTTCGCTTGAAGCGCTGCACAAGACTTGACTCGAGAATCACTAGAAACTGAAAAACTTGGGAGTGCGAGGGAGAACAGATGTCTGTGCATCAGTCAGCGGTACTGTGAGGGTGAGGTGGTAGGGACGTACTCAGACTCTTGTATCAAGAGGACAAGGACGATATACTGTCAACTTATGACATTGGTACACTGCTCCCGGTTATTTGTTCGCAGGCAGAGCGTCATTCTGTGTCAGCAATAGTTCGACACTGAGTGAGTGACAATGGCAGATGGCCTGTATCAGGGATGAGATCGCCAGCGCGAATTGAAGGTGTCGCCACAGTCTATAGACATTGGACTGAATGAACCTCAGGTCCGGTCGAGTAAAGCTAAAGGCAAAGGCGAGTCAGAGGGATGACAAGCACAGCTATAGTGGTGCAAAATGACCGGGATTACAGTCTGAGTGAATGGAGGGCATTGGTCATGGCATGAGTCGAGGCCAAAGCGCCGTGGCCATGGGACAGGAATACATCGGCGCTTGTAGGCCAAGTACAGAGGCCGCGGCGCCCGCAAATGCGTGCGGCTGTGCCTTCTGTACACTTGCATAGCTCGGCGAAAGCCTGAGGCTTGTGACAGCTGTGAAGGCGTACACATAAGCTCCGTTCCAAGGCCAAACGCTGTTGGTGTTGACTAGGCAGTGTCGATAAGTGACATTAGACGAGGAGAAGGTGGATAATCTGTACTTTTACATACCGCGCTGTGCCACCGAGTGGCGAGATGGCGATGTGCGGTTGTCACTGGGGCTCTATCTGAACCACGGCGATTTCAAGTGGAAGAGATCATCGAAGCTGACACGTTGATCGTGAAACGCTTCGCCTCCGCAACTGCAAGCCTGATCGCAGTCGTCGTGAGGAGAATCTCGCGTGTTGCTATTGTTGGCTAATGCTGGTGGCTATTGGTGGGCGAGTGTCTGGGTGGTGGAATGTGCAATCCACGTTGACAGGCCGCCTTGACAGTCGACCCTACACTTTGGAAATCATGCTGTATATTTCCAATTGACCTACCTAGATTTGTACGTTTCTTTGCCTCGCACGGAGCCGATGCTCAGCGAAGACAGCAATAGATGGAATCGGCAGAGGAAGACAGCCTTAGACAGGAGAGCTAAGGCAAAGCTGAGGAGGAGGGATACGTAACGGAGCGCCCGCGGAGGTGCCACGTGCACCGCCACAAATGGCAATACAGCCACCGCCGGGGTGGGTGCCGGGCTCAAATGTTGACGTTGAGAAGCAGCCATCTCCTAATTGGAGGCTGTTCTCCGTGCTTTCTCAGGTTTGCTTCGTCTTCGGCCCATCACTCACGGGCTCCGATGTATATAAGACTGTATCCTTCTAGCCATGTCTCTCACTACGCTCCGTACTACTAGTACGCGCTCACGCCTAACGCCCGTTCGCATGTCCGACCATCCGCTTGCCACTCCTCTGGACCTCGCCACTTCCACGCCCACCGAGTTCACCATCGATGCTGACGACCAGAATGACCTCGTCTTCCACGTACCCAAGGCGCGCAAGAACATCCCGCGGTTCCCGCAGGAGCTGGTGGACGCCATCATCGACTGCCTGCAAGACGACAGGGAGAGCCTGCTCGCATGCGCTTTGACCTCTCAGTCATGGCGTCCTCGCAGCCAGACACACATCCATCGCGCGCTCAAGGTGACGTCCAAATGGCACTGCAGTAAAGCGGAAATGAACTACGGTGACCCGTTCCTGGCGTCGTGTATCCGGGAGCTTCATATCCAGGACCTGTCACTCAAGCAGCCGGGCGACCGGGCGTACTGGGTCGACCATTGCGTTCCCGCGATGCTTTCGAAGCTCAATCGGTTTCACTCCCTCGCGATTGACTCGGTCATCATACAGAACGGACACGACATCCAATGGGGAAGCTACCCTGACCCTCTGTTCCCCAACGTGACGAAGCTGACCATCCGCCGGCTATGCTTCCACGTCGGCGCCGAGTTTGCACTCTTCATGCGCCACTTTCCGCGACTCACTTCTTTGACTCTCAAAGACTTCACCATCACCTACAGGATATCTGACGCGGCGGCCCCTGGCCCACGACCACCGCTCCGTAATCTCGAAATTTACAGCAGCTCTGGCCAGGAGTTCTTCTTGAACTGGTTCCTCCACCAGCCCTCAGAGGCCATCCTCCTAGAAATGTTCGTCTACTCGATCGAGCGCTGGCAGGTCCGTGCGCCTAAACCTTCTCTCATGGCGCTTGGAGCGTCGGTCAAGGATCTGACCATTGTGTTCGCATTCTCGTCCCCTCATTATCTGTTGACGGGTACGTAACGCCACAACCATACTTCATTGTGTCTAATTAAAAGTGCAACGAACGCAGGAGACCCGCTTCTGCCACACCTCTCCTCCCTGCGCAACCTGACATTCGACCATACCACCCTCTTCGGCACGCTGTACGGCCCGCCCTCTGTCCCTGTTCTACTCAAGGAGATCTCTGCGACCCAGATCAGCACTGTTCGTTTTCGCTTCGTGTTGGACAACCAGTACGCGCCGCTCGAGCAGAGCGTCGAGAAGCTGGAGCGCATCAAGCTCGGACACACTGACGGCCTCCTGCGTGATTCTCAGCCGTTCCAGAGTCTCCAAGGTGTACTGGTGCAGATACGCTCCCGCGACTGGGCCAGGCTGAGGAGACTGCCGTCCGCAGACCAGTGGATCGCAGCGGATATCGAGCAGAGGCGGGTCTTCTCCGATACACTCAGTGACTTGCCGCAGGGAATCATCGAGGATTCTCCGCCATCGGCGCGCGATGCAGAGCGCGAGGAGGACAAGGACGTGGAGAGAGAGATCCGCGAGCATGGATCAAACCTGGAGTGGAATAACCTCAAGCGCGCTCGCGCGGACTACGAGAACACGCGGGAAACGTGGCACAAGGCCATGAGCGTCGTCGAAAAGGCGCTGCCGACGATGGCGGCCAGCAGGATACTCAGGATCGAGCCTTTAGAAGATGCCTTGCCTGAGCGAACGTCTAGTAGCTGGTCGAGGCACCATCATCCCCACCTGTACGAGCATTCTCATTATGCCCTGTACCAGTAAGTGGCACATTGGTTCGTGCATACGAGTAAACGCTGATCAGTAGTGCTTCGTCAGTCTACCTTGATACAACATCCCTTTCCACTTCATCGCCACAGACTGTCATTCTGAGTCTCGATAGGGTTTCCCTATTATACGCATCGCCGTAAAGCCAACATCCCTCTTTTGCAATCATGATTCCATCTGTCTGTAACTTTATGTGGTTTCCCCTCAGACGTCATACTATAACATTTCTGTCTCGTTGGATCGATATGGCCAGTGGACTTGCATAGACGAATAGGCCTATCTTAACTGTAGCAGCATGTATTCGTAATGAGCAGGATATGGAGTACCAATGTATTTGACGTGCATAGACACCACTTAGTCGCGGTTTCAATTCAGTCGCTGTCCATTGATACCCGCACGGGCGACTGATCACTGTGATGTCTTGACGTAGTGGCCTGCACCTGCCTTCGAACATCATAAAATTCAGGTGGCACAGGAGCGTGGATAGCTGGTAGTCAGCCTGAGTGGGCCGACGATCATGGAAAACGAACCATCAGAGCCTCACACTGACCATGCAAACCAACAAAGCCTCGAAAACTACATCGTCTTCTTATCTGCCTCATCATAGGATTGTCACAGTTCCGACGCCGGCGGCTACCACAAAGGCGCTGCGTTTGACCTTTCCCGGGACGGGCCCTGGCCCAAAGTTAGATGCCCCACATACCGATTCGACAACGATTCATGCAGGTACTATCAGGCCGCTGGTATTCAGTACTCAACACCCGTGAACCTTCGGCTTCAACTTTCAACATTTCCTCAATGGGGCCCGTGGCTGCCGCTACGTCTCGCAATCAGCTTCAACAGCCCAGTGAGTGAGGGGCGCACACATGGCACGCAGTGTTTCAATCTGCTCAGTGCTTGAGTTACATAACGTACTGTGCTCCAGAGATTTGAGAGTAAACGGCTCAGCGTCGTCGTAGCGGTAAGTACTAAGAACCTAGATGCTCCGTGTTCTTCCAATTGCATAGCTGGCTTCGCGGGTGGTCTCGTAGCGCTCGTCACGAGATCCGGATCGTACCAAGCGTACATACGCTGCGTACTAGCGGCGGTTGTCCGTGTCATCGATCGCTACCACATACCCTAAGCCGAAGGACCGACGTAGCAATGTTTAGCTGTGTAATGCTGCCAACTTTGCAGAAGATGTCCGCGGACTAGAGGAGACCGGCAACTGACGAATTGGGGCCGCCGGAACACTCGGACGCTACTCCCGACTGATCAGGTTCGGGCTTGATCTGGACGTGCATCCGAATTGTCGCTGGCAACTGGAAATACCAGGGGGTAGGGCCCTACTAGTACACGCAGCACCCAAGATCACAGTGCGGCAATAGACAAGCAGGGAAAGTCGGTCAAAGGTAATAGAAGCAAGACATACAAACCACATCGAAGATACAAAACTCGCACTAATGAGCACTTGCCACAGCCATGTATGCCTGTCAGGCGGACCATGCCAAATACGCATCCGGTATGAAAACCTCGCTGTTATCCAATCGCACGTAACAAGCCGATGAAATATTCCCCGCAGTCCAGGGCCAACGCCGCGAGCCCCTCGTCCGCTCTGCACGCTTCGATGAAGGGCTCGCGATCGCGCAGAGGATCAAGGTCACGGTCGCGCGGGAGGTTCGTGCGTTCCCTAAGGATGCGCAACTTCGTGCATACGGCCTTGTGCGGGAGTAGCGTGTGCTTCCAGGCCCGCGCCAAGCACAGACGAGAGCAATAGCGCAAAACGTCACAGCCTGAGCACCGGGCGAACGCACGGCCGGCGGTAGCGAACTCTTCGCGACACTCTGGCGCGCAGCAGTGCCGCACCACAGATGCCCAGCAAAACCCGGCGAAGGCGTTCACAGGATCAGAGTAGCGCGCTTCCGCCTCGGTGTTCACTGCAAGGATCGCAGGGTGATAGACTGTGGTGTCATCTCGTGTCTTGTGACGGTAGAGAAACGCTCCGATGAGGCTGAAGTCCACGGTGAACTGGTCGATGATCACATCACGGAAGAGATCTGTACCGGTATCCTCGCTGAAAAACGATAGGCAACCGAGGATGGTATCGCAGGCTAAGAGGAGACCACAGTCGCCGACTTGATTTGTACGTGCACTTTTGTATGATGACACAGTCATGCACTGGGAGACGAAGAGGTCAATGTCCAAGGGATTGATTTTCCCGGGGTCTATGATAGCACGGCAGAACTCCAGTATGCGGAAGAGGGTGCACATCCATTCGCGTTGAATGACGTGGTCTATCGACTCCCCAAGTGTTTTCATGCGGTCATGGCAGAGTTCTGCAGCAAGGAGGGCGATCCTGCTTGGCCACACAGGCTGGAACTGGAGGAGAGGATGGATGATGGATCGACCGCAGATCGCGATGAGTGTGGCGGCAAGCCCGAGGGCCTCCTGGAATCTCTCTTGACGACACAGGTGGAACGACGCGGCGTATCCTTTCATCGATTCCTCGATACCGCGGGGAAGAAGTAGGCTGGCGTCCGTGGGCCAGAGAGGACTCCCAGCATGCAGATTCCTGCGATGTTTCGTGATGCCACCTAGAGCGACAGTGCCTCCTACTGTCCTTGTTTGTATTGTACTGTGAAGCACGCCGCTGAGGTGACGGAGGAGGGCTTCGGTGAAGTCCCGGAGGGTGAATTGGCGAGCGACCTCGAACGCGTGTAACCATTGCAACAACTCGGCCGTGTTTTCGTCCGAAGCAGACGGGCATGCGCACGTACTGAGAAGGGCATCGAGATCGTCTTCTTCCTTTGCCGAGCGAACCAGGGACAAGAACGCAACGGACGCATCCAGGCACTCCGGGTGCAGCCTGCGGAGACCCTCGTAGTTTTCGTTGTCAGGTGTGGTATATCGTTCGTAGAGTGCATAGGGATCGTCTCTGTTCCTGCCATCAAAAAGATGCAGACATCCGCAGAGAACCCTGGCACAATGTTTCGGTCGCGCCGGGTCTTGCAAGGATGAGGCGAAGAGCAGGGCAACGTCGCCAGCGTCCGCTGATAGTGACATGGTCGTGCTGCGTATTTCCGATTGAGCCACAGGACTAGTCATGCGTCGTAATGAAACGAATAATATACATACCAGGCGTGAAGTGAACGAGGCAACCAAGTGGATTGCGCCCGCGGCAGCGAGTTGTTGCTGATAAGTATGCGGCAGTATGTAATAGTACTTGCGCACGATGCGCGTGCCATCATCCCTGATTCTCGCCGCCGTACGCGCGCGCTCCGGCGGCGTGCGCAGCAACGAGCCAAAGTCGTATAGGTGTCTGTGCATCTTATAGCTAGGTCCGTACGAGTTGCGTGACTGAAGTACTGACTAGTACTGACTCCTTAAGCTTGGCGTTACCAGATCCCACCGTGACAGTACTTAGATTTGCGACAGACGCGCTGAGTTGAACAGTCGCACTGAATCGAGATCGATCATGACAGGGTAATTCAGGGTAATTCAGACATGTCGGTCATGCTATTTTGCGAGTACCTTGCAATTGTGATGCACATACCAGGCACATACATCGCGGGAGGTTCGAACTGGCAAGAATGCGGTGAGTGGACCGATCAGGGTTGTTTGTAAATCCCTTTTATTGTCGCGTGAGGGCGAAGCCCTGGCCCCTATGTAGACATGATCGCTCGGGGTACTGTACTAGTATAGTAAGTCAAGACGTGGGGTCGACTGGGACATTGACTCAGTGTACCTCCGAGGAGGACACTTTGCCGGGATGATGGAGCACGTTGGCGACGTAGATGCTAGGTCGGGTAGAATGCGTACGTCGGGTACACGAGCAGCTCGCGGAACATCGTGACGTTGAGATGTCCCGAGATCGTCCATTCGTGTCTGCCAGCAGGACACCAGCAGGGGTGATACCCTACGTTCAAAGGAAGCTCGCCGGAGCTCAGCGCTGATTTCGACGCTACAGACTCTACAGAATCAGTGACATGGTGAAAGTGTATGTCTATTGTGTGTCATGATGTTACAATGCTGACGCCCGTTTACCGTCCTCTCGTCTTCAATATCGTGACTCCATCAGGACCCACCATGAAGTGCGAAGTCATTCAGCGGAACTGCCCCCAACTCGGCTTACAAACAGTTCTTCTCGGCTGTTTCTTGGCACAGGCACCAATGACTTCAGGTACAGGTGCTCATCCTCTCTTCAATCATCCGCGCTACTTCGTGGAAGTACGTCGTGATCTCGTCGAGGTATGCATCGCCATTCTGGTCTGGTGCGTTGCCCGCTGGGACGTCCAGAGTGAACGATGGGGCGTAGAGCGGAAACGCAGCGTGGTCAGGGATGTCGGCATCCCGAGCTAAAGGACGTCGGAGCTGTTCGAGCCAATGATGAACGAGACCCCGTGTCCGCAGACAGTAGGGCTTACTCACCGCTATCGAAGTCAAGTATGTCCATGCACGGGCAGCGTTAGGATGGTTGTACCCACCTAATGGAGACGTCAGCCTAGCCGGGGATCGAGCGAATGTCTACACTGACCGCCACCGAGCATGAGAACTTTACAGCCCCATTGATTGCAGATCCGGTCCACACACCATCCCAGGCTCCCCTCGCCGTCGTTCAGTGACCAGTTCCATATTGCATGTGAGTCACCTGCGAGACCGTCGACGCCGCACTGGACAATTAGGACCTCCGGCCGAAATGCTTCCTTGACGCGCTCGACGGAAGGCCATATGCGAGCGAACGTTGCGTCCGTAGCCCCACGATCGAGCGGCATCGAAAGCGTGAACGGATCGAAGCGGTCCGCAGACGGGTCCCGCAACGTTGCGAGATACGAATGAGGGAAGAAACCCGGAGTGCTGTGGTGTATCGACAGAGTCAAGATCTGTGGCCCCAGAGCAGTCGCTGAGGAGTCGAGGAATGCCTCAGATACTGCGTCAGAGAAGTGGAGGTCCAGGTCGAGGTACATAACGCGAGGACGTCGGACGGACGAGTCTGGGCAACGGTGCATGCGTTTGAGAGTGAGCAGAGCGAGGATACAGTCAGCAACGTAGCAGAACCCGGATGCTTCTGACTTGCGAGCGTGATGCCTGTGTTGTTACATAGGCATAGATCTGTTCAGTGTGATGTGAACGTATATACCTGCCGCCGTCCCAGCATATCGCAACGTCAGCACGATCCTCTCGGAGAGCGGTGGCAGCTATGCGACAAGTTGACTCTCATGAAGCGCGTATGATTGAAGGGTAGACTTGCCTGTCAGAGTGCCTCCTGCAACGAGGCGAACGTAGTCACTCAGTCCAACGAAGGTCGGACAGTCCTGTGGCAGATACGACGCTCAATTCACAAAGATACGATTGAGGTGTGAGAGCGCACTTCTTCGAGACCAAACTCCGCACAGTTCGTATCATCAGCTGCGCTCGCATGAGCAGGATTCAGAACAAACTGTAGATAGTCCTGAGTATGATATGCCCCGAGCTCTTTGTCATCAGCAAGAACAGGTCTGAGGACTTGTAAATGAGTGTTATCTCGACAATTCGCAGGGTTGAGTAGGCCAGAAGCTTTCACGAGTGCATGAACCAGCAGAGAACGGTTCTTGTTTGACGGAAGCAGAGAAGATGCCTACTAAGTTCTGAGCTCGCGAGACGTGCCAGTGGCGTTCGATGTGACTGACCTTGACGAGCTCATTAGACACAATGTAACATACCCGCCGCACGTCTTCAGACGACATTTTATGTAAGAATTGAGTAGCGAGAAAGCTGCCGACGCGTCCGGATGGCGAAGAGGAGGAGCAACGCGCGAGAGTGAACGGGAGCAAGGCGGACGCGTCGCGTCGTGTCACGCACGTAGAAGAGCGTGTCACGCGCGCTGGTTGTCACACCCGGTCTCTGCTCTTGCCTTTCTTCGCTGGACGTGTGCAAGGCCGGTACGTTCCCTGCGCCTGCTCCCTGATCAGCTCCGACTGACTGTAGTAAAGGTCACAAGGATGGTCCTGCCCCACTACCTCTGCTCGAGCGTCCAAAACGCCTTCCGCGCAAGGCACGCCCGCGTCGCCGTCGACCACACCCGTCAGAACCTCGGCATCCTCTCCATCCTCCTCCGCTCTGGCTTCATCACCTCCATCACTCGCGGCACAATTTCTGAGCCCTCACCTGAAGCCTTCCGCGAGGTGGGCGATGCTCAGCGGCGGATTTGGGTCGAGCTCAAGTACCGCGATGACGCGCCAGTCCTCACGAACATGGAGCTCGTCAGCAAGCCCAGTAAGGGCATCTCCCTGGATGCGTCGGAGGTACGAAGGATATGTTCAGGACGGAGGGCACAGAACGTCAAGCCGCTGAGGATGGGCGAGGTGGCTGTCATTCGGACGAGAAACCCAGAGTACGAATGGGTCGAGGCGAGGGAGGCCATGCAGCTGCAGCTTGGCGGAGAGATCGTTTGCAGGGCACGATAAACCGAATGGATGGGTACACATACTTGTAAAGTGAGTCATGCAGCGACAGGACCCATCTTGACCGTTCGCTAAGTCTTTTTGTAGTTATTGCTCTGCGGTCGCGCTAATTTGGTATCCTTGCACACTCCCGCCTCTGAGCCTGAATTTGAGATAGCCGTGCTGCTATTATGCAAAAAAGGGGATCATGGTCGTAATCTGCCTGGTATATACTGGAGAATGCTGCTGATGTACAATGCCTTGGTATCCAACATGCGGTATAGTACAATGGTCCACCTCCAGCGCCCAGCTATCCAACATGCCTACTTCTGCGCGACTGTTTGATAGTCCCAGGCCTCTCCATCGCCACCTTCAATGACCGTATTGTTTGTACAATATCGGCTGTCAATTGACTCAGAGGGGATATTGACGTTACAGCAGGAGTGCACCTACCAGCCAGCTTGGCGCTCTCCGCCTCGAAGTCGTAGCGTTTATTCCTCTCAGCGTTGCCCCGGACGACCAGTTTGAACGTGGAGCTATTCTTACTCGACTGTTGACATGCAACGACGCTCTTGAGGTGGTAGGAGGATGTCTTGCCGCTCTCGAAGACGTGCTTCGCCTTGTTCGACATGGGTATAATCTACGAAGGATGCCATGAGTAAGAAGTACATGGCGAATATCAACACAATTTCGTACGTGAAGATAGCCGCCATCTATAGCGAGCAACCGTGCACTGCGCGTGACTAGCATAGGGAGCTTGCGGTACACGGTATATTTCTGGTGAGAGTAATTCAGCGAGCTGCTCCGGCTATGAAATCCAGTGCTACTGTACCTTGTACGCATTGGTCGGGTCGAATATCGAGTTGAACGGCGTGGTATCGATGACTTCCGACTGCCGTTTGAGTATAGACGCTACCACCACCACCACCAATCAGCCTCACAGCTCTCTCCGAATCGAAAAAAACACGCACCATTGGGATCCGTCGTCCGCCCCGTGCCGGTGCTCATCTCGACGCCATAGTTCTGGAGCATGCTCCGCTTCATGAGGATGAGGTCGCGCTTGCCCTGCAGACTCTTCACCGTGCGGTCGAGCGGGATGTACACTTTCATCGCGCCATGGTCGAGCACGAGCGCGTAATCCTTCGGGTTGCTCAGCTTGCGTTTCTGGCACACCGCCTCGAGCACCTCCGCCATGTACATCCCCCCAGACCTGCGTGGCATGTCAGTTGTTGGCATGTGCGCGTGAGAGATGGAAGTATACGCACGCTTGGATGGTTGTCGAGACGTGCCCGGCGTCGGCTGTGTCCGAGATTCTGATACGCAAGAATTGCGGCGGGCCGTGGCTCGTCGAAGGGCCAAGCGAACTGGAGAACATCCCCAGTGAGGAAGCAAGTGAGCTCAGGCCCGCGCTAGTCCCAAGCAGCGTCTCTGTTGGTAATGCCAGGGCATTCGCTGCGCCAATGTTGTTGAGCAGGCCCACGGATTTCTTCTTTTTAATGACAATGCGAGATGCGCGCCGCTGGATCTTGGACTCGAGCACCTTGTTCTGTTGCACTGCAGGATCCCGCAAGGGTGAGCAGAAGATCAGGGAGGTGATAGAGTAGGGGACACCGACCTTGTGCTGCAGTCGCTTCCAGGACAGCGTACGCATCGAAGTTGAACTTCGATATCCTACCAGTGCGATCCGGTGCTGTACGGACAGAGTCAACGATGAGCCATACATGTCCGCTACAGAATACAAAGACATACGAGGGAAGTCCTCGTCCACCTCTCCATCATCCTCCGCGATCCTCAGAATCCATCCCACCGCCGAACACCTACTCTCCCACTTGGGATCTTCCTCTCCTTGCAGCCCCTCGTCGATCTTGGGTTGCCATCCTTCCTCCCAATAGCTCCACAACGCGAAGCCCAGCACCTCCTCCACCGTCGCATCCTTCCGCACCTTCACCTTCAGCGGCTTGCCTGCCGGGTCGCGCACATGCGGGAAGTACACATTCACCACCATTGTATCAGAGTCCGAGCGCGCGGCGATTGCGCTGTAGAGCTCCGTGAACGGATTCGTCGACGAAGAGCTCGACGTATTCGCGAGCATCGCGCTCAGCGAAGACTTGCCTGGGCGCACGGGGGGGACGGGGCGGCGCGCAAAGGGGTTCTCGCTCGTCGCGCTCGAGGGGCCCGAGCCCGCGATCGACGTACGCTTCGCAGGCGGGGAGAGTAGGTCTGGCGGCTTCGCCTTGTCTGCCTTGGGTGCGGGAATGACCATGTCGAAGCCGAGCTCGATGGGCGCGGACTCCTCCGGCCGCTCGGGCAGCGCCTCCACGGAGGTCTCCTCGCTGTGCCGGCCCTCCCGCACGGGGCTGAGTCGGCTACGCGTACGCGTGCTGCTGCCTTGAGGGAAGGAGGAGCCCACCATGGAGGACGCTTCGGAGGTGGACATGACGGAGTTGGTGCCAGACATGATGGAGACGCCGTCGCTGTCGGTGTGCATGTCGAGGTCTCCGCTGAGGCCGCGGCTGGCTGTAAAGTCACTGCGCGATGGGTTAGCAACGTGTATGTGCGCTAGGAAGAATATGGGACTTACGGGTCGAAGTCATCGCCATCCATGTCGATCGCATCGTCCACCTCCGGCACCATGTCAAACTCGTCCTCATCCTCATCTTCCGGTATGTCCTCGTCCACATCCTCCTCAGACTCGGACTCAGACGACGACAGCTCCGGGTTGAGATAGTGGTTTGGCGGGGGTGGCCGGATCGCCGCAGGCGGTGGCTGCGCCCTCGCGAGCATCCTCAGCTTCCGTCTCGCCTCCATCTCGGCCGCGCCCTTGAACCGAGGATGAAACTCGGGTGATAAGTTCTTATGAGGCTCCTTCTGGTCCTCTGCTCCAGCAGTCGCGTCCGAGGTAGGCACAGACCCACCATTCACAGCGCCGTCCAACGCCTCCGCGCCGCCCTTCGTCGGGGACGCCTCCTGCGCCTCCATCGCGTTCTTCTCGCCAGGCGGCACGCTCGGGCCCACCTCCGTCGCCGAGCGTATCGAGAACCTATACGAACTCTTCCCGACCGACGAACGCTTCCCAGTCACCCGCAGGCCCATCGCGCCTACCCTGCTCGGGCCCATGATCGTCGTGGTGTACTTCAAGCCCGTCGCGCCGAGCCCGCGGCCGCCGGGCCGGGAGGTGCCTTCGTCGTCGCTCGGGGGAGGGCTGGAGGGCATGGCGAGCTCTGGCCATTTCTCGACGTCAGTGAGGCCCGCGGCGAAGATGTAGGGGTTCGTGTCGTAGGAGTGATCGAGCGAGACGAGGCGGGGACCGTAGGGGTCGTCGACATTGCGCAGATAGTTCAGACGCAGTGAGTGTATGAGATAGCTGTGCGATGACACTGTGAATACGCAGCCGTTCGCGGAAACAAAGGGTGGACGCACTCTGGGTCGCTGATGAGCGACATGCTCCAAGTCTGCGGACTGCTGCGTCCCCTTCACGGCCAGAGTAGTGAGTGACAGTCGCAGCAGCAGTCGATGGCTTGTTCAGTCAGACACAATATGTACAGCGCTCAGGTTGTAGCGGCGGAGGAGGAATTCGAAGGCTGAGATGAGCCACCGGCGCACGAACCGGCACTGTGTACGTAGGCGCTCCGGTCCCGATCAGGTTCACCGCCAGATTCGATCGGTACCATCCCCGCTTCTGGAAACTCCAGTCATTCACGCCGGACCAGTGCCTACTTGGTGATCGAGCATCCTCTTCATGCCGTTCAACTGTGACACCACCCAGACATCAGTCGAGAAAGTGGTGAAGTCTTATATGTCGCATATGTAAAGTATCGCGCCCTACAAAAAGTCCAGCCCGATGCCCACTTGTATCCCCTTCCTTACACCGTCGCTCTTGCTCGCCACCAGCGGCACCCCGAAGTTGACCTCTACCCGCACCGCATCGAGTTTGTAAACGAGTCCGACACCTGCGCCGACTGACGGCTTGCTGATGCTCTCGCGCACGTTGTCGATGAGGCTTTGGGCTGCGATTCGTGCGTTAGGCGAGCGGGGCACACGAGCGTCTGAGGAAGACGTACCTTTGTCAATGGAATCTAACCGACCAAGGTTCACGAAGCCGTGGAGCTTGACAGGCCATTGCGGCTTCTTCGGAATGTCACTAATGACGCTCAGACCCGCTGCCCAGTACAGATCCCCTCCAAGTGAGTCGGCTGACATGCACCCGTGAGCTCAAAAACATTGAAGGCGCAGGGATAACTGCAACATACGTCCATCCTGCGGGCCCAGCCCGTTCGCGCGGAACATCCGCACGCTCATCGGCCCACCCAGCTGGAACCTATCCGAGAGCGGCACCTTCCGCCCGTCCAAGCCCCAGAGGAACCCACTCCTTGCCGCCACAGACAGAGTCTAGCCAGCAGTCAGCGCCACGAAGGAATTCGCACTGAAACTCGACTCACCACACCGGGTACGAGTCTTCGTGCGAGTTGCGTCGCGCCCTCTGTCTTGTAGAAGCTCGCGTCGCCGCCGAGCCCCGCGAGCTCGTGCGAGACCTTGACGTAGGACCCCCGCGTACCAAGCAGCGCGTCGTCCCGGGTGTCGCGCATGTAGGTATGCGATAGGGCAGACTTCATTGACGGTCCCGCTGCCTCGCGTATGCTGTTCCCGACGATTTAAGCTCCCTTGCAAAGCAGATGTGGATAGACAAGACGTACCTGATCGACGCTGTCGGCGCGAGGTTGCCTATGTGCCGTAGCACGCCCTCATACGCAAACTCATGTGTCCCTTTCCGTAATGTGCCTGTCTACCATGCAAGTGCGCGACGAACACCTCCTGTGAGACAGCCCGCCCCAATGTGCAGCAGAACAAGCTAACCTAGCTCACCCTGACAGCAGCCCGCAGGCCCCGGACGCCTTCAAACGAGCTCGCGAAGCTCGTATTGTCCCGCTCGTGCCCAAAGACCGAAATCTCCCCACGTGTGTTCAGGTCGGGATTTGGAGAGACCGAAGAAGCATACGGGAGGTAGGGAAGGAGCGGCGCAGAGAGGGAAGCGGAGAACGCGACGCGGGTGGTGGTCGCAAACGAGAGGTTGGCCTGGAAGAGCTCCGCGCCGCCGAACGCGTTGCGCATGCGGCACGTCGCGCTCTACGCCCGATGCAACGTCAGTTCGCTTGCCAAGACTGTGTCTGCTTGGCTACGCACCGCACCACCCTCGTTGTTGCCAACCTGCGTACTGGTGTTCAGGTAGAATCTACCGCGTTCGCGCGTACGGAAGACAAGGTCGACGTCGCCCGGGCGCGCGAGGAAATCCCTGCTGCCCTCGAGGCGCGCCTCCACGGTCTGGAAGATGTCCGTCTCTTGCAGGAGCGAGCCGACGTGCCTTGCTTTGTGCAAGACATCCTCAAGCGTGCTCTGAGTATCGACGGAAGACGCGGAGAACGATGGTGAAACAGGCAGAGGCAGGAACGGCGTAACTAGAGCAGAGAGGAAGGATTGCCTCGTCCTGGCTGCGCCCTCGACGCGAATTGAAGCGAGACGGAGAGGCGTGCTCAAGTTGTTATTGACCTGGGCGACATTGTCAACCCATACGTATGAAGATGAGGTCTATATGACATACCATCTCCGCAAGGTGCAACACCGCGGACTCGTACTCGCCGCGGAGCTTCCGCGCAATCCTGTCTTCCTGCCATTTGCGCAGCTTTGCGAGGTCGGCCTCTGGAGGCTCCCTGTCGCGCGGGGCCGAAGTGTTGGCGAGCGGCGGCTTCAGCGGCGGCGCGTCGAGATGGGTGTCCGCGTCTGCCATCAGACCGCGTGGACTTTGCAGAAAATGAAAATGAAAGACGAGAGGGTGAGAGCGAGTTGCTGGCAGCGTCAACGGCGGGCGCCTGCTCCTCCGGATCGGACGGACATCGGAACGTGGGTGGGCGTCTATGCGTGTTTCTGAAGGAAGATCGCCACTCTGGGCGCCTGCAAGACGCCGCCAGTCGGGCCCGTGAAGAACTCAGACGACCTCTGATTTCCTGCGCATTCCATTCGTGACCGCGGTACTCGCGTCAGACACGGCCATTATGTCGCAGACGTACGCGCACTACTCCACGCCCTCCTCGCTTCCCTCCGACTACGCCCTCCTCTCCCGCTACGCCGCCGCCCACAACATGAGCCCAGAGAATGCGACCAACGCACGCGACGAGAACCCCGTGGACGAAGATAGCGCAATCGAAGAGAGCGAAGCCTCACCTGAACGACATCGAAACCCTGCGATGCCCGCGGAACAAGCTGGAAGACGGATGAGCTTCCCGACCTCCTATATCTCCTCCTTCAAGCCTACTGTGGGCCCGCTACCTGACAAGTCGGGCTACCGGTCGGGGCCAGCGAACTCCAGTGATGCCTCTGAGAACACACCTCTGCTCGCACCCCTCGTACCTCGTATCGAGGAAGATGTTGACAGAGCAGACCCCGCAGACGCGGAAAGCTACTCGACGATGTTGAAGGAAGAAGTCAGAATCTTGGCAAAATACACGTTGCCCGTCTTTGGGTGAGTGGTAGCAGTCTCGTACGGACCGTCCTCGCTGACGCGTTTTGGTCAGGACACACGTTCTCGAGTATTCTCTCGTCATTGCGTCCGTCGTGTCCATAGGACACTTATCCACTACCGCACTCGCCGCGTCGACGCTGGGATCCATGACTGCCAGCGTGACGGGGTTCAGCATCATCCAGGGCTTTACTAGCACCTTGGACACGATGCTCCCCGGCGCGTGGACCTCGTCCCAGCCACAGCTCGTAGGCCTCTGGGCACAGCGCATGGGTGCGTCTTCGTCGTACACTCTGCTTCTCTGGCGTTCCTTCTTCTGATCCTGGTCCCAGCTGTCGTCATGGCCGCTGTCCTAGTGGTACGTCATGACTCCTCGAAGCCACTATTTCCCAACGCTAACCTAAAACCCATCTCGGTAGCCTATCATCCTGATCTGGTTTAGCTCCGAGAGCATCCTGCTCTTCCTCAAACAAGAGCCCGAGGTAGCTCGCCTAGCCGCGACGTATCTCAAGTGCTCTGTCGTTGGGCTCCCCGCGTACGCCTTCAATTCTATCTCTCGGTACGTCCCTGCCCCGCGCATGTGCTGTCCTCGGCTCTTGACACGCCCGCTATCTATAGGCGGTATTTCCAGTCCCAAGGTAAGTTACGTCCCTCGATAGCGCTCATCTCGCATTAGCCATGAAGCGCCCCCCAGAAACGCTGATTTTACTCTCGCACAGGCCTGTTCACAGTGCCTACTCGGATTATCATGGTCATCGCGCCAATCAACGCAGTGCTCAACTACGTGCTTGGTATGTAATTTACCTGCTATCCTCTCAGCGCTTCACTGACCTGGAGAACAGTATGGGGTCCAGAGCCGGTGCGACTGGGGTTCATCGGTGCACCGATCGCGACGGCTGTCTCGTTCAACCTCATTTCGCTAGCGTCAATCGTGTACGGCATCTTCTTTGTTCCTCGCACGGCATGGCACCCCCTGAGCCGCCGGTGCTTCACGAGTCTCGGTGTGCTCGTCCATCTTGGGCTCGCGGGCGTTGGTGCGTTATCTCCTATTCATTCACTCCTTGATATTACTTCTGCCCTCCCTTCTGTGTTCAACTTACCCCGCACCGGTCTTACCTTATCTGTTGTGTGTCGCTTGATCGGCTTGCGGCATTCCAGCCATCCCTCTTTCCTCATTTGTCTTCGTGCCACTTTCAACGAGGTAGCGACTGACTGAGCATGAATTTACTCTACAGGTCAGACCGCGTCGGAATGGTGGTCCTGGGAGCTCGTCGGGCGTGAGTGGGTCGTCAGCCTCATCATCGCTCCCAAAGCTAACAGAGGATACGTCCCTGTCCAGTTGCGGCTAGTATGTACGTACCAGACCTACCGTTTCATCTCGAAGAGCCACTCATGCTGATGCGCATTTGTCGGACAGGCTCGGCCCCGTCGCACTCGCGACGCAGTCGGTGCTCCTCGTTTCGTGCTCGACGACTTACCAGGCGCCGTTCGCTCTGAGCGTAGCCACCTCCGTGCGGTGCGTGCTCTGTCTCTGCTACAACACCTTTTTGCGAGGTCACTCACGCATGCCATGCACACTCCAGGGTGGGCAACTTGCTTGGAGAACAAAAGGCGAAACGTGCGGGCGTAGCGGCTAATGCCTCTATCCTGATGTCGCTCGCCATCAGTTTGGTCTGGAGGTGAGTCCCGCAGGATACATGGTCAGGGTCAGTACTCACAACGGCACAGCACGATGTTCATGGTCTTCCGCAAGTCATGGGCGCACCTCTTCAACGACGACCCTGGTACGTCATGTCGGAAAGCTGCAATAATCCCAGCGGATACTCACCATACGCAGAGGTCGTTTCCCTCGTCGCCGTCATCTTACCCATCGTCGCGCTCTTTCAGGTGTTTGATGGCCTCGGCGGCGTGACTGGTGGTATCCTCCGTGCGATTGGAAAGCAGGTGAGACTGCTGCTGCCGTCGTATTCCTTGTGTCCCAAACTGACACGGCTTTTGATAGTTCACCGGGGCACTGCTGAACCTAAGGTACGCACGCACCTTGCCACATGCTTTCTTTGGTATGCTAACTCGTCTACTTTTAGCGCATACTACGTGATTGGTGAGTTCTTCGTTGGCCTCCCCCTGAGGCCCTTCATGACTGACCTCTCACGTCACCAGGCATTCCCTTCGGCCTCTGGCTGACCTTCTGGCGGGACATGGGCCTGCATGGGCTCTGGGTCGGGCTGACCGTGTCCCTTTTCTACTGCGGCACAATCGGTGTATGGATTTGCGTGCACACCAACTGGCAGCGTGAGGTGGAGAAGGTACGCGCGCGGCTTGATGCGGATCGCAAGGAGGGCGAGGGCTATGAGAGAGACGCAGAGGTGGCGTAGGTCAGTACTAGGTATGAGGTGCGCGTGGGGCGTGCGATCTAAGGGGGAGGATCTTGTGACGACACGATTTGGAAATTAATGCTTTCTTGTTCTCACCGGTACGTCCGGCGCAGTGGATTGACTACCAGAGTACCAGACCCTGGCGGAGAAGACTGCAAACCCCCGTCAAAGAAGAGGATGGGCGTTCAAGCGTTCGAGGCGCAATTCAGACTTTGGCTGGCTATCGAAGCCGTGTGCTCATCGAGGGTTGTCGGGTGCCAATGCTGTATATTTTGCACAACAGGTGGGGCGCTCTCCGAATCTGGTGTCGCTGCCGCTGCCCGGTGTGTCACAAACCCTGAGGAAGTCCGATATCGTAGGCTGTCTTATATATGCCCATACGACCGTTTGGAAGACACTGAACTCACGCGGAGGACATCTCGCAGACAATGCCGAGACGAGCCACGGAGAGAGACTGCTATCAGAAACTGCAGGACATTGGCCAGTGAATGTTCGTAGCTACTTATGTGTATACATGTGAGCGATGCTCCTGTACTGACCACTAGACCATGCAATGCAAGGTTTCCCTCAACTGATTAAGTAGTCTCCTCACCTTCATTCAAACAGACAGACGTCCGCCGCGACCGACCGTGTGTGTGTGTGTGTGTGTGTGTGTGTGTGTGGATTTGCAGTCAATTCTGCGCACACGAGCAGGTACAGGGTAGTACCTAGAGAGGCTCGCCAAAGGCCCGCAGGCCAGTGCCCAGGCGGAAGAGCGTGTTTATCTCGCCAAGGTGTGCTGACGCCCAGGCACATACAGTATGTGTTTAGAGAACATGAATTATGGACGAGACGATATTATGTAACTGATCGATCGCCCCGCCGCCGGATCGCGCCTCCCCGCTTGCGATAGCGATCCACTCATCCGTGGTGGCGGCGCGACGGGTCGAGCTCGGAGCCGCAGCACATTGCGCCCCGCGCCTCCATGCACAGGCCCACAGGGTATGAGGTACGTCCACCAGGACCGGGCTAGCGCAGCGGGCGCAACCGGACAGGATAGGCTCCTCCCGCCGCCCGCTCTATGGCTAGTTCTGCGGACGCCGTGGCGTTGGCCCCCGAACTTTCGAGCCTTCCTATTCACGCAATATGCTTGCCGGGAGCTGTCGTGTGCCTTGCCATTGGCTCCTTCAACACTGGTGCAGGTGGTTCAGTTACGAAGTGCGATAGAGAGGAGCCGCGTACCTCCATCTCGATCTCCATGATGCCGCGCTCTTGTTTCCTACACACCTTCCTAATTTGGATGTGCAGCGATACGCGTAGATTGCCCCCGCGACGCGCCTACCGTGTGCACCGCCACCACGCGCGACGACGGACAGCGACTTGCGCGAATTCTGCAAGCGAAATACCGCAGAACCCGCCTGGAGGCCTTGTAGGGGACGATATGAGGCGATTGGGCGATAAGTATGAGCGAAATGACCAGGAACGATGGGAAGACAATTTGGGAGCTTATCTCTGCCCGGTGGGATCGCTCTACGCGAGCGTCAACATCGTCTGCTCAGGTGCGCCCAAGAGATAGTACGCTGCCAGATAGCAAATATTCTACTCCCTGCCGCTACACATACGTCCGTTCGGGAGCATAAATACCGTCCCCATGCGCCCCGTCCCGCTAGCCATCTTTCCTAGAGTTCCCCCGACCTCTGAGTCGACTCTGTTGGCCCTGCGCCTGTCTGTCAATCATGCTCCCGACACTGATAAGCGACGCCCCCGGCGAGCTTGAGCGCAAGCTCTCCTCTTCTTCCATAGAGAAGACGCGAACCCCCGACTCGGCGTCCAAGAAGGATGCCTACTTTGACCACGAGAAGGTCGACGTCAACGAGGCTCCCTACGACGACGACGAGGAAGTCAAGGTCATTGAGAAGGCCGAGGATGTCGCCATCGAGGTATGCTCATGTGTCACTTGGTATCTAAACCTAGATCGACTCACACGATCGCATGTGTTGGCGTAGATTCTGAGTTCGGAGGATCATCCTGAACTCCCCGCATGGACCTTCCGGACCCTCTTCCTCGGTGTTGGCCTCAGTGCCTTCGGTGCCGTTCTTGCCACCATCTACACGTTCAAGCCACAGGTGCGTGCCGTTCTATTCCTTGATCCTTATAGATGCTCACCCCCTTTACAGAACGCTTCCGTCTCTCAGCTCTTCTGTCTCATCATCGCTTATGTCCTCGGTACGGCCATGCACGTCATTATACCCTCGCACGGCTACTGGCGCTACCTCAACCCTGGTCCGTTCAACATCAAGGGTAAGCCATAATCTTCTGTCATATCCCCGCAGTCGATCTCAATGCTAATCTTCTGCGTCCACAGAGCACACCGCGATCGTGATCATGGCGTCGACTGCGTCTACGGTGGCCGTAGCGATGGAGATCATTGCCGCGCTTGACCTATTTTACGACATCCGCCTGAACGCCGCCGTCGCCATTTTCCAGATCTTCGCGAGCCAGATGATCGGGTACGGCATTGCGGGCGTCCTCCGCGAGCTGCTTGTGTACCCCACGTACGCGTTCTACCCGACCTACATCTCCGTCGTCAACCTGCTCCAGTCCCTCCACTTTGGTGACGCTCTCAACCAGAAGCGGAGAAGGTTCTTCTGGATCGTCTTCGTTGCTATCTTTTGCTGGGAATGGTGCGTCCCTTCTCCTTTCACGTGCGGCGTCGTCCGATGCTCATACCCTTTCCAGGATACCGCAGTACCCCTTCCCGCTGCTCACGGCCATCTCCATCATCTGCCTGGCAGACAACGGCAGGCATGACTTCGTGCGCAACCTCTTTGGCGCGGGCTCCTCCAACGAAGGCATTGGGCTGTTCAGCTTCAGCACGAGCTGGACGCTCATCACACAGGGTTCGCCCCTGGTGTGGCCCCTCCAGACCCGTAAGTCCTCTCCTCCATCGTTCGCGTCCACGCCCACTCACGTCTCGCGCCGCAGAGGTCAACTCGTACCTCGGCATGGCGCTCGGCTACCTCGTGCTGACGCTCTGCTACTACAACAACGTCTTCGGCGGGCGGGACCTCGAATGGATGTCGACCTCGCTCTTCTTCGAGAACGGTACGACGTACGACCAGAGCCTCATCCTCAATGCAGACAACTCGCTCAACAAGACCGCGCTCGACGAGGTCGGCCTGCCGTACTACACCACGACGTACGCGATCAGCCAAATGTGCTACAACTTCTCGTTCGGCGCGTGCATCGTCCACGTCATACTCTGGTATTGGTCCGACCTCAAGAAGGGTGAGTCTCATTGCGCAGCCTTGTTGGGTGTATGGCGTGATCGCAGAGGGTGCTGACGAGGTGTGGGCGCTTGTGTCCCGTTGTGTGTCCAGCTGCTAGGCACGCCGTCTCGACCCTGCGCCGCTTGCGCGAGCCGATCGAGATCGACGACCCGCACTACCGGGAGATGCAGAAGTACAAGGAAGTCCCCGCCTGGTGGTACATGACGCTCTTCGTCATCTCCCTCGCCGTCGGCATCGGTTGCAGCGTATGTCCCATTCTCTGTCCCTCTCTCCCTTGGTCGTCTGACGCACACAATGTGAATATAGTACACGACCGATTCCGCGCTGCTGCCTTGGTGGAGCATCATCCTGTTCACTGCGATCAGTTTCCTCCTCGCCATCGCTCTGGGATTCATTGCCGCCACGACAGGCTTCAGCATCTCGGTCAAGTATGCGATCCAGATTATGGCCGCGTTCGTGCACCCTGGGAAGCCCATCGCCGTCATGTATGTCAACCTGTACGGTAACTCGACCACCTACCAGACGCTGTACATGCTGCAGGGTGCGCCTCCGTTCCTTCTGTGCTTGGGCGCTGGCCTTGATTGACACGGTGAGGTGTAGATCTCAAGCTGGGTCAGTACACGAAGCTTCCGCCCCGCGCGACATTTGCTGCCCAGATGGTGGGCTCGATCGTTGGCTCGATCTTCAACTACACGAGTACGTCTGTTTCTCGTGTCCCGTCTAACCACTCGCTCACGTCTTCGCAGTGATGCGCTCCATCGTCGACGCGAATCGTGAGGTGCTCAAGGACCCGACGGGTACCCGTGTTGTGCGTAGAGCCTTCTTGTGCTGTACGCCTACTATCGTCGACAAGCAGCTGATCCGCATCCCTCGCAGTGGTCCGGCTGGATCGTCCAGCAGTACAACTCTGCGTCCGTCGCCCTGGGCGCGCTCGGCACGGAGCTCTTCGCGGTGCACAAGCGGTACGACATGCTCGCGTTCTCGATCTTCATCGGGCTGCTCTTCCCGGTGCCCTTCTGGCTCCTCCACCGCTACACGAAGCCGGGCACGCTCCTCAACCGCTTCGCGAGCTACATCAACACGCCGATCCTCGCGCTCTACGTCGGGTACCTGCCCTACTCCGTCAACGGCCAGTGGTGGTCGTGTGTCGTGATCGGATTCGCGAGCCAGTGGTGGCTCCGCAAGTACCGCCCCGGGTGGTTCAAGAAGTACAACTACCTCTTGTCCGCGGCGCTCGACGGGGGCAGCCAGGTCATCATATTCATCTTGGTGCGTTCGAGCCTCTGCCGCGCTTGGTCTTCGCACACTTATGCTTGTGTGACCTGTAGTCCTTTGCTGTGTTCGGCGCGAGCGGCAAGGCGGTCGACTTCCCCTTATGGTGGGGCAACCCCGACCCCGCCGTGTTCTCCGTGGACAGGTGTAAAGCGACCTAAGCTGTCGGCGTGCGTCTGCGCCTGTTGAGCGCTGCCGCTGTATGTAAAAATTCATAGGACAAACGGTGTGACTTTTGGACGACTTGGTATGATACACAACGAGATAGACACGACACCTGTATACTAGACTCGCCTGCTGTGATGCGACGCATTGGGCATAAGTGGCTTTGATGGTGTCCGTCTTCAGTGAGAAGGTTTAAGGTAAGCGGGTTCTAGCATGGTTTTGGGGGTTTCTGTTATCGCTGACGTCGCACGCTCAGCTGTACTTGGAGTAGGCTCTATGTATGCAACAGCCTTTCGTGCTTGCAGTTAAACTTACGGGGCCGCTCCTATCGAACAGTGTCACAGAGGATATGCTTTCAGCGAGTCTGACACCTGAAAAGGTCGACCTTCTGGTCTGCCAAGAGACAGTTCTTACGTCCTAGAGCTTCCCGGTGCAAGGCATCGAGGGATGAATCGATGAGGCCTTGAGGACGGCCGAGGCCTAGTAGTACTAGGGTTAGAGGGAACGCCGATATTTATGCAATTAAATGCAGTGCCCACATACTCGGATTCGCATGACATCAAGGGTAATGCTATACTTTGGCGTTGCTGCTCCATACTATGTCTGGCTACCTCCCCACAGCCTTTGTCGGCCTGGAACGCGCTGGGATACAACGAAGAGTCGACATAGGTGGACCGAATTTGTTCTTCGTGGATCATCGGCTATGTAGTGAGCGTACAAGGCACTGCTGAGAAGCATGAGGACCGTACTATGGAGCGTGGCGCGGTAGCGTTCAAAGCGGTGTTTTGACGGTGTTTTGGCGGTGTTATTTCAATTCGAGGTGCTGCCAGGTCGATCACCGAGGACGCCCATCTGCGGCGAAGCGAGTGAGCCCACATCTGGCAAGAGTGTTCGTCGTTGCAACCATAAGGCCGAAGGGCTTAGATTGATGGAATACATATATTGACCTAGATGTATAGCAGCAAATCAATGAGGACCACACCAGGTGTGAGCACAGCACCGGTGAGTGAGCCTGTCCTAGTTCATGACGCTCGCTCAGCCTCGCTGTCAAATGTCCGCGTCTAGCCATGGTTGCCCAAAGTCAGAAAGCAGCTGCGCGTGCTTCGCCTTGATACATGCCCGCGCGATGTGGCACAACGCCTCCCACAATGCTTTGACAGCCTCTCCTCGCACCCTTGTTGCACCCTCTAAGGCGCCCTCTTTGACGTACACGACATAACGCCCATCCTAGCATAATTGATATTAGTAGGCAAGGACATCTGCTGCAACGCACCATGCCTCGCCCAATCCCCAACGCATTCCAGAACATCGCGCTTCGCTCTGGTATCGCAGAGCAACAGGACTCGAGCCGATGGGACCCACAGAACCCGCCCTCGTTTCCGCTCCCGCGTCTCTGCCTCAAAGACATAGATGACGACGTCATCGAGGTGCAGGTCTTCGACCGGCCGACAACAGGGCGACGGGGGATGGTATGGGCAGTAGCAGCGCGGCCAGAGAAGCAGCTCTCCGCCAACCAGTACATCGTCCTGAAGACGTCCACGAGGACGAGCGGGGTCGGCCGGCTGTCGACGCTCAACGGCCTCTTCAGGCACTGGGCGCAGTTCGTCGTCGCGGGAGGCCCGACGCCGTGCAGCCTGCGCGTCCCGGTCCCGTGGGTGTGCCTCAGCCCAATCGAATGCCATACCCACTCGACGCGCTACCTCACGCTGCCGAAGACCCTGCGCCACACCCCTCGTTCTTGAGCAGCCCCCTCATCGCGAAGGATGATGAGAACCCGTATGAGTTTGAGGTGTGGGAAGACTCTGCGGTGCTCGACTTGCGGCTCGCTCGCATCTACAACATTACAATATTGCCTGAGGGTGCCAGGAGGCACTAGGATGAATGTTGCCGTATGTTTCGACGTACACCGGGTCTTTGGGCGGTCGTTGATAACTTGTTGATACCTGTGAATAGCTAGAGAAAGGGCGTATCTGTGCGTGCTCACGATGTCTGGAGGGACTCTGTCACTGCAGCTGATTGCCAAGATGTATGATAGTCCATCGCCAGAAATTGTAGTAGCTGTCTGTCAGACGATGGACGAGTGAGCAAGAGGAGGAGGAGGAGGAAATTCCATTTAGCCACAGTAACTACGTGTATCGTACACGCGTCACAGGAAGTGGATCAGTGGATGGATCTCGGACACGGATGGGCTTGCAGTGGGCGCTTGCTCGACAACGGCCACCATGATGGACGTCATGCGCATGCCCTCCCCCGCCCTCCTCAGCCTCCCCACCGAGCTCATCGTCCGCATCCTCGCCCACCTCCCCTGCCCCGTCCTCCTCACCTTCAGATCCACCAGCCGCTTCTGCCGCGCCCTCATCGACGCAGACACCAGCCTCCAGTATGCCATCGAGCTCTGCGCCACCGGAGCGGTCGACAACCCCGCCTCGCGCTACGTCCTCGCCGACCGCCTGCGCATCCTCAAGGAGCGCGAGAGCGCGTGGCAGCGCATGGAGTTCTCGCGGGTCGCGCAGATCCAGGTGCCGCACAACCCCTCGAGCATATATGACCTCACCGGCGGGATGTTCCTGCTCGGCGAGTCCTACTCGCGCATACTGCCTACCTGGCGGCCAACGGATGCGGCGCGATATCTGAACTTGCGCGCCGCGCTGAAGAACTCGGAGAACGCAACTGTGCTGGATGGCCCGTGGGCGCGGATAGACGTCAATGCGAAGATTATGGACGTCGGGATTGCTGCCCAGGAGCATGACTTGATTGCGATCGTAACCTATACGTGCGTGTCATTGATGTCTTCCCAACGCTTTAGAAGTCCGAAGCTGTGTGTGGTATTTGAGGTGATGCACGGCGGTAGAGGTCTGCATCATGAGCGGAACTCTAGCAGAATCGTGTGATCTCTGTGTATGCACCAGCCTGCGTCTGTGACGGTCCCAGAGCGCAGCGAGGGGCATCGAATGGCGGGCTCTCGCCACATTTCACATTGCGCTAGATGTCTGCTGCCGTGCATAACAAGCCAGACTTTCACTTCTACAGTCTTGTCATATATATGCGTGCATCCGTTAACAACCGCGTCGCATGTCGCGGATCGCTGTTCACAGATACATCGAAGTCAATGAATTTCTGGCCGAATTGAAGATCCACTTGGTGAAGCTCTCTACAGGAGGACATCATCCTGCGGCATCCCAGCCAGTCATACAGGTCCCGCGGATGCCGTTCTTGCCCGGAAATTGCAGCGTCTCGATAGAGATCGTCGGGGACACGCTTGGCGTCCTCTTTAATCTCTCGCGCTTTCTGCACGGGGCGGGAATGACGCCCATCATCGCGTTCTACCTTTACGATTGGAAGACGGGTAAACTGAAATCGGTCAGTCGCGTACCCTCTTCGCACGGACGAGCCCTGATCCACGCCATCTCAGACGCGCACGGCAAACTCGCCACACTACAACGCCTTCTGCTTCCTCTCGCCCGACGTGATCGTCCTTCCCAATGTCACGACGCATGCGCTTGAGCTCTGCTCGATCGCTGACCAGGAGGGCGAGTCTGCGGAGCCGGCACCGCTACAGACGCTCTGCACGCTCGGGCTCCCGCGTGCGGCGCCGTCCACGCTCTTCCACCGCATCTGGTGCAGGGCGGAGCCGAATGCACTCGCGACGCGCAACAGCACCTTCGCCGACGCGCCCTTCTTCACCGACCCCGCGCGCGCGGTGATCATCTTCAACGTCGTCGCACAGGACATGACCCACGGCACGCTGCACTATCTCTCCCTCGTCGTCCACCGCTCGTCCCTCCTCGCGCGCCTCGCGCAGTGCGTCTCCCCGCGCAGCGCGAACACGACGCCCACGACGCCGACCGCGCCCGGCCTGCAGCCGCCGCGCGTGGAGTGGCCCGCGTGGGGCCCGCCCGCGTGCCTGTGGCTCGACGGCGACGGGCTCGCGATCCGCTGGATCACCGTCACCTGCGGGCAGCGCTTCGTCGTGATGAGCCGCGAGAGCCCGGCGCCGATCCAGATCTACGACTTCAACCCGCGCGCGGGCGCACGGCGCACGCAGGCGGCGCGCGCGCAGGGCCGCCTCGTGCACGAGACGACGGAGCGCGACGTGGACGTGGACGCGAAGAGCGGCGCGCGGACGGTGTTTGTGCGCCGCGCGACGCTGCTGTCGACAATATTTGAGGAGCCGGTGAGGTCGGAGATGCCGTATATGATTACGGAGACGGGGGAGTGGTACGACTATGAGAGCGTGATGATGGACGAGGGCGTGTTGATTGGGGTGGAGGTGCGTCGGTTTCATTGGGCTGGACGGGACGCGTGTTCTTGCTGACCGCCAGTTGGATGAAGCAGTTGGATGAAGAGACGGATAATATCGGAAGTTTGGTCTTGCATGCTGTGGGACCTGTGGCATGATGATTGAAGCATGGACGAAGTATAACTTACCGTGTATGACTAAATCGTTCTAGATGAAGATGACTGCAAAGGCGCAAGTATGCTCCTGATCTCTGGCACGCTCCCTCTTTTCAGTGAATAAGCAGGGTGTATTGAACAACTTCACAAGCGAATTGGCGTTGGCATTGGTAGGTGAGACGCAGTTCCACTCGCTCGTGTCAACCAAGATATCATTCCTCGGGACGTACGTACTGTCCATGGACTACTGACAAGCACCGATGTGGACAGATATTCCGACATGGCCGTCAAGCTACTCTCAACGAAGCCTCAGTTGTACGATGCGTCCAAAGTGACGTTCGCGTTGATCGTCCCGTTCTCGTATCTGATCCACGACTGTAGCGGGCCCTTGGGATCTGGGGATGAGAAGATGATGTTGCGCACTCCGTGGCCCCACCACGAGTCGCTGTATCCACCGTAGCTGCACAGCACAAGTGCGGGGCACTCGTCAGCGCTCGATCTGCTGCCGTTCAAGAGGAGAGCATCTTACCCAGAGTGCTTGCCGAAGCAGAAGATGACGTTCTTGGTGGGCTCGCGGACGCACCACTCGTTGCCATGATCTGTGGGTACGCTGGGTCGTAAGGGGGGACGTTCCGTGCAAGCGGAAGGTGGGCGCACCGTGGCCGGAGAAGACGGCATGCAGGTTGGGCACATATTCATTGAGCGCGTCCCAGAACGGCTCGTCCTTGCCCAGGTTGGCGGAGTCAGTTGTGGCCTGAGTAGAGCCTGAGCCCAAAAGGTCGGCTATCGACTAGAAGGTGAGTAGGCTCAACATTGAGAGCTGGAGCTTGGGAGGCTGACCGTTGAGCCCGGGATCGCGACTGCTGTTCAGGTCGGGCTGGAGGGCCTGGATTGCGTGCCTACGCGGGTGAAATACTTTTCGGTGAGACAGAGGAGAGGCGTGCTCACGGAGGAATGTGAACAAATGCGATGGCTCCTCGAGACGACGCCGCGGGACCCCAGGCGGCGTCCATCGCTTCCGCCTCCGACTGGATCCACCCCGCGACGGTGTCGTCAACCCAGTCTGGGAGGGCAGTCGAGTTATCGCCCTCGCTGAAGCCGCCTGCAGCCACCGTCGGTCGGTAGGAAGGGGCGGTCCGAATGTGGGTGTGACGTACCTCGCGAGTCGAAGAACCATAGGATGAGCTTGGGGGTAGGGTCTGGGTTAGGGTTAGGTCCAGTCTACCGCTACATGCAGCTCTGTGCACACCGTCGATGTGTTCGTAGACCTAGCTTGGCGGCAGGCTGAGTCAGCAAGTGTGGCCAGCAACGGTGCCCTGTTGTCACGCACAGGTACCCAGTACGTCCCAGGGCCTTGCTCACCACCGATCCCGGGCGGTGCAGTGCGCGTGTAGCTCAGTGGCGCGACCAACTGCTCGCGCTTGATCTCCTCCAAATGGGTGATGTTCGGCTCATTGTCATGGTTCTAGGATCGTCGTCAGACCACACAGTTATCCAAGCGAGCAGGAAACGTACGCCTTGAGTGGACGAGAAGGGGATCTGGGCGGTGTTGAGGGGCGCGACGATCTCGTCGATGAGACGCGTTGAGTTCTGCCGGAAAGTATCTAATCGTATGCATGAGGACGAACAGTCCGTGGATCAGTCACACCCTTTAGTAGGACCTACTCTCGCCAGTGATCAGGTCGCCATTCAGCACTCTGGCAGGCTGCGTTCATCGCTCCGTAAAGACTATCATCCAATGCGCACTCACACATAGTCCGGCTTTTCGTCAGCCAAGACGATGTTCATCAGCTCGGTGCTGTTGACATCCTGCTGAAGACCCCATGCGTCCCACGGGTTTTCGCCGTAGTGCAGATCACAGAAGACCGTGATCTTGAAGATGCCGTCCGCGCGGAAGGTGATGCGCGGTTTGGTCGGGTAAGGATTGAGATCAGTAACGAGCGACGTCTCTGGGGAGAAATGTTTGATCAGGTTTTGGATTGCGCGTGAGCAGGAACTGTGTACGACGTACGCGACCGTGCATGTGGGGCTGCATTTGCCAGGAGCAGAGTTAGGCTGCTCCAGGAGGCAAACCGCACAGCGATACAGTATAAGAATCCCATGGCCGCTATGTGGTTGGAGCCAGATCGTCAGTGGCAGCCTCAAGAGCTTCCCGCTACGAGACCTGACTGACCACGGTCCCTATATATATATCAGTTTCGCTGAATATGAGTAAGCTACCGGCGCGAATCCGAACAGCGGAAGGCTTCGAGAAGCTCTCACCAACGTGCTACGTATTCCAGTCTACTGTAGGGGAGAGGAACCGCGGTGCACGTTTGTGAACTCCAAGAGCCAGCCAGTCTTTATTTAAAGGATGGACACCCGAGACAAGGAAGACCTGTGGCCGAGGGTTGATCGAATCATCATGTCTCATCATAAGTCCGCATGAGCGGTGTATGCATTCGGTTTGAGTAGTAATGAGACTGCGTGCGAGAGCGGGCTAAGCCCGCTATTGCATCCCGAACGGTGGAATGATGCATCGTATAGTAATGGATGACAGACGGCGCTTGCACTGTAATGCTACAACTGACGAGGAGCATGACAGCCGAGACTTTTGCCTGACAGTACTACTACCAGCTCAAGGAGGGCATCAGACTCCCGGCCTGAGCTGCAGAACCCTAAATTCACTGCGCCATTAGATCTTTAGACCGGGCATTCACATACTTCACCATACTAACTAATCCAAAAGAAGATCATAAACCATACGAATTACTGCATATCACTCAATCAAGATCAAGGTCTCCATAGGGGCCGCTCTTTCAACTTGCTCCCTCCACGAACCGACGCGACCGAAGCGGGCCTCGAGCTCGAGCTCTGATCCTCGCCCAAGCCTTCAAAGGCCATGATCAGATCCTTGACGCTCCCGCCGCTGCTGCGTCTCTTCGCAGGGGGGTCGATCCGGATGGGCTTGTCGGACGGCGGCGCGGGCAGTGGGTGCAGCTCGACCAGTCTACGAGGCTGCTCCTTGCCACGGGGGATCCTCGACGGCTTCGGAGGGGGCACATTGTTCAGGTGGACGGTGTTCTTCGGAGGGACAGGTTTGGGCACGGGCTTCGGGGCGGGTGTGTGGATCGGTGCGCGCGGTTTGGCGAAGGTTTCCGGAGGTGGCACGGGTAAGCCTGGCTGCGCGGATGCGGGCTTCTTGACAGGCTGTGTCTTCGAGCTAGAGGCCACAGGCAAATACGAAGTGAAGAGTCCCTTGATGCGTGTTGCGAACGTGGGGCGCGGGAGAGCTGAGTTGGTTCTCGGCTGTTGCGGACCATCCGCGATGGTCGATGAGGTAGCGGAAGCTGTGGAAGAGGCGGGTCCCTGCGGTGTAATGCACTCCTTCTCTAGACTCGACACTTCCTGGGTATGCGCCAACAGGGAGAAAGATGACGGGGTAGGCGGTGCGACTCGTCCAGATTGCTGCTTCTTCTGTAGCGCTCTTGCACGCCGTAGGACATCCTCCCTGTGAAATAATCAGATGTTGGCTCCCTTCCGAGAATGTGACACACACCGATTGAATCCAGAGGGCTCCTGCAGCGCAGACGACCCCTCTAGCTGCGTAAGGAATCTGTCTACAACCTTCTCCAAGTCCAATAATTCGACATCCGCCAGGGCCTTCCCCTCTCCACGCACGAGCCGCTCGTCCGTCAAGCACGAATCCAGCCTCTTCCAATCTTTGCGCGTCCAGGCACCCTCCGGCCGCCCAACCGGCGTCGACATATCCTCCAACGAAAAGCTAGGCGTCGCCCAGCTAAACGAGTCCACCGCCCTAGACGACTCTCCAGGTTTCATCGGCGTGACAAACGCATTGCGGGATTCTTCTACTCTTCGGATGATCATACTCTGACCTTGCTTGGTAAGCTCGAGATCCAGCGATCGCTCTGCTTCGTTGAGCAGCTCCGGAACGGTCATGGCGGGGCTCCCGGGTATGAACACCTTGTCACCAAGCATTCCCCCGAGAGTGTGGCGGCGTGGCGCGTTCGGTATGAACGAGGATTTGCCCTTGTTGATCCCAGATGCGAGCGATGAACGACGGCGCGCATCTCGGATGACGGAGGGCGCGTCGAGGTGCGAGTGGCGACGTTTCTTGGTGAGGATGCGCGGAACGCAGTCATAGTCGTGCTGAGAGGATAGAGACGTTTAATATCTGGGAGAATAGAAGGACATATTCAGAACTCACCAAGCGGAGGATGGCCGCAGCACGAGCAGCCGCTAACGGGTCATCGCTGGTGATCTTGATGACCCCGTCGTCCAGGGTATCACTTTCGTCGCCATCGTCGTCATCTGCCGGGTGGTCATACTCGTCTGCCTCCGCAGGCTGTGTCTGCTGTTCAGCCACGTCGCTTGCGTCGGCGTTGGTAGGGCGGGGTGCGGTAGAGAGACGAGACGCATGTTCTGTTATGGTTGTCGTATCCTCGACTTCGTCATCGACATCGCTGTCCTCATCCGGCAAGACGGACAACTCGCGGTCAATGATAGCCTCATCCGAACGATCCTCCTCATCCTTATCCTCGTCCTCGTCCTCACTGACATAGGATGGAGATCGAGCCGCCTCGACCTGGACTTCCACAACAGGAGTCTCTGTCATGATGGTAGACGTACTCGGCAATGGAGATACAACGCTGGGCACGCCCATACGTCCCTGCTTCTCTTGCGAGCTTAAGTGGGACATGAAGTCGTCCGCGAGGTCGAGGTCCGGCTCCGTGAGGGTGTCCTGGTCGCTCGCGTCGTCCATGAGTACGTCGAAGTCATCTAGAGGTTCGGCCGGTCTGGCAAGCAACTCGATTGGGGACGAGGAAGGCGTTCGTGAGGGTTCGGGTACTGATGTGTCGACGATGTCTTGCGCGTCGTTAGGGATCGGCACGTAGAACTCATGGTGTAGAGTGTTCGTACGATCGTGTGGTTCAACGGGAGAAGATGAATGCGCCCACAGGTCATCGTGTACCGAAAGGTCGACCACTTCTTGCACCTCCCCGGAGATATCTGAGTCGGCCGGCTGGTTCTGAACCTCGTATGACTTTTCGTCGTCGGTAGGTGCGGTCGACTGTGGCTCGATCTCCACGGGTGGATGACGATCATCGTCCTCCAGCTCAGCACTGTCCCCTTCGAGCTCACCAACTGTGGCCGCCTCCACCTCTTCCATAGCCTCGTCCTCTTCGTCCCGATCCTCCTCTCCCTCTTCCAGCGCTGCCAAGCTCCTGTGCGGGTGCGGGCTCTTGGGCCGTCCCCACGCGTCCATCCTGATCCTCGTGCAACTGCTCGGCGGATCCGCCTTCGTCGGGACCGCCATCATCCTGAACCTCCCCGTATACTCACCCGTCGCCTCATCCTCTGCATCCTCTTGCCCTGGTCCACGATCGTCATCGCTCCAGTCATCGTCGCCCGCCGCGTCCAGCGCAGCAAAGTCAAATGCAGGCATGGGATCTCCGGCATCGTCGTCGTCAGTGAATGTTGCGTCGGAGGGGCCCATATGAGCTGGTTCGCTCATTATGAGCTCCGGGAGAGGCGCGTCTTCATCGTCATCGTCATGAAGGCGCACAGGCGAGCTCGACGCGAGCGGTGGGGTATCACGAGAATGCGAATGTGTAGAACCACTGAGCGAGTGAACAGAAGCGCGGGCATCCGCGTCGAAAGAGTCGTCGAAGGAGTAAGAAGGTACGCGGCGAGTCGGCGGAGTAGAGGGGCGTGCTTGCTTCGACTTCTGACGTCGGGGCGGGCCCGACAACAAGAGCGGGTCATCCGTCGGCGAGGGTGGGGGAAGCGGCTGGGTCAGGTCGATCACCGGGGGCTCCTTCTTGATCGTCAGCGTGAGCCTCTTCGCGCCCTTCGCGCTCTGCACGGACTTGCGCCGCTGGGTGCGCGAGCGCGTCGGGGACTCCTGCGGGGGCGAGCAGAACACCTCGCGCGGCGGGGTGAAGCGCTCGGGCGGGGGCTCATATGGGAAGACTGGCGTGACGGAGCGGCGGCGAGCGGGCGCGGAGACGAATTCGCGGCGGCGTGAAGGAGAGGGCGGGATGTAGTCCGCGCGGGGATTCGTCTGGTGCGGGGAGAGGAACAGGACGCGCTTGGTGGGCGACTCGGAGCGGGAGCGAGAGAGGCGCGTGGGTGTCGTAACGGAGGCTGCAAGATTGCTTGTGGAAGGCCGGGGAGGTGAAGTTTCACGGGCAACGAAGCTGACATGACGCTTGGACTGCTTGCGGGGCTTGCCGTTGGGCGTCGCCTCTGGGGCGACGTGGGTATCTACTAGCGAGCTCACGCCTTCTTCGGACACAGCTCCAGCGTCGAAGACGCTTGTTTCTTGTATCGTGCCGGCACTGATTTGACGCTTGCGCTTCGCAGCAGGCTTCGCCGACTTGGGCGCCGAGGTAGCAACATGGGGCAATTCCGCAGGTGCGGACGTCAATCGAGAGCGCACCGACTACGTAGACAATCAGTCTCTCCCAGCGCATGAGCTGTATAATGACATACTACAGTCCTATTCCTTCGGAGGAACTCCTCGGGTGGGGGACTGATCAGCATCCTCCTCGCGTCCATCTCTGCCTGGCTCTGCGATGACGGCGGTGTCAAGAGACCTGTTCCAGCTGTTCCAGATGGGCCTGCCTCTGCATTTGAGGTGGGTTTCCGAGCGAGAGAGGAGCCATGCTTGCGCCTCGCGGCCTTCGCGCTGCGGGAAGAACCAAAGTGGTTAGTGAGATCTGGCAAGATATCGTCGGCCCTGTGGCCAGCGTTCATCGAAGAGAAGTTGTCTGCAGTATGCCCAAGTGTTTATAAATCAAGATAAATGTAAGCCGACATGCGAGAGACAGGAGATGTAAGATGGCTCGGACTAAGATGGATGACGACCGCAACAATGAACACCAACTCAGCTCAACTCAGTCACCACCCCGCGTCACATCACGTGCATACGGGCGCTCCGTCGCCAACGTTTCCTGGCTTATGGCGGCCTCTGCACTGGATGTTCCTGCAGGGCACTCACTTACAATAACATCTCAGGATAACATCTCAGGAACTGGCTCGATATACTCGTCGCAAGAGCGAATGACAGAAGGGTCAGAATCGAGGAAGCCCTCTATTAAGCGAGGTCCTCGCAATGGAGACACCAACGGGTCGAGCACGAGCTCAAGTGTGAGTCGTAGTACACTTCAATTCTGAATCCCTCGACAATACAGCTGGGCAGATACATTTTCGGTTAGTAACCCATCATATTGCCAACTTTTGAGCTCAGAAAGCTCGGACTGCAACGAACGGTGTAACATACCTCGGGCATGACCTCTCAGCTTGTCAGTTGCCCTGACCTGGAGTCGGCCCGGAACGTAGAGATCATACGTTTCTTGATGGCGATTTGTACTCGAGACTGACGTCTGCGATTAGGAAGGAGCCAGACACAGGTATAGCGGGGGTGATGCGGTCGAAATGGGCGCCCTCAGGCCTCAGGCCTCAGGACTCACCACTGGCAGCCTGATCACAAGGTACTAGTGAAAGACGTTTCAATTACCATTTTGTCATCGTTATGTCTTGACTCAACTCATTGCTTTTTCCTCTTCGAGTCTCAGACTTGTCTAGGATGATCACTGCAATCGTTCCCCGTCATTGGAGCGCAGAGTTGTGACTGTTTGACGGAGAAACAGTCCTGGCTAAGTCACACAGCAATAATATCGACTATCGTGACCCACATGCCGGTCACTGTCATTTATAAGGCGCGACAGCATTGTCGACGAACCCAGAGTGCGGCTGGCTCCCCCTTCACTTCTTCACAAACGGCATCTAACGACGCGTTATGCACACTGCTTTGATTTTCTTTCTTTTATGTTTCCTCGTGACGATCTCTGCCACGTCGGCTGCGCCGGTGGTACGCTACGACGACACGCGGAGCGCGTATGATGTGTCGACAAGTTTGGCTCTCAGGGTACGCAGCTGCTCACTACTTCTGGTTCAAAATACACTATTGACATTCGCACGAGTATACGACCGCGAGCCATGCGCTCTAAGTTGGCCGCTTTGTTCCAGACTAGGCTACAAGGGACACAAAGTGCACCCCCGGCCTCAAGTACCAGGAAAGGTTCCGTTATGCTCCCTCAACATATAGACCGTATGCTGATATTCATCTACTACAGTGGCACACCCGCACCAAGAACAGAGCGCAGTGCAGTATGTGCAGTGGGAAGGTCATACGGGGCAATTTATGAAACTGGCAAGTGCCGGGGATCGCGCAGTCTACTGGTTTGGACCGGGACCCGAGTTCGTTCCACCGGAAGGGGAACTGATCATGGTGAACCTGACTAAAGAGGAGCAGTCGGAGCTGAGGTCAAGGTACGCTCCATCCCGGATGAACCTCTACGGACCCATATGCTGATCTTCTCATGCCTTCGTAGGAAGGCCTGGTACAATTCCAATCAGTCCCGAACCCGAATAACCCCAAGGAGGACTTGGTTCTACGGCCCGAACTACGAAGGTTTTCGGCAATGTCTCGATCTCACTCTCGAGCAGGAGTCAGCAGCAACATCACAGGCGCGTCGGCAGGCAAACGGCCGTCACGCCAGTAGGGGGGAACTAGCGGTAGACGGGTGAAGATGATGACGGCCTTCGAAAAGGTATACAAGTTGTCTAAGGTACTCTACGGCACTGCATGGGCGGAGAAGGTAATGAATAGTACGAGAACAGACATCGACTGTGTGTAGACGTAGTCAAGGGCGAAGGCACTATGAGGAAGCGATCGAGCACCATGCCAGAGCGTGGAAGAAGCGGGGCCTAGGTGTGAGACGGCCAAGGGGATGCAAGGGCGCAAGCATATAGCCAGCGCGGAGCACTCCAGAGCCCAGATAATAATTCTAAGACGGCTTTATATTTGCGAGTTGACGATCTATAGACTATTGTAGGCAACTTAACTATGATGCACAGTGATGGAGGAGAGAACTTAATGAGACAATCAAGGCGTGTGTGTGTGTGACGTTGAATGGCGTAAATCTGGTCGGTACAGTGGGGAGAAGAGCAGGCTAGTACAACGGCGTAGACGTAGGTGGCCGCGCGGTGTGCGCGAGTGGGCGGGGGGGGGGGGTCATGGGCATGGGTGATGCGGAAGTTCGTTCGTTTCATTACTGTGGTACCATAGATGGAACGAAGTAGAAAGTCGTGAAGTGTGTGGAGAAGGGAGGACAAGCAAACACACGTCGACTGAAACTAGGTGAGCGGCGACGCCCGGTTTTGAAGGGAGAGTGAATATTTACAGTCAATGTAAACGAGATGGGGATAGAGAACAAAGTAATCTACTACTCATGACACAAGGCCATGCAAATACGAGAGGTCTTCGTCCTCTTCGTCCTCTTCGCTGGCGAACGGTCTATGACGGGTGCTCGTCGTGTGCACCGTCGTCTGACTATGCTGGCGGTTATATAAGAGCTACGCAACGAGTCAGCCTCCAATCACAAAGCCTACTGCAAAGAACGACTCACCCCACCGATCGGCCTACTATAATCGACCTCATCCCTGAAGCTAATCTCCCCAGTGCTGCGCATCCCCGCGGCGCCCATACCGCCCGCAACCGTGCCCACCCGATGGGGGTCCAACAGGCCCTCAGGCGCACCCGTGCTGCTCGCCTCCGTCAGCGCGGGACTCGGCATGTCGGGCGCGCCGAACAAGCCTGCGAGGCCGCGCCAGGGGTGCAGCCCGTTGTGTAGGTCAGAGGAGGACGCGTACGCATCTGAGTGCGTCGAGGGCGTCTGGTGTCCATACGGGTACCCGTTGTTCGAGTAGGACGAGGGCGGAAGGGTACCTGAGCCGTGTGGGACAACTGGGTACGCAGGACTTGTGTAAGCGGAGGGCGCGGGGCGGGAGTAGGCGGCGTTGTGCACCACTGTAGGGGGCTGTATCGATCCCGGCGGGAGCGTAGGCGACTGTGGACGGCGCATCGTCGTGCGCCCAAACGTCCCAGGGGCACTCGCCACACCGCCCACGGCAGACAGCCGCGACGAGCTCGTCGCACCGAGGACGTTCAGGGCCTGCTGGGACGTCGCAGGGCTGACCGTCGCGCTTCGGGCGCGGTTAGCCGGAACACCGCTCGACGCGCCAGAGAGGCGCGGATCCGAGTCAGGGAACGAGCTCCTCGCATCGACGTACGACGCCCTCGTATCGCTCGACTCGCTCACGCTCGCTCTTCGTCTCCACGGCTTACCCACACCCAAGAAACTCCTCCTCTTCCCCGCACTCGCATTACTGTCCTCGCCCTGGCCGTCCGGGGCACGGTAAGCCGTGGGTGGCACACCAGGGATCGTCGGCAGCAAGCTCGAGCGTTTGCTCGCAGTGACGGCGTAGCTATCACCATGGCCGTTGCTCGAGCGGCCATCGACCTGCTTGCCGTGACCGTCCGACGACCAACCGTCGTGGCCATGCCCGCTCGACGAGCCGGGCCTGCTCCCGAGTGCGGCGTGCCCGTATGCCGACCCGCCAGAGTTATACCCGCCGGAGCCCGCACCATGTCCGCTCGACGAGCCGCTCGCTCCCGCGGGCGCACCGTGGTCTGCGTCGCTCGCACCACTATACGCGGCGAACTCGTCCCACGACTGGCGTTGACTGCGCGGGGGCTGGACAGAGACCGGGTCGCCGAACGGGTTGGCGCTCGCGGCCGGGTTACTGTACGGTTGTGCTGCAGGGTCCGCAAACGGATCCGCGGCGCCAGGCGGGTGGGGAAACGTCGGCGAGGATGCGTTCGCGCTCATAGGCACGGCCGTATACGCCACGTCCCGTCCACTGAGCCACGCCGCAGGGTCGATCCCCGCTCCCGAGCCCGAGCCCGAAGCAGAACGTGTCACCGCACCAGTAGCAGTACCCAGCAACGGCGTCGCACTGAGGTGATCACTCGAGCTCCCCTGCGCATAATCGTCTTCCCCGCTATTCGAGCGCGACATCCCCGTGGGGCGTCCGTCCGAGCCGTCCGCGGGGTCACGCTCATGGCCGTCCGCCGATGCACCCGCAGCGAACGCGCCGGCGTAGTAGCTCGAGCTGAGCGCGAGGTCCGCCAGCGCGCTCTGCCCGCTAAACCTCGACATCGGGTCGAAGCCCGCGCCCGACCCGTCCAGCCTATCAAACACAGAGTCGCTCGCGTCGCCGCCGCGGAGCCTGCCGTACCCGGGGACGCTCGCGGGGCCGCCGCGCTGCGCCATGCCCCCGGGCGGGGCGTCGTCCTCGTCCTCGTCGGCGAGCATGTTCGCGGGGCGGCGCCGCGCGGTGTTGGCGAGCGCCTCGGCGGTGGCGGCCTCTGCGGTCTTGTGCGCGCGGTGCCGCCGGAGCGCGATGATGAGCAGGGCGCCGAGCAGCGCGAGCAACGCGATGCAGCCGATGATGAGGCCGGCGAGCGCGCCGTGGCTTTGGGCGAAGCTACTCGAGAGTCAACACACAGTACATGCACGTCATAAGATGTACGACTTACAATTGCTTACCGCCGTTCGCCTCCGGGATGAGCGAGCCCGACACGATGACGGACGACAGCACTGTGACGCTCGTGTGCCCCTGGCTCGTATACGTGAGCGTCCAGATCGACGTCGCCGTGACAGTCTTGACGGTGTAGTGCACCGTCTCCGTTGTCGCGGAGTGGACGGTCGTCGTCGAGTCCGTCGTCGCAACGTACGTCGACGTCCGCGTGCTCACGACGGGGAAGGACACGGCGGTGTTCGAGTAGGTCCATGTGTTTGCGGATGACGTGGGCGTCACTGGAGAGGTGGAGGATGCTGGTGAGGCCGTAGACGATGGTGAGGTTGTGAGGTGAGAAGATGAATGGGAGGACGATGTCGAAGAGCTGGACCGCGACGCGCTCCCACTGGACGCCGAGGACGACCGTCTACTAGAGGAAGAAGAGGAAGAAGCATGGCTAGAAGAAAGCACAGAGTCAGAATCGGTTGCAGATCCAGTCGTGACACTCATAGAACTCGTGAGATCATCAGCAGAACCGGACATGGCAGTCATTAACGTTGTGGAACTCGTAAAGTGAGGAAACGTGCTACTCGCACTGAGATCGCGGCCAGACGAAGAGGACGGCGGTCCGACAGGAGAAACCGACGACGTGGCCACAGACGAAGACGCAGGTACCGAGTAGCTCCCAGACGAAACACTCCGTGACAAAGGCACAGTCGTTGACAAGCCCGGGTCGCCAGGCCCGGACGCACTACCGGACACCGACACCGACCACGACGTCGAGCCAGGTGCACCCGAGCCCACCGACGACGCACTGCTCGCCGACCCGCCACCCGCGGAAGTCCTCGACACACCCACCGACGAAACCGAAGGACTCGGAGGGCCGCCAGTCGACCAAGCACCCGTCGCTCCACCCGACAAACACGACGTCCTCAGCGAGGTGCTCGTACCCCGCGCGTCCGACGTGCTCTCAGGCCCCGTAGCACCCGCCCCAGACGAGATGGCAGAGCTCCCCGCGCTCACGCTCGTCGCCGCTCCACCAGAAGTCGTCGACCCACCGGGGATCGAATGGCTCGGAGTCGAAGTCGAAGTCGACGCGGACGCGGACGCAACGCTCGCGGCAGAAGACCGGGTCGCCGGAGCGCTCCCCGTGCCGCCACCAGTAGTAGATGCGCTGAGACTAGTCGCGCTAGAACCAGCACTACCAGAGGTAGAGGAGGCCGTCACAGGCGCCGAAGACGATACTAACCCAGTAGACCTCGAACGAGCACTCGACCTAGACGTGGAAGGCGCGGAGCTCGACCGCGACGCCGACGCCGACGCCACTGTGCTCGACGAGGACCGCGCCGACGAGGACGAGGACGACCGCGAGGAACCCGGCCTGCCGCCGCGAACACCACGGGAGACGCAGGCGCACGGAGGAAGACACGACGAATGGAAGGTATACAAGGAAAAGCGCGCGGTCAGACGGGCGCGGGCACCCACGCAACGATCTGTCATACACTCACCTAGACGTGCTCGCGCTCCTCGACGCGCTGCTTGAAGACTTGGAACTGGAACTGGAACTGGACCTGAAACTGGAACTGGAACTGGAACTGGAGCTGGGCCGCGAAGACGATGCAGACGAGGCCGACTGGGACGCCGACGTCGACTGGGAGCGCGTTGAAGCGGAGGTCGAGCGTCCGACGGACGTGGAGTCGGAACGACTGAAGGACAGCGAGAACCACGCGTTCGACGACGAACGCGAGTCCGACACGCTCCGCGACCTCGAGTCGCTCGAAGCACTCGTAGAACCATCGCCGCTGGACTGGGGAGCGGAACTCCTCTCGGTACTCTGCGACTGCGATAACGGAACCGAGGGCGTGCTCACGCTGATGCTGGTTGGGACGGAGGTGCCTATGGGAAAGGACAGGGACGTGGACTGTGTGCTGCCTGGCGCTGGTTGCGAGTCTCCTCTGCTCTGCGAGCTTCGGGTGGACCCCAAATCGGATGTGGTGGCTGAGCTGGAGTCGGGCGTCGAGGGCGGGGCAGAGGCGGACGTCGAGGGCGAGGGCGAAGGGGAGTCCGACGTGGTCGCAGCCGGGGAGGACGAGCTGGCGGTGTTCGAGTCGGAGCTGGACGAGGATCCCTGTGCACTTGTCGTCGACGCGCCGGCACCGGCCTGGTCTTGCCGCGCCATGAGGGGATGCAGCTGCGGCGAGTCGATTACCTTGACAGGGAGGAGACGTACGCAGGCATTGATATCCCTTGCGCTCGCGGTCTGGATGCACGCCGCAGAGGCCGGGAGGGGTCCCTGCGCACAGGTGAGGCTCAACGCAAGCAGGCCGAGCGTCGCGCTGATGTTCCGTGCGCGTATTGCGGACCTGGACGAGCACGAAGAGTCCATCAGCGGGCCTCCGCTCAGGCAGAAGGAAACGCACCTTCGCCGCGGCCTCGGAGGGTCCGCTCGGGCGTCAATGGTGCTCGCCATCGGAGGGCGGGGGTGGCTGGGAGCGCGCGTGCGCTGTGGGTCGGAGGGTCGCGCAGGCGCAGAGGCCAGTTGTATGCATGCGGAGAGGGTGTCGGACACGCCCGGGGCGGGCGTGGGTGGGCAGGGTGCCGCGGAGGGCTGGGTATAGGGCGGATCTACGAGTGAAGAGGCGTGAATAGAGGGGGCTGTAGGGTAGGTGGGCGTGCAGAGCGGGACACGGAGCTGGGTGGGCGGTCTAGGACAGGGTGCGGGTGGGGACGTGCGGGCATGGAGGACGGGACGGGCGTATTTTGGGGTATCGTGACGGGCGTGGGCAGAGGCTGGGAGCATGTGCAGGCGTATGTCAGACCGTGGTCAGAGCAAGTGTGCCTCGAGACCTGCGTGGAGCAGCGCGTCGGCAGGCTGGCGAGCGACTGCACCGACTACTCGGACGGGGCGCTTCTGGGGGCGTGGCAGGGCGTACAGTGTGTGGAGCAGGCTGCGCGGTGGGCATGGAGGGGCGGGCCAAGGGCGGCGGCGACGGGCGGGCGGCGGGGGTCGCTGGGAGGCCGCTGGAGAGGCCGCTGCGAAATAAAAAGCAGGCGACGGGCAGCCTGCCAGTGCTCTGCTCCCGGTCGCCCAAAGACGCCGCTGCACGTCTCCGGGGAGTCGGCGCAATCCACGATCGCCCCAGATCTGGCGTTGCGCGCACCGGCATCCCGGCGTCCACTGCGCTGCGCCACCCCTGCGCCACCCCAACGCGGTCTCGTGCGCGCGTCACTCCCGCCGCCCCCGCCGCCCGACGACGCGTCCCGCCCCACCTGCCTCTTCTGCGCCCCTCGCGCCCCAGTTCGGCCATCGACGCCCCAGATCCGTCCCGGCGCACTCGGCCACACTGAACATGCATGGAAACAGCGCACAGAGCCGCAAACAGCGGCGACTGCGAATGCGCTCACCTATGACGCATCAGGTACCACGGACGTGCGCCCGCCGCGTAGCTTCACACAACGCCTCCCAATACAAATCACCCCATCAACTCGACTTGCTTATCGACGTCCCCTTTCGCCGCCTCCCTATATGTCCCCTATATTCGCCGCCCCCCCTACACGCGCCTCGAGCCCCCCAATGTACCTGGAACTAGCGGCCCACCCATGTCAGCGACGACCCCGGCGCCCGCCCTGCGCAGTTCCAATCTCCCCCGGGCTACGAACCTGCCCACCCGGGCCCTCCGGCATCACCACAAACAAGCTCGGACGCCCGCGCCCTCGGACGCGTGGCCGTCTTCGCTGGGAAATCCGCACCTCGGTCCGCGCCAATCCCTCCCTCGACGTTCGAACTCGCCTATGTTTAGGCAAGAAGACGCGTTGCGCACGTAAGCGCGTCGCGACAGATGCCGTGCGATATAGCCTCCTCGAGCTCGCCCACCGCACGCCCTGCTGGAAAACACAACGACACGCCGCGGCAGGAGGGCCCCGTACGGGCGCCGCTGTCTTGAGTACTCGCGCAAGCACAGTAAGGAAGACCTACTAGGATATCCCCCGACTGAGTCCCGGGCATCGATTCCCTTGTGTCGTGCACACCGGCGGGCCGTTCGTCGACACGTTTCCGACCACATCTTCGTCGTCAGATCCCTGCAGACACGACAGAGTCGTGTCGATCGCACGCGCCCTTTCTAGTGGCGAGTCTACGCTCACAGCGGAAGCTCCCCGGCATCCCACGACGGCCATCCCTTTCAGACTTTACTAGTAGCCAGGAACCAAACTCGAAGCTCACAAAACAGAATAACAAGATTTCCCATGGAAGCCAACCCTCCAGAGCCCAACCCTCGCAGGCCTTCGCGGCGCTCGACGTCGCCTGACGTAAACCGTCCGCACTTCCCAAGTACAGATCGCGTCGACGTTCCTGGATCACTCTCCCACAGAGCCGCGACTTCTGCATACACGACTCAGCGAGAACGACCACCCGGGGGTCCCCGCGGACTGGTGAGTGTCTCTGATCGCGCTCGAGCTGCACTCGTTGAAGGGTGCCACTTACTTACATAGGATGTCCAGGGCTCCACGATCTCGACGGTCTGCGCGGGCACCGTTTAGGATAAGAAGTATGTGCAGGAAGAAGCGGTGCTTGGGATTCTCTCGAAATCGCTGGCTGAAGGCAGGCAGTATCGCCGGTGCCTGTGGCTGAATAAATGCCAGAGACGCAGCCGAACAGAACGTCCGAGTCAGCTCCTGGTACACACGAACCTCGTGTGTGTGTACAGAGCCCGTTGGCCGCGCGGAGAAGCCTCGATTCGGGTGTTTCTTCGTTGAGTCTGTGATAGTGATACGCTGCAACCGACAAACGTTCGGTGAACTCTGCTACTAGAGTATCGACCCCCTGACGTACCGACCACGTTCACCTCCCAACAGGTCTGGTTCATAGTCGCGATCGCGACAACAGGTCAAGTCTTCCTGTCAAGTTCATCCCACTGGCAACAACCATCCTCAGCCTGTCCACCGGCCGGCCTCCCACTCCCCACCCCCACCCCCACCCCCACTCTCGCCCCGCACCACACCGCTGACCCATCTGACCGCCCTCCCACGATCCCCGGGCCCGCCGCTTGGGGATATCGATCATCGCCGGGTGCATGCAGTCCAAGTATCGCCTGTTCGCGCCGGCGAGGTCGCACGGAATTGCGATATGGCGAGTGTCGCGCTCCAGAGTGGGATGTCTGATTACGAGGCTGACTACGAAGTTGGTTGGGGGCGAGATGGGAGGAAGGTGAAGTCATGGTTGAAGTCATGCTGTGCGCTGCGGCCCAGGCGAGGCGGGCTTCTGGCGTTCCGCGTGCGAGGCTGCCGGCGGTACGTCCGCTATTCAGTAGGCTAAGGATCGCGTCTCGTCATATTTACGGGTCAGCTGGGCGCGTTGCTACGTCGTGGTATGTCATACGTATACTGTAACACTGCGCGCGGACGAGGAGAGGATGTAGCAGGTGATCTACTGATGATGCCGTCGTTTCCTACTGACCAATTAGTGGTAAGGTGTAAGTACTGTAGTGGTAACTTAAAAGTTAGTGAGAGTGCGACCCTTCTGCGCAACGGGACAGGCGAGTGGACTCGGACGGAGGTGTCGGAGTGGTAGGTACTACTAGGTGAGCCGGCTCCTGTTGGCAGTGTGCTTGTGTGTTGACTGACCATTCTCGTAGGAAGGATCGTGTCCGGTGGGCGCAAGATGGCCGTTAAAAGGAGGGCCGTGAATGACAGTCGTCGCTCTCCGTGCCCGAGTTCTCTCTCTCTCGGAAACAAATAAACTCGCTACAGCTGGAAGGCTATATCGCGTCGACAGGCTGACGACTCGATAGGACGACCAACAGTGGTCTTTCGTCCCATTCGTGCGTTGACGTGATAGCATCAGCATGTTCAAATGATGGTGGCATTTCAGATCGTTCATGTGCGATGTTCGACTGTTTTGAGGGCAGGTGCTGGAACCAACAGGCCGACAGCTGTGACTCGTGCGGGACGCTACTTTTGCTGGGCCACGCACGTAGGACGCCCTCCATCATCATGCATGTCTCTCGTTCCCAGGGTCATGTCATTGTATGCGAGAGCTCGTCGTATGGATAGAGCTGTCGGTTGGACTGCTGAAAGTCGACAACTTCACAGTTCATAGATCATGTGCACGTCGCCACCGAGCGGCTCTTCATCACCGGGTTTGTCTCTGAGCGACACCGGACGCTGTGCTAACGCAGTTCCACGGTGCTTACAGACTTACATGTAACGCAGTACGCCCACCGGCGCGTCGTGAAACAATGGCAACACCGCACTTCCCTCACCAGTCGACGCCAACTGCACACGTGTGTCATTTTTCAACTGCAGGTGCACATATCAGCAAGTCCTCTTCAAGTCACTTGAGTGGTCGTTGACCTTGCGACCTACGGACAACGTCCTTCGATGAATGCTCTATCGGGTGCGGTCATGCTCCGTACACTTCCGGGCATCGGTACATGCCAGGACAGCTTGTCATGCACTCGTGGCTATGCATGCTCATGAGCTAAAAGCAACGTTGGGTTCCTCAAAATGGCGGTCGAATTGCTGTTGAGACTCAGAGGCCTGAGCGCCAGGCCATTTGCCTCCGCCGTGACTACATGCACTGTAGTCATTGACCGCCGGCGGTCCGAGTAGTACTATTCATGCTTTCATCGGCGCGCAGCCTCAGTACGGCACACTCGACCCTCCGCGTCCATGGAAGGCTGCTACGAGTCTCTGAGAAATGGTCGCGCACGAGGGGCCTCGGCTGCGCAGGGCGAAGAGATGATTCCGCGACGCGAACGGGGAATTTGGATGCGGGCGCCTACGCGGTTGTGGCGCGCGGTGGAGATGGGCGCTAAGCTTGTGTCGTTCAGCTCCTCGTTCGCGAACAAGCACGCCGCTTCCCGTCGTCTCCTACATCGGATGCATCGTCGATGTACAGAGAAAGAGAACACAGAGCACGGCGATGGGATAATAATGCTGGGATATCGTTGAGCGAGGGCGACGTGCGCGACGTTGCAGTTGCCCTATGACAGATAGGGCAAGAGGAGGTGCAAGAGAAGCCCGCCTTCCTCATTTCCCGCCTGCCGCGCGCGCGAATTCGCACCGGACGTGGTGACAGCAGCCGTGCTAGGATCCGAGCTAGACACCCATCGCCCGCGAGTATGCTGCCCCCATCTGCCCCTTGCCCTCCGCCCTCCAGGTCCGTCCCTAACTTCTCCCTTTATCCTCCCCCGCGCCCCAGACTGACCCCATCTCCTAGCCCAACTCTAGCTATCACCTACTGTCGTTTATTCTTTGAGCATGGCCTCCTTCCACGGCGTGCGCATAGAAGCGCCCGGGAACGGTACGCTGCTTCGTCTGTCGAGAAAATTGCCTCGCTGACCAAACTGTCGCTACTCTTCACTTGGTCGCTGCAGGAGATGGCCCTCCGCGCTACACACTACACGAGTCTGGGCACAGCTCCGTGGTTGTCCGCCACCAGGTGATCACGCACTCGCGAAGCTTCACGACCAACGGCCAAGAGTCCCAGTCTCCTTCTGACCAGCAGGCAACCACGTCCATCGACCTCTCCACGGACAGCCGCACGCTCAAGCACGACTCTGTTGATGAGGCCGACTCGCGCTTCCAGTCGCTCGACCTCTCGCTCGACGGGCCCACCAAGCCACCCGCGGCGCACACGCTCGCGAAGGGCGTCGAGGCCGCGCCCGTGGTCAACCTCCCCGACGCGGGCGGGGTGAATGCAGGGCACGCACACGCGGATGTGGAGAAGAGTGCAGCTGCGGGCGGCGCGGGCAGCATAGACAAGGTGAATAGGATGTCGGCGGAGGGGACGATGGAGAGCACCCACCCCGAGGCGGGCTTGCCTGAGAAGACGGAGATGCAGGCCCCGCGGGGTGGGAACCCGCCCCAGTACTTGACGGGTCCCAGGCTTTGGACGCTCTTTGGGTATGTATTATGGCACTGCGACACTGCCTCGAGACCGAGGTTCGGGACTGATGCGCCTATGCAGGTCGATGGTTCTGACCGTTTTCTTGACGAGTCTGGACGGCACAATCGTACGTACTCGCGCCCCGCCACTCAAACTCTCCGCTCACACTTAGCTATTGCCTTCAAACATCGCAGGTCGCCACAGCCCTCCCGCGTATCGTCTCCCAGTTCGATGCGCTCCATGACGCGACCTGGGTCGCCGTCGCCTGTACGTCCGCCCTCCCCTCCCACTTACTCCCACCTCCACTCACTCTCACTCTACACAGACATGCTCACCCGGACGGCACTCATGCTCGTCATCGGCCAACTCGTCAACGTCGTCCCGCTCAAGACGCTCTACCTGCTCTGCGTCATCTTCTTCGAGGGCGGGTCGGCCCTGTGCGGCGCGGTACGTTTGACTCGATCTCGATTGAAAGGAGATTGGTGGGAGTGCTCATCGGGACCTGCGGACAGGCACCGAACATCAATGCGTTGATCATTGGGAGGGCTATTGCGGGGATCGGGTCGTCTGGGTACGTCGTCGCTGTCTCCGAGATGATGAGCCGCTGATTGCAGTGTGACTGTATGCAGGATCACCGTCTGCTACATCGCGGCGATAGTCAGCGTACGTCATGCCCAATCTGCCAGTGCACTATGTAGATGATGCGGTATTGACATCTTCCACGCAGTTCACGTCGCTGACGCTGCGGCCGTTGCTCCTCGCGGGGCTGTCTGTCGTCTTGGCTGTGTCGACGATCTGTGGACCACTGCTCGGTGTGTGCCCTTTTTGTTGTCTGTGGGTGTGCGCTGAACCGGCGGCGGTGGGCGTGCAGGTGGAGCGTTTACAGGCGAGTCTTTATTCCCTTCTGGACGCTATGACGGCAGCTGACGTCTGTGCTGCAGATCGTGTCTCCTGGCGTTGGTGCTTCTACATCAACCTCCCGGTCCGTTTTTCTCTCTCGTCTTCCGAGACTCATCATTGACGAGTCTTCGTATGGATCTGCCAGTTCGGCGGCCTCGCCGTCGTGGCTATCTTCCTCTGCATGCCCAGCCGGCCCGCCCCCCAGGGCGCGGACAAGCCGTTCTTCACCCGCCTCCGAACGTACGTCCCCCTCTTCCCCCTCTTTTCCGCCCCCCGCTGATGCCTCCGCATATAGGGGCATCGACTGGCTCGGGTGCGTGCTGACGGTCGGCCTGACGACATGCCTTCTGCTCGCGATGCAGTGGGGCGGCGTGACGTACCCCTGGGACAGCGCGACGATCATTGCGCTCTTCGTCGTGTTTGCGGTGTTGCTTGTTACTTTGGTGTTCTGGCAGGTGCGTGTTGTGGTGGTGGGACGAGGTGGGGAGGTACTGATGGGTGTGTGTGTGGTAGAGATGGTTTGGGAAGAGGTCGTTGATACCACCGACGATGCTGACGAGGAGGACACAGGTGTTTGCGAGCTTGGAGACGGTAAGTTCCTGGGGTATCGTGAGGTACTGAGGTCTGACTGTTGTGTTTCAGTGTTTCTTGCAGGCTGCGTTGACAATCACGGTGGTATGTACTGGTCTTCTGCCTGTGAGGTGATTCTGACTGGGGACTACTTCACAGTACTACCTGCCTGAATGGTAAATTAACGAGATTGATTTCGAACACGTCTCCGAAGGTGCTGATTTATGGCTAGGTATCAGATCAAGGGGAGCAGCCCCGTCGCTGCAGGTGTCAATGTCATGGCGTTCATGTTGTCATATCTCATTGGTACGCCTCTCCCTCGTCTCTTGCTGGGTAACGTTGTCATCTTACCCTATGATCCCAGCCTCCGTGCTCGCGTCCAGCGTCGTTTCCGTAAGTGTTCTCGAGCTCAGGTGCTTGCAGGCTTACGGAGACGTTGATCCCAGCGCGTCGGATACTACTGGCCTTTCCTCGTCTTCTCTCCGCTCATCTCAATACCTGGTGCGGTCATGTTGTACCGCTCGGGACCGGGGACCTCGACCGGTCACCTCATTGGGTTCCAAATCCTCTTGGGGGTATGTGTTCGCATCAAGGCCGCGCGCAAACAGAGCTGATTGAATGTGCAGGCTGGTATCGGGGGCGCGTTCTCTTCGCCCAACGTCGCCATTCAGGTGCGTTGCGGCGCTGTTGTGGGTGTCGTTGTTTGGTCTAATTGTCGTGCAGAGTGATTGGGCAGACGTTACTCGCCGGAGCACGCTCGCTACGACCATATCCGTGAGTGCGAAAGGGAGATGTGTTTGATACCAATCATAACGCGTCCTGCAGACGTTTATGGGCTTCATCGGCGGTATCATCGGCCTCAGGTACGTCGTGTCTCAGTATGCCGATCCCCCTCTTGACGAAGAGATGGTCCACAGTTTGGCGGGAACGTTATTCGACAACAGTCTCGGCAATCACCTCGCTCAGGTCCCGGGCCTCTCTGACGCGCTTCGCACTGAGGTCGCAGAGAGCATCGAGGTGATCGCGACCCTCCCCGAGCCGCTCCGCGCCGCAGTCATCGACGCTGCTATTGGGGCTGTGAAGCCGACGTGGCTGCTCGTCCTGGGCTGCGTCGTGCTCGGTAGTCTGTGTGGAGTGTGAGTGGATTTACGTTGCCTGGATGTGGTTAGCGCTGATGTGAATTGTGCGGTAGGTTTGTGAAGAACCATAACATCAAGGAACGGGCGAAGTTGCAGCCACAGGAGTGAGGATGCGGAGGGACATTCTATTTTAGACTACGCCGTCGCTCTTGCTTTGTTTCTCTGTCGGTGATACTACGATACTGTTTGGAGTAAATCCTATCGAACGTGCTGTAGTCCCTGTAATTTCATTCGAAGTGTCAATTCAATCTCCTTGTTGTCTTGTGCCCCTGGTCCATGTCATCACCAGGAAAGTGACCGATAGCTAATGCAAGCACACTGCAGGTGGACAGATGATAGTGATTCTCCATAGTTGTGTCCCCAATGGAACGCATGTTACGCAGCTCGATTCAGAGTGAGGTTCGCCCGAGACGTGGCGAAGACAGTACTAACGGCGCCCTCGTTCTTCCTACCAGCGAGGACCCGAGCAATGGTCTAGCGTTATCTCCCACGAAGCTCGAATTCGTCGTCGAGGGTGTTGAGTTTGAGGGTCCTTGCTGGTTCGAGGGCCCGACGCGGTAAATGCGCCGCAGAGATCGTTGACGACGCTAGTTTGCTAGTTTGCACCCTCTATCAGCCTCTATCTCGAGGCTAAGTGCCTAGCCGTTGGCTCTGGAGAACTGTACATTTGCGGGAGGGAGCAAAAATAGTTCGAACGATATCAGCTTCCCTGAACCGTAAGTAGAAAACCGGATAGATGCCTGAGAGTGGCAGGTTGTTGACAGGTTGGTGGGCCTCGTCAATCTGGATCTTGTGGCTGCTGCTAGCTTGCGATTATAGGCCACTACGCGAGATCGTGCTGGGAACATGCCGTCGGTTCGTTGTATCGACCGTTGGGATCGGAAGTGACGCATGTGCAGGGAGGGCGTCAGTGGTCATGACCGGTCATGTCTGCGAATTCGGATAAGCATTCTCGAACGTCAGTACTTCGATGTAGGTTTCTTCCGAATAAGCCCGCCAGGACGGTCGATGTTTGTACCTCGAACAGAGGCGCTTCTCGTTCCTGCATTGCATCGAAGATCCCGGCACCGAGAGTACGGTGCATGTCACCGGCTTCCAGAGATCAATGGAACCATTCTCATCGGATGAACTTGCCGAACGCCACAATTCTGTTCTCAAGACTCACCAAGTACTGTTGCCCGGGCACGCTCGGGCGCCGCGACGAGATGTGCGGCGAGTAGACACCATGCATATGTCGCATATGTACGTCTGAAATAATCATTACGAAGGTCGCCGTCATAGCTTGCACGTTTTGATAGTGTCTGACACAAATTGTCGGGCCGACGTCATCTTCTACCAGCCACTGTGTCGAGTAGACGCTGGGTTTGTGGCTTCGTCCTCTTGAAGGCAGTTCGTGTGTCTTTTCCACGGACAAGACTGCCTCTTCGGATGGCGATGAGGTAGACTGCCCGAAATTGTAGGCATACTCAATTATCTCTAAGACATCTTACCTCCGATGATGTGCCTATGATAGCGGGATTGTTTCCTCGGACTCATTACGTTGATTTGTGCGTCCATAGGACGCTGCATCACTTCTACATGCTGCCTGCTCACACAAACGTATTTGTATATCAATGACGTTTGACTTGTGCGACGTGATCTCACCTTCGGTGCGGAGCTAGAGACGGGACTGAGCTCTGTATCACCATTCGGCGGCGAGCGCGGCGCTGACTTCAACGACGAAGCTCCCGATTGTGGTAACCTAGTTCACGGTATCTGCGTACCCAACGGTCCAAAAGCCGAAGTATTCCTGGATTTGCTTGCGCAAGCATCGGCCCCTGGCGAGAGAATAACTCAACATCACGGACAGCGCCTCCACTCGTTCGCGGTGTCTAGTTCGGGCGAGCCAGTGTCTTCAGGCGCGCCCTTCTATCTTCCCTGGCGTGCTCGTCAGTTCCAACAATGGCGGAAGCCCCACACGAACCGTTCTATCTTGTCGGGGTCGGCCTGAGTCCGGGGGAACCCTGGATGATGACAATAATTTACCGTAATATTCCTGGTGTCTCCCAGTGTTCGCTTCCTATCTGGGTGTCAGCGTGTCTCGCGTCCTGAGGGGTGCAGACAAAGGAGGGGCAGGCGGTTATAAAGGGTCTTGCGCGCATTGTCCGGAACCGCGCCATATCCGCTGGTCTCACCATGTCGTCAGGAAACACTAGCACGTCCGTCCAGTTCAACTACCGGCCGTCGAACGATCTGTTCTTGCGCAAGCTCCCCGCCTCGCGCTCGTTCGACTTTGGCCCGCAGGCGCCCCTCGTCGTCGTCGCGGTCTTCGTCGCGCTGCTGGTCCTCGGCGAGGTAGGCCAGTTCTTGCTCGCGCAGAGGCAGCTCTCCACGGGCCATAAAGGGAACTACGTGATTTTGCCGTGGCTGCGGTACTTGGGCACACCGCAATTCTTCACGAAGGAGTACCGGTACCTTGCTAAGGCGTTGCAACGGTTTCCTGGGTCGTGGTTCAGATTCAGGGTACGGGAGGTAAGTGAGAGCCGACCTCGAATGTAGAACGGATCTCTGACTGCCATGCGTTGCAGAATGACGTCGTCATAGTCTCCGGGAGCGAGGCGAGACATGTTTTCTTCAACTGCCAGTCGCTCACCTTCCTTGAGGGTTACTTCCTCCTAGTAAGTGTGCGAGACAGATCTATGCCACAACATCACTAAAGTATCGGTCGTCAGCACCCAAACATGAAGTACCTCCTTCCTGAGGCATACACAGATGGCAATGATGGCTTCGGCTGGCTGCTGAAGCAGTTCGGACGATCCGACGTGCTTCAACAATGTAAGGAGCTTGTCAATCATAGTGTAACTAAGACTCACCCAAGATGTGCTAGTCCTTACTCCCACCGCCGCCGACGCTCAGAGGCTTGTGTCGCAGCTCGGCACAGAAGGTGTCATGGACCCGTTCAAGGATGTGGACACTGTGAGCATTCCGAATGTTCACCGCAAGTCCTTACTCACGAAGGCTCTTAGGCCGTGTTAAGCGTGTCCACGCGCATCGCAGCGGGCAATGAGATCGCCGACGAGCCCGCGAAACTCAACGCTGTACAACGCGCTCTATCCTGGATGCAGGAGGGCTCGACTCCGCATGCACTGATCCTTCCTTGGATCCCGACGCCCGCACGATTCCGTGGCGTACTAGGAGCCTTGAAGCTGCATCGCATGTTCAGCGAGGTCTTCCAGAAGCGCAAACGGCATTCGGCGAGCAACAAGGACGTCCTGCAGAGCCTCGTGAACGAGGATGTGAGCGCAACGCAGGCTTCCGTTGTGAGTACGCATCGTACCGTTACTACAGGATTGCTGACGAGGATGCCACGTGCGGCGCAGTTGACCATCATGACGATCCTCGCAGCGCATACAAACACGAGCGCGATCCTCTCCTGGCTCCTCATCACCCTCGTACAACACCCGACCTGGCTCGCAGCCGTCCGCGCTGAGGTCGACGCGTTCCTGTCCACGCACCACGTCTCTTCCCCTTCACAGTCGCCCTCCCCAGCTGGCATACCCTCCCCGCCGGCCTCGCCGTCCGACATCCCGCTCATCGCGTGGGAGCGCGCGCTCCCGACGCTCGACCTCTGCCTGCAAGAGTGCCTGAGGCTCTACATGAACGTCCCACTGATCCGGCGGAATACCGGCGATGACATTGACGTCGCTGGGCGGACGATCGCGAGCGGGGACTACGTGATGTACATGATGGAGGATGCGCACCTTGATGCAGCGGTGTACCCCGAACCTACGAGGTTCGACCCGCTCCGGGATCGGAGCAGGGCGGGTAAGTTGGGGTTCGTCGCATGGGGAGCTGGTGAGTTGGGTCGTTCTGTGGTTGAATGTTCAGTTGCTGACGGAGGTGGTCTAGGGACTCATCCATGCACTGGACAGCGCCTCGCGAAGCTCATCATCAAGGTGTTCGTCGCCGTGCTGCTGTGGAATTACGAGCTTGAGCTGGTGGATGCGCAGGGTCAACCACTGAAGAAGGCGCCACAGCCCGTGATGGGGCTGTTCAGCGTGCCTTGGCCTGACACGGACGTCAAGATGCGCTACAGGGAGAGAATACACGGTGCACGCACTCCTTTTAGCAGGTAGATGCTGTGGGACTTGGTTGTAGGGCGTCCAATATTCAATTGTATAGATCGAGGGACGTGACACCTGTAAATTTGTTGTATATATGTAGACGATAGAACGGCATCTTATCCTGCACCTTAGATCACAATGCTATGCATCTAATAGCGAGGGTGTCCTCACACAATGCAAGAACACGAGGAAACGGAACTCGCATAGTCGGATTGTAAAAGTGGTCATAACCGGCCCACACCGTGACAGCGGCTACGGAAGAGCTAGCAGCAGACTGGTCCGAACAGCCTTGTGAATCCACGGTGCTGAGAGGAATACTGCTCGGGTGTCATGCATCATGCCCAGCAGTACAACACGACGTTTACCCAGCGAGATGCTGTTACCTAGAACTGTATCTCGCTTTGTAGACGTCATGCAGGCTGCTGGTGTCAATGTCGCTGAGACTGGCGCGGACGCCACTGAGCCGCCGGCTGAACTGTCACAAAAGTCAGAATATTAATGCATCACTTGGACGGGGACATACGCAGTTCCTCGAGACGTAGCCGGTTTGTAGACGCGTCAATTGCCTGCGTATGACGGAAGATAGCCGCACCGCGCTCAAGAAATGAAGGGAGTCTCCGAAAGAAAGAACAATGAGATCGACGCCGACGCGAATCGACGGGAATAAGGCGCGTCTGTTGTGGTGTGTTTGTGCAGCACGGGAGACGCCGGTGCGTGTTGGAATTTGGACGCGTTGTTGTGGCCGCCCATAGACCCGCGTCGCCCGCATCCTCAACCCCTTTTCCCGCCTTCTTCCTTCCTTCTGCCCACCCCTCTGCTCTTCCGACCGGCGGGAACGACATTCACGACCTGTATCCCAACTTCTCACATATTAATGCCTAAAACACGCAATATTCGCAGACCTGCCGTGGCAGCGCCTCCTGTGAAAGCGGACGCAGACGAGCAGCAGGCATCAGGGAGCTCGAAGCCATCCGCGCGAGGAAAGGCCAGCCCGGTAAAGCGAGCGGCATCTCTCGTGCCCTTTCCGACCCCGCCGCGGACGACGCACAAGCGCAAACGCGCCCGGTCGCGCATCACTGATTCCGACTCGGAGGAGGACGAGCGGGCCCTTGAGCTCCCCTCAATCGATGAAGAAGACAGGGAGGACATTGGCAAGCGCGATGGCAACGGCGCCCTCATCCTCGGGTACAAGAAGCGCAAGACCCTTGATGCGATCGCCGAGGAGCTGAGCGAGGCCCAGGTTGAAGAGGCGTTCTGGGTAGGCGAGTCGGGTGCACCCAAGGCTGGGGAGAGTAGTACGAAGAGCCAGGGGGCCACCAGAGGGCGACAACGCTCAAGGTCTCCCACACGTTCACCGTCGTCTTCGCCGCCGCCTGCGCCACATCTCCTTCGTCGTCAACATACGGGGCTCGCATCGCCTCCCCCGTCGCGACGGCAGCCCAGGACGCATTTCATACGGAACATCCGGACGCGCAGGCAGACCACACCGCCAGCTCCCGCTCCTCCTCCGCCTGCGCCGTCCGAGACGCGGGTGAAGAAACAAGGATTGTTCCCTACGCGTGATACGCCTGACAATCCGTTCTTGTCTGACGATTCGCCCGGTCCCTCCAGGGCTGCAGCGATTGCCTTGGAGGCACCGCGCACGCCAGAGCGAGTTGTTGAGAAACCGACGGTGACATGGGTTTTGTGCGTCCTCATATCTCTATCCTCGATTATCACCGCCTAACGAACTTCGCAGCCGTGGCAAGAGGGTCGAACTCGCAAATCCGCATTACAAGTCCCCAGGTGTTCCAGACTCCCCTACGGAGGCCGCGTCCTTACTCCCCGAGACGCACCCGGACTACAGCCCGCCAGCAACCTACGCTCCGAAGTTGCTCTTCCCCGGGGCGCGCCGCGACCTGCGCAAGCACCGCGAGCCCTCCGCAGAGCCTCGTACGCCCACTCACTCGCGTGGCCTCCCCAGCCCCGGCGTCGAGACGCGCTCACAAACACGCGCACGTTCGCGGTCCCGCGCGGCTACGGTCGACTCAGACGACGAGGAGACGGAGCTGCCGCAGGGGAAGATGCTGGCTGCCGTGCCTGAGGTTGAGGAGAATGAAGTCGAGGTGGACGAGGCCGCACTTCAAGCTGCGATGGCGAAACGGCTTGCACAGCGGATCCCGATCGCCCGCACTGATAGTATTGGTCGTGCGTCCACCTCGACGGCGACGTACGAGCCGCCGAGGACGCGCGCGCGGGCGCGCGCTGCGCCGAGGCTCCCCGAGAAGGATAGCGACCCGGCTCGTCGGGCGATGGGCCCTGCGAGGCCTGTGAAGGGCTGAGCTGAGCGTCGAGCTGTGCTCCGAAACAGTATGCTGCTTATGCTATGCGACTAGGTTGCGCTGATCTTGATATCCGCTCCACCGGATTTCCTTTCTGCTTTCTTTCTTGAGTGTTGTTGATGTTACACCCTCGAGCATGTCGTCTCTTTCATATCTGCCATCCGTGCTGATCTACTTGCCTACTGATCGTCATCTCCGTCTCTTCTACCCGTTCACTCACTCGTATTGCGACACCTTGTTAAATGTAACCTCCCCATACTATCCCGCGTGTCTGTCCCCTTGGACATGCATCACCCGCCCACCCCTCCGCTTAATGCGACACCCATTCTAGACCCCTTACCCTCATTCCTGATGTCCGAAGTCACTAGTCATGAAAGGCTATAGTGTATCTAGTCGCTCTTGCATGTATGATCTGTCCAAAGGTCTGAACGCCCCTGTTTCTATGCTCGTCTTTGATGTATATATGCACATACGAATTTGATTTGTGTGAAGGCTCGCGCTCAGGTGTGGAGGATGTCATCACAGTGTACTTCGGCAATGAACATCAATTGTCATCACTACACACATACACGCAGGGTATTGGGACGCTGAAGCGTACAAAGGGACTGTTTGAGACGAGGGAAGAGCGACAGCGAGAGAATAATGCACAAAGAACGAGCAGCGGGATTGATCGGGACGTTGCGTTGTGGACCGGGGAAGGGTGCGCTGCAGCGAGTCGAAGACGTTTCACGAAAGCAGTCAAGCAGGAGACGCAAGGTCGGTTCGGTTCCAGGCGCATATAGGCAGTTCAAATAGAGTCTCTTCAAGTTCGTTTGGCAGCATATCAAGAGCAGTTCCATCTTCCCGCGAGGTCAGGGTGCAGGGAGGATCTTTGTAGACGATGCCGCAGCTGGGCAGACCGAGGCGATCCCATAGTCCTGTCGACACGCGCTTGCGCTACTAATTGTAAAGACATCAGTATATAGGGCAGGGCGCATCGGCTTCTTGGGGTGGGTATATGCGGGTGATGACAGGGGCGGGACGTACCTCAGCGATTCTCCTCTTCATACTGGCATATCTGATTTTGAACGGCTCATAGGGGACGGGAGGGCATGCGGGGCGTTCGTCATCGTCGGGCTCTGGGATAGGATCCGAGGGCGGTGGCGATGGAAGGGAAGCTCTGGCACGGATAGTAGCTTGATCAGTGGAAAACGGACGAACGGGAGAGGAGACTGGTGACAGCGGTGCGTAGATCGTGACGACGGGATTGAAACGTCGCTTGTTAGTCGTGTCCGTATCAGCAGGCGTTGGGTTCCTGTCGGCACGCGAGCCACGGGAGGATGTTCCTGATGTGTCGTGGATATGAGACTTGGTCGTTACTCGAGGAGGCGGACGGTATACGGGGCGCCTCCCGTCAGCAGGCTGGCTCTCCCCGCGGTTGTTCGTCAGCAACGGGATTTTGAATTTCTTCGCAGTCGCGGTGCGCGCGGTAGCCCCCTGCGCAGGTCGTTTGGGCTTGTTCGATGGGATTGTACCCCAGGCCGCGTCTGGCGAAGGCGGGAAGGCGCTGTATGCGTCACGCTTAATGGGCCGACCGGGGGCAGGCGGTGCGCGGGTCCCGATAACATGGTCTTGGTGTTTGAGAATATGGCTTCGGGATTGAGAGGACGGAGGGAGGACAGAAGGTGAATGGGGACGGGTGTTTGGCTGTTTCGTGCGAGCGGCGGGGGCGGCGGGTATAAGAGTGGAATGGTCGTTTGCGGGCTGCACTGTTTCCTGCACGCGGCCATCGTCTCCCACAGAGTTCAACGAGGCATCATCCGGAACGCGAACTTCTTCAATGGCTCGGTTTATTTCGCTACCGTGGGGACTCGTGTATAGCGTCGATTGTGAGTATTTTACGACGGTGCACACCTTTTGCGCCGGGTTACAACGCCCGCATCCTGCAGTGACTGTCCGCATTCTGCAGTGCGAGTAGCTGTATGCATGTTCACTCGCTGTTTAGCACGGTAGATAACTGAAGCTCACTATCAGGGCTAGTCCCGACCGGCGAAACTGCACGCTGTGAATGTAGGAACTTGAAGTGGATATCTATGTGATAATTACAGTGGCTGGAGATCTCACTTGTGATGGCGCGTTTTCTCCGCTTGTAGCAATATGTCTCGAGGGCTGTGTCTTGGGCTTTTGTGATTTTATTGGCCTACTACCGCTGACACCGAACGCAAGCTGACGTAGTTCAGTGCATCCAGAGATGATCACAAGACGACGCGATGAGACCATACATCTATCCGGTGCTTGGGTTCGGCGGAAGCAGGCTTTTCGACATTGGATATCCCGCGCGTGCAGATAGGCTTGACAAGAGAGGAGCCAGGCTTTCGACCGCGATCGCCCTGCGACTTGGTCGCAGCAGTCGAAGTCCGCATTGAGGCATTTATCTTTGCAATGGTCCACGGATTGCTGCGATGCTGAGCGGTATCTTGTCTGCTCGACAAGTCCAGCTCCGTGAGAAGGATCCCATCCGTTAGCGTCGTGCTCTGTTTGTCGTCTAGCGAATCTTCGTCATCTGAAAAGTAGCATGCACGATAGTCGTAGCACCAGTCCATGACAACGCAGACCCACGCAAGGAGAACGGGAAGACCCAGCAGGTATGGTAGGGCTTGGTAGGCGCTGGTAAACTAGGCATCATGTGCCCGAGAATTGGGCGCTTCGTACCGGTTTGGCAGGACAGAAAGGGAGAAATTACTTATGTTGCGAAAAGGGACTTGGTGAAGATAGTCCTGCTGCTATGGACTTGTCTTATTTGCCGCTGCTACGCCCGGCAGGATCCGATATGCATATTGTTGTATGCACCAATGTGAAGGCAACGACACAAAAATATTTCAAGTGACCTGTGAGCACCTATGTACAGTACAGTGCTCCTCTCGCCCGCGGCGGCTTCGCCGCCCCGGGCGATTCGGAGCTATGCCGCAATCAGAGGCATATTACCACTTTCCTTGTTCACCCAGAACCCTACTAGTACAGATAGAATCTACTACGACACCAGACCAGTCAATGCTACCGGATGCAGGCTCTTGCAACTCTGGAATTCGAATCTTACAACAGGCGGTTTGAATGTTTGACTCGGAAGCGCGCGGATGATGTACTATATCGGGCCGGGATCTCGGCCACCTAAGCACTCATCGAGCCTTCCTCGCCCTATATACACTGTACACCCCTGGAATTGTGTTTTATGTCATGTTAAAACATCCCTAGAACACGTTTAAAATGTCAGAAAAATTCCAGGTTGACTGAGTGAAGGTCAGCGCAGATTCTTCTGGCACGAGTGGGTTGAGCTGTGCTGACTAAGAAGTCGGCCATGCTGCTTCAAGCAGCACTGTACATCGCCAACACACATCTGCATGGACCGCAAATCATGCAGATATATCCAAAGATATGTCTACAGCTCTTCCTTGGCCGCTAGACATGAGATCTGAGCAACGTGCCTAGTCGAAGTCGAGGGGTCCAGGAGATCCAGCCACTGATTACCTAAAATGGACATCCTCTCAAAGAATGATTTTTCTAGGATGCAAACCTCAATGCATTGACTTCAGCTGATGCACAGGCAAATAACAGGTGTACATTAACACAATAGTATTAAATTCCTGGCTACAGAAGAGGCTGGAGCTTTACGAGAGTCCAGTGACCGACTAGCTAGGGTGGCCGAGATCCCTGCCCGATATAGTAAGCTGTCCGACGTTTCTGTCCAATGAGACTGTCCAATGTCGCGATCTCCTAACGCGGTGCTGACTAAGCGAGGGCTCGGACGTTGCGGAAAAGACCCGATATTAGCATATCGGATCTAGGTACCTCGTTCGGAATGAGGCTGATTAGAAGAGATGTAGTACGATACATGAGCGGCGAGCAAATGAAGCTCAATGCTCGCCATGCAAACGGAGCAATTGAGTAATTACGGAGATTGGTGCTGTAGCGAGTGCGGGGCGCAGCCCTCCGGGCTGCCCGGCCCAAAACGAACCTCCGGGACCTGCGGAGCGACGGATGAGCTGCGCGGGCGGGCGGGCCCACCGCGAGAGCTTCCGAGTCATTCCGGTTGTATATCGCAGGTCGCGGGGAGGAAGCGCGTCGAGCCAAGTGGATGTGGGTAAGCATGCTTGCCTGCATCTGACGCGGCTTGACGCCGCGGAAACTGGGAGTGGCGGGTGGGTGAAAAACGACCGAAGCGTTGCGAAAGCTCTACAATACTTTCGCTGGCTGAGGACAAGTGGGCGCGCAACGAGAGAAGCGTTGCGCGCCTAATCCATGCACTACGGTACTTAGACTCAAGTCTGCGATCGGCTCGTGCCTCGCCTCTCTCAGACTGCCAACTATGCTATGACTTCAGAACTAACATTGGGCAGATCTAACATGGGAACAATGCTATTTAGGTTAGATGCATTGTCTGGGTAAAGAAGTGGTAGTACACTGTAGAATGCTCAGTCTAACCAATTTCAAGCTGTGCTGATACCAGTACCCATGACATTGGTGATTCTTTGCATTTTGCATGAGCTATGTGATTGACTCCATGCGAGCGGGTTGTGTCATCTGGTAACCTACTGCACCCCACTTGGTTTTGTTGTGTAACTGGAGGCTGCACGAAAAGCCAAGGTCTGCAAGTACAAAACATCAAGTGTGAACCTGGTATGTCACAAAAGCAAACATCTACTCTCAAGCCTTCGCACCCTAGCACAGCAGGCAGTTAGTACATGGCACAGAACGGCGAGGACGCTGCTGAATGCTCACAACAACTGGCATCCCGAACCGTTCTGCGCGTTTTCTCCGTTTTTCCAATTCCTCCTCGTCAGCGGCTTCTACCGGCGGCGCGTTACGCTTCCGGCCGTTAGACTGAGAGGTAGTCGTCTGCGTCGCGGCAGGTTGCGCTGTACCGAACCGTGCTGCACGAGCAGCGAGCTTGTCCGGATCCTACGAGAGACCGTGAATCAGCCCAGCGATCGCTCGACAGCGTACAGATACTGACGTTGAGCGGCGCACCAGCGATCTTTGTGTTTGCGTTCTTGACGACCTTCTTGGACTCCGGTGGCGTTTTCGACGGCTCGACTAGGGGAAGGCCAAACCGCGCTGCTCGCGCCTTCCGCCTCTCCAGCTCGTCGTCTTCGGCAGACTTGGAGGCATTGGGAGTAGCTGCCGTTTCGGTGGAGGGCGTGTCGGGTGTCTGTGACCACATTCAGTTCATCTGCAATGAGGGTGGCTACAAGAATATTCACGACTTGTGCGGCAGATGATGTAGGCTTGACGGGTGCGCGTGCAGGCGAGTTCGGGGTGGCGGCAGGAGGTGTGGGTCTGAGAGGGAAATATGAGACAGGCAACACCGTCGAGTGGAAGGACTTACTGCGAAGGTGGCTCTGATGGTGGCTACAGGATGCGATGTTAGCACGGCGCGGGAGGGAAGAGGGAGACACACTACCTCGTCGCGTGTGGGCTGCGGCTGTTGTTCAGTGAGTTTTTCTGACGTCGCGACGGGTGCCTTGGGCGAGTGCTGCGCGTTGTACACGTCGAGGGCGGCGGGAGACGCGAGAACGCGCGCGATGAGGTCGTTCTTGTTGGACTTGCTGGGGACGGAGACACCGGCGCGGGTGAGGATGTCCTTGAGGTCGACGACCTTGAGTGCTTTCCTGCGGGCGGTGAGCACGGTGGAGGGCAGAAGACGGGCATACTCACAGCTTGGCGTCCATTGCGGTGGAGGAGGAGGAGAGCCACTGCAGCTTGGCCACAGCGTTGCAGAGCGTGGGCGGAGCACGTGCGGGCGGCCAATGGGAGGCGGGCGTGGCGGTGGTCGCCCAATCAGCGGCCCTCGTCCGTCGACCAGTCGCCAGCTGCAATGGATCCCGTCGATCACCTCTTCAACCCAAATCCATATCATCAGTACCGTCCGTCGCCTCCTCCCTGCCCACAACACACACTGACTGCTCCCCGAACAGCCCACCATCAGGCCCATCTCTACAACTTCTACCCCCAGCAGCAACAACAACAACAGCCCCATCAGTCTCGCCAACCGTCCCCCCACCAGTCCCCCGCGTCGACCCCCATCCCTCCGTCTCCCCATGGGCTCTTTCTCCACCACCAGCAACAGCAGCAGCACGCACAGCAGCCGGACTCCCACTCCCGTGACCAACGCGAGCAAGAGCCCCCCGTCGACCAGATACAAGATGACCCTCCGCTAGATGAAGAGCCCCTGTACGTCAACGCAAAGCAGTACTATCGCATCCTCAAAAGGCGCGTAGCCCGCGCGCGGCTCGAAGAGCTCCATAGGCTGTCCAGGCAGAGAAAGGCATGTTCCAGCCGCCCTTATCGTCTGCGCACCTAACTCACACTGCGCGCCGTCTAGCCCTACCTGCACGAGTCGCGTCACAAACATGCCATGCGCCGCCCCCGCGGTCCCGGTGGTCGCTTCCTCACCGCAGAGGAGATCGCCGCGCAAAAAGCCAGCCAGGCTGCTGAGGCCGGTCCCTCGGCATCCACCTCCCAGGATGGCGAAGACGACGATGCAGAGCTCGTCGACAAGGACATGGATAAGGACACCGACAAGGATGCTGAGATGTCCATCGACAGTCCTCTCGAGATCAAGCCAAACTTCGCTGCCCCGCCGCAGGTCCAGCTCCCAGAGGTCAGAGCCGAGCAGCGTCCTGCTCAACCTCATCTTCAGCCCCGGCCGCAACCTTCCCATCCTCAGATCCAGGTTCCCGCCCAGCCGCAGGTATCGACGCACGTTCCAAAAAGCCAGCCTCAGACCCAAATGCAGTCGCCCGTCCACATGCAGCCGTCGTCTCACTTCCAGGGCCAGCCCCAAGCGCAATCACAGCCGCAATCCTCCCAGAACCACCGGGCGATGCGCACGCCCTTCGACAACCAGCTCTCGCTCGGGCACAACGCCGGGCCCATTAGTCTCTTGAGCGTCGGATACCAACACTCCCTCTCCCATCCTACCTCACCAACGCCGCTCTCGCCGCACCCCAGCATGTCGGACGCATTGCGCAACCGCGAGCACGTGTCGCACGGGCACTCCCATCAGGAGCACGGGCAGCACGACCACTCCCGGCACATGGGCTCTACCGCCTCCTCGTCCAGTATGGGGAGCCACATTTCTAACGCGTCCGCTCAGCCCGTCGCGCAGGTAGGCGCCCCCCCTTCGTCTTCAATCAACCTCCGGGCTCCCTACACGCAGATGCACCACGTCCCCCACCCGCACGCGCATGCCCGTCACCACCACTCGTACGTGAACAACGTAGAGCGGTTGTACGCTGATGATCGCAATGTCATGGGTATATCTGGATCGCTGAAGGGAGACATGCAATCGCGTGCTGGAGACCTAATGAGATACGGGACGGGTCCCGAGTCGTCGAGGAGATAAATGCGCCTGCCGCACTGTACAATATACCTTTCGCTTCCAACCGTTTCTCCATCGCTTTGCTTATGTGGCCATCCTAGTAATCGCTGTGTCTTTGCCCCTTGATTCCGGTGTTAGATTCGTTTACCAGCCTTCTTGTTAGAGTCCACCCCTCGTTTAATACCGTTCGTATAGGAAACACATCCTCAGCGTTGATTCGCTCTCGTAGTTCTGGACTGTTTTTCGCCCGTTCCATTCGCAACGCTTGTATTAGTGGATTGCTACAGTGGTTCTACGTCCATGGCGTCATCTACATCCATTGGTGTGTCCAAGTCCATCGTTGGTACATCCGGCTCAACGTCGTCCTCACTGCTCTCCTCTGGCTCCGTTTCAACGGCACTCGGCACGACCAATGGTCTGAACAACACGAGTGCCTTTCTAGAATCCGAGTCTGAGAGGTTAGGTAGAGGCAAGGATGGAGCATGTATCGGCAAGCGATCCAGGAGCGCAGAAGATACGGTGTACCCTGCGTCCGCGTTCGGACCTTGTGTCTCCTCCTGGTCGTCCGTGTCCGAGTCCTCGAGATCCGTGATGACGATACCTGCTGACATCGTGAGGGCAGCCTATATGGGAAGCACTAAAAAGCTACTTACGGTCCTTCTCCGGTTCGTACCAAGAGGGTATCTTCATCCTGACGTCCGGGATATCCCTCGTTTGCTCGGGGGACGCTGGCTCCTCGACAGAGCCGGGGAGGACCACACGCGAAGGGAAGCCCATCGAGAATAGAGGGCGTGGAGACGACGGGACTTCTTGTACTGATGGAGCATGCGCTGTGGACTCAGAGTAGGCGTATTGTAGCGCGTACGGCGGCTCGACGAGGGGCACGAACTGGGGCTCAGCTGGTGGCGATGAGACGACGGGATGATTCAGTGTCATCTGAGCGAGCCCATGCTCGATGTTGTCGCACCTGCGACGCTTCGGACGCGGTGCGACGGGACGCGTCTGGGGGAACTCGACCACAGAGATGTCGTCGTCCTCGAGTGTTTTGCGCTTCAGGGAGGGCTCGCGGAACCAGGGATGAGCGCTTGGAGAGTATGCCCAGGTTGTCATCGCGAGAAGGCGTAAGTAATTGAGAGAGCAAGTCGTATGGCGGCGGGCAAGACGAGGATGGCGGAGACAGTGAGGGTAGTACTTAACAGACCGGACGCGCCACCGAGCCACCCCGTCCCTTCCAGCCACACGCACGAACCTTCGAGCACGGTCACGTGAAATAGACGCTCGCGTGCACTCCGCCGAAGAAATAATCCGCATCAGCGCGAGGGAGCCAAAAACACACAGGCTGGACGTGTCGTGCAGAGTACTCCATATGATCGCATGATACATGTAGACGTATGAAAGACATGATGTCGCAGATGCCAGCAAAATGGCCATGTACGTACGACCCTCCCCAGAAAGCGTTTAACCACGCTTCTTCGACACACCGACGGTCTTGCCGCGACGGCCTAACAAAGCAGATGAGTACAGTACGACTAGGCTCTGTTGCTGCATACGCACCGGTGGTCTTGGTGTGCTGACCACGCACACGGAGGCCCCAGAAATGCCGGAGACCACGGTGCGCCCGGATCTTCTTCAGCCTCTCGAGGTCGTCACGGAGCTTCGAGTCCACACCGTTGGAGAGAATCTGCGAGTTCTTGCCATCGACAATGTCCCGCTGCCTGTTCAGGAACCATGTGGGGATCTTGAACTGAGTCGGGTTTTGGAGGATGGTAACGAGACGCTCGAGCTCGTCCGAGTTGAGCTCACCAGCCCTGAGGGGACATGAGCCATGTGCACGGATGGCGATCACAGGTTACGCACCGCTTGTTGAGGTCAACATCGGCCTTTTTGCATGCAATGTTGGAGTAACGACGGCCAACACCCTTGATCTCGGTCAGGGCGTACATAATCTTCCGTTTACCGTCGACATTGGTGTTCAGGAGACGCAAGATGTGCTGCGACAAACTATCAGACGCCGCTTCCGCCATATAACCCTAGCGAGCGCACCTGGAATTGTTGGTGGGCTTCCGGGACGACGAGAGACATGGTGTTAGTCGGCGAGAGGGGACGGCCGTACTAGAACGAGACGACAGTCAGCAATCTGCCGCCCTACATCCCAACGCATAGACCGCCATCCAGCCTTTCCAGAGGTTCTCCGTCTCTCTAAAGCGGTCAGTCCATCCCAGAAGGCCATAGACAGCGATCCACCAACATACAGCAGGGTAGCATACTCACAGATGTTCTTGAGGACGCCGACGAGGTTGTGCCCAACGGTGAGGACAGTCGCAGGAAGACCAGCCGGCCGGTCCCGTGCGCGTTCCAAAACGGGAGTCTAGACGCTCACATAAGCGCCCAATGTCAGTGTAAGTAGTCCGCCTCGATTTGGAGCGTCGATCTCGTACCCGCTCGTACCGCCGCTCATGGCTTAGAGTCAACGCAGATAAGTTGCATGCGCTAGGATGCATACCATTTCCCCATCATGCAGAGATTGCTTGTACATTGACCGCTTACTGTATAGACCTGTTATCCGGAACTTGGAGTTGCCTGCCAGTGCACACCATTTGGGGCGATCTATCTCCGTCATTCAGTCGCTCCAGTCACAGCCCGTGATCCTAGGTCAAAGCTCTAAGCCCGAGTACTGAATGGTCTCAAGGATTTATGTCATACAGGGAGATTGCCGTTGTGTGTCTCGATACACGCGGAAGAGACATGTCGAAGACAAAGTTCACAACGCAATCACGTCGGTCGTGTTACTGGACATTTGAACCCGAGCTCTGCGAGATACTTACGTTCTACAAAGTCGCCAGACCTCGAAAAGTGCGATGTTCAGGTCAACAAATCCTGAGCAGACCTACGTTTCTCTGATCCACCAGAACAGTAACTACTACGCAAGCTGGGATCCTGCCAGATTGGTACGGGTGAGTGGCTACCCACTCCTCTCGCGACACATGACGCGTGGATTGAGACACCCATTCCTTGTCTCCTAGGTGGGTGATTATGGTCACCTACAAGCCGACGGATCATTCGCGACGGAGGGTAACATCTTCAGCAAAGGATGGGCAGCAGAATTTGGCGTTGTAGAGATTCGCGGACCCACCAATAGTACTGTTTGCATTCAGTCTTCCGACGTCGAAGAAGTACGGGGAACCGCCGCCGGCAGCATGTGCGTATCGGCAGCGATGTCAGGCTTTCGTCAATAATGTCTGACGCGTTGCTTCACAGAGGCGCAAGCTGGGCTCACAGAGTAACCGCGAAGAAGACATTCATCATTAGGCGTAGCCACGGTGCCATCCTCATCATGCTCGAACCGCAATATACCCAGCTCTCTCCTCCTGGGACCCTCAAGGATCTCGTCTATTCAACAGCCCTCAAGAAACGCCACCTCTTGGTCAGCGAGCTCTACAGTTGCGCTTCCTACGCACGTCTGCTCGCCCCACGACAAGAACACGTCGTGAACATCAGCTTGGAAGGCGAAGCACACCAACGCCTCTTCCATGGCAGGGCGGAGGCCGAATGGCGACATACTGCGGATGGCGGCGACTTCAGGTGCGGCGTACAACAGGGCGGAGATGTCGCGTTTACACCGCTCTTTCGACTGGTCGGGCGAAAGACGTTTCGCAAGCTGCCCATCACCGAACTAGCACGACCCACATGGAGGCGTGTTGTCGCCGCCGCTGGACCACAGAACCGCGTTCCATCCCCCAGAGGCTCCTTCCGGAGTGATGAGATTAAAGACCATGAGGATGAACCGGAGTATGAAGAGGTGCAAGGACGATGACGCGACTCTGGGGGAACACAGTGAGCACCTAATTTAATCATTCATCCTAAGTTGGAAACTGATATGCAGTAGTGGCCAGTCGAAGGCTCGGATGTGACGGTGTATCACTCTCGCCAGATCGTGCGTATCCTGTCAGGTCGAAGAGATTTGCAGCAGCTACGTCTATATAGTACACATCACATACTCATGTCATATCCTGTTCTACGTATTATACCGTCAACCCCGTCTGTTTTGTAAAGTAGCTACGAGCAGCATCGAGCGCCTCATTCGTCTTGTCGGCATTGACACCGGAACCTTGAACACTGTCGGCTTTCCCTCCAGCCTGCAGAACATAAATCAGCCTCATCAAAGAAAGGGTCCATGTCGCACTCACCTTGCCGCCAATGAGGTCTGTCACCGTGACAGCCCACTGGTGAGCATCGAGACCTTTGGCCTTTGCCGCCTCAGACACGAAGTTGAAATGCGCGACCTTCCCGCTAGATGCATCGGGGCTCAACACGTAGATCGTCTTGCCGAGCTTTCTACCCTGCTGGACGATGTTCTGCAAGACCTTCGCGTTGTCAACGATAGCGATGTAGGCTTCCGCGTCCTCGTTTGTCTGGAAGTACTCCTGGACAGCATCCAAGGCCTAGAATGAAAAAAGATTGAGCAGGTGCTAGCAGGGAGTTAACCGAATCAACTTACAGCCTTGTTTGCCTGTTTCAACTTCTCCTTCGTCTCCTTGTCGAACGTTGTGCGCACGACCTCATAGCGATCGCGAAGCTCGGCTTTCCGGGTCACAGAGATGTCAGCCCGGTCAAGGTCCTGCAGAGGCTATCAACACAGATCATTGCAGGCGAGCGTTGATGTACGTACCACAGTGAAGCTCCTCAGACCAGCATCCTTTTCTGGGCCAGACATGCCCTCCAACTGGTTCAGCCTCGCGGCCATCGCATCCCCGACCCTTCGAACTTCCGCAGCTTCATGCCCAGTGACCGCCGTAATACGTCGGATGCCCCTGGCGATACCCGATTCCTCCGTCACCACGAAGTCCTTGATCTCGCCCGTCCGTGCGACATGACTAAACCATCATTGTGGTATATTAGACACGAAAGTGCGATATGGGTCGATCGGCTTACGTTCCACCACACAGCTCGACGCTCGTCGACCTCCACTTCGGGTTGTGAAGGTCGCTCATCATCTCCTCCACGGAAAACTCCAGCGAGACCACCCGCACTGGGTCAGGGTACGACTCGCCGAAGACAGCACGCAGACCAGAGATCTCTTGCGCGGTCTTCAACGCTACCTCCTTGCTGAACACCGTGACGTTCCGCGCGATCCAATCCTTGCTCATGGATTCGATCTTCGACAATTCAGCGTTCGCGATCTGACCCTTGTGAGAGAAATCGAAGCGGAGTTTAGTGGGGGCGACCAAAGACCCCTTCTGGTCGACGTGATTTCCGAGGACCTCACGAAGGCAGTAGTTGAGTATGTGTGTCGCGGTGTGGTTGTGGCGCAGGGGCCACCGTCGAAGCTACGGATGCCTTAAGTAGGTTGAAAGTCTGCTGAGTACATGACACTACGTACCTCGTCATAGCTGGAGAGAACCTCATCACCAACCTTCAGGGTCCCGTACTTCATATGGCCGATGTGCAGGACATAGCCACTGAAGACCTGGACATTGGTTACTTCGAACTCTGCCACGCCGTCGATAACGATGCCGCCGGTATCGTATTCCTGTCCACCAGATTCCGCATAGAAGTTGGTTTTGTCAAGGAGAATTCCGAAGCTCGCATCCTCAGAGATGGATGCCGTGGAGTCGACGAAACTCTTATCCGAGTAAATCGACAGGACGCGGGCAGTGACGTTACCAAGCTCTAAGGAGCGAGCTATGTTAATGCCACTTGTCATTGTCGATACACGAGGTATACTCACGATACTTCGCGGAATCGTCGGTCTTGGGAATGTTGAGCGTCTTCTCCAAGTTTGCAATGTCATGGACGTCAAGCTTCACGACGTCCTTTTCTCCCTTCTTCTGGCCGGCCTTGCTCGCCTCCTTCGAGTGGGCCTGTGCGGCCGCAAACTCCTCCTCGTTGATATCGAGACCGAGCTCCTCCGCCATTAAGCGCGTAAGGTCCTCCGGGAAGCCGAAACTGTCGTACAACCGCCACACATCCCAGCCCGAGAGCTGCTTGAGCCCAGCCTGCTGCGCCCTGCGCGCCCAGAGGTCGAACACCTTCTCTCCACGATCCAGCGTCCGCGAGAAGGACTCCTCTTCCTCGTCCAGAATCTCCTTGATCTCCTCCGTTCTGCGGGTGATCTCCGGGAAGGTATCGCCTAGCTGCTCAACCACGGCAGGCATCAAGGACGAGAAGAAGGAGCCAATCTGGACACCGAGCTTCTTACGGGCGTAGCGACATCCTCTACGGAGGATTCTCCGGAGGACGTAACCACGGCCGACGGGGTTGGGAACGCCACCGTCACTGAGTGCAAACGTTAGCGTCCGAACATGGTCCGCGACGACTCGGTACGCCGTGTCGATGCCCTCTTCGTCTTCGTCACCAAACTTGCCCTGGTATGGGCGCACGCCCGTCAACTCCTGGATCTTTGCAAAGATCGGAGAGAAGACATCCGTGTCGTAGTTGGAGCGTTTGTTCTGAATCACAGAGACGAGACGCTCGAAGCCCATACCGGTATCGACGTGCTTGGAAGGGAGCGATCTGAGCGAACCGTCTTCCTCACGGTTAAACTGGATGAAGACGTTGTTCCAGATCTCGAGCACGTCTGGGTCGTCTTGGTTCACCAAATGGGCAGCATTGCGGCCTCCAATGCGATCGAAGTGGATTTCACTAGGGAACTTTGAGCATACGGTCGCGAAGCAGGGAGCATAATCCATACCTACATGGCCCGCATGGACCCGTGGCGCCCATTTCTAGTCTTCGCTTAGCACAGGTATACGCTTGATGTAGGTGTCACTCACCCCAGAAGTTATCTTTCGCGTTCCCCGGAAGTATGTGATCCTCCGCCACACCCACGTCAAGCCAATACTGTTGCGCCTCGGTGTCGGGTGCCAGACCGTTCTTGGCATCGCCTTCAAAGTATGTGACGTACAGGTGGTCCTTGGGTAGCTTGTAAACTTCCGTCAGGAGCTCCCAGGAATATGCTATTGCTTCTTTCTATGGGTATCTAGTGAGTATGTCGCTTTGCACAACCTGATGTACACGTACCTTGAAGTAATCGCCGAAGGACCAGTTGCCCAACATCTCGAAGAATGTGTGGTGGTAGGAGTCCTTGCCCACATCTTCCAGGTCTAGACGAGAGAATGAGATATCATGCTATTGATACGCGCCTATGACCCACCATTGTGCTTTCCGCCTGCGCGAATGCACTTTTGTGTGTTGAACGCGCGGTTGAGTCTTGCAAGATCGGATTGAGGATCCACAGTGCCTAGGAAGATGCTTTTGAACTAGCGGGAGAGTCAGCAAATCGACACCATCTGCCGCAGAACCCGGCGCACCTGGTTCATGCCCGCATTGGCAAAGAGCAGGGTAGGGTCATCGTAAGGAATGGTGGCGGAGGAGGGCACGAAGGTGTGGTCTTTGGAGCGGAAGTAGTTGAAGAACTCCTGGCGGACTTTGGCGGCGGGCCAGTTGAGGTATACGGGGGAGGCCATGGTGTGGATGGGTCGGACTCTCAGGGCAAGCCTCAGAATGCCCTGCATGCAAGAGAGCCATCTCCGGAATTGCCCTCGAGTCACAGTGGCCCTCTCCCAGATAAGATAAGATGGCGGACGCGATCTTGCTGACCCATCGCGATCTCGCTTCCGCCTCATGAGTCTGCCCGCCTTCCTCTTAACTCGCTCGACTCCTTCCACCACCGCCAGTACCCACACAGCACACCCATCTCCAGACATGCAGGACGCCGTCCAGCAGCAGCAAAATGGCTCGCTTTTTACCTGCCTCTCGTGCAGCATCGCATTTTACTCTGCCGAAGATCAGAGTGCGTCCTTTCTTTCTTACCCGACTTTCTCAGACTGAGCACCTTGGGTTCAGGGGAACATTACAAGTCAGATCACCATCGCTACAACATGAAGCGCCGCGTAGCTGGCCTTCCGCCTGTCAGTCCTGCCATCTTCGACCAGAAGGTCCTCGAGAGAAGAGCAGAGACCGCAGTCACCACTTCTGCCAAGGGCATGACTTGCGAGGTTTGCGGGTTAGTCTGCATGCTTTTTCTCCATCTGCAGTTACTGACCATCCGCATCAGGAAAGCGTACACTACCGAGAATGCGTATCGTTCTCACTTGAGCTCCCGGAAACACAAGGAGAACGAGCTCAAGTCTGTTTCGAAACCCAAGAAGCAGCTCACCCCTCCTGAGGATACCGTGCCCAGTGCCGAGGTCGTTGAATCTTCACCATCAGCGAGCAGTAGTAAAGATGTCGACATGGCCTCTGCTCAGCCGTCCCAGCCCGCCGCATTGACGGTAGACGCAGACGCTTCCGATGAGCAAGTAAATCTGACCATCGACGAAAAGATCGCGGCGGCCCGCTCCCGGATCTCTTCTTCCCAGTGCCTGTTCTGCACAGACTCCTCCGCCTCCCTCGAAGACAACCTCACACACATGTCCGTCGCTCACTCATTCTTCATCCCCGACGCGGAATACCTCGTCGACCTGGCAGGCCTCATCACCTACCTTGGAGAGAAGATCGCCGTCGGGAACGTCTGCATTCACTGCAACGGCAAGGGACGCGAGTTCCGCACACTCGACGCCGTCCGGAAACACATGCTGGACAAGGGCCATTGCAAGATCGCCTACGATACCGAAGACGACCGTCTCGAGATCTCCGACTTCTACGACTTCTCGGCGTCGTATCCTGACGCTCAAAACGAGCCACGGAAGAAGGCCAAGCGTGCCGCTCACGACGGCGATGCATCCGACTCCGAGGCTGAGACTGAGGAATGGGAGGACGTGGACGGAGAGGCTGGTGGTTCGGACGTAGACGAAGTCGTCGACGAAAGCGCGAGCGAAGCCGACTCCGATTCTGACGGCGTTCCCGACAATCAGCTCAGCTACGGTGACACCGAGTACGAGCTCGTCCTACCGTCGGGCGCACGCATTGGACACCGCAGTATGCGCCGCTACTACGCACAGTCGTTCGCGAGGGCACCGCGCGGCGGCAAGCCCGAAGACCCCAACTCTGGTGCTGCCCTTGTTCGCCGCCTGCTCGATGACAAGCACTCAGCTCTTGTACCGAGGAAGGGTGGCTTTGGAGCCTTCGGTTCTGGTACGGAGGTCGTCAAGGCGAGGAATAGGGGAGAAGCCAGGGAGGCCGGCCGACATGTTCGGGAGTTCAGGGATCAGCGACGGAGGGAGGAGTTCAAGACTAAGGTCGGGTTCATCCACAACAGCCAGAAGCATTTCAGGGATCCGTTGCTTCAGGTGAGCATCAATTTTCCATCTCCCGGTCCCAAGATTGCTCATCGTATTTCTCTAGTGATCATGAATGCATGCATGACACGAACCGCTTTATTCAACATATAAGTAGTCTAGTAGTGTAGAGAGGCAATTGAGCTACGACAACCGAAAGGGTACGAGAGCGTGGACTGAATCCAAAAGTCAGTGAGACGTCCATCGTCCGTCATCACGGGTATCCACTATCCCATTTGAGTGCGCGACGACGACAGCAAGAATCCAGATACAAATCGAGAGATAAAATTAAGACTCAGTAAACATAAGCCGCTGGCACGACGCCTTCACGTCCTGAGCGCACATCTCGTGCATACCACCACCTGCATGAAGTGCGTGAGTCCAAATCACCGTGCACGAAAGGAAGAAAGACGTACGCAGCATCACCATCATCAAGAACTTCTATTTCCTGCCCAGCCGACAAGGGCAGCTCACCCTCTCCTCCACCATCGAACGAGTATCGAGCATGAGCCGAGCGGGTCATATCCTCGACACCCATTGTTCCTGCGATGGCGTCCGACGGCGTTTCCGCACGCATGTAGTTGTCTGCGTCAGGCTGGAACGGGTCGCTTTCGCCAGCTGTTGCACCAGCAGCCGCCTGCTTTTCTGCGCTGGGACCGAACGCACCCTCGCCGAGAACTGTTGCCCGCGTGGCAGCGTTGATGTGCTCCAGCAGAGAGGATGGACGGTGAGAGGAGTCATCATCCTCATCGACCGGACCACTGTCAAGCTTGATCTTGTCGTCTCGGCGAGAGAACAGTGTCCAGAGGATGCCGATCAATGCCAGGAGGAAGACGATGCCGGCCGCGATCGCAATAGAGATTAGGATGACGATTCCAGTAGCAAGGAAGTCTAAGAACACATCGTCAGTCAAAAAGATAGCGGAAGAGCAGCTCTGACGATGGCGACTTACGCTTCTGCGCGAAACTGAACGTCGAGAATGAGTGGATGAGCCCATACAACACACCGGCAGACCCAGAAGCCGACGCAGTGACAATGTAGGGCGTGAACGACTGCCCGTCAAACAGAGCGGCGGATGCGTTTCCGAACGACGAATCGGTGAGGGCACCAGACATCATCAAGACACGGTCAGACTGGATCACAGCATTCGAAGTGTGGGTGTTTTGGAGCGGGACCATCACGAGTTGTGTGACGTCCGTAGCAGCGTCCAGCGAAGAACCTAGGGGCACGGGGCATAAGCTGCGCGGTTCTTCTTAGTTCACCGTCATGCACTCACCAACGCTCGACCAACTCTGGCCGTCCCAGAAGTACAGGAACGACGACGTGTTGTCAGAGGCTCGTCCAGCAGCGAAGATGCTGCTGGTGTTATAGTCGTTCACAGCCACAGCTGTCACTGGTCCAGGTAGAGAGCTGGCCTCTCCGAGAGCCGTCCACGTCGAATTCGAGACGGAGTACAGGGCCACATTCGCCGCAGTGCTATCTGCGAGTGCGAGGGAACCCGCGACGACAATGATGTCCTGCTTGCTCTGGATAATCAATCCAGTCAGTGCACAGCATTTAGCTTCATGACGGAGATAAACAGACCTCAGTGTACCCGACGGACGCGACCTCGCCCTGAATACCATTTCCGAGAGCGCTCCACTGTTCCGACGCGTAGTTATACGAACAGATCGCCCTGCACACCGTAGACCCAGCTTGCGCGAAGGTCCCCGCGACGATGATGACATCCGTCTGCGAAGGTGACGCAGTGATCGAGCGCACGATCACATCAGAGCCAGAGCTGGGCGAGAGCGCAGCGACGCCAGACATGTCCCAGCTCTGCTCGGCAAGGTCGTAGATGGCGAAGCCCATCGCGTTCGTACCTTCCAGGGTGAAGTCACCGCCAATGAAGAGCTTGTCACCCTGGACCAACAGTGTGCGTATGGTGCCGTTGATCTGGTTCCCCTGCAGCGGTGTGATTGTGTCGGAGCTGTTGTCGTAGATGGCGACGTTCTCGTAGGTTGAACCGCCGGACGTGAACGAGAAGTTACCGCCGATGACGATCACTTTCTCGTTGGAGCTGCTGTTCGTCCAGAATGCACCAGCAAACACAGCGGGCGCAGACGAGGCCGGTGCGGGAGGCAGAGGGGCAAGTGTAGTCGCGGTAGCTCTCTTCTCGAACATACGCTTGAAGACATCGACCCTGGGCAGCCATTTCGAACGGTGAACGTGGGCGTACCGACGCTTCGACAAGCTGGACGACGTGCTCGTGGCGGACGTAGAGTTGCCAGTCAGCTGGACCCCGAGAGGCGACAACTCCGGTTCGCCATCCGCACCATTCTGCACCATCACGAAGCCCGTAGCGCCGATCTGGAGGGAGGCCTGGACATTGCCAGCGACGAACTCACCATCAGTTGACGAAGTGCCGTTGCCGACAAAGGTCATGCTGCCGATCAGGTAGCCCCCGGTGTTGACCCACGTACTGTTGGCCGTGTCCCACGCAGCGAAGCCGGATACCTGTTCAACGGACTCGCTCGCGCTGGACGTCCTCAATTCGCTGAAGTTACCCGCGACAAGGAGTCTGCCACTGACGTAATCCAGGCTCGCGACGGCACCGTTCAGGCCAGACGACAGCGACGACCACGAGTCGCTTCCAATGCTGTACGATGCCACGCCGGCAAGCGCACCGTTCGACGCCGAGGATGTATCAGTGAAATCGCCACCGACGAAGAGGTTGTCCCCGTCCACGGTAAGGCTGGTCACCGGCCCATTGAGGCCATCCTTCGACAACGCCGCGAGCGCGCCATTCTTGTAAGCAACGATGTTCGACGCGCCCGAGGCGGATCCCGACGAGAGGGTGAATGAACCTCCGATGAAGAGGGCGCCAGAGGAGTGCTGCACGACGGCCGAAACTGCGGGCGCGTTCGACGTAAGACTCCCAGCGCCACCAAGGGCACTGAGCAAATCCACGCCGACCCGGTCAAGAGACGTCTCCGCAGAGGTGGGCACTGCGACCTGTGCGCTGACTGTAGACGACGCGGATGAGGACGACAGCGGCCATTCGAAAAAGCCGAACGAGTTGGCTGACGCAGAGGAGGTCCCGTTTCCGCTCCCAGTCGCGTTTGCCGTGATGTTGGCGCTTGTAAGGACCAATTCGACGTTTCCTGCTACCAGCTCGTACTGGCCGTTCTCTCCCGATCCCGTGGGGCTGTCCGCCAGTGTCATCTCGATCGTCATCTCGAAGTTGGGGGAGGACGGTACAACCGGTCCGCTGTAGATGAGTGTCGACTGGTCGTCAGTGTTCGTCTGCGCGATGGTAGTGACCCAGGGCTGTAGGCCGGAGCCAGGGAAGACGGTGACCGAGACACTGGTGCGCAGGCCGCAATCCTGGAAGTTGCTGCACCCAGGGACAATCATGTACGCATCATAGGTACCCGACGCCGAGACGTATGGCAACCAAGTCACGCTCGGCCCTGAAGAAGCGGACGTGCCTACAGCGACGTCGGATACCAACACAGTCTGAACGGTACCGGGGATGTTGGTCGTTGCCTGCTTCTCGGTCCAAGACCCGGTGAAGGTGACGTTAGACGAACCAGGCGCGTAACATGACTGTGTGTTGTTAGATGCAACGGCAGAGGCGTACGCGCCGGACGACAGCAGCTGCATGATGTGCAATCCTGCTCCCGCTCCCTGCCACTCGGTGAGCTGCAGCTGGAAGCCTGTGATGTCGAGGCTGTCGCTGAACAAGAAGTCCTGGTAGAGGATAGATGAGTTCGTCAATAGCGGGCAAGGATTGCTGCATGTCTGGTTCTGGCCGGTGGTGGGGTCAAGGTAGGTCATCGTCTGCACCGTGTTGTCCGGAATAGTGGTGAGGCTATTCGTCAAAGTGTCAGACATCAGTACACCGATCAAGGATAAGCACATACGTGAAACCAGTGGTACCACGCCCATCGACGAAGGTGTTACCGAGCCGGATGCCTCTCGCGGAAAGCAGGGAGAATGCGCGAGCGGTGATAACGGCCGTCTGGCCGTCCCCCGCCAACCACGTATTGCCTGCGCCATCCGCTCCAGCAGGGCAAAGGATGTCCTCTATGTCGTTGAACCCAGACTCAGATGAAGCGGGCTGTGCGACAATCTGCGCAGTTTGTAGCCCGATGGGTACAAGGGACGACGAGAATGACGAAGCACCGGGAGAGTACGGCACACTGGGGTTGTTAGTGCTGTTAACGGTCGCATTGCCATACGACACCGTGAACGAGCCCGCGAACAAGAGGCTCGATGCAGACGAGTTGGTGGTGATGGCGAGGACTTCGGCGGAAGCGCCTGACAACCCGCCGAACGGAGGCGAGGACCACTGAGACGACTTGGTTTCCCAGACCGCGACAGAGCTGGCGGGTGACGTGAACTTGCCACCAGCCCAGACGTTGTTGTTGCTCGCGTCGCAGTACAAGGCGTGGACCGGGCCATTGGGACCGCCTGAGCCGAGGGTAGAGAAGGAGTCGGAAGACGCAGAATACGAGGCGATGTAGCTGGCGGAGGTGCCGTTGATGGAGGAAAAGTTGCCACCAAAGTAGAAGACATCGTTGAGAGCACAGCCGGCGAGTATGCTGCCGCCCTTGTCCGTAGAGCCAAGCGCTGTGAGGGCACCGTCGGAGGCACGAGAAAGCAGTGTTGCAGTGGAAGAGTCAAACGAGGTAGCAACGGTCGAGTTGTCGGAGATGCCGAGTCCTGCAAACGCGCCAGTGAGGGCTACGGTGCCCATGCGGTCAAAGTCGACCAGGGGAAGAGAAGCGGACACGACATGGGCGCAAAGAATACAGAGTGCGGAGGAGACGAGGGAGGTGGGGGGTCTCATCTGCGTAGAGGCATGCACGGAGGAGGTAAGGGTATACTTTGGCCTGGTCGGGGCTGAAGGAGAGACGGACTGGCGAGAAGCGAGCGGACGAGCGACACGCGGGGAAAGGCTGCTCACGATGTGCTCGACCTCGACGCCGTCCACCAACAACCCGACCGCGCGTGTTCGTCTGCTCACGTAAGCATCGCCCAGCAACGCGCTCCACGTGACCGGACGCGTCCACGCGCGCCGCCGCCGGCCGTCGCTCAGCCACAGTCAGATGCCGCGGTTGTTCCCCAGGGCCTGGCAGGGGCGTCATAAGACACCCTGCGCGGCCGCCTCGCATGCAAAATGGTCCTTCGCAGTCCCCAGCGACACTCGCAGAACAGCCTAGCCGCCCTGCCTCTGTAAGCTCTCCATCACACACCGCCTGTACCACCCCTCGTGTGCTTCTTCTTTCGTCAGCGTACCAGCTAGCGTCCCCTTCAGTACCTTGGTCCGACAACTCTCTTCTTAACTACCGGCCGGCTGCATACTGTCCGGGGAATCCATCGGATACTAAAGTGAAACTGCGCGTCATTTGGTCACGTCTCAACCCCGTCGCCCAATGGCAGCCTGTCCGTTTCTAGCCTCTCTAGACCCGTCGCATGACCTCACATCGCTTCCTACTCTCAGAAGCGCACCTCTTGTTCATAATTTAGGCGTTCGTCGTCTGTAAGCTACTGCCATCTTACGAGCAGCGAGTGAAACTTTCGCCCAACTGGGAACTTGGTGTCCTCTCCGCGCCCCCTCCGAGCCGGCCAACCATCGCGAGAAGCACCGCGCCACTGACCGTGCATTGCCGCATATTTAACCCAGCCTCCTCTGTCGGCACTCCAACAGCGGTACCCACACATCCCCGTCTTCCACCTCCACATCATGGCCTCCGAGAAGCAGATGAAGGACCCGCTTCGTGTGGGCGTCGCCATCCGCGCCCAGCTCGAGAAAGAAATCCCGCAGGACTTGCCTCTCGAGAAAGACTTCCGTGAAGGCTCCGAGTACACCATCACTGACAAGTCCGTCTTGCATCTCCGTACTCACCGTGTCCAGCCTGAGGCCTGACCAGTCATCCGCAGCGTCAACGAATTACACCATAGCTTGGTGAAGGACCCCCGCACACTGCAGCTCATCACCGGCCTCGTCAACCACCTCCACACCTTCGCCCGGCAGACACTACTCACCCATGACGAGTGGACCAAGGTCGTCGAGTTCCTCACGCGCGTCGGCAAGGAGAGCACGGACTACAAGAACGAGTTCATCCTCCTCAGCGACATCCTCGGCTTCAGCGCGCTCATCGACGAGCTGAACCACCCCAAGCCACCGGTACGTGTTGATCACCGTGGCTACCCGAAACGCTGACCACTTGGCATTGCTGCTAGACTTGCACTGACAGCTGCGAGCCGGGGCCTTTTTACTACCCTGGTGCTCCCGAGTTCCCGTCTGGCTGCTCGCTGGCGAAGGCCGGCACGACGGGCGAACCGATGTACTTCTCCGCCACGATCAAGAATACCCGGGGACAGCCCATCAAGGGTGCCAAGGTGGACGTGGTAAGTGACCGTTCACTGTGGTTGTGAAATGCGAGTGTTGACCACGACATTCCATGCGCAGTGGCAAGCCGACGGAGACGGTATCTACGATGTCCAATATCCTGATAGCAAGGAAGTCAACGACCGCGGCAAAATTCTAGCTAAAGACGACGGGACAGTGTCCTACCGTGGCATCCTCCCCACCGCGTACCCCATTGTGCGTCCTATCCGCAGTAACACCTAGCTCCACGCTGACAATGTGTGCCAGCCAAGTGATGGGCCCGGCGGCGACCTCCTGCGTGCGCTCGGTGAGTATAAATACATGGGTCGGTCCCTGTTGAGACGCTCATCATAAGTCTCGGAACGCCGTTGTCCTAACATAGGCCGGCATCCTCACCGTGCTTCGCACATTCACTTCATGCTGACCGCTCCTGGGTACGACGAGTAAGTGCTGACACACTTCGTACCTCGCTGTGATTCATGACGTCGCCTTCCCGGGTAAGTCTTACAACCGCGCTGTATCCCTCCCACTCGCCGTTCCTGGGCACGGACCCTGTCTTCGCGACCAAGAAATCTCTCATCTGCCCTGTGTACGAGGAACGCGATCCGAAGAAGTGGAAGGAGATGGGTTTCAGGGATGGCGAGGTTACGGATGGTAGAGTCTGGGTGTGGACGTTCGGCTTTGTGCTTGCGACCAAGGAGGAGGTCGAGCAGTGTCAGCGGAAACGCATCGGCGCGAAGCTCTGAGTCGACACGCACGCATCCTTCTGTCACGTTTGTCTCGCTGGGCTACCGTTATTGCAGTATTATGACTTGCCGGGGGACCAGTCTCGGCCGCTAAATGCTGCAACATACCGCGTGCCTGTTCTCGTGAGATCACCTCTGAATGAGCAGCTAACGTTCAGTAAGGCAAGTTGAGTCTAGAAACCCATGATGCCGCATGGAGGGATGGTCCCCGACCTTCCTGAGAATTGCACAAACTCTAGAGCACGGGTGACATTGAACGCAAGACAACCTCAGACATTCTTGACTACAACATTGCTGATATCCACCGCGAGCCCCACCGGGTGCAGATGCGGCGACGTCTGCTCGAAGCGTCTGGAATACAAGCCATGTTAGCAGAGCGGGGCGGACCAAGGCACATCACGACGCACTGGGGGTAGCGGTACCGATGCACGGGCGCACGCTGGGCATCCGCAACCAGCAGACTATCATCCGACACCTCCACCGATTGCACCAAGTGCTTTAAGCTCAGCTTCTCCCAGACTTCCCTCGGGGTCGAGTAGGCCGCGATCACACGCGTGACGATGTTATCCTCGTCCGGGGAAGGCGCAAACTTGTAGAAGCCTACAGCGCCGAGGCCGAAGAGCGCGAGTCGCCCCCAGAAGGGACTTGAGAAGTCTAGAGGAGTGTCCATGGGACATTGTGAGACGGTACAGCTAACATAGCTACTCACCCTCCTTCGGATAGACTGTTGAATCGTGGGCCTCGCCGTGGTGGTCGTCGTGGTGCTCCTCATGCGCGTGCGACGACGCCGCGCGAGTACGGAGGAGAGGGGTAGAGATGAGTCTTGGCCTGAGCACGGTGCCGGCCGCTCTGGCGAGAGACATCGTAGTGCGGCGAGGGTCTATGTAGACGGGGTGGTGTTGTTCGACGAGCGTTGCCCGCCATCGGGACGCGGGCCTCATCACCACGTGGCGCGAATGCGCATACAAATCAGGCAATCACCTTCGTCGTTCAAGTTCGTCGAGAGCGCTGCCATCTCTCATGCTCACATTGCCCGGCACTGCTTCTTTCATCATGTAGTACAGCTGAGATTTTTTCTAGTAGCCGACCGGACCTCTATACTCCCTTCGGTAGTCGGTAACATGGTAGTTGAGGCGGCTGGCTTACTACGGCCAAGATCGTAACGCGGCTGGCACAGCTTGAACCGTGTCAGCCTCCGAGGCTATCTGGTTATATATGCGTGAATGTGCCCATGACTGCCTCAATTCCTCGCTGTTTTACGCTCACAAGGTACAGCTACTACCATCCTCACATCTTTAGCACAATGGCCCCTTTCCGCGTTTCCTACGTGCCGCAGCTGCCGTGGGAGCTATCCTTCTCTCCTCTGCTGGCCGGGGGCGCGCCCCCATCAACGTCGCCGCGTTTGCCACTCTCACCGCGTATCGACTCAGCACAGTCTAGCCCTCGTCTACCGCTAGTCTCCTCGACCTCTATCGAAAGGACACCGACCCGGTCGCGCTTGAAACGATCAAAGCTGCTACCGTCACCCACCCCAAAACCCACTGCTAGGCCCTCTCGCAGCCCCATCCTCAACTTGATCAAGCTTTTGGAGCGCATGGACGATGATATCTCCTGCGAGGTGCAGCGCGTCCGCGAGAGCATCCGGGAGACACGGGCACTCGTGAAGGAGGTCAAGAGCGAGCAGAGACTTCGTTCGTCGGAGTTCCTCGCTCAGCGCGACAAGGAAGACAGGGAGACGAAGGGAATCAACGATGAATTTTGGCTGGGAGTTTGAGAGGACAGAACGACTGAATGTTGGCGCTGGTCGCATATGTACTGACGAGGCCCACTGCATGTCTTGTACGAGTTCACTCTACTTCTGATGGCATGCTCGCTCTCGCGACGATTGAATGGATACAATCTCACCGGAAGCGGTATATAATTGGTATATAATTGTGAGTAGCCAAGATACTGCGCAGTAGATCCATTGTGAGACTTCTTACATAACTCATAGTCGATCTTCTTACTTTCCACCATGTCACCGTGAGTCGCAAATTGTCGGGAGACTAGCACCTCGACATGGTCGACGTTGTAGAGGACGGGAGCAACTCATGCATCACACAACAGGAATTCAGAACACTCAAATCTCGGGTTTGATCATGACTACGACCACAGTACAGTGACACCCTAGTATAGGTCCACCCACTCCATAGACACCGAGCTACACCTTCGCTCACCACCAGAAGTCCGCCAGCTCACGCGGCCGAGAAGGGCCCGGCCTGGGCTTAGGCTGACGGTTGGGCTTGTGCGGGTCCTTCTGGCGGTACTTGGGGGGAGCGTTGGGGTCCTTCTCCGAGTACTTCGGCTTCTTGCCGTGGATCGGGTCGTGCTTGGAGTACGGAGGAGGATCGTCGCGAGTCCACATATCCTCCACCTCGGCAAGGTCTCGCGGGCGCGAGGGGCCCGGCCTGGGCTTGCGCTGGCGGTTCGGCTTGTGCGGGTCCTTCTGGCGGTACTTCGGAGGAGGGTTGGGGTCCTTCGCCGAGTACTTCGGCGTCTTCTCGTTGTGGGGGACGTGCCTCGAGTAAGGAGGTGGGTCATCGCGCGCCCACATCTCCTCCACCTCGGCGAGGTCTCGCGGACGCGAAGGGCCTGGCTTCGGCTTGGGCTGACGGTCCGGCTTGTGCGGGTCCTTCTGGCGGTACTTCGGAGGAGGGTTGGGATCCTTCTCCGAGTACTTCGGCTTCTTGCCATTGGTGGGGTCGTGCTTCGAGTAATGAGGCGGGTCGTTACGGGCCTCGAGAGCCTCGAGCACGGCGCGAGCGAGCAGAGTCGTCTCGTCGTCGTCGAAGGAACGAGCGAAGAACTCCTCGTCGTCGCGAGCAAGAAGCTCGTCGTCGTAATCGGCGCGCGCAAGGAAGTCGGCCGAGTCGAACTCGACGCCGCGCACCTCAAGGGCATCAGTGCTGTAAAGACGTAATTAGAACCGTACATTAACGCAGTGAAACAGCTGTGAATACTCACCCTTCGGCACCGAAGGGAAGCGCGAGCGCAAGGGGAGCAACCGAGACAGCTGCGAAAAGCAACGAGAATGTAGCTCCGAAACGCATGATCGTTATCTGCAGGATGTACGAGGGTGATCGTCAAAGGAGCGAGATTGGTGGTCGTCAAAAATCAAGCAAAGCTAGGGCGGAGGCATCAGCAAAAGCAGCATCGAAACACGCGTCCGTTCGCAACTTACCAACCAGTGCCCGCTTTCAGTGAACTCTGAAAAGGAAGAGAGCTGGGGAATCCTGGCAGCTCAGCTTGCCTTTTATCCGCGAGCACGGCGCCTCAGGAGAGTCCCCCCATCTGACCCGCGGGATCGTCCACTTCGTAATTGTGGTCGCAAGGCGATGCGGCGAAGCCCTGCGGCTTGATCTACAATCACGGGAACGTCCAGCTGTCAAGCTGAAGCAGCAAGCTGCGGCCCCACCCCTACTTGAAATCAGCGGGGCACTGCTGCCTTGAGGAGATAATGCAATGAATACGGAATGTACTTCCGCCGCAGAATCTTCGCAGGACGCTGATTCGTCGTGAATTGGGGCCTCAGCGCACCGGAAAGCCTTCAAGGGGCTGCCTCAGTAGTCACCACACGTGTAATTTGACCAACGCAGAGAGGCCGAACTCACCTCCGCTTCGACAAACTTAGTCCATACGCGAGCGCGCTCCGTCGAGTCCGGACGTACGTGCGCCACAAGCGCGCCTTGGAGCCCAGCGCCGGTCTGCATCGCCACAGGCCGGTCGTTACTGTAATGGATCACCACATCCTTGCTGCGCATGCGACAACCAAGGATGGGCGCTGAGCATAGGCTGGTCAAAACGTTGGAATCCCTGTCTTGAATGTCATATGTGTCAGAGAGGACTGATGCGCCCGGCCGCCCCTGGGAAAGCTCCCATCGCTGCCACCAGAATCCAACCAGAACATGACGAGAACTTCGGTGCATGCAGGGACCCGGCGGGCTTCACATCATGATACATCAGTGTACAAGATGATTGCCCTCGTTGCAACGCGTTCCCGACTGTGGACATGCCGTACTCACGTCCATGTAGTGAGGCCACGGTAAGTTCTCGTATCCCCCTTTGCAAGGGACCTGGGGCCAAATTGCGGGTCGTAGTGCTGCATCTTGTATTGACGTAACCTCACTGTTCCAACTAGCAATCTTCGAGCTGCTCGCGACGTTGTCCGGAATCCGCTGGGCCAATGGGGATACGTACAGTACCTACCGCCGATCGATATCGAACGCAACTCAGCATCACGTACATCAGAAGAACACCATCCAAATTCCACGGTGCATGCAGCACCGCCAACAACATATTCGCCGATCTGCCAAAGTATGCGCGTCAGTAAGTGTGGTCCAGAGCAACATTCGAGCGCCAGAAGGGTACCCACTATTCTGCATTCCGTCGCATGTACCGCTATCCTAAGCTCTTCGACTTGCTTGCGGGGAGCAGCAGCTACGATGACCGCGGCTCATACGAGGCCAATGGGATAGGACGGCGTAGAGCAGGCGGAAAATGCATGGTGTCACACACCGTTGCGCGCCCGTGGAGTACAAATGGTGATGGACGACGGGCCAGATTACGCACCAAAGATGAAGGCACGGGCCGATTACGTGGAAGAAAACATGAAGACGCGGATGCACTTGCAGCAGAGTTCTGTAGTCAAAGCGATATACAGACGAGGGCATTCGGAGACGCTAAGCGATCCCCCTACTAGTTCCAAACGTCATGTCAAGTGCTTCTTGCGAGGGAGCATAGTCTATTGCGTAGGATGAGTGGAGGTGGGCATTATACTGCGATACAAGCCGGTCAGCAAGACGACTGTACGATGATGACAAGTGTCGATACATACCAGTGAGTAATAAGCGAACAATGACGACAATATATTATGCACGCACACCGGAAACGTCCGACATCGTCTACTCCTTGTCTCTCCTCATTCTCTCCCGCATCTCGCGCGCCGCACGCTTCGTACCCTCCCCGCCCGCCCAGCCTCTCGCCCGCAGCCAGTGGACGAGTTTCGGGGTCAACGTGGCAGTGAGGCCGACGCGCACCGGAAGGAAGAGCGTCTTGTGGACCGTGTAGGCGAGGACGACCATCGCCCAGAAGCCTTCCTGGCCGCCACTGTGCGCGTGCGACGAGATGCTCTCCATGTCCTCCCTGCCGGGTTCTGGCGGCCTCGAGTGAATCATGCCGGCAATATAGTCCTTCACGGCGGAGGTGACGCGGGAGACGTGCTCGGCACCAATGAGGTTGATGCCGACGAATGCGACGGAGAAGTCGAGGGTGGAGATGACGATGTACATGCCGAGGGCATACCACCCGTAGGCCTTGATGAGGTATTTTAGTCGCTGCGAAAGGGTCGCATTCGGCGGGAGGCTGGGGCTCTCGGGCTCATCTGGTGGCGGTGAGCGGGGTGGCGAGTCGGTGAGGCGGGCAGGACTGGTGTGAAAGATACGAGAGGCGGTTGCGGGTGCGCCGGTGAGCGAGAGCGGACTTGTTGCGAAGCGGGTGAGAGGCAGCACGGGCCTGGCAATGCGGGGGGCGAGGGCGCGGAAGAGGGGAAAGCGGAGGATGAGGTTGCGCACCATCGACGCGGGGGCGGCGGGGGCGGGGACAGCGGTGGTGGTGGCAGCAGGGCGACGGGGAGGACAGCGAGGACGGCGCTGTGGCAGCCGAATAATAACTGGAAATGGAAATGTAAGGATGCGCGTCATGGCGGCGGCGGGCGGCAACGCGGGTGATCGGGCATCGATCGTGCTGCAGATTTTGAGCTCTGTGCGCGCCCGCCACCCTCATCGCCGTTTCATGCATCCCTCCGCCGCCGCCCCCACATTCCGTCTCTCCATCCCCAGATAGCACCCGCTCGTCTGAATGGCAGCATGCCCTGACGACCCGCCCACCGGCCCCTTCGAGGGTCCAGAGAAGCTCCTCGAGATCTGGTTCAAGCCGTCCCCCGCAGACGTCCCCGACGCCGCCTCCGCAACCGACGGCAAGTTCGGCCTCAGGAAGGTCCCGAGGGAGGTCTGGGCGGACATGCTCGACATCGTCCAGTGCAAGATCCTGTCCGTCGCGGAGGGCATGGAGGTGGACGCCTATCTCCTCAGGTAAGCTTCACCGTCCAGCCGATCACGTCAATCGCCCGAGTGTGTGCGTGCGTGCATCCGCAAGGAGGCCAAAAGGGCTACCGTCTCGTATATGGCCGCTGGGATCGGTCGTGCGACATACGTCTCCAATATCTGTAACGATGAGTCTGGGCGCATCGTGCCCTGGCATCCCGTTCTCGAACATCGCTTGCGCCTTCCACAGCATCAGACAGCTCCGGGTGCTTCGTAGATGCTGTTTGAACGCCGCGATCTCTTCTCTAGCAATCCTTGCTTCGAGCACACTGCAAACATACTCATGCTCCCGCCCGATCTAGTGAATCGTCTCTCTTCGTGTCTCCCCATCGTCTCATCCTCAAAACATGCGGCACGACCCTCAACCTTCTGGGGGTCCCGCGCATACTAGAGATTGCTCGCGACCATGCCTCGCTGCCAACCGTCTATCGCTTGTTCTACTCTCGCAAGGCTTTCATGTTCCCGGAGCGGCAGATGGGACCTCACAGGGACTGGCGTGCGGAGATTGACTACCTCGACAACATCTTTCCCAACGGTGCGGCGTACACTATTGGGAAGGTGAACGGTGACCATTGGCTGCTCTACATGACCGCTCCCGGAGAAGACGGCCTCAACGGGAACACAAGACCAAACACTCCCCTGCAGCATCCACTGAACGGCGCTACCTCCGACGAGCAAGCCAACAGCGTCGATGCGGACGACGCAGCCCCAGAGCAAACGTCTTCGACGGACGACGAGATCTCACAAGACTACACCATTGAGATTCTCATGACCCACCTTTCTCCGACCGCCTGCGCGCCCTTCATGACCAGCCCCAATGCCTCCCCAGAGTCTGACATCTCTCCCTCTGCTCAAGCGATGTCCCTCTCCTCCTCCCTTGGCATCTCCGAACTCTTCCCACCACACGTAACGACCCTCGATGCCTACTCCTTCACGCCCTGCGGCTACTCTTGCAACGCCCTGCTCAAATGGCGCGAGGACGCCGGGACGGACCCCACCAAGCCCGGCGAGGGCTACTACACCATCCACGTCACACCCGAGTCCGGCTGGTCCTACGCCTCCTTCGAGTGCAACGTGCCGCTGCCCTCCGCGCCCTCGGGCGACACGCACGCGCCGGACGGCAAGAAGCGCATCCCCGACCTCCGCACGCTCATCCGCCGCGTCGTGAACATCTTCCAGCCCGGGCGGCTCACGCTCACGCTCTTCATCTCGGGCGAGGACAACAGCAACGCGGAGGAGGAGGACGGCGAGAGCGCCGTGGAGGCCGCGCAGCGCGCGTTCAAGGCCGCGCTGACGCTCCCGTGCGCGCGCGCCGCGAGGGGCAGCACCGCCCAGGGGACCGCGAGCGCGGAGGCGCCCTCGGGGTTCAGCGGGACGTACAGGCGCACGGACAAGATCAACTACGAATTCGGCGGGTACGACCTCGCGTTCGCGACTTTCGAGCTTCGCCAGTGAGAAGCAGGCCCCCACGACCCATCCCCAGCTCTCCGCCCGTCTTCACGCCTCTCAAAAGTACCATCTATGTATATCACCTACACGACCGTGTGTAACTTATGTTATGTTCGCTGTATCAATCATTCTGTAGCGCCAGAATTGTGTGAGTGTGTGTTGTCGGAACTCCACCCTGCATGCTTCCCGGATGCCGCTCTTCCGTTGACACGCCGGGCAATCTTGATATGATCCCCAAACCGCATGTCCCTAAATGGCAGTCGCTGTGGTTGTGGCCGCGCTACATAGTTCCGCGGCGACATGTCGGGGCCAGCCTAACATAGGCGCCACGAGCGGCCGGGGGACAACGTGTTGTCCATTCCGAGTCGGGCTATTTAGCAGCGGCGATACAAGCGGAGCAAGCCGGTACAGTACAGCAACAATACTGAACTCATATCATCACCAAGGCAGGAGAGGAGCACTGACTACACGACGAGAGTGAATAAATGTTAAGTACAAACGAATCCCATCCCGATTGCGACCAATACTACGAGGCATACATCAAAGACTGCTAGCGTGTAGATCATGATGTATCGTGCGGCGAAGTAGATGTCCTAAATAAAGATACAGTAGCCGCGTCAGCGGGGGCCAAATTATCGCTTGGAAACGTGCGAGTGCGACCGCGAGGCAGACGACGCCGAAGGGTCCTCCTCCGAGACTGCGGCACGTGTGCTGTTCTTGCCGCGCATCTTGCAAAGAGGACACAGTCGAGTGAAGATCTCCACCATCGGCCAAGTAATCGTCGCCTGCATCAGAACAAGCTCAGCGGCGAGAGCGACATTATTCGAAGATGCACTTACGACGCCTATCCGCCTGGCCTCCGACAGCATGCTCGGAGCAGTGCTGTGGTTCCTATGTGTGTACACCAACACGTCGTATATCTGCTGCTGCACGGGTACACGATCAAATACCGCCACCGGGTCCGGCGTAGCCAAGCTTCCCGCCACCGGGTCCTCCGGCTTGAGCGGAACGGGCTCGCCATCCGTGAGAGCAGCGTAGTGAGTGCGGAGGCTCTCCTCGTCTGCGCGGTCCATGTTATAGTACGCGTCCCGCGGAAGGATGAGCAGGTGCTGCTTGTGCGAACCTGACCTTGCGTGGTGACAGCTCGCCCAGAGCTGTAGTCGGACCGAGAGCTCGGATATGCGACCTTCAGTGATAGCGTGTGCGACATCGGCGTAGACATCGGGAATGAACGTGGCTGTCTCGCGCAGTTCCGGTGCCAAACCACCCACGAACCGGACGAGAGCCTCGTCGAATGCGTGGCGGGCCGGCATCTCGATGGCTGTGATGGCGACAAGCGTTTGCAGGACGGCTGTCGGAAGAGGTGCGAAGGATGGATGTGTCCAGGGATCGATGTGCGGTGTTGTGACGATCATGCCCTGGTCGAGGACGAAGGGGCGATGATAGCCCGAGCCACTCGCACTGGCGCTCGTAGAGGAACTACTCTTCGCCGCAAGCGGTGGCAATGCAAGCTTGCGCACCCAAGTCACCACCCCGTCTGGACCAACTTGCTGGAACATCTCCGAATCGACATCCATAGCGTTGTCGTCGCCAGGGGTTGGTGAGCCAGGTGGCTTATATTGCTTAATCTGCGGCTCTGTTCGCAGCTCGCTCTCGAACGTGTGTTTGTTGGCCGGAGTAGCACCGTTCCCGTTGGGGGCGGTGGAGCTTTCTGCCGGGACTTCAGCCTCGTGGTCCGAGGGTACCTCAGAGACGAGGAAGGAAGCGGTCTTCGATGCGTAGGGCGTCATGTTTCCGTCGCCCTTGGGAGTGGCGGTCTGGTTCTCTGTGGGAACCTTGTGCCGCTTCTTGGGGGTATAGTTGCAGTCCTCCTCGTTATCTTCCTGACAGTGGTTGCATATGGGCAGACTGCGATCGCACTGCAAGGATTCGAGACATGAGCATCGTTCTAGGTCTAACGTACATTGCACACGAGAACATACCTTGAGATTCTTGAGGCGACACCTGTCGCATCTCGGGATGCCCCTATGTGCAGGAGTCGGTAACGGCGTGTACTTGCATTCACGCCCGTTTGCCCACGAGCAGTGATTACATGTGGGCAAGACGCGGTCGCACTGGCCACACAGGCACCGAATGAGCATGCGTACTCGTTTTGATGCTTATATAATACATATCAAACATACCTTGAGGTTGTTCAAACGGCAGTGATCACAGCGGGGCTTTCCTCTGCGGCCCTTCCACTGCGACTGACGCGCCATGTAGACTTTTGGGTTAGGAATGCGGATGGTGAGCTGTCCGTCATCGCCCGACTCGGCTCCTACCGATTCGGTGCCATCTGGGGAGTCAGTCATGGTAGAAATGTGCTGGAGGTGGTAGAGTAAAAATTGAGCAGTGCGCAGAGGATCGACCGACAGGGGCGGGCGCCGCAGCAGTCGGTGGACGGTCTGATGGAGCCACGAACGACAGCAAGGCCGTGTGAGATAAGGGCTAGCGCACGCCGATTGAACGCGGACGCTGCGGGGTTGTCAGAGTGCGCTGAGGTTGCGCCTGATGGGTCGTGGCCGGGCAGCGACGACGAGAATTGTCGCGAACGGCCAGCGAGGGCGTGGCGGGCGAGGCGGTGGCGGAGGAGGTTGCTATTCAAGAAACCAAATTTGGCGAGAAGTGAAACGAACCTACTCAGAAGCGTGACACCCGTTACCTAATAGTAATTGTTACCCCGAAGCGCTGCGGGGCCAACTGATCTTTCCTCCTGCACGTCCCTCCCTCCTTTATACCCCGCTGCTCGCGCGCGGGCGGCGTATTGTGTCATGAAAAACACCTCCATTCAGCTATACAACGCCTGTGTACCCAAGCAGCGCTGCATTGAGCAGAATGCAGCCCAACGGGGCGAACAAGAGACGAAAGAGCTGAACCACGCAACCACTCAGAAGACCCGCGCCGGAGATGGCCGGAGATTCCTAGTTGCCAAATGCGGATCCACACCCATCTGCAGCCATCTGCACCAAGAACGGCATCAGATTCGCCCCGAATGCCGCACAACTTCGTCCGAATCAATGTCGTCCGGCGGCCGCACGCCTCGCTGCTCGTCTCGTCGTCGTGACCAGTCATGTTCTCTCGTGCTTCCAAACCGCTCACTCGACCGTATGTTGCTGTATATGCCTGTCAAGCACCGTCGGCACTAGGTCTTGCGCCGAACCGCCGACAAATCACGTCTTATGTACCGGCCGCGGTCACCGCGTTATCATCAGGTTATCATGAACCAGCAGCTGCTAGCCTGATATCACTCCTCTTCAGAGGACCGTCAAGAGCTGCTTGACCGATACAATGCATTGTTTCAGACCATCGTGCTCAACTGATGACACGATCCCGCTGGTTGTTTCGCAAGAGGACACAACTCGAACCGCTGAGTACAAAGTTCGGAGGCTCCTGGCTACACATGGTGCTCGCGATGGATGCCTTCATCATCTCACTGACAGCTGCACACCTGCGATAAACACCCCTCGTATGGCCAGTACGGTACCCGAAGCCAACCCGAAGCTCCCCGCCGACATACCATGCGTGGCAATCCTTCGGTGATACACCGAAGCGGGATCTAGAAGTAGGCGAAGCAGTCGTTCCTCGTGCTCTTTCGATGCGGAAACACTCCCGTGACGTAGGTCTATTCACGCGGTCTTGGCGCAGGTCGGCCTCCGGTTAGATTCGCGGTCAAATCGTTGGAACTTGGTACGTGCGGCACCAATGACATTCGCCTGCGCGCGCCGCTAAAGCCACCGTCGCGAATGGGCAACTTGAACAAGAGTTCGCATCCTGATAGACATATCACAGAAGCGCCTCCGGGCCATGCCCACGGTACAGATACTCCTTGGGTGCCTTATATCACTTCTCAACTGCCAAGCATCAGTGGTCGTGTGTCTCCCTCCTCGCCCTTCTATCTGTGGCCCGAATCTGACCGTCTCAACAGCGCTCAGTCGCGGGTTCGATGTCCCAAACGGGACTCAACATCCACCATGTACGGAGTGTGCACTATTCGGTCAGCAACAGAGACTAAGTGTGCACATGCTTACTGAACTTGAAGCGAGATGACGAAGAAGCCTCCTCAATTGAACACACCAGCAGCCACGCGGTCATGCCTGTCTTCTGTTCCGTCATCCTTCCTCCGACTCGATCCATATGATGACCTCCCGCGACGAGGTGCTATCACCATATGCCATCGCCGGAACGACGGAAGTATCGCACTTCCTCAGGTGAGCACTACTGCATGATACATAAATACTGTCCCTGCCAGTCGAGGGCCCTCAGCAGCATCGGCTTCACCACCCTTGCTCCTGATCGACGGCCCGCCTTAGGTTCCTCCGTTGCCAAGCATCTCCACCATGTTCGGCTTCCGTACCCTTGGCTTCGCCCTCCTCGCTCTGCGCGCATCCGCTGGACCCATTGCGAAGCGCGCTGAGGCGTACTACAACCCTGCCGACAATGGTGGCTCCATGCTCACCAACGCTGGCAGCCTCGGGGAACCTTTGAACGTCAGTGCCTTGTTCGTACATGCCGCTGGGTAACATGCTCAACGGTGCTATCCGTGTCCAGGTCATCGTCTCGGGCCAGAGCTCCCCAGACGTGCTCTCGTACGACGGCATCGTCAACTACGCCCGCGCGATCGGCTTGTAGGTACCCTCTGTTTAACCTCCAACAATCTCTGATTGGACATCCACGCCTCGCTCACAGCTCCACGGAATGCTTCGGCATCCACCTCGGAGGCCCGCAGAGCGCCAACCTGGGCGACGGCAACGGCTGGGTCAACCAAACCGCAGAGCTGCGCGAAGACTACGGGCACGCGAACGTCGGGACCTGCCTCGAGAGCGGGATCGGCGGGAACCACTTCAGGTGCGCGCTCCCATAACGTCCCGACGCTCTGCGATTGCGTGTTGATGCGCTATCGTTTCCGCACACAGGGTGTTCAAGCAGGATGGGGGCGACGCGGACAGCGGGGCGCTCTTCTTAGCGTCAGTGTTCTGATCACCCGTCTGTTCGTGATGTCTGACCATGTGCACTCTCTGCGACACACAGCGCGTCGACGGAAGAGCCGTCTACGGAACACCACACTATTATCCCGGACGGATACGACATTGGACGGTGCGTCCGAGGCCTCCCGCTGCCCTCGACTGAGTTGACACTCACATGCATGAATGTTCGTTAGAGACACGCTTGTTTCATGGGCGCTCGGCACGACGAGCTACGGTGGCGTCACGTACAGTACCACGGGCGAGAACGTCACGGGCCTGCTGCAAGCGGGCACGAGCGGCATCAACCACGGTGAGTATTCGAACAAACACTATGCTTGGATATGCTTGCTAACGAGGGAACGCAGACATTGCCATCGATGGTATTGTGACTGTGCTGACCGTTACGATCCAATGAGCGTCCATAGGACACCGGGATGGACACCCACAATCAAACTCGTGTCCTTTACGATTCTACGAAGTTACGATTGTAGGATACCTAGATCAGATATCTATACCCACCACGACAATCACAGAGCGATGGGCTGTGTGCTTGTGTACTGTATACGACCATTCAACCTGAGGACGCTAGGTGGGTGGCACAGATCAAGGCGCTACAAGGAACGTTTGCTATCGACGTCGTTCGACATACGTATACTTACGTGCGCAGTCCAACCCCAGGACTCCGTTTATGCCCAATTCGTCTTGATATTCAAATTCAGACCCTGGTCCGTTACGGTACAACGGCGCGTAAGCCTTCCGCGAAGAGGATGATTGCATATGGTGGACACCATCCTCCAGGGCCATGTACACATGCAACACGGGTCATTCCAGTCGACGGTTCCCGCTCACCATTCAGACATCCCGCAAACGGCATGGAAAGGCACATTTCCTGCATATGTGCTGCACGACGCAGATCGAGCGTGGGACGGAGAAGGACGTCTTCATGGACGCGTGACGCACGTCTATCAGCCTCCTGCACACGCCCTGCCGCCCACTCATTCGATCCCGGTGCTGTGCCTGTCGCCCAAAGACCATAAGTGCTGCGGTACTGAACTTCGCGTCTAATCACGAGCTGCGCACTGTTACGTGATCCCACTCACAGATCCTGCCGCCGGACAGAAACGCAAATGGGTCTACGCGCCGAGTGGAACGTGCACTTTGAACGTTCGATCGCGCCTGGGTACCAGAAGAAGAACGGCCGTATCAGGATCACGGCGCCGCGCTCAGTCCCTGAAAAGGCGTGTCGAACGTTCATCGTCGTCCCCAGCGGCCATGCGGCGAGCGACAGCTGAGGGTAGCAAAGCGCTGCAAAGGAGGCTCTCCTTCCACGATCGCACGCCCAGCCATGCGTCACAGCGATCACGCCTGCTTCCCAGCCGCTTCTCCGTCTCAGAAAGACCTCCCAGAAAGCGTGCCCCATATGTCGACCGGCACGGGCTGGGAAACTGCCTTGTTCGGCGATACATCGTTCGTAACGGTCTTCGTCTCCACACCTACCCACGTACGCATAAATAGCGCGATGCGTTGAAGGACTGTCCCCGCCAGCGTCGACATCCCCGACGTCTCAGGCTCCTCGTCCCCGGGTCTCCAGCACGATCACCATGCTCGCTGTGCGTTCCCTCGGCATCGCCCTCCTCGCAGCCGCCCTGCGCGTGTCTGCGGGCCCGCTCGCGAAGCGCGCCGCGGCGTATTACGACCCTGCTGACGACGGAGGCTCGATGTTGACTAACGCTGGCGACGGGTACGGCGAACCGCTGAACGTATGCGCCCAAACGCCACGTCAAGTGTGCAGAGCTGATGACGCCGCCGTGTGCTGCTAGGTCATCATCTCGGGCCTCAGCTCGCCGGACGTCCTCACGTACGACGGCTCGATCAACTACGCCCGGGCCATCGGGTTGTGAGTGGACGAACCCTACACATGCTTCATGACTCACCAATCTGCACAGCTCGACGGAGTGCCTTGGCATACACATCGGGGCCCCGCAGAGCGCGAACCTGGGGGACGGCAATGGGTCGGTGAACCAGACGATCGAGCTGCGCGAGGATTACGGCTCCGCGTCGGTGGGGACGTGCCTCGAGAGCGCGATCGGTGGGAACCACTTCAGGTGAGACGTCGATAGTTAACGTCAAGAGTGGCAGCACAGATGTTGACGGACGCTGTCGCGCGCAGGATCTTCGTGCAGAACGGGACCGCGGCTGACAGCGGTGCTCTGTTCCTCGCGTGAGTGATGTCGGCTCTCCTCGTACGCTAAGACTCACCTCGTGCGGCGCTTGTGATGCAGCGTCTCGTATGAGGAAGACGCGTCCGATGGGCACGACATCGAGCCGAATGGCTATGACATCGGGCGGTATGTGGACCATATATTTGAGCGTCAGATCTTGGCTGATGATCTGTACCACAGTGACGACCTTGTCTCGGACGCACTGGGGACGACGAGTTATGGCGGGGTGACATATAGTACGACGGCTGAGAACATCACGGGCTTGCTGTCGGCGGGCAGCGCGGGCATCAACCATGGTATGTCGGCTTTTCCATGCGATGCATAGCTTGAGTTTGCTTGACTGAACTGGTGATGCCTTGCGTGCAGACATATCGATTGACGGGATCGTGACCCTCTTGACGGTGACCGTCCAGTGAGCGCTCGGGCCGTTGGAGCGCTCGCGATGTATACCTTGTTGGATCTAATAGCATTGGGACTGTAAGGGGACAAGAGAAGGGATTCTGTGTGCAGGTCTCGGATGCACGGTGGTGGACCGACGAACGAGGGACCGGGTTGACGGGCGCTCTGGGCGTGGTGGCGTTGGGAGACACGTGTCTGGCGAGCAACGCGCCGATTCGCACGTTGATTGGCTGGTGGCCTGAGCGATCCTACTGCGGAAATGGGACGCTCTGTTCCTCAGCCTGCCTTCGATTCGAGAACATGTATAGCACGGCCGCCCCGCGACCACCCTATCCACCAGGCCGCCCGAAAATGGCGACGGGCTCTCTTCAGTTTAGCTTCGACTTCCCCATGCTTCTCTGATCAATGACAACGTCGCGTTCCTAATAAGACGGGCCTCGTGAGGGTCTGCCCCGCCATCTCCTCGCTTGTCTTTCCTCAGTGCCTGCGCACCGTGTGCTGAACGTTGAGATGCTGGCGGTCCTCCAGCTCGCCCTGCTCAGCGTAGTCGCGCTCGCATCGCCTGCTCCTGCTGACCTCGTCAACAGAGATGGCATCCAGAGCCCGTTCGCTGGCCCGCCCGTCGCCTACTACAACCCTGTCGACCTCGGGGGCACCATGTTCGACAACACTGGCAATGGACTCGGCGAGCCTCTGAATGTAGGGCATCGACCTGATCCAACAAGTCAGAAACCGACGCTGATGCATTCAATGGTGACTAGGTCATCATCTCGGGCCTCAGCTCTCCGGAACTGATTGATGGCGGGCTCGACGGAATCGTCAACTACGCACGTGCAATAGGGTTGTGAGTGCAAACGTCTGCATCATGATGCTTACAATCAAAACAATTGATCGCTTGTACTTGTCTCCTTAGCTCTAAGGAATGTCTCGACATCCACCTCGGCTCCCCATTCTCCGCCAACCTGGGCGACGGCCACGGCGCGGTCAACCAGACGATCGAGCTCCGGCAAGACTACGGGAGCTCGGAGATCGGCACCTGCCTCGAGAGCCTCATCGGCGGGAACCACTTCAGGTGCGAGCCCCATGCAGCTTCGCACGTGCGCAACAACAGGCGCATTATTGACATATTGTGAGGACAGGGTGTACATCCAGAACGGGCCGTTAGCGAACAGCGGTGCGCTCTTCCTCGCGTACGTCGCTGCCCTCACCCTCTGTCTAGCCACCAATGTTGACTGACCGACCTACCAAGCGTGTCGAAAGAAGAGGACGTCGAGACGGGCCACGACATCACCCCGGACGGGTACAACGTCGGGCGGTACGTGTCTTCCTTCCCTCCCCCCACCGCTCCCTTCAACATCGTGACGGGCTGACTTATGGCGTGTGTGGACAGTGACCAACTCGTCGCGCACGCGATCGGCGCGAAGTCGTTCGACGACATCACGTACTACACCGTCGCGCAGAACATCACAGGCCTGATGCCCGCCGGGAGCGCGGGGGTCAACCACGGTGCGTCTGCAGCTATCTAAGCGAGTCCCCACGCCGAGAATGCGCTGACTCGGTGTTTGGCGTTCGTGCAGGCATCGCTGTGGACGGTATCGTCACGCTTCTGACCGTCTCGGTGAACGCGCGCGCGGAGTAACGAAAGGGAGCATGGATTTCTCGAGGAATGTGTTTGGTGTGTTGATAACAGTGACGATCCGGTCTTGGAACTATACCCCGTCAGACAATGTATTGTATCGCGAAGCATATACGGTTATATCACATTGGGCACCTTACCCCGAATTTGTGGACACAATGTGCAGAACACTGTCTCAACCACAGGGATGTCATCGCCAGCGACGGATGTCAACATCCCGAACACCCCAAACGTTTGCATGTGTTAGTCGAGAAGCCCAAAAGACTCTAAGTGGACGCGGGCCGAAGACGAAGAATGACACACCACTCAACGCGCTCAAGACACCGACTGGAGGGTTACGGACACGAATAGTCAAATTGCAGGATGCGAGGTGTTGTACAATGGAACCAAGTTACAATCACTGTATGCATGGGTGTATCATACTATGCAAGGGAATCATTGGGGAGAAAACTGCGTGATGGGTCCGTGATGTCATCGAGTACAATGAAGGGCCTCTTCGAGAGATGTCTTCAATACTTTAAAGGGGAAGGAAAATGGGAGATAGAGGACGCATCCTTAATAACGCCTAATATTCCTCGACCCAGTCGTCCCACCTCAAGTCGTCATCGCTCGCTGCCGCCACAGTCGGCAGCATCGTCGCGTCCTCGTCCGCACCCTCGAAGTCGGCATGTCCGCCAGTATACCGGATCGCCCACTCGCGCTTCTCCTCCTCGACCTCCGCCACCGGACGGCGGCGCACACGCGAGAGGACCATGTCTAGCGCCTGGAAGTTCGAGTCGTCCGTCGCGAACTTGCGGTGCCTGCGCCCATTGATGTGCTACACAAGCCCCAGCAAACGCGATCAGCGACTGCAAAGTACAGTCACACGGACGGCGCACTCACCGACTTAAAATCCTCAAACTTCACGCGACAGCTCTCGCAATAGCCAGGCTTCACACCCTCCTCGCGCTTCGGCAGCCTCAGCGTATTAGTGCTACGGCTCTTGCGGAGCATGTTCGGCTTCTCTGGGATGTTCGGCGGCGGGCCCATCTTCTCCTTGCCCTCCGCGCCGCTGACCACTCTCCTAGACGTGACAACCTGCTGCTGCAGTCGCCCCCTCAAACCTGGCGGGAGCTGGAGGTTGCGGAGCGTGTTCGAGGCCGCAGACGTCGTCCCAGTCGTCGACGTTACGCCGACGCTGTTCCCGGACGCCGCCATGTACGCCCCGCTCGCCAGGTAGCCCGACGCGTTCGCGGACTGCATGTCCCCATCGCCGAACTCCGCGTCGAAGTCGCCGAGGCCGTCCACGGCCCAGCCGGCGTCGCCTAGACTTGCGCGCCGGTGGAGGTTGTGCATGGACGCGGTGCGGCGGAGGTCGTGCTGCTTCGCCATCGCCTGGGCTTGCCGCCTGCGTTCCTCCTCCCTTAGCCTTGCCTTTCGCCGCGCGCGCTCTTGCTCCTTCTCCTTGTCCATCCGGTCCGCGCGCTCCCGTCTTCGTTCTTCCCTCTCGTCGTATGGCACGAAAGGCCCACGCGCGAGGGGATGGCAATACAGCACCGGCCAGGATGGTCTTTCCTGGCCATCCCTACCTCTTTTGATGGGGTACTCCGCGGCTGCAATCGTCGCAAGCTCTTGCCGCATGTCCTCGACAAGCACGAAGTATGTTCCTTTCGAGAAGTATGTGAAGCCATGACGTTTCTGCGTCGGGTCGCGTTCGCTCGTCGTTCCATACGTGCGTTCCTCTTCCAACAAGCGCGTCAGTGGGCGGCTGCTCGCGGCCTGGCTCCTTGTAGACGGTGCCCGTGTGCTGTATGCTGCCGGCGCGTGACATCTGTCGAGGACACTCTCGAGCTTGGTTGGGGACCAGACTTTGATCCCAAAGGCGAGGGCCTTCTTCGCGATGCGCTCAGAGGCGGTCGTGGGCGCGTCACCTGTCGCTCTATCATAACATTTTCATGGGCACGATCTCCAGCACGATCATCCCAGCACTTACCGCCCTTTCAGCTTGATCGGACTGAGAAGTAGACTGGTTGTTGCAGATGTCGAGGGCTGATTGGAGTTCTCCTTCTCGGAGCCCTCAGCATCGAAGGTGATGAGGTGAGTGATGTCTTTGGAGAAGAAGTCCTCGACCGCCTATGTGCACAGAAGCGGAGCGAGCGTGAGCAACCAAATATAAGGTTACGTTCAATCGCTAGAGCGTATTCGGCTACTTACCGCACCCATGTGCCTCAGTCGCCGTTCCAGGTTATCCTTGAGAGCCGCCACATCGGGACTCAAAGTATCCAAGTCGAAATGGAACGTCCAGTTCGGAAAAGCACGCGTGTACTTAATCCTAAACTCCTCTTCGCGTTCGATGCGCTTTCGTTCCTTCTCTTTCCTTGCTTCTTCGCGGGGATCTTCACGGGTGGGCGGTGCGGGAGGTTGAGGCGCGGCCACGGCCTTCAACCGCTTCATGCTCTGCGATGACTCGTCATCCTTGTTTGGGTCCGGGGATCTTGCCCTCTTGCTGCTCGTAGACGCCTTCCGGGACATGGCGGCCGCCTGATGCGAGAGGGCGACTGAATGGTGCTGGGAGTGAGGTCGCATGGACAGCGGGTTGCGGGCAAGGGTAGCCATGGAAGGGTTGCGCGTCGACGTTGCAAACCTAGACGAGCCCTGCGACGGGGTATGCAAGAAAGGGCCCGAGGGCGGCGTGTATGCGAGGGGGACGGTGGACGGAGGGAAGTGCAGGAACGAGGCGTGCCCTCCTCCGCCACGGTCTTAGGCGCCCGAATCAACGGCACGCTCGTGATCAAGACGCGTTGTGTGACATATGGCTATGTGACTGACATCCGTGACCGCACGCGCCGCACAATCTTGTCTGCCACCACCGCGACGAGATCATTTCCAAGTCCGCCACAGTCGCGCGTAGTGCGTTTCTCGGCTTACCACCCGCATTATATTCCTCACAAAAATACACAGGGTCGGGTCCTCGAACCCGAACCTTCACAACCACTGAAATGGTAGAGCCAAGTCTTCCAGACCTTCCGGGTCCGGAAGTACCACCAGTGTCATTGGATACGCTGCCTGAGATACATTCGGGCTTCTTCATACCTCGTCTCACAGACAAACCGCAGAATCCTATCATGGATACAATACAGCTGGTGCAGCGAACACGCGAGCCTGTGTCGTATCCTCTGCCAGTCGAAGTCGCAGCCTTGGCAGAGGATATGTGGGCTGCCAGTGTCGCGGAAGCTCGCCGGAAGATCGAGGACAATATCTGGCAGCGAGTGGCAGCGGAAAAGAAATCCGAAACGGTGGGATACCTGTCATATATGTGTGGTGCATTACTGAGCGGTTCTGTAGCATCGTCTGATGTCTTGGGAATCGTTACGCGACTCTTTCAGCTCGCGGGCAATACCTTCCGCGTTTTTGTCGCAACAAGGTCCTCAAGTCTTCGCATCCGTGCGCCACTAGTACGCTCACAGATGTCGATTGTTGACTCAGCAACTGATGCCTGCTAGTGTCAGGCCCCAACTGCACGATCCCTGTAGGCCATTGGTATACGTGACTGGCGGCGATCTGTTGGAATCCTTGCGCTTGACACTCACAGGCGTTTCGTCTTCCATCCACATTTGGGATCCCCAGTTCGAGCAGTTCGCCTTGCGCGCCGTTCCGCGGGGAACGAAAGGGACCATCGTCCTGATTGGTACGGATGAGGTCATCAGCGAGAGGTGAGGCGGACATACCTCTAGTAGTTATGCATCACGACTCACGTCGTGTTTCTGATAGTATTCTACAGCGATTTCTGACGATCGGGACCTTGATGCGGCGTCTAGAAATTCTGATACAGGCTCACGGGACCATGTGCGTGCACAAGCTATGAATCTATACTCATGCTCACGGAGAACTCCATTCAGTCGTGGGCGCACTGACCAAGCCACCTATTCATTTATACATGCACTTTCTTCAGTGCTTGACAATTTACGGGAACGACTGGCCGAACCGATGGCCCCGGATGGTATCCCTGGAGCAGTGCTTGACTTCGCCGCAGTATGGATGCGATACGCTGATGCAGAAGAAATATTGCAAGCGCTTGGAGTTCTCTGCAACAGAGTGCGTGTTTATCTTCTTGTACTTGCTCACCTCGACGAATACAACTCAGGAACTGCATGTGCCACCTTCTGCATATGTCCGGTTGCCCACAACTGCGGCAGAGCTTCTATCCAAGGTCTACCGCCAGCTAGATGAGAGCCTAGAGGATCATTCGCCGCATGCACTAGCAGCAATACTGGCCTTCATCCTGACTGTTACCTCCAAAGATTATCTCCGACAACTCGGCCAGTCAGTCGGGTATAATGCGTCGGCTGCACCCAGCACCGATGCGCATAAATATGACGCAGGCCTTTATGACACTGGTCAATGGGAGGAAGAGCCTGCCGACGAACAGGACGAGACGTTCTATGACGATGAGCAGACCGATGAGCCCTATCCAATCTTCATTCAGAATACGCTAGCCAATGCCTTCCCTCGTGCAAAACGGTCGCTCAAGCTCCTCCGTGAAGCACAGCCAGATCATCCACTATTACACGTGCAAGACGATCAGACAGAGCAACCTGATATCCATTGGTTCTGGACAGATGCGGAAGTCGCCGCCGCTTGGTTTGGGCGCAAAGAGATCGTGAAGCCAGACGACTCGCGCGCGCAGAATCCTGGCCAATCATCGAAGGTCGATCCTCCTGTTCAAGAAAGGGAATACAAAGACGAGCTGAAAGAATTCGCTCTCTTCGACCTGACGCCTGGTCAACATCTCGATCTGCTCGCACCGTCAACGTCCAACCTGGACCCCAGGGAGGTGGATGACCTACAGTCATTCACCAAGTCTTTTCCGTCCTCTTTTCCGCCGTTGACCCCAAACCTGTCACATCTGACGACCCTTGTCCTATCTCCTCTCACTCGCCACATGGAGGCACTATCGGCGGCGCTGGTATCCCTGGTCCTCTCACCCATTGTTCTGAATCTCCCCCTGCACCTGTCCATTCTCCGCTCCTATCTCCTACTCGCTTCACATTCCTTCAAATCGAGGCTCTCTTCCGCGCTGTTCTCCGACTCCGACGACCAGCCAGAGTTTGCGTCGAAGGCATCTGCTGCGAGTCGCCGAAGTGCGGAAGCGAGTCCGCCACTAGCAGCTGGTCGCTGGGCAGTGGGCCTGTCGCCTTCGTTGACGGTAGCTGCCCTCTGGCCACCGAGTGTCCCGGAACTGAGCTTCCATCTGCGCACTGTGATCAACGACTCGTTGCAGAGTTCAAATGGATTATCGCCGGAGCGGTCAGGAAACTCTCCGATGCACGAAAGCATTGTACATGAAGCCGAATACCGTCTGGGCTTCGCTATCCGCGACCTGCCGACTGGCACAGGCAAGGAAAGATGGTTGGATCCTTTATGTGCGTCCGACGTCCTCTGAGTTCTGCATTGTGGCTGACGCGTGCTTGTAGCCATAGAGTGAGTCGCCTGCGAATTCCCGCCTGACGGCTGTTCTAATGTCGTCGCAGAGCTCTAGACTTCTTATACATGGACTACAAGCCCCCGAGACCTCTGCACGTCGTGATAACGCCAGACGTGCTCTCGAAGTATCACCGCATATTTGCGTTCAACCTCAGGCTCATGCGAGGTGAGCCTCCTTCACTTGTCGTCTTCTCCTGATGCCATACCAGATGATCCCTCGATAGCTGCGAATGCTATGGCGACAACATACAGAATGACCCGACGATCCGCATCGCCTCTATTCCCGACCCTGTCCCAAACCAACAAGCTCCTCCTGCACGCCCGCTTCGTCGCCAATGCGTTCGTAACGGCTCTGTCCTCCTACATCTATGACCGCGCCATCGGATTCCGATTTGACGCCTTCCTCGCCAAGCTCACGGTTCCCGTGGATGGCACGGCGGAAGCGGAAAGCAAGCCACAACACGGCTTTTCCGACGTCTTCGCATTGGCGGAATACCACTCCGCCGTCCTCGATGATATCCTCAGCGCATGCCTTCTACGTTCTGGGCAGAAGGCAGTAGGCGACGTGTTACGAGGATGCCTCGAACTTGTCCTGGAACTGGCCGTGCTCGCTGGCGACCGCTATCGGGGTCGATTGGAGGAGTACCAGGCGGCGCCCCTCCTTGAGGATGTCTGGGAGAGGTTTAGGAAGAAGATGCTGACTCTGGTACGCCTCGACTACCGTTTCTGCACCTTCACGCTGTCCTAACAGGTGTCCTCAGATCAAGGTCCTCAGGGCTCTCGTAGACCGAGGTTCTGGAACCTCACGAGAGGCCGTGGAAGACGTTGCAGCGCAGTTAGCGAATCTGTCCCGTTTGGACGGAGTGACAGGGAGCCTCCACGACCTTGTTACCCGCCTCGATGTCGCAGACTGGTGGATACGCAAATGAATTATACCCCACATCCCACACTCTGTACATTGATCACACCGGATGAACGACGCGTGAAGTGGTATTCATTATTCCCGAAACGATACATGACAAGTAGGAACAGTACAGCGAGCTAGGTTGATGGTGTGAGAGATTATCCTAATTCTACAAGCACTTTTGGACCGGTGTCAGAGCCCCGAGCATTGAGCACCAACATGATGGATGGATGAAATAACTGAGAGGAAATGTGAGACGAAGAGATGATGCATGCATACGTACTGAGACATTGTCGATGATGATGAGCAGACCGATAGATGATAGCGTGTGCGACAGATCGACCAAAGGGAAAAGAGATGGGGAACCTAGAGCATGTGAGATGGAGCACTGTTATGCCTCCAAGGCACCCTCGAACACGTCCGTTACGGCCGACCCGCGAGCCGACGCCTTCACCTCCCGAGCGATGCGTACAAGCTCGCGCTCCCAGATGGTGCGGACCTCCTCCTCACGCGCGTCCGATGGAGGCTCAGCCTCCGCACCGGCGAGCGCGATGCCGAGACCGCGCGACACTTCGTCAAGACGGATATCCGCAGCGAAGCAAACCTCCTGGGTGACACCCTTGTTGGAACCGGTCGTGAAGGACGCCGAACGGCTGAAGCCCTTGCGGCCCGTTTTCGAGGGAGTACCAGGCATGTTGCCACGTCCCGATGAGAGCGTCGCGAGCCCAACGGTCTCGAGCAAGCCCAGGAGGTCGGTGAACTCGCTTCGCGAAACCGGTTTGAAGATGGCTGAGTCGCCGCGGGAAAGGATCGCCGAATAGAACGCATGGAGCTGAGCAACATCCAGAGGGCCATTTGCAGCGGATGCTGCGGCTGATGAAGATTGGGCCCGCTTCACTGGAGAGCGAGGCGTCTTCGTTGGCGAAGCGGCTACGATAGTCCCAGAAAGCGGGAGACTAGCTTCAACCCGTTTGCGGGCAAGCAGCGTGGCCAATACCACCAATCGTTGGTGGAGACCTAACCCGCGGACCTTCGCGACGAGCTCGCTGCCACCCGCGGAAGCACCAGATACAGACGGCGTCGAGGCCACATTCGCCGAGGGTTGGGCCTTCAATGCCGCAAGGACGTTGGCTGGCGTCACAACGGGGTTCGGCGCAGACAAGGGATCATCAGACTTGACATCAACAAGGGCCAAGTCGATGGCGCGGCGCAGGACCTCGAAAACCGCACGAACATCTCCCGTTTGGGATGCAATCTTCTTCGTCAACAGCGTCAAGGATGTAGCAGGGAGGAACTGCTTAATATGCTCCGCGCAATCCACGTCGTCATAGAGAGGCGCCAAACGAGACGTGAGAATCTCCAGCAAATGTTGAGGAGCATACGCAGTGAAGTGCGTTGTCTTCACGGACTTGACAGACTGCAGGGATGCGGTCGTTGTTGAGGATGTCAGGGTGTGGGTGTTCGCAATGCCGATGACGCGAAGATGTTCACTGAGCGTCTCAGCGAAGGTGAACAGAGATAGAAGGGACTGGTCATCCGACACAGCATGATCAAGCTCGTCGAGGACGACAACACTGCAAAAGTAAGATAATCAGCAGGCGGACCAGCTGCAACGTATGGATGACGCACGACTTGAACTTCCCGGTCGATAGCAAACGCTGAACACGTTGAGCAGGAGACTCCTTTGCCTTGCGAAGGCGACGAGCGTTCGATCCTTCGTCGAGGGCCTCTGCAAGGCCCTCCCAGATTGCATCGACCCCCTTGAGGGTCATGCAATTGAGTACAATGGCCTTAACATCGCTCGTTTCCATCTCTGTGCGACAGGCGCGCAAGACGTCGTTGACAAGGGCCGTCTTCCCGGTGCCCGGAGAGCCCGAGATGTAGAGAGCAGTATGCTCCTCGACCGCAGTGAAGAATGCGGTCAGGAAGTGCTGAATTAAGGCACGTTCCGCGGTCCGCCCCGTCATCCCCGCGACACCGTTAGATGTTGCGCGCAACAAGGCGCGAACGCGTACATGCAAAGGGAGGAGAGCCGACGGTGGTGATGGTGGCGGAGTCGACAAAGAAAGGTGGTTAAACGAGGTTGATGGCGTCCGAGGCGACGCTGTCAGGTCGTTTGAGGATGCGGTTCGTCGTGGCGCTGGAGTATGGTTAGACACGTGTCATGTTGTGTGAAGAAAAGGACCACATACTGCGACGCGGGGAGACTGATCCTTCCGTGCTGGATCGGCGCACGCGACGCGAAGACGGGGTGCGGTTCAGAACGGTGAAAACAACCGGCGGAATGTTTTCCTTGTTTCCGTCGCCGTCGACGAAGGACGTCGTTGTCCTCGGCCTCTTTGGGTCGGGGCTAGGGTCGGGGGTCGGGAAGGAAAAGCCTTCATCGCAAACAGAGCCGGTACCGATATTTGAGTCGCTGGAACTTTCTTGATGTGTACGTTTACCGAGAACAGTGCTACGCGTCGAACGAAGCGTGGCCGGCATAACTGATGAGGTGTAAGGCAGCTTGAGTAACGTGCCCAGGGTATCTGGCCGCTGAAGGGAGACCGCAGGGAGGTTGTGTCGTGGCCGAGGATGGTCGAGGGACTGAAGGAGAAGAGGCAGCGCAGAGGAGGGGTGACTTTAACCACGTGCGGAGTTGACGCGCTTTCAAAGTCCGCCGAATAATCAACGAGACGCGACGCGCCTAATGTTCCGTGACCCGCGTCGCGACGCGTCGGCACGTGACCCCGACGCGTCTCGGCGGGTGCCGACGCGCGACCGCCTGCGGTGGCAGCAGCCACAGCCTGCGGTGGCAGCCAGCCACAGCCGCTCACAGCCTCGCACCCAGCAGGCCCGTCGCTGTTCCCGCGTCCCCCGCGCTCCCATGGACTCTCAACAGAGCCATCGGTGCCCACGGCTGTGGAAGCTGCGCGCCAGCAGCCACGTAAGATCAGCTTCCGGCGGTCGCGAGAGGCAGCGTTTGAGGAACGCGTGCCGACAGCCAGGCAAAGCGCGCCTATATATAGGCCCGTCTCACTGCGGTGTATTCCAACCTGCTGCGGTGCAGGCCGTGGCCACTCTTCTTTCCCACTCATCTTATACCCTTCCACACCTTCCACACGCCTCCCCCGCCGCCCCGTTCACGACTATCTATTAACCATGCAGCTCCTCGCCCTCGCCCTGCTCGCTTCCGCCCCCGCCGCCGTCACTGCAGCGTCATGCTCCGGACTTAGTACTGGAGCAATGGTTGCCATAATCGTCGAGAGCGGTGAGTTTCTCGTCGTCATCGCGCGCAGCACCGATCACTGATGTACCGACTGTAGTTGTCATCTTTCTTCTCATCGTCTGGCTCCTTACTATCCTGCGCCAACTGCAAGTAGCACGGAACAAGCTCAAGGCCGCCCTTGCTCACGAAGAGCAGGAGTACAAGCGGGGTGCAGCATCAGAGGGTCAGGCTGATCGCCACCACAGTACGACATCGCTGGTGCAGTCTCCGCAGGATGACCACTTCGAGGAGAGCCAGGTAGCACTCCTGCCTCCTCCGTCTCTCCGCCCGCAGTCCCGTTCATTTTCCAGCCCTTCGAGTCTTCGATCGTCCACGCTCTACGACTTCGCACCGCAGCAGGAGGACTTCGGCTTCGATCTCAAGTCATATCGCCCTACGACGTTGGTGCAGCCGCCCGCGCATGTCCCCGAGGTCTCGACGACCACCCTGCCAAACCCGCACAGCGAGCACGGCCATGGTGGCGAACACGGCGGTGACGATGAGGAGCAGTCCATGACACATGAATCCCTTCTGGCGACCCCGCTCCCGCTGCCCGCGCACCTGGCACAGCCCTCAGACTACTCCGAGGACCTCCGGACGCCGCGTCCCGGCTCACGGGCGTTGTCCGAGTCTTCCTGGGCAGCCGATGTTGTCGGTGCACTCGAGCGCGGTCCCACGCCCATCTCGCGTACTACCACCGCCACCACGACCACGACCCTGTCTGCCTACACCGACGACGGCTCCACGCCCATCGCAGGTGCTGTCCACGAGCTGCTGCTGAACCGCCAGCGCGAGTCGGGCAGCCACTCGGTATCCGGGAGCCCTGAGGCCTGAGCGCTCGGGACAGCCTTCGTCATCGTCGATGGCGTAAGCGAACGCGGCATCGCGGTGACCGTGAACGTGCGCCTGGGTATGCATGACCTTGTCTTGATGACACGACGTTTGGACTATTGCATTTGCACTTGGCATTGTGGAACGGCACGGACACTCTCGGACTTGATATTCTTGCATCGCATCCCATCGCATCGATACGGTTACCTAGTATTGACATCCCATCTGCCTGTGGTGTCCTGTTTCTGCTGACGCACTCGCTCCGACGCAATCATGCGTACATATAACGTAGCACACTGTCATATATTGTTCTCAGCTATCGGACATATAACCTATATTCTAGTGCTGGCCATTCATTGCATCCATGGACTATTTACTGCATTAGACCTTGTAGCGTAGTCGCCCGTCCGGGGCGTCCAAAAATATCATAGTGCGACCTTGACCCGTGCGGTTGAGACCGTTGACGAGTAGAACATCACACGTGTGCGGCGGACGTAGGCAGAAGCAGAGGCGTCGACTCGTCAGGAGTACTTGGCGGCGTAGCTGACAACGATGGCATTTATCTTGTCCGTTAGGTAGGTGACGAGGCATGGCGGTTGAGGTGGTTGGATATGTCCAGAGGCCGTCGCCAGATCCTCGTAGTCAACTGAGTCGAGCATGTCGCCAGACTGTCGCCCGAGATCGCGCCGAGAGCCAGAAGCAGTCGGCTTCCTCTGTACGCTCGACAGAATTTCAATCTCTGCCTTTCGCCGATTATGCAGCATATACTGCAACTCCTTCCTGCGCGGCCAACCGCCCGAATATGTCAGCTTATCTGACGCGCAAAAGCAAATAAGACATTCCACGCACCGCCACTTCTTCGGCAGGGCACTACGCCGCAGCATACTTAGTGCCTGTCTCCTCTATGAGCGGGCCGCACGCACAACAGGACATACGGGACGGGTGCGCCTCCGCGGGCAAGCCGACAGGCTAAGGAGGTAACGAGACACACCTTCTTCGCGTCATGCTTCGTGATTGGTATAAGCGCGTCCCTGGAGATGCCCAGCCTGGCGCAGTCGAGCAACGCTCGTCAGCCTCCTGCATCTGGCAGGGCTGAGAGCGTGTGTGAATGCTTACCCCGCCAGTTCGCTCGTCCAGAGCCCTAGCCAGCGCACCCGCCCGGCGGCGAGGCTCTCCCGTTCGTGCCGCATCTGAGTGCTTCCGAACCGATATACGGAGAGGATATCCAGCCCGAAGGCATCGCCGTCGACAAGAGCGAGTATGGGGATACTGCAGGGGGTGAGCAGTCATAAGAATGCGCAGAGCGAAAGGAATGCCCACTAGGAGGGGAGGTTATCCGACAAGGTCTTGACAAGCTGACGAGTGGCTACGTCCGGATAGCCTTTGCCCTGATGGACGTCAATACAGGCATGATGAGCAATGTTGAGGATCAGGATGGGTATTGTACCGTGATTATGAGACCGGGACCAGGCAACGCTGGGTGACTAGCGAATTTCACGCGACATAGGGTCTGGAAGACCGCCTAGGGCGGCATCAGCTATTGCGAATATTGATGGTAGCTTGCAACGCGCCTCCTTCTCAACGACAAGCACCCATGACAGCGACTCATCTATCTCAAAGCGAGCGATGTCTTCACCAACAGGTATCAGGGTGCCCTGTTTCTCTCCGGTCAATATATGCACCGGATGATAGCGACGAAGACAGACCTCTGAATCGTTGACGTCCACCGTTTCTTCATCGTGAAGGTGAATCACTAGGCTCGACCCGCATACAAGCCCTTTCGATGAGGCGCGCTAATTTCCCGTCAGCCTAGCGAAAATGTATGTGATAGGTCCACTGTCGACCACATACGACATTCAGGTCAGCCCGACCGACACCAAGGGTTGCTGCAAGATCATCAACAAGCTATGTATAACATGAGTGTCAGCTACATGATACAAAGGCACTGACTCAGCTCACTCTGTCGACCATGGCCTGGGACTTGAAGAGTTCAACATCCTTATAGTACATGTCACTGATTTTTAATTGAAGGTTCAGTATAAGCGGCACTACGCCACATACACGCACCGCTTTGTCATAGGGATATCGTTCGACAAGGCTTCGTGCACCAGACTTATGACTCGAAAGAGTTGAGCTGAGAGGAGACGGTCAGCAAATAGCCACTCCTCAGCGAGTGAAGGTCATGCCAAGTGATTGTATGCTCGCTCCCTTGCCCTTCCGTGGAAACATCAGTGTACGTGTTCCCATAGACCTATCAGAGCACATTCAGCCTGTGCCGTCCACAGTGTAGAAGAAATCCCGACCCATCCGAGAGCGTCCGCTTTCGGTCAGCAAGCTCAACGACGATTCTCTTCGTCATTTTCTTCCCCTTCGTCATATCACCTTCGTCGAGCGCGTCTGCGAGCTGTTCTAGGACCGACAGGACCAAGTTCTCGAGCTGCTGCATGACCTCCAAGCTGCCAGCGGACAATCAATATTGACAGGGGAGTATAGTGCCACGCTCACCGCTCTTCAGAGACGTCCGGGCTTGCCTCTGCTTCCCAACTCAGACCCTCGAGGTCGCCATTTATGTTCTGCTCGCTGCCCTCCGAGTCGTCGTGTAGAGTGGAGGATTGCGATATAGCACCTCCACTATCAAGAGTGTTATCTTCCGCATCCTTCCTGACGCATTGACCGCCGTCGTTCGCAGGAACACGTTGGATATCGTCGTCTTCGTCTATCAGCATGATGTCATGCCAGTGGGAATTTTCGGCGCATATATGCACGTCTTGGAGGGCCAAGGCTCGGTCGACGCCTTGGACAGTGCCCTCATCGTCTGAGAAAGTGATGTAGTCGTCGTCAAAGAGTTCGCCGTCCATATGCAGAGCGTACAGTTGCAAGCGATAGGGAGTCCGAGAAAGTCGGGGCGGGCTGCGGGAGGACGCTAACCGATAGGCACGATCGGGCATCGAGATTGGCGCGACCTGTCACACTGTGACGAACCGCGTTCGATAACCAAGATACATTCGGACCCACAACTGCACGAGTCACGAGACGCCACAACGCAAAGACAAACGATAGGACAACAAGCAGACGAGCACTAGCCAAGCAGAGGAACAGAGCGAAGCATAGACGGTCAGCCCCAGTTTTCCACCTCCAATTCGAACCATTCCGGGATCCGCTGCCAGAAGCTCTCCCGAAGCGAGTCGACAACGGCGCCATACTCCAGGCGACAAGCTTCGCACGCCCTATATATCGCATCGTTCACCACCCCGGGCACGTCTTCCCTCGTCTGCATTTCTAGACTCTCCGCGATAGCAAACAGAGGGTCCGAGTTCCGGTTGCATACCATGCCGTTGACGTCGCGTATGAGTTCGAAGTTGATGGCCTCGAATGCCACCTGACATGCACGTTGAGTTGTGGGGTTGCGCTTCCGGGCACAGGCATCACAAGGATCCCGTCCCTCCAGCTCGTTGACGATGAAGGTCGAGAAGTAACGGGCCGCCTGTTCCTTCCCTCGCAGCACTTTGAGCAGATCCTCGTGCGAAAGCCGAATTCCAGTCTCGTCGAGTCCACTCATGTGGTTTAGCACGAGTTGACTCGGCAAGTATCGAGATAGGTCGTAGAAAGCAGATGGTAGCAGTTCCGGAGCGGCGACTTCGCGAGCCAAGTTGATGATCAATCTGCAACCGGTCAAATGTGCCCATGCGACTAAAAATGGTATCACTTACAGAGGATGGGGTAATCCGGTACGCGGGGCATAGATACCTTGTATGCTTGTGACCTTCTTTTCGCGATCCTCCCATAGAGCAAGACTAGTTGGCCATGATAGCAAGAGCACTTGCAGAACCTCCTTGCGCAGATCGTCCACGCCATACTTCGTCGACATACGAAGCAAAGCCGAGACGTCGGTGAATTCCTTACTTTCCAAGCCCAGAGCGCAGCTTGTAACTGCCGTCAGCCGATCTGCATTGACGTGGTGACATCGAGACGCACCCGTAAAGAGCCTTTAAGAGGCACGCCACATCTTCTGGTGTGTCTGGCAAGGCGAGTGCTGGCCGGCCTTCGAGCGTACAAGCATGGCCCGGGCGAAGCGCATCCACCTGGCTTCTCAAGACAGGAGAGTGGTGGCAAAGCAGGCCCTGGTGCACAAGGAAGTACTGACGGCCCGTGACGACTGCCAGATTGCCATCGTCGAAACACAGCTCCGGGTGCCGGATGGGCACTTCGAACTCCTGGAGATTCGGGGTGGCATGCCGGTTCGAGCTGAAGTCGCTGTCCAGGACCATCGGAGGAAACGAGTACGCCAGAGGGCCTAGAGTGAGGAGCGAGAGGTCCGACCTGTTATACTGCGGGCGTCATGGGGCTGGCACTTATGAGTCCCGAAAGTTATGATTCAGGCCGCCGGCAACGCGACGTTTTATGCCAAACCGGGATGTAGTCCTTTTCATTGTAGAGACCAGTACTGTCAGATTGAGGTCGGAAAGTGAAGAAGATTTGAAGAGTGCCAGTCTGCTGAATGTCCGGCAGTTGAGACAACGCTAGGCATGTCCTACTTGTCCAAGCACACGAACGAGGGAGGTCGCCGAGTTGGTGTCGAGGAGATAGGTGATGACCGTCCATCACGGACTAGCCGGACTAGTGGGTTGCTTGCTACGAGGTGGGAGGCAGCTCCGCGATCGCCTGGAGGCTATGGACCGACGACAATGAAGGCGTGGGAAAGGCGTATGGGTCAGTGTACCTAGTGACAAGTAAGTTACTGATGAGCCGAGGTCGAGTGACGCCTTCGATTTTTGCGTTACACCGCATCCATTAACACCGCCCTCCCCGCTCCCCCTGCTTTCTGACGTGCCACCCGAGCATATCAGCCCCGTCCAGAACCCACCCCCTCGAGAAACGCTGCCAAACATGTCCGACACCCCAACTACCCCGACCATTCGCATCGTACCTGGCGCTCCCCCGCCGGCACCACTGACCAAGTCGCAAAAGAGAAAGAAGTCCAAGCCTGCGAAGAAGACGCCTGAACACGACGATGTCGTTCTGCCTGATACGACGTCTGCTGCCCTCACGGAGAAGGCCCCGACAGAGGTCGACGTGAAGGAGGGTTCGGTCGCGCCGGAGCTAGCAGTCCAGCCGGAGGTACCGCAAGCTCAGACACCGGTGGAGGACCCGTCGCTGAAAGCAACTCCGATCGTCGACATGCTCAACAAGCGATTGAAGCAGATACAAAAGAAGATGGTGAGTGACAGTATCTACATCGCTCGCTACGTATCACGCGACGGACGTGCGCCGTGCCCTCGACGCGTCATCCCGCTTCGACCCCCCTCCCCATTTGTTATGGCAGGTCCGTCTATGATTGGAATGAAGGTTGACCATTTGTGATGTCTGGCAGTTGCGAATCGAACAATATTCGACTCTACCACCCGACAAGCTCAATGACGACCAGAGGCGATTACTGACGACCCTCCCAAGTCTGGAGGCGACACGGAAGGAGCTGGAGGATGTAAAGAAAGTCATTGTTGTATGTATTCCTCTCAATACTCGCTTCAATGCCATCTTGTTCACCACGCGCGTAGATACACGAGGCGGAGGTCGCTCAAGAGCTGGCAGTGAAGCAGGAAGAGGCCGCCAGAATTGAGAGGGAACGTTTGACCGAGGCTGCTGCCGCTGCACAGGTGATAATTATACGTTCATACGACGCTACAGCATCTGACGAGACATGCAACCTGCGATTAAGGCCGCGCATCGGCAGAAGACCGCCGACCTCATCCATTTCCTGCGCCTGAGAGACCTCCTCTCGCAAGGTCACGCAGCAGTCACCAACCTCGGCATTGAACAGTCTGAGGGCACGGCGATCTACCATGTCACTGATACGTTGTTCAGTGATGAGAGCGAGGCCCGCTTGGAGATCATCAGTAGCTTCATATCCGGCGAGGGTGAAGTCCATGGAGTCCCATGTGCGTAGCTCCGGTCCTCGGTTCTATACAGACCCTCACATCTGTCTGGACTAGACTCCCGCCTTGTCGAAATCACACAGCTCTTCTTGAACCCTCCCGCACCGGAGGAGCCGCCAGTTGAAGAGACCCCGGACGTCGCTCCGGAGGTCCCCGAGCCTGTGGATGCTCCCGTTATCGGACTTCCGACCATTAGTGTTGCCCCTGCTGGTGGTTTCCACTTCATGCAGGAAGACGAGCTGGAGCCAGCCGTCGAACCCGAGCTTGTGCAAGAGGAAGCTGTCGTTGTCGAAGAACCTGCGCAAGTGGAAGTCGTCGAGACTCTGGTCGAGGCAGAGGTCAACGGTTATGTTGTTGTAGAGGAATCTGTCACTGTCGCCTCGACGACAGAGGTGCGATAAATCCTAGGAGGCCGTAGTCAGATGGTTACTAACTCGAACCACGCCAGGTCCCTGAAACCCCTGCGGCGAACGGTGTAATTAATTGGGCAGATGAAGACGAACAGGGTCTTCCGTCCATAGGCAGTCTACACGCTCAGTTCGGTACTGCGGGTGATGCCACACCTGCGCCTGAAGTTCTCCCTGTAGAGCGTAGCGGGCCTCCATCACCTAGGCCGAATGGCGTGCAGACGAACGGCCATGCTCATCATGCGGAAGACGATGGTTTCACGTCCATGCGGGCCCGTGGTCGCGGTGGTCGCGGCTTCCGGGGCGAGCATGGTGGCTTCCGAGGAGGTCGTGGTGGTGAACGCGGTGGCTTCCGTGGTGGTGAGCGCGATGGTTTCCGTGGTGGCGAACGCGATGGCTTCCGTGGTGGCGAACGTGATGGTTTCCGTGGTGGTGAACGCGGTGGCCCCCGTGGAGGGTATCGCGGCGGTGACCGTGGTGGTAAGTATCAAACATCACGTAGAGGCATTCGCAAGCTCACATGGACTCTTGCGCTAGGTTTCCGGGGCAAGCCGCACGGGGAGTGGAGAGGGGGCTCTGACGGCGAACATCGCGGGCGTGGGCGTGGACGGGGACGGGGACGCGGTGAGTTGAAGCAGCAGGCGATTGATATTTGTATCCTGATGAAATTGTTTCCAGGTTTCCACGACGCTCGAGGCGGCTCTCCTGCGACTGTACCCCCGGCATAAGCTGTACGAATGCTAGCTGCTGTGAAGAAAATGAGCCTTGTACCTGCTGTATCTGCTACCTTCTTGTGGTGACATAAAGCGACCGTTCTGCCCTTGTGCTTGTCTTGATAGGGTGCTCTGCTCAGTCCTCATCTGTAAATATCTCTGTTGCAAAATCTCCTTTGTGCAATGCAATACAGTACCGCCTTCGCTCCGCCCCTCCCGTATGGCTGCTTACCCCATGGGCCAGGGTAAGCTTCCGTCTGTCTGGCCCCGGTGCGGGAGAACGTCTGAACGACTGGGACATACGTCCCGGGGACGCTCTGCGGGACGTCCCGCGGGACGCTGTCACACTGACTGACTTGAGTAACAGGGGCTACTATTTCAGGAAGTCCTCCAATAACTTATGTACTCCCCGTTTCCGTGTACAACGATCGTTGTGTATTGAGTAATTACACCATCTAATCTAGCCTCACGGTTTCAAAACAATGGGTGTCGTTCAAGGTAACTATATACAAGAGCCTATGAGTAGTGCCTGTGGTATGCTTACATAATCATCTCCGTCACGTAGCGCGCCACTATGCCTGGCCTCCGTGACGCCTTCGTAAATCTCAGTCAGTAAGTGACTAAGTCAGTCTATATGTATATCTAGACACCTAGCTGACCGGTGAATTGTCTTTCTGGCCCTCAATAATGACAATGTCAAAGCTGGTCAAAGTGGGAGGTAAAGCGATGATGGTGGCCGGCCACTCACGGTGCTGTGACTGACTGTGACGTCTCGCGTCTCGCGTCCCTCGTCCCCGGGACGAATGTCCCCGTGGTTCCGACTTTCTGCGGTGCGGGGGCGTGGGGGCGTCGACCGTTTTCCCTGCTGAGACGGTCACGTGTCAATGACGCCCACGCGGCTTGACGTCAAGACGCGAGACGCGAGCTCTAGACGGGCGCCTACTGTTCTCGGCGCGTTCGTTTGCTCCGTCAACCATCCTCGCTGCCCCAGCCATGTCACAAACCAAGAAAATCCAGGGCAAAATATTCAGAGGCGAGAACGGCAAGGGGCCCCAGCCTCGCTCGACGTCGGATCCTGCCCTCACGATCAACATACCGAAGCCCGCGTCGTCGCAGACCGCTTCTCCAGCTCCACCCAAAATGGCAAGGGCAGAGGCTACCTCGTCGCCGAAGCAAGAGCAACGGGACGGGGGCACTCGACCATTCCGAGCTAGGCTGGTTGATCGACTGGGCGATGAATACAAGGGTGTAGAGAGGCATCGTCTTGATCAGGACCGCAAGCACGAGCTGCACTGGAAGAGATGGGGGCCGTATCTCAGCGACAGGCAATGGGTGCGTCTGACTTATCAGATGGCTTGCCGAACGTGCTGCTCACTCATGATGCCTTGTAGGCCACTGTCCGTGAGGACTACTCTGCCAACGGCGACGCCTGGAGCCACTTCCCCCACGAACATGCCCGCTCGCGCGCTTACAGGTGGGGCGAGGATGGTATCGCAGGCATCTCGGATAACCATCAACGCCTCAACTTCTCCCTGTCGCTATGGAACGGTCAGGACCGCATCTTGAAGGAGCGTCTCTTCGGTGTCACCGGTCATCAGGGAAACCATGGCGAAGACGTCAAGGAGCTTTATTATTACCTTGACTCAACTCCGACGCACTCGTACATGAAGTTCTTGTACAAGTATCCTCAAAAGGCCTTCCCTTACGAGGAGCTCGTGCAGGAGAACCAACATCGCGATCGCGATGTGTCCGAGTTCGAGATCCTGGACACGGACGCTTTCGATGAGGACCGCTACTGGGATGTCTTCCTAGAAGTATGTTCTCGATACATGACTATATGCGACCGACACTCACTGTTTCGCAGTATGCGAAAGATGAAGAAGACCCTGAAAGCATCTACGTCCGGATCACCGCCTACAACCGCGGCCCCGACCCAGCTACGTTGCATATCATTCCACAGTTCTGGTTCACGAACACCTGGTCATGGCCGGCGGAGAAGCCCAAGATGCCAACCATGACTGCCTCGGGCAACACGGTCATCACTGCTGTCCATCCCACCCTCGGCAGATATCATTTGTACTGCCTCCCATCACCGCCGCCTGTCTCTGCGAACGGGTCACCGGTCGGTGAGAACGGTGCAGCAGATGGAGAGGACATGGATGCCATCGAGCCGGAGCTCCTCTTCACCGAGAACAACACCAACTTCCATAGACTCTATGGAGGACAGAACGATGTTCCGTTTGTCAAGGACGCTTTCCACGACCACATCATTCCTTCCCACCGCCCGACTTCGCCTCCAGATGGTCAGCCGAGTTACTTCAAGACCAAGATTCACTCGAATACTGTGCACCATGAGGATGGGACGCCGAGCTCCGAGGAGGAGCAGGGCCCGCGTACACCCTTCCCTCAGACGCCGTCGTTCGTGAACCCAGAGAAACGCGGCACCAAGTCTGCCGCACACTACGTGTTCGAGGACGTACCTGGGCACGGTGGCTGTGCCGTCGTTCGCATGAAGCTCACGCGCCGCAAACCGGGCCAGGACCCGACTATCGAAGACGAGGGCATGTTCGACGACGCCATCGAGGAACGGCGCGAGGAGGCGAACGAGTTCTACGCCGCGCTTGTCATGGGTCCGATGACGGATGACTTGCAGCAGATCATGCGCCAAGCGCTTGGTGGCATGTTGTGGACAAAGCAGTTCTACCAATTCGTTCAGACAGATTGGCTCAAGGGTGATCCTGCGCAACCTCCGCCGCCGCCTGATAGGAAAAACATAAGGAACAAGGTGTGTGCGGCACAATGACGATGATCGCGTGCGCAGCTGATTGAGGCTGTATAGGAATGGAAGCACATGTATGTTGCGGACATCCTCTCCATGCCCGACAAGTAAGTGCTCGAGTATCAGTATTGCGCATATACTCACCGTTACTTGCAGATGGGAGTATCCTTTCTTTGCGGCATGGGACACTGCATTCCATTGTATCCCTCTCGCTGTGGTCGACCCAGATTTTGCCAAGAAGCAGCTGGACTTGCTCACGCGCGAGTGGTACATGAAGCCCGATGGTCAGATCCCCGCGTATGAGTGGAATTTCAGCGACGTCAACCCTCCCGTGCATGCATGGTATGTCGTTGTATATCATGCCATGTTGACTGGCGCGTGTTCATCGTGCTTCCTAAGGGCGACGTTCCGTGTCTTCAAGATCGAGCGCAAGCTGTACGGCCGAGAAGATCTCCCGTTCCTCGAGCGTGTGTTCCAGAAGCTGTTGTTGAACTTCACGTGGTGGGTCAACCGCAAAGACCAAGGCGGAAACAACGTGTTTGAGGGCGGTTTCCTCGGCTTGGACAACATCGGTGTTTTCAACCGCTCGGAGCCACTACCAACGGGCGGCGTTCTTCGGCAGGCGGATGGCACTGCCTGGATGGCCTTCTATTGCCTCAATATGTATGCGGCGATCTCATTGGTCTGAACATCACGCTGATCAGTCGTGACAGGCTGAATATCGCACTCGAATTGGCGAAGCACAACCCTGTCTATGAAGATATCGCCTCGAAGTTCTTCGAAGTCGGTGACGCCTAGTGTCCCTTGTATCAAACCATTCTAACATGCATGTTTCCAGCACTTCATCTTCATTGCTGACGCCATGACCTATCGTCAGGGTGAGCAAGAGCTCAGCCTCTGGAGTGAGGACGACGGTCTGTACTACGACGCCATTGAATTCGAGGGCGGGCACACTATGCAGCTTCCCGTTCGTAGTCTGGTTGGCCTCATCCCACTGTACGCAACATGTGTGATCGAGCCTGCCACGCTCAACCGCGTCCCTGGTTTCAAGAAGCGTTTGGAGTGGTTCATCGAGAACAGGCCTGAGCTCTCTGAACGTAACGTGGCGAACATGAAGGGTACGGCCCATTGTAATACTCACTGAGATGTGTAGCTCACGTTGTCCCCTAGCCGGAGGTCGTGGCGAGCGCAGGCTGCTCGCGCTTGCTAACAAGGATCGTCTGGTCAAGATTCTTCAAAAGATGCTGGACGAAGACGAGTTCTTCAGTGAGCACGGCATCCGGTCGTACGTGTTCCGTCTTGATTTGTGTATCTCGCGGTGCTCACATTCCTGGGCAGTTTGTCCAAGAAGCATAAGGACCAACCTTGGGGTATAGATGTGCACGGCCAGCGGTACGAAGTCAACTACTGGCCGGGAGACTCCAAGTCTGGCATGTTTGGTGGTAATTCGAATTGGAGAGGCCCGATCTGTACATGTCTTCATGATCATGTCGTTTTTCTATGCTGACGGTTTCCCAGGGCTCGCCGTCAACTTCCTCCTCATCGAGAGTCTGCAGCGGTTCTACCAGTACTACGGCGACGAGCTTCAAGTGGAGTGCCCGACGGGCAGCGGGGACTACATGAATTTAGTCGAAGTCGCGGAGGAGATTCAACACCGCATCATCCACATCTTCGGCCGCGACGCTGAGGGTCGGCGAGCCACGAACGGGGGTAACCCGAAGCTAGACCGTGACCCGCACTTCAGGGACTACGTCTGGTTCCACGAGGTCCGTATGAGCATCGATGATGGAGTAGAAACCTTCACCCATTACTAATGTTCGTCAGTTCTTCCACGCTGACGATGGCCGAGGCTTGGGCGCATCACACCAGACTGGCTGGTACGTCTTCCGTACGGATTGCGACTGTGCAACAGCGCTGACGATATCTTCCTCAAGGTCTGGGCTCGTAGCATACCATATCCTCCAGAGCGGTGCTACCTGCAGGCTACCGAGAACCCCCAAGAGTACGTAGCCGTATAACACTACCGTATACGTAATCTGACATGTCTTCGACAGCTCCTCGCAGTCTTGCCCACCACTATTTCGACGTATGTCTCCCTTACGCCTGTGATCAAGGTTACTGGACTGACTCGTATGCACTCCCAGGAACACATCGAAGCGCAGTCAGAGTACGGCGACGAGACGCACTCGCTTCGCAGCGCATACAGCGCCGCAGACCTCAACACCCTCGGAGACATCTCCCCCGACGCTTTGTAAAATCATTTCGAATCCTCACCTGGACATTGGCGTTCTGATAGCCCATCACGGATGACTGTACCACGATTGTGTACAATATATCACGGTAGAACCTCCAGCATGTAGCCCGCCGCATTTTAGATCTCATTCAATACACGTTGTTGTCTGTTGTAGTAACCATCGTCAGTTCTTCTGACTGTGATGCCTTCACCCGTCTTCGAGTTCGTCAGATCGCACCGCGTCGCGTAAGACCACGATACGATGTAAACAGACGGGGAGTTAGCCCACAGAACCGACAGTGGAGGAGTTATAAGAAGTAAACAGAACCCAGTCAATGACAGTGGGAGAGATAGGCTGAGAAACGTGTAAGGACAGTGAGGGAGTTGGACGAGAGGAATACGGAACGAATGAGGAAAACGCGTAAAGACAGCGAGGAGTTGTTCTATGCTAGGGGAGACCGCGTAAGGACAGTGGGGAGTTGGACCAAGTACCAAGCGACGGAGTAGGGACAGTGCAGAGTTGGTCGAAGTTGGAAATCGTGTAAGGACCGTAGGGAGTTCACAAAACAAGGCTGCTGGGAATTGGGCCATGCGAGTGATACCACGTAAGGACAGTGAGGAGTCGGACCGTTATAGGTGAACTCGTGTAGTGGAGAGGTGGTCGAGGCGAGAGACAAGTGCGTCAGGACAGGCAGGAGTTGAGCCATGCAAGAGGAGTCGAGGCAGCGTGCAGTTGTCGAAGCGGGAGGCTGTTTGAGATTGTCTGGAGTCATGCGAGAGTATACGAGACGAGGGAATGTATGCTAGCTTGGGTGAACTTGAGTCGAGGCAGTATTTAGAGTCGTGCAAGTGGTTCCCAGTGGGGGCTATGCGGTGTTGTTTATGCAGGAGGAAACCGGGTCGAGATGGGGCTGAGGCACCATGTGAGTTCAGACAGTAGGGAGCTGGGCCATCCAAGAGGTAGCCAGAGACCGCGTAAGGACAGACGTCGGTTGGGTGGAAGGCGGAGTTGAATCCGACGTCGATGGACCAGAGTCAGGTAGACGAGACGGTGTAATGGACAGACTTGAGTTGGACGAAGGAGATTTGAACCCAGGAATGACAGACTTGAGTTGGTCCAAAGAAAGCGAGGATGGGAGACCGAGTAAGGACAGGCAGGAGTTGGGCGAAGAAGGAACAGAACTCAGCAAACACAGACTCGAGTTGGGCGAGAGAGGAACTTGAACAGAACCCAGAAAGGACAGGCTTGAGTTAGGCGAAGGAGACTGAGCCCGGTAAGGACAGACTTGAGTTTGTCGATGTTGAGATCGCGTAGAGACCGTGTAGGCCGGAGTCGAGAGACTGGGTAAGGACAGACACCACTGGCAGTTGGGCTTCGCAGCTATGTCCGATGGACTCTGAAATCGAGTGACGCGAAGAGTATCGAAAGTGCCAGTTGGACAGTGATGGTTAAGTTAAGGGGGGTTGTACGTTCTGCGGTACCTCGAGCGCACATTATTGAGAGCGTTCATAGCGCACGAACGAAGCACGATGTCACTGGCGGACGACGAGGTCGCGTACATTGGGAGCCGATGCCTGGCAAAGAACACGGTGCTGGGGGCGGCTGGCGAGCGACAAGGAAGGCAGGAGTGAAGGTAGAGATGTCGCCGACAGCTTAAGCGAGGTCGTCTTATATGTTGGCACGAACAGGCGTGGCTGACGGGCGCGGTGGCTGGTGGCTGCCCGCGAACCAGACGCGTCGGTGGCGGACGGCGTGTCATCTACTGTTACACAGGTTTAGGTTGGACGATGGATCACATTGCTCACGCTGTATACTCGTACTTGCTTCCACACGGGCCCTCGATGCATTCTACAGTATATTTCAGAGGAATCAGCGCAAGAACCCGAACTTCATTTTCACGGCGGTCAGCCGGGGATCAAGCACCCGTTTGTCCATGTTCTGAGTCTGTGAATCCATCCAACGCGCATCCTGAGCATTCCAAAGAATTCTGGTGAGCAGACAGACATTTTGATTTGCAATGCAAAGGTATCCATCGAGCATTGTACCGTATCCTGCCGTCCACAACACACTTCTGACTTTTCAAAAACCGACGCCGCGTAGAAGAGTAGAGCAAATGTGAGTGGGAAGCGTCCAGCGTGCATTGCCAGTGACAGCAGAGTGGTATTATATGCGTAGGAATGGCTATATCGTTTATGTCAGGGAGATCCAAAGCAGAGCAGAGATGAATAGTGGATGCGTGCCACGTGTCGTGTGCAAGGCTAGATGAGACGGGCGGAAACCAAGCGAGCGAACCTAACGATAGCAATAAGAAGTCCGGAGAAAGCAAGTGAAGAGCATGAACATCATGCAGACGTCAACGTCGGGTATGAAAGTGACTTCTGTTACGGAGATGAGTCACAGGAAGACGACGATCTGGTGCGAACGGCTCACTGTACAAGGGGTCTCTTCAAGTCTGTACTTCCTGCTCCGCGGGGCTTTTCGCGGCCATCAAGACACTCTCCGCCCAGTCCTCCTTCGTCTCCTCAACAGGCAGGTTGATCGAAGGCGTGGGCGAGAGCCTCGACGCGCTGGACTCCGTCCTGCTCATCGGCAAGAGCGAGTCGTCGTCATCCTGCTTCGCTCGCCACGACGACACCTCGACTTCGGTGTTGAAGAACGACATCGCCGACTTTGACCGGCTGTGCTGCGAGTACAGGTCCGCGATGGGCGTCTTGGGCGTCGTCCCAGTCGGTGTCACGTACAGCGAGGTCGCGCATGAGCCCGCGCGCGGACGGACGTAGCGCGACGAGTCCGAGCTAGATGGAGACTCATCATCAGTCACCACGTTCACGACGGGTACCTTCGAGCTGCCCGCCGAGCTAGGCGACGTTTCTGTCGACCCCTGCTCGGTGTGCGCCGCCGTAGTGTCAGCAAAGCTCATCTTAATCGGCGACGACGAGATAGTCGTGTCCAGCTTCGGCGCGACGTTCGACAGCGTCCGACTGTAGCCCACCCTCACCGTCGGCGACGGCGTAGTCAGAGATGGCACCGACGCCGACGCCGCTTTGCTCTGCGAGTAGACCGACAGCGAGGGCACGCTCGCCATTGCAGATTGTGAGTCCGCGATGGGTGTTGACGAGCTCCGCGTACCGGTCACCTTCTGCAGGAGCAAGTGCAGTGACGGGCGTTTCGGCCGGCGCCATGTCGAGGGCGGCGTACTCGTCGATGCGGGCGAGTTGGTCGTTGATGGCCCCGGGCTGGGCGAGGCGGGCCGGAGACCTGGGAAGGAGAGAAGCGCGAAGGACTTGCGCCGCGAGATCGGCGTGGCAGGCGTGCTTCCGCTGGTGGAAGGGAAGGGAACAGGCGCTACAGGGACGGGTGTAGCAATCGGAGACTCAAACAGGTCAGTATTGATCGCTGGTCTCCGGGGAGCAGCAGGGAGCGACAAGTCCACCACGTCCGAGGGAGAAGGGGCCAGGAAGAACGAGTCCCGCGACCCTGTCGCTGCTGCCTTCACGTTCTCGACCCCAATGTCGTCGTCCTCGTTTGCATCCAAGGAGGGACGTCCATGCGGTGACAGTGGTTCCTCGGAGGCTTCTGACGGGGAAGTCAGGGATTCCGAGGACGACAGTTGCGGAACGTCCTGTGCCAAGTGTGGGCTCGCCGAGCGTGTCGAGGAGGTCGACTGCGGCTCCAGAGCGGACATAAATGAGGCACTGTCGTCGCCAAACGACACAGGGGACACGGGGTTTATGGGTGGGAGAAGTACAAGGTCGGTCGTAACCTGTGCAGTTCGGTAATCCGCCTTCATCGTGAGCCCGCTGCCGAGCGACTCCTCGACGTCCCCGTCAGACCGTTCGGGAGATTCTTCAGGGGTGTGAAGGCTTGCTTCATCCTCTTCCTCATCGTCGCCGGTTGTTTCCTCCGCGTCGTTACGAGAGGACGGGACCTCCAGTGCAGATGAATCGGGGCGATCCCCCACGCTACCCGTCGATTCTCGTGCCGTAACAAACGTGGCACGAATGTCAATCACCTCGTCCTCCTCATCCTCCTGAGCAGCAACACCAGCACTTGTGGCCTCCGGGACCGATGTCTCTGGCTGCTGGGGCACTTGGAGAACACCGCGCCAGATGTCTTCATTCTCGCACAGTACACGAAGCATGCCCGGGTTCATGTTCAGAGTAGGTGAGAACAACAGCAGCAAGTTGGCCAATGGCATCTTCGTCTCGGCGCTCCGAGCGGCTGTCTCCCTGATCAGCTCAATTACGGTATACAGAAGATCCCTGTTCTCCCTCGGCATGCGCGCGATGAGCCAAGTAAGAGCCTTCAAGAGCGATTCCGAGACGGACCGCTTCCCCACAAACCTCGGGACAGCAAGCGTAGAGAGGGAAGGCGCCTTGTGAAGACCCATCGAAGATCCGCTGCGTTGGTGGGACGTCGTAGAAGACTTGACGGAGGCGTCGGTGGAAGAGTCCGTACTCGCCCGGCTCGCTTGATCCTCGGCGGCAAGCGCAGATTCGAAGTACGGAATGAGGCTCATGGTCAAGATGGACTCGGGCACTAGGGAGATCCATAAGCGATCATGACAAGACCAAACACATTGTCGACTCACGTTCACGCAGATACGTCTTGAAGATCGAGGCGACCGCATGCGGATCAAGATCGCAAACATCGCATTCCGTCATGTCCCAATCGGCGCCTGCCCATGCCGGCCATCACAATGTCAAAGCCCACCCACAACAATAACGGCAGGACGTAACATTACCTGTGTCAAACTCCGAGCGCAACTTGGCTACGTGAGATGATCGCCCGCTTATCCTAACAAAAGCGTAAGCATCCACGATATTGCCATCAGAAAGCACCGCACTCACCGGAACAGGCCTTCTTCCCGCACGCCGTACTTCAATAAGTGCTGAGCGCACCGCACTACGAGCGCAGGCAACATCCGCTGCTCGAGCGGCTTTGTTTCTCCACCCTCTTGGGCCGCTGTCTTGTCCAGCCCATCGATCGCCGTCTCAGCGACGCACGTCTTGAGGTCGCGCTTGAAGACGAGGCCACCAATGATGCTTGCCCCCGATGGCGTCCTCTTCGGTCCTCGCACTCTACGTCCAAGCCCGGGACCCGCAGCGACGAAGGCATCAGCCTCTGAGGCCGCGGACGACGAGGTTACGGACGACACACTCGGTGCAGGGCCAAACCGCCGCTTCTTCTTCACGATGCCCCCGAATGCCGCACTCGACTCCTTCGACATCGTTCGACCTAGAGGATGGCCTTGATCTGACGACGTGATAGACGAGACAGAGGACGATTGCGAAATCATGGATGCCCCGCTCGACGAGCCAAAGCCACCCCATGCGCGCCCGACACGTTCCACCGCCCGCTTCCCCAAACCCATAGCGATTCCCGCAGCAGGTGCGAGCCCGCCCGTGATACTCACCGTCGTCTGCCGCAACCCGCTCGGCTGCTTCGCCTGCGTAGGGAGGCCCCTGCTAGGGTGCATCTGCGTCGGTGTGTTACCAGCCGATGTCGACATCCAGGGGACGAGCCGGCTGCGGATGTTGCTCCCTGTGCTCTGCTGCGCGCCGGTGGTGTTCAGGGGTGCGATGTAGCCACTGGCGGCTGCACGAGTGAGGGTCGGCTTGTCGCGCTGAGTTGTCGTCGCGAGTGACGGATTCTGGGCAGCGGTGCTCGCGCTCTGAGTGTGCAGTCCAAGGGTGGATGGCGAACGTCCGGGGAGTGCTGCTACAGGCTCTACTATGCTGGATCGGTGGCCAGGACCTACATTTAAAGACATGGATCGCCGGTTGCGTGTCTTGATCGAGCCAGAGGGCGACCTTGATGGTCTCGGTTTGGGACTGCCTCTCGTCGAAGTACGCCTGGTCAAGCCTTCATCATCGGCAAGCGACGCACTGTCGTCGTCCAAATGATCGCCCGGGCCTTCCTCGACGACGTTGAACTCGGAGTCCGTGATGAGCGCACTGAGACGCTTGTTCATCGGAACGATGGTGTGACCCGAGTGGCTGGACTCGGCCAATGAGACAGGCCGAGGTGAGCGGTTGCCTGCCAGTGCACCAGGGCGGATCGTGACATGGGACGTCATGGTAGCATCACTCTTCCTCCAGTCCTCCTTCAACCGCTCGCGGCTCTCCTGCGCAGGCGATGTCGAGGGTGATCTTGGAGATCGCTGCGTTTCCTTTGGCAAAGCCGGAAGGGGTGCGTTGGCATCATGTCTCGGCTGCCGCAATGATGTCTGGGGAGTCGTGAGAGGCGGCGGCGAATGCACCTCCTTAGGCGGTGGCGGCGGCGCGCCGCTTAACGTCGGGGCCTTCGGTAACGGGCCACCTGTAGTCTTCTGCTTGCCGAAGACATTCAGCTTGGTTGACGCAGCCTGCAGGGCGTTAGGCAGCTTGTGGTTTCGAGGACCAGACGAATCAGTTGCGCGTGAATGGGCCGTGGTATACGAAAGGTCAGACGTGGATGCATTGGGGGCAACATGGTCGCTTGAGTCCCGCTCCTTGCTGTTGCCGATAGCATTGGAGAATACGGACGTGAGATCTTCGGATTTCTTCCTCCGACCGAATGCACGCTTGAAGCGGCCACCTCCACTGGGCGAACTCGGCCTCGGCGGACTCACTATAGCGGCTGGAGAGAGAATCTGGCCCATGGAGGTCGAACGCTGGGTCACGGCCTTGGCGAAGAAACGGTGGCTCTTTGCGGGGAACGTCGAGGGCGGCGGGCTGTAGACGATGGAGGCCCTCGAGAGATCAGTCGCGATATCGGACTGGCTCGAGTTCGAAGGCGGTGCCGCCGGCAGGATGTCGGAGGGAGCTGTAGAGGAGAGCGAGCTGCTGGAGGAGGCATGGGGGTGAGGATCCCTCGAGCGTGCGAGGTGAGGATAGTGCATGGCTAGCTCAGAGGGGCAGGCGAGGTGAAGAGACGATGTGAGAAGAGAGAAAGTAATAAAGTAGACTGAAAGGGCCCCTGCTGAAGGCTATGGAAGAGGCAGGGGAGGGGCAAAGGGCGCGAGGCGGTCAAAGCCTCGGACCTTCAGCGCGGGACTACAAGGAGATAGACGTAGGGGTGGGGCGAGAACAACGCGGACGGTGTGAGGCGATCCTGTCGGCACGGTCAGCGGCACAGCCGGCGATGCGAGGACAGTGGGAGCGACGCACCAAGGCCTCTGCCCGGCTGCGAGGCCAGCGAGCTCGTGGGGAGGAGAGGGGGGGCGATGTTGGTCGACGTGGACGACGACGAGGAGAGATACCAACTTGGCCACTCATTCGCGACAGGGACATCCCGGCGTCGGCCGGCGCTGGCCCCATCAATCGCCGGATGCCGCCCGGAGGGGCGGGCGCTCTCCGGTCTCAGCTGCTCGTTTGCCTCCGTCGCCGCCGCCCCCGCCGCGGCGTTCCCAGCGAGAGTCGCGGGACACGGGCAGCGCCGCTCACACCAAGGCGCACAGCGTGTCTGTTCTCTCACCCCAGAATAGGCCAGCCATCCTCCCACTTCGAAGGGCTCCTGCGCACTCCGCAGATGTGTCTGGATGGGTCACGCCCGTTTGCCAATCCGGCACAGTCTCGTCGGGCCCTAGCGCGCAAGGCACCCCGCCAAGGGCCTATAGCATCCGCAAAATTGAATACGCTCCCTGCCCTCCCGTTCGAAGCGTATGCAACAGGCATGCAATGGTATTCTACACTATAGTATGCGCGTACTAGTCTATCCGTAGCTAGTCCTCTACAAATCGAGTCCGTTCCATGCGATAATGCTCATCTGCCTGATCGTGCATCGACCTTCGAATATGCGACTCAACTGCGAACCCCCCTCCCCCTTCTGATGCACGAACGATCCAGCGGCCAGGGCTCGTCTGCCCACACCACCCATATGCACAACTGCCCGGCCAAGACCGCAAGAAGCGAGCGCGACTGCGCGTCATGCGGGACCGCCACAATCACGACGTTCCGAGCAGGAACTCCTTCACGAGCTCATACGTGAAGAACGACGTCGCGATGCTCGGCGCCACCTTCACTGCGAGTCGCAACGCGCAACAGCATGATACACATATCCACACCCACGCAGCACCATGCAGTTCCGGAGATGTCGTCGCAGACAAGCATCAAACATCAAAACGATGAAGTCAGCATGGCAATCCCGATGAACACGTCGGAGAAAGCTCTACGCACGTAGATTCGGCCACAGCCCTCTGTACAAGCCCTTCGGACCTTCCGTCTGCAGAGTACTCCGGAGGGCATCCAATGCCCCGTCGTACTTCTTGCCGAATCCGCCCATTCCTGTCACTTGCATCTTGCGGCGCAATACATCGAACGGATATGTGATGGTCTGGGAGATCGAGCCTGCAGCGCGATTAGCTGGGGCCCGTCTCGCATTTAGCCTGCGACACTCACCCGCGAGCGCCCCGCAGAACAGTTTCCGGGGAACACTGCTCTTCCCGGGCGGCGTGATGATTCCTCTGAGCGCTTCGTAAGCGGCAAAGTTGATTCCTACCACCACAGCAGGCGGACCCAAGCCACACCGACACGGAGCTGTCAGCCTCGCTGGGAGAATGAAAGCAGATACCGCGGCACATACCCACGTATGGCGCCACCCCGACGGCCGTGGCAACGATCCCTCGGTACAGAGCACGGACCCCACCTTCTTCACGCACGACCCTCAAAGTCATGCTCCACACCGTCAAATCCCTGGAGTTCAAGGCTTTTGATGCAGGAAGGGGTGCAGCGGAGGAGGTATGGTATGCGGATGCTAATGCCGGCTTCGCGGACGGGGCTGGGGCGGCAGTCTGAATGGGTATCGAAGCGGTCGCAATGGATAATCGCGACCGCACAAGGTCAAGAGGGTATGTAGAGCCTGCGCAGAGTGTCAGATGCCTCAGAGATCCCTGCTGGCGGGATACGGTGACACTTACATACGGAGGCTATACCGGCGAGAGCACCGGCGGTGAGCCGCGTCCGAGTGTCCAACTCTTTCTCCCCGTAGTTTGTGAGCCACTAAACCTCGAGGCAATCGTCAGCGTTGTGTTAGGCGGCAGATAGCTCCACCGAAACAACCAGTGCGACAAGATTCGGACATACCTTCTTCAATTGCTCGTATGTGGTGAACTGAACAGCGCTGCGATCGCTCCACTGTCACTACAGGATGGCATGAAGCTGTGGTCAATGGACGCACCTATAAGGTACGATTCTCAAGCAGTTAATCCCATTTCCTCTCAGATATCCCCTGACGCCCTCCTCCTTCCACATTCGAACCAGGCTCGCCCAGACACCCTTGTATTGGCCTTCGGCGGTGGATGATTGTACCTGCCTGTGCACCGACCAACGTCGACTCATCGCAGGACACACAAGAAGCAGCATAGACGCACTGTATGATCTTGAGTCGCTCCAATGGGCTCACCACGGTCCGCGATACCGCGCCCGCAATCCCGCCCGCGATGAAGTACGATGAGAGCTGCGGGCTCAGCCAGGGCTCCTTGGATTTCGTCTCGACTACGGGGGGCCGCACGGCCTCCACGGCGGACGATGTTCCGGAAGACGTCGCTGTGGATGTCATGATAGAGTTAGGCAGATACTGGGGGCACGCATAAAGCACCGGGTGCGAGGTGAGATGGGCAGCTCAGAGGCGAATGGACGAGGGCGATGTGGCTGTGGGTGTGCTAGATATGTGGGGCTGCGACGGGCTTGCAAGGACTGGACGTGCTGGTGGTCCTGAAGTGGGCTGTGTGCCGGGTGGAGGTGTGCAGAACGTCAGAGGGGCAGTCGGTCCCCGGCCCAACGCGCCCGGCAGAGTCTTGGTCACGTGCCCTAAACTCCCCACATGCCTTCGACGCGTCTGTGGCGCGCCGAATCCGAATCGTGCAGGAATACCGAGTCGCCTCGGCCTCCGAGTCTCTCATCTGTTCCATCATGAATTCCTACGAAGCACATCACGGCATGGAACATATATCGTTGAATTAGAATGACCGCATACATAGAATCTTGACAGCCAGCATGGAGTCGAAATGACAGATGGCTATTCATGCTCACCGAGGTCCGCGGCCGCTGCCAGTGCTCAAGGCCAGTCAGTAAAGTTGAGGAACACATGTCCTGTCGTAGAAGCTCAAGCTGCCGGCAACATATCGCTGTTGACGTCGTACGATAACGTCGGGTCAGTCGGGCCACTGTCCAGCGGCAACAAAGGATGTCACTTCTGTCGTCGAACCTGTTGTATCTGCCCTCGACCTGCCATTGAGCCTCATGTCATAGCACATAGCCATGCCACGTCCTAAAGTCTGCCAGAACAACACGTCACGAAAGTATCCGTCATCGACGTGAACATCGGCTGTAACCTAAGCTCGTCAAATTGACCGACATATGATGTACATGCCTTTGAATACTATGTAGACCAATCCAGAGACGGTCGGACGCATTCTTCGAAGCACACCCATTATTTCCGGAGTGAGAGAATAAGAATAACATTCCATGAAGCGGTCCGCCTGAGCAACAATCTACTAAATGATACACGACAGTCGGCGACACGATCCAGCCGAGCAAAACCTACATGCGATACATGCTACGAACGAACGACCGTCGGGTATCCGACAGCGATTGTGCCGGGACCCACTAGGAGAGCGCGCTAGAGAATACGAAGGGAGGGGAGACGAGAGGGGAGAGGAACGGAAGGAGGTGATCGAGAAAATTGCGAACGAGTGGAGTGCGAGCGGTGGCCTCGAGCACGCCCGAAGCAGGGATGGCATGATGGGAAATATGTTGTATATGCAACGAGCTGATAGAGTACGAACAGATTACCAGAGAAGACCAGATACGAGAGGTCATGACGGTCGTAATACACGGTATAGCCAAGGAGTGTGGGCAGTGCGGAGAGTCCCCGAGTATAAGGATAATTGACGGAGCGAGTCAGTCAGGGAGATGCGGTGCACGTAGGCAAGGGTGTAAGATAAGCGGCGGTATGGCGGGCGAGGTATCGGCAGGAGAGGAGGATTGGCATAATGTGGGTTCATTCATTGGACGTAGAGTGTTACTTGGTTCCCAGGCCGGAAGGACTCGAAGGCCATTTGCACGTCCTCCGTGGATCCAAGAGACACCAAGTCGCCGTCCTCGTCCTTGTACTTCACGCGCAGCGGACCATCGTCCCTCCGTGGGCCGCATAGCCTGATTTTCTTCCCGACCCGTTCGACGAGTTCGTCGTACTCCGTTGAGCGCGGCACCTGGATGACGAAGATGTCCTCGTGGAAATGCACCTTCACCTTCACCGGCGCTGACAATGCTGAAGCAGCGGACGTGACAACCTGGTCACTGTGCTGCGAGTGTGACGTACGCGTACTGGACACACCTGTCAATGACGAATCGCTGGACCCGAAGGGGGTAATGGGAGAGCCACTGCTGTGCGGCGAGTAGTCCGAGCTGTCGCCAGTGGACTGACTCGAGCCACTGCCGCGCTTGTTCTGCCCTGGTCTGTGGCCCCATGGGACAGATGTCGGCAAGGGAGGCGGCGGCATGTTCTGGGGTGGTACGTAGGCTGACGGTTGACTGGCACTGCGCGATCGCATAGGCACTGAGCCCGTTCCGCTGACGCGCGGGCTCGGATTCGAGCGCGTCTCCGCTTTGTCGTACGCCGACTTGAGCTTCGTCGCGCTGTATTGGTTGCGCAGGCTGGCTCTGGGGAGACCCGATTCAGGCATGCTCTCTTGCATGTAGCTCGACGGATTGCGTGACATCGACGGTCTCCCGGTACCGTATGGAGAGGGGTAGGCACCGGCAGACGCCGGTGTATGGGTGCTGCTTCGAACGCTGCCCGCAGAAGAGAAGCCGCTGAGCTCTGGTCGGCGCGCCCCCAATGGCGTTCCCCGCCCTGACGGCGGCCGTGACGTCGGAGGATACTCCTCGTACTCGTCGTCGGGGTCAAGATCGAACCCGTCGGGAGGCGGATAGCCTTGAGGCCCGTTACCGAACCCGTTGGCATAGGCAGGGCCAGCCACCATCGCCGGGTCTTCGCCGGCGGCAGCGTACGGATGTCTTGACATACGTCCCGGCACAGGACCTGAGTGGTACGGAGATGTGGCACCGTAAGCGCTTGACTGAGAGAACGTGGAGTATGCCCGATCTTGCTCGTATGAAGGGGCTCTGCCGCTAGTCATGTTCGCGGCCTGCGTGAGGTGAGCCACCCTCTGGTGAGCTCGTCCCGAAGCACGGCGGCTAGCAACCTCTTGAATCAATCTGTTAAGCTGGTTCTCCCACATCCGAAGCTGCTCCTCGTTGCGGCAGCGCAGAGTGAAGTACTCGAGGTCATCATCACCACGCCAGAACACCGCCAGAGAGTATTGTCCTAAAATTGTGACTCTCAGTACGACTCATGGCACAAAATGACACGAACGAACCTGCGGAAATCTCGGGTTCCACTTTTGTGACATTGTTGAGAAAGATACGACCTTTGAGTAGGAGGGGTGTGGTTCGCTTCTTGGAGGTTCCGGCTCCAGGAAGCGGCGAGATGGGGGAAACGGGAGGCTTCTTGAGGATCGAGTTGCTCTTGCCGACCTTTCGGCCATTCTGCGGCGCAGCGAGGTACTCCTTACAGCACAGAATGATCTTCTCGAACAAGAAGACATGGTACTCGCGGTCCACGGCAGACTTGGTGACTGTGAAGATGTCATCGAGAAGCAGGTTTCCGAAATTGGGCAATTCGTGCCCCTTCCAGTCGTCGACCCGGAGTTTGAGCGCCTCAACAGTCGCCTCGTTCTCGGCCTGACGCTGCGCCTCGTTGATCCTGTCGGTAACGCGCTTGGCGGATGCGACACCCTCAACGAGCTCTTCGTAATACGGGTACTCTGTACCCTTGACCGCTTTTTGCAAGGACTAGGCGTAATGCCATGTCAGCGGACGTTTCAATGACGGTCAGACCACCAAACTTACCTCCAATAGTAGGGGATACTTGCATATTCTCTGTACTGGCTTAATTAGGAAAGCCGGAAGATCCGACTTAGCGAGTACAGTATCGAGCGCCTGTTGCCATGTTTGGTCAGAATGCAACGCCTCACATCTGGGCGGTGTCACGCGCAATAGACTACTTACGTTCAGGTTTGGCATTTCTTGTAGTAGGATGTCGGACGCCGTCGTGTAATTAGCGCAATAGGTTCGATATGCAACAGCGAGGGCTTCTTCCTATTGTTCCGTTCCCGATTAGCGATCGCGGACACAATAACGGACAACGGGAACGCCATGTATAGCATCCCCAAGCCAACAGCGGTGAACTGGAAGTACGCACGTTCTCCATGAAGGGCGTGCCCCAGCTCTGGTCGCCCCATGACTGCTCCGCCATGCTCTCCAATTTGATCAAGAACTTCCTCTGGAAATTGAGGAGGTCCTTCAGACCTGGGAACAGGAGATGAATCGTTTCGCGATCAAGCGCGTTCATCTGAGTCGCGGCTTGAGAGTATCTCTACAAATTGGTTGAGTATCGAGGGCACAGTAGATATCCACTGCGACGCACCTGCATGACCTCCAAGTCTTGCACGTATTTCCTCTCAGTCTCCACGAGTTCCCGGACAATGTTATTGAAACGAGCACCGCCCTCACTCGTCTCCGCCGACGTCGCGACGCTGTCGCTTGTAAGCGAGTCTGTTGACTGCTGAGCAGACGCAAGGGAAGGCGAAGATGGCTTAGGCTCGATGAATACATCCTCGGGCAGCACTCGCACGAGTTTAATGACGTTATTCACAACCTGGCACGCTATGTGAGACGAGAAGTACGAGTTTGGAACTTACGCACCTTGACCAAGCCATCGGTGGAGTTACGGTCTACAAATTCTGAGACAGTGAAGCCCTCACAGCCCTCAATCTCCGGAATCCTCATGGCGAAGAGCAGAACGGCGCGTTTCTTGGCCTTCTCCGTGTCGGAGAAAGACGAAGGTTCGGCATCGACGTCAATGCGCTTGACGGTGTCGGGCAGGAGGTTAAAGAGGTAGCAGAGCGGGAACCCCAGTACGAAGCAGTCCCAAAGCTGTGTTACGGGATCCGTAGAACGCCGCGAAGAGTCGGGCGGGGACGAGATAGTGAACCATGCAGCAAAGTCACGGACATGCATCAAGCGAGTGCGGAGGGCGGAGCATTGCTGATAGAGGGAGGTTGATTGCGACGCCGCCTTATTGAGGAGGGTGTTGTTGGCGACGGGCATCTCGATGGTGGGCGTGCTTGCGGAAATGACGGACTTTTTGCGCCCAGCGGCGGACATGTCGGAGGGGCGGCGCTGCTAGCGAGGGCGAGCAGGACGGCGAGGGAGAGGGAGAGTAGTCGTAAGGTAACGGGTGTGCTTGGGAGATGGAAGCCGGGGGCTGCTCGGTTGGTGCACACACCCCCTGTTTGGCTCTGTTTGCCCCCCATCTGCCTTGCAAATCCGGATTGCGATTAATAATTATGTAAGCAAGGCCAGAACCCTCCTTGATTTCCTTTCCCCCCTTTCTGTTCTCTCGCTTCCCACCGCCAATCTCCCATCCAGATCGGTCTCTCATGCTTTCGCCGTCTCCCATTTCCCCTTCTCGAGCGTCCTGCCAGCGCCCACTTCAATGTCACCGCGAGCGATGGTTCCCCCACACACAGTCTGGGGGCTGCGAGCCTCTACCAGACCGAGGTTCCGAGGACCCGCTTGGCCATGGGCAGAAGGAATTACCCCCGCTCGAGTCGATCACGATCACTGGAGCCCGCGCGATCTCTCAACCTCCCGCACTGGAGCTCTCAGAATCACAACAGAATCCCAAGCCACCAGTTCTCTTGAGGCCGAGTTTCCGCGGCGAATTCCGCCCTAATAGAATTCACCCCGGCGCGCTACCGCACCGCTGATATCCAGCTTTACTTCAGCCGGTCTGGCCGCATAATCAGAGTTTGGGACGCAGGCAAGACGCAGGAGTACCACCTTTCCATGCCGAGTCCTGAGCACACCTGTACGGCACCGTATGTCCTTGACACACATATCTTCTGGCACGGAAAAAGGTAGCTACTACTACCACATTCTGCATTGACATGACATGTCACTGGCCATCAGCCACCTTCCCGGGCTTCCCCTACGTTTGCATCAGCCTTCGTGGCGCGCTTCTTATCGCCTCGATAAAGCTCAACCATGGCCTTTGAGTTGCCTCGAGGCTATTCGCCGACTATCGGGTATACAGCGAACTACTAGTGAGTGCTGGACTAGTAGGCTCATCTCAGAGCTGTCATACGTCGACGTCATTGCAAACATTGACATGATCCGTACTCGAAGCTATTCATAAGCCTGCATCACGTCTGTGATTGGCGGCAGGGGGTCCCGCGTACGATCAATGTTGTGTACTCTGACAGAACTCCATCAGGCGGCACCCACTTTCCATGTGTACTCCTTCGGGAATATTCAGTCATCGAAGGCGAGCACCATGGAGTTAACGTTCCATGGCCAATCAAGACGACCCCCGAATCTTCGGGCTCCTTCACTGGCCATGGATATCTGGACATGCCGAGGGAGGATACCACATTTTTCCGTATGCGTTCCGCGAGAACGGTCGGCAGTTGAGGTTGTGCATGATGAGGGGCTGGACGATCGCGAACCAACAGTACTCTTCCAGCACTGCGAAGCAGCCATGACAACTTCGAAGAAATACAATTGCAAGGCCGCACGCACCGTCCAACTCTAAGCAGCAGTGCAGAGTCTATCATCATTGTATTTGCGTTCCTTGCAAGGCATGATCGACTCGACTGCTCTCGGCATCGCGCGACCATCCTGCACCTCAGGTACCGTACCTGCTACATGTACACATGATTTCGATCTAGAATATCGCCAGAGCCGGACTTGTGCGGACGCGCCGCGCGTACTCACCACAATAAGCAGCGCACGGAACCAACGCCAGACAACATCGTAGATATAATTAGTGAGCCAAACAATGGGAGGGCGGAAGCAAAGTGAGACAATTGCCCTCGGGCGGAACTATCTGCTGAACAAAACTTACGCGGAACGGCGGCGGGCCAGCACAACGGACGGGCAAAATGGAGGGAATGTTCGACGGGCTTGGGCACGGTGCATCACAATTGTACATCGAGGCTAATGCCGTTCGAGCTAGGGGAATGTGATCTCCGCGCGATGGCTCTGAGCAAGTGCAGTGCTGCTCATTTTGCGTGTCACCGCCGCGTGACCACTGACCTGACGCTGCGCATGTTCAAGTTGTCAGTGGACATATGTCAGGGGCGAGTGCCATACACGGAGGAAAAATGTGACAAACTACAACACCTGGACGTGTTTGGGCACCGCAAACTGTTAGAACGCCGTGATGGTGCATGAACACCGCGATAAGATCCCAGCTGTCTGTGCTGACAGTTCGACTTGTTTCAGCGCTGACAACCGGGAAGGTCGGAAATGGGAAGTTGGCAGAATGCGTCGAGCGTGAACTCGTAGTGCCGTTACTGGGTACTGAGATATGGGAACCAATACCACGAGAATGGCAAGCGACGAACTTGGTTAACTTCGGAAGTCACAGGCATCTGCCAGTCGCCATCATCCTAGACGTTCGTTGAGTAATGAGATGGTTCACTCTATCAATAGCTAAACTCGGCAGAAAAACTCACAGGAAAGACGATGCCCTGCGCCTGGGTTGTGACGTACACTGATGAGCCCACAACAATGAAGAAAATCCACCCGACCCGCAGGTGGTCAGTGGTACTGAGCATTGTCAGTGTGCCACAGGATGGGAGACGAGGTGACAGCTGTAGATGGGATACCAACTTGTCTCGTAACGAGCACCACGCCGCACTGCGCAGGGTACCTGGAGGGAACAAGAATGGAGATAAGCAGCCATAGAGACGAACTGTCATTTCGGCGATCGCATCCTGTGCGCGCAATTGCCGTTGTCCTCGAACCTTCGTAGCTGCGGCCATGTATACTGACATGAGCTAATCACTCACACTCAAGCCACGTCTAATGGCGCGTATGACCTCCGCGAGGAAGCGGGGTACATCTCAGACTCTGCTGCTGACGTTTGTCCACGCCGCATCTGGATGTGCTATCAGGCTGGGTTCGATTCCATCTGGACGTCGCACGGACATTCGATGGCTACACGTCCGGGACCGTATGAACCTTGTCGTGCAACAGGAAGCATGTCGGTCGTTTCACGTACCGGAGAAGCAGGCTGGCCCCGTGTGCAAACAAGAACACGCATTCGCAGAACTGTAGAGCCTTGATATGCTTCTAGCTGTAACTCCCTGCAGCAACGCGTTACCGTAACTGGAGCAATCTGACTTCTACTGTTCGTGTACAAACTTCTAGATTAGCATGATTACTCACCTATATACACATACCGAGTAGACCGAGGTCTTTGGAACCGCGTTCGCCAGAGGGTAAGCATATTCAACAGAGCAATTCACCAATGCAACTCTATGCAAGAAATGCCGCTGTTTATCTGAGTGGGCTGGAGGTCGACTACATAATGAGATATTCAGCGAAGGCCAAGTACTTACAGGCTGCAGTGAACCGCGACTGAAGGCCGACGGAACTTCGGAGTGTCGAAGGTCCCAGGGAGCCAAACCGCGTGTGAGACCAAAGGGTTGCCGTGTCCAAAAATGGGATCAGATAGAGCAGCGTATTGGCACATCAAAGCAATTGCGAGGAGCCAGATGGAGGAACAGCAGTTGTAGCAGGACGCAAGGCGAGGAGGTGGTGGTGGTGGTGGCACGGTGGCAGGCGGCGGTGGCTGCAGGGGCGCGGGCGCCAAATTGCCAAATTGAAGCCCGGCGGCGGGAGGTCCGCGAGGCCCCCTGAAGACTCCAACCACCATCTGTGCTCTTCTGGGCAAGACCCATGGCACCAGCTCGCACCGCGAACCGTCGAGCACAACGCGATCACGCCTTCCAGCAGCCCGTCGCTCAGCCCGACCCAAACCATGACCCGTCGCAAGACATATTTATCGACCCCATGATGGGCACTGCCCTCCAAATCTATGTCGAGAAGGACGTCGAGGGCAGAGACACCATAGTAGAGCTCATAACGGTATGTCGCGTCTTCCTTGCCAGGCAGAGTGTAGTTCGCGTCAAGTCTTGCGTTTGGATGGAAGACGTGTCTGGCTTACCCAGCAGCGCGCTGGGCGACGTGTTACGACCGTCGACACCGTCGTCGGAGTCACATTGCTGCGAGACTATTGCATGTATGCGGGCAGTTCATCGCTCATACCCGTTCGTTCTGCAGACCCATGGAGGAATAGTGTCTCCCGGCTATAGTGGTGTACCCTACATCCTAGGTGCGTCTGTTGCCTTTGTGTGCGATTGCGAGCAGCTGTTCTCACACTGCGCCATGCATTCATTCCATACTTTCAAATATCGCCTGCACAACATCAATGGTCTACGTCTGTCATTAAGTGGATCCGTATAAGGAGTCTGGCCAAAGCTTGTTTCGCCAATATACCGGCAAGAAGGGCAAGATTATCCTGAACGCCAAGTGGGTGATCGAATGTGTCAATACTGGTCAGCTGCAAACGTATCACAACAACTGGGCGGAATGTAAGGTTACAGGGGAAGAGCAGTATGCACATGCTTGTCTACCATTATGATACTCTGACCAAGAATGCTTGTCTAGAGTGATCCCTGAGACACGACATGTCCAGCCACCTGCTCCTCTTCTGCCTCCGCCCGTAATGCCCATTCCGGAAGAGATGGCACACCAGATGCAGCAGGTGCCTCCTCCTCCTCTACCTCCACAGGTCCTCGACCCACAAGCCCAACACCCCCCGCCTATCCCTCCACCGATCTCAGCCGCAGCGACCGATCCGCTGGTGCACCACCCCCAACACGCCTTCCCTTATGCAGTGTACGGCCCACCATCCATGCACCCTCCAACGGCTGCTCCTCCTCAGTCCTGGCAGGCCGCGAATGGCATTGCGCCCTCGCAGACACACATGCACCCGCCGCCACCGCCACCGCCACCACACATGATTCCGCATGATCCGTACAGGGATGGGCAAGCAGCTTGGGCAGGTCCCTACCACCAGCCGCCTCCACCACCACCGCCGCACCCGGGAGCTATGGTTCCACCTCCCCCTGGCGCTGAGTATGACTACAGATACAGGGATGACCAACGTACGTGGGTTGCTCCACCGGAGTACTATCAGCAGCCGGTAAGACTCTTAACGTTTCACTGTACTGCCGCATCTTGACGAGAAGCTGTACTCCTATAGTACGAACCCGCGCCATATCCCGAACAAGATGCATATATGGAGGAAGTCGGTCCTTCCACCGCAGATTCATCCACGGTCGCGGCTGCGCCAACGGCCGAAGCAGAACCGTCCCCTGCGGGCGACAAATCCAGAGGCCGGAAGCGAGTCCGGGCTCAGGTAATAATGATGCTGACTCGGTGTAGTGCTGCTGCTGACAAAGTTGCAGCCTCAACCTGCCCCACCCGCCTCGACTCTAGTGGCTAACCGCCGGAATCCTCCTGCGCGGTCACCGACTCCTCCGACACGGGTGATCAAGAGTACATACGGCGGCAATCTCTTCACGTCAGACGATGTAATGTATCTCAAGAAGTACATCGACTACAGTCAAGAACAGGGTTTGGTTTTAAGGTATCTTGCACACCTGAGCAGCGATTATCGAGGTTACTCACGCTCTATGTCCAGCCTGCGAGAGATATGCGAACGGATTGCCGTCAAGGTCGGTCTTCTTTCTTCCTCATTAGTTGCGCGCCTCAACGAGTTTTGTTGCCATCCAGGCTCCCCATCATACGTACGTTGCCCGTCTTCCGACCTTCGTGCGTATCTTATAGCCGCCCAGGTTTTACTCATGGCGCCGGTATTGCAACAAGCATCAGATCCGATTAGGAGGTTATGTCATGGACGTTCCTGAAGGGGATGAGGACTTGGGGAGCGATGAACCGCAGTCACAACAAGTCCAGCAAGGCCAACAGCCACAACAGCCGATGGATGCGCCGCTACCGCAACCGCAAGACATGGCAGATAATCAGCTGCAGCATATACCGATTCCTGGTGCCGCCCCCGGCACTATCGCAGCTGCCCACCGGGTGGCCGCAGCAGACGTGAACCGCACAAGGTCACCAACGCCGCCTCGGGCGCTCTTCCGAAGCACGACAGGGAAGGGTGTCGCCTTCACCGACGAAGACGTGACATTCCTCGTGCGCTTTCTGGAGTACCGGAACCGGACCCAGAGCGGGAAGATTGATATGGTGACGTTCTGGAAGGATGTCGCTGCGAAGGTATGTCCATCTCCCCTCCGCGGCGTCGGGCTCGTAGCTTATAGCCAAACCTGCGTCTGTCCGTCAGGCTCCGCACCATTCGCGCGCTTCGTGGATGAAATTCTATCGCAGGCATAAGCACGAGCTGCATCATTCGGACGAAGACGCGCCCTTGCCCGCACCGCCGGAGAAGAAGATGCGGTACAGTCGTCAGGACGATGTGCTGCTCGCAAAGCACTTCTACCACAAGCCCGAGGGTACCTCCGACAGAGTGTTCCAGGATTTCGGACGCTTGGTCAGGCGCATTCACTGTTTGACGTCTGTAACTCGTCTGACGGGGTACGTTTAGTATCCGCATCATCCTTGGAAGGGCTGGCAAGAGCACCACCGGATACACAAGGCGAAAATCGACCATTTGATTCATTTGCTGGGGCAAGGGGAGAACATTGACGTAGGACCGGATAAATAGACTTTCGTATCATGCGGTCGGCTTGCTTGTATTATTATTATTTTGTAATGTTCACTGGTGGAGAGGCATACTATTGGGGGCGTACGAATGTACTGAGGTCTGCAGCGCGCGAGTCGGCTTCGTGAGCGACTGGTGCAGAGCAGTTCCGGCAACTCGGCCCGCTGCACGATCGCTCTCATTGACCGCCATGCCTGCCAGTGTCTGCGAGCTCGAATACCTCACTCAGGAGCAAGTCGACCAGGTCAGTTCCTAGCAATACAAGTGCTCACGCAAATACTCAAGTCAGATATGTCTCAAGTTCCGCAGAGACGGGTAACCATGCTTCTAGACGTTCGTCATGTAGCAGACCTGACGCCTCTGAAGATACCTGCGTCTGCCGGCATTCCTCAGTCCGCAGGAGACGGAGGCTCTGCTGACGCGGTCGAAGCAGCTTATCGAGAACTTCAGCTTGGAGGACCACCCACTCGTATGCCTAACTGTTTCTATGCAGGTGCTAGTCACTAATTCACTCTGTAGACGAAGTTCACAACAGGAGAGGACAACCATGTCGGTGACGACTATTTCCTGAACTCCGGGGACAAGATTCGCTACTTCCTGGAGGAGGATGCTGTCACAGATGGGCAGCTGAACAGGCCCAAGGAGAAGGCGGTGAACAAGATCGGGCACGGTGAGCGGTCGCTTGACGCGTAGTTCTACCGGGTTTGTATTGAATACCGACTCAAGGTCTGCACGAGCTCGATCCCGACTTCCGCAGAGTGACACTCGAGAACGAAACTATGAAGGCCGTTGTGCGCGACCTCCAGTTCCATCGTGACCCCGTGGGTAAGTACACTCGCCTTCGAGGAATACTGCCCGTCAATGAACGTCGGACGATGCGTAGCTTTGCAGTCGATGGTCATCTGCAAGCAGCCCCATATCGGCGGTGAAGGTGCGTTATGGTCTCATAGCATGGTAGATCGCCCCTGACTCCAAGCCCAGTCGGGGAGCACAACGATTCGTACGTCCTCAATCTACCAATTCCACACGGTTGCTAACACACAGTCCACGCGCTCCCTAGGACATTCCTGGTTAGTCCATCTACATCGACTGCGAGGGTACCCCACAACCGCTGACGCCTCCGGTAAACAGTACACCGACCCGCCCTCCGCGCTCGGCTTCTGGATCGCCCTCGAGAAGTGCACACCCGAGAACGGCGCGCTGTCCTTCCTGCCTGGCTCACACCTCACCGCGCCGATAACGAAGCGCTTCGTGCGCAAACCCGGTGGCGGCACCGGCTTCGAGACCCTCATTCCCCCAGAGGAGGCGCCCCCGAAGCCGGAGGGGAGATACCTTCTCGAGGCGTGCATCCCAGGTGTGCTTTCCCCTGTTGTGATGCATGCGTAATTGGCGAATGACGTGCTGGGATGCACTACCAGGCGATATGGTCCTGATCCACGGGAGCATACTGCACAAGTCGGAGAAGAACCTGAGCCCGCACACGCGCTACGCATACACGTTCCACATGATCGAGTCTCCTCCGTACGCGCGGTACGACGAGAAGAATTGGCTGCAGCCCACACCGGAGACGCCGTTCCCGCACATCCTTGACAAGCCCAACCCGACGACTGTCCCGATTGGTGCTTGAAGCCAACCATGGAAGGCGAGGTAGTCTCCTACCAAGACGCGCACACGTGAGGGGTTGGGGGTTTGTGTCCAATTTAGAAGGCGAGGTGACCATGCTGGGGTGTGCTGTATAGCCTGTATGAGGTATCCGAATGTGTCATGTTGTAGGGCTGTATGCTATACTTGTACGTCTAGATACGAACAAAGATAGGCTAGGACTCAGTGGTGTATGGGTTACGGATACAAAACAAATTTGAATGCTCTCTTCATTTCTACGCCAGTTCCGGACGGAACACCTCGACGTTCGCTGCCTTCGACAATTTTTCCGGCGTGAGTGCGCCAAGTTCGTCGATCAACGCAGGCAAGAAGGTGCCACTTCCGAACACGTCCTCCCTCGCCGCAGCGAACTCGGATGCCACAGTCAACGCCAGAACCCTGGCCGCCCAATCGCCTTTAGCAACCCACAGTGCACCAGAGGTCAACGACTAGTACTCACCCTGCGACCGCAGCCACGAGCATGTCGCCCTTCACCAACAGTCCGTCATGCGCGACAGACGGGTTCCCGCCCGTCGCGGCCTCCAAGCTCTCCGCGGCGCAGAACGTCGCGACGGACGTCCCGACCATGCACCCCGAGCCGGTGATATCGCCGAGCAGCTTGTGCCCGTTCGAGCACCGGACGACGGTGTACCCGTCAGAGACGTAGTCTTGCACACCGGTGAGGACGATGATGCAGCCTGTGGGGTGTGAGTGCCGTTTGAGCGGTGGGCGAGGGGTACGTACGTTCTTTGCGTGCGAGCTGGGCGACGAAGGTGACCGGGTCTGCGAAACCTTGTCCGATGCTGTCGACGCCCTTGGACTGTACCTGAAGCGCGGCATGAGCATCGCGGGAACAAATGGTATGTTAAGACAGTGTCCTCACCTCAGTGGACTTTGCGATCGCGGAAAGCTCTCCCGCATTCCCTTTGATGACCGTCGCTTGCCAAGTGTTCAACAACGCTACCCGCGAACCTCCCTTCAGTACAGATTCCGTCTTTCGAGGTGCACACTCACTATCGGCAGACGTCTGGCGGTATCGCGTCGCGCCCACGCCGACGGGGTCGAACACGATCGGCCTGCGGTTGACGTTCGCGAACCTGCCCGCGGCGAGCATGCCGTCGAGGTCCTGGATGGTGCCGAAGTTGACGAGGAGCCCGCCGGTGACTTTGCTGAGGTCCTCCATCTCCTTCGCGGAGCTCGCCATGATCGGGGACGCGCCGAGCGCGAGCGTCGCGTTCGCGGACTGGTTCGTTACGACTGTGTTCGTGATCTGCCGTGTGCGGTGGTTAGAGGCGTAGTGGTTACTCAGGTTGCGGAGGATTCACCTGGTGTACGAGGGGACTGTGCTTCCGCACTGCAGACACGAGAGATCCGACTTGCGCTTTGATGGACTCGGGTGCGTATTGCGCGCCGGGCAATGAGAAGGAAGAGGGGGAGTGCGCTTTGAAGGCACGGACGACAGACGCGAGCTTCCCCGCGGCGAGCTTCGGTTCTGGCGATCCTACGATGTCGCTAACAATGGCGAGGCCGTCGAGCGCGTGCCCTGTCACGGAGACCGAGCCGTGTAGACAGTGAAGGGCGTTTGTGGACTTGATCCCGCCTGTTCGATGAGACGAGGTCATATAGGCCTGAATATACCCGGAATAGACCGGATGGCTGCTCACCAATAGCAACGGCCTTGACCTCCGTGCCGTCCAACTCGCGCAACATGTCGCCCAGGCCTCTCACGCCGACGATGGCGTTCAGGTTCTTCTTGGTCTGTGTCGTCCATGCGGGGCCCACACCGACGTAGTCCGCGCCGTCCTTGACTGCCTGCCGTACGTGCTCGGGGGTGTTGCACGTCATGCCGATGATGGCATTGGCCGGGAGGAGGGAGCGCGCGACAGCGATGGGCATGTCGGTCTGGCCGATGTGCACACCGTCGGCGCCCATGGCGAGCGCGATGTCAATCCGGTCGTTGATGAGGATGGGAACGTTGTATTTGTGGCATATCTCCTTGGACCGGCGGGCGATCTCGAGGAACTGCAGGGACGCTCGAGCGCTGGCAGTGAGGGTAGAAGGTAGGACGTACCTCGCCTGTCTCCGCGATTTTCTCTCTAATCTGTACGAGGGACACCCCTCCTTGGAGCGACTGTGCAGAGTCTCACCAAACGGACTGCGAGCAGAAGAATGAGAATTTACTTCTTCGAGGGACTCGTAGTAGTCCTTCGTGCAATCGAGTTGTGAGCCTGGGCAGTTAGAGACGTTGAATTATGCACCTTTCCTGCTGGAAGAAGCTCTCGCCCGGTGACGAGGTACAGGGAATAATCGACGATAGGCTTGGAGGGTGCCATCGTGCTGGTCTCTCTGGTACTGCGCCAGGCTTCTCGGAGACTCACAAATATGAGCTGTATCTAGAAGTTGAGGGAAGTCTGCTGCCCGTTGAGTACGGTCACGGTGAGCACGTCGGGCATCGGCCTACAGGCGCCCGGAGGAGGAGCGGCCCGCTCGATCGTGGCTGATCGTGGTCGTCGATCGTGTTCCGCACCGAGCCCGTCCCGCCGCCGTCTTCAGGCTCACGCTCTGATCAGCTCTTCTATCCAGCCCCCATCCTTTCGGCCATCACGACAGCCTGACTGATTCATGGCACATCAAGAAGGCATTCTCGACAACAGCCCACCTAAGGAGCGGATGCCGTCGCATCGTTCGGAGACGGTGGCAGTCGCTGAGCAGTGACAGCCATGGCAAAACAAAGCTGACAGCGCAGATACAGATCCAGAGACACGGCCGGGGGGTTTCACGACATTGTTCGTGACTTCCTCCAGGAATCCAAGGAATTTTCGGAGTGATGATTCGGTATGTAGCATGTTAGCAGCTCCGGCTGTCCTGCCTAATGTGCAATGTCGTCCGCGCGCGGGTAACTCAGCCTTTGAACTGTAGTCCTATTGTGTTACGTGCAAGCCGCGGCAGTCCATCATGGCCCCGGTGTACATCGCCAAGACACAATTCTGATTGGTCGGCCTCGATACCTTTGCCCCAGATGAGCGCCAGTTGCTCTCCCCCTCAAACGGACGCCGCCGGGTTACACGGACTGGTAGTATCCTCGCGTGGCGAGTCTTCCATTTGCCAGGGCCAACGTACGGAGTACTTTCAAGCCCACATGGCCACAGCGGATTGCTTTGCTTGGGAGCCCTGCGTCTTCTATGCCAGTGTGCCAGGGTCCACATATACAGCTGCGCAAGGTATACCGTGGCTTCATGAAGAGCGCACAGACACCAGTCAGAGACTTGGCCTCTACAGTCAAAGAAATGAAATTCGACCAATGTTGCGATGGCGCGTTGTACCCTCTCGCGCCGGGAATGTACTAATCCTCTATTGGTTCTCGTTGTAGTTGCGCCCCCTTCGCGTGCTGATTGGTCTTCAACCAAGCGACCAAACGCTGCGCGCACTGCACAGCGTACCATGGTTCCTCGGACATCGCTCGGGTAGATCGAGGCGACACCTGTCTAGCAGCAAAGATGCTCCCGCCCGCCATCTTATTGGCTAACCTTTGTTGCGATGGTTGGTCGGGCGTGTGGACAACCTGGCACGAGAACGGACTGCGTTCGGGCTCCTAATACTGTCCGAGTCGGTCTCAGAATCAACGCACCTCGATGTGCCTGCAGACAATGCGACATGCCCGAGTAACGAGCATCGCTGGCCGCTAGTTTCGGTAAAGCTGTCCTCGTCAGATGTTCTGTGCTATCACTGGTGCAATGTATGGATTCGATGGTGGAGAGGCCTCGGATTGGTCCCTTCTGAGTAACCAATCTCGAGCTTCGTACTGACACAGCTTCTCATTTGCTGCGAACCCCAAGTCCACAGCGCCAGATGGTACGAACGCTATATAAGCTGGGCCGCTGTGTGCTGGTGAGGTACCTTCTTCACTTCTCTTGATTTTTAATATCTTCTTTCCGAACGCCTCATGTCTTCTACCTCTAATATGTTCCCCGCCCCTATGGGAGGGGTTCCCCTTCACATTGATATTGCCCCAGCTTTATTCTTCGATATTCTATACGGTTTCATTCTCGCTCTCGTAGCCTACCGATTCATCTCCAAGAGCTCGCGCACGCTCGCGATCCTCGGCACCATCATCTTCACATGTGAACGGTACGTTCCCTCCATCCAGTCCATCATCCCCCGACTAACACTCCGTCGTTCCGAGCAGAATCGTCGATTTCTCCGTCCGCTCTGCCGAGGCGTACAATTCGGACCTGCGCACGCCCAAGGCGTACGTCAACTTCCTGCAGGGCGGGTACGCCATTGGCGTGGTCGGGATGACCCAAGATATCGGCACGCTCGTCATGATCTTCCTTGTCAACAGCACGCGCGGCAACGACGCGCTCCCCCTCGCCAAAACTCTGCCAGCAGACTCACAGGTGGTCGAGGACGCTGAGCGCGCTGAGCTGCTGCGGCCCAAGTTCTACGAACACGGTTCCTCCGTGAGCTCGAGCAGGTTTCTCGGGATGCAGGTGTCCCAGGCAGACATGCCAATGGAGGACGAGCCGAGGCGCAGGCACTGGATCAGGATGTTCTGCCTGGCTCAGCTGCCGCTGCGCCTTACGGCCATGGCCCTAGGAGCTGTCTCCAGCGCGTCTTACTACGCGGGCGAGATGAGCCATTACGATGCCATGTTGGTCCAGCACTCACGGTAAGTCTCCATGGTCTATGTCAATAAGCAGAACGGAGCCTTACTCAGACTTGCGACTGGCATAGGTACATCTCAGCGGGCTTGGCTCTGTTCCTACTCCAGAGCAGCAACCTTCTCTTGCTCTGGGGTCTCGTCACGCGCCCCCTGCGAGTAGCCATCGTGCCTGCGCTCTACCTCTCCTTTCTCTGCTGCATCCTCGTAAGTGCCCCCTCTTCCCGCACAAGCAGATCCTCACGTACCCTCCCCCCTGCTAGTCGATCACCCCGATCTACCGGCTCGCCGCGATGGCCAACTGGACGGACTCGCTCCTCGCGATGGGCCCGGGCTCACACAACGGCACCGCGGCGAAGGTGCTCTTTTACTGCCTGCAGATCACCCCGGAGACAATCGCGCTCCTGATGATGCTCGTCGTCAACGTCAAGCAGATGTTCGACATCAACCATGGGCTGGCGGACCTGGCTTTCAAGGATCCCAAGTGAATGCTGGGTGTTGACGGAGTGTAGATGGTTGATGAGGCTATATCATGATGACTGATGTGCGGACAGTATTCTGAGCTCACGATTTGTTTGACGGACCCAGTATTGTATCTAGTTCTATTTGCTTGCGTACTGTATCCATAAGGGTGCTGTAATGTTGCCGGACAATGCATTTGACACGCTCACGTATTTAAGTTGTAGCGATCTTGGTATCAAGGTGCACATCCCTGCCAAAGCCATTAATCGAATGCTCCTTAAACAGCTTGTCTTTGCAATGGCCTCTATCAATGTCATGTCCAGATCGCCTATCACAATCATGTATGCAGATAGATGTCTACGCCGACTGCCCCACAGTAACATACATATAACAATACAAGTTCACCGTATACATCATATCCCAGTAATGTACAATCCAAACCGTGCATCATACAATCTAACCCACAACCCCACATGAAGAGCCGACGTCAAGCCATCCGAGTCGTTACACATCGCATCACCACCCCGCGCAGCCCTCAACACCCGAACACCTCCACCTGACACTCCACACCACCCACGCTCCCCGCGCGCTCCTCCCGCGCGGCAAAAGTCTGCACGATCCTCTCCACGTCCTCGCCGAGCGCACGCGGCCCGCACACGCCGACGACCACGCCGCTCGGGCTGCTGCGCTCCTGCGCGCCGCGCCGCGGCGTCCACGCGTCCGACGCCTTGTGCACCTCGAGGGTGCGGTCGACGACACTCGAGAGCAGGCTCTCGAGCGGTGGGCGCCCCGAGCGGAGGGTCAGGCCCTGCGGGAGGAATCGCGCGGAGGGGGAGGCGGGCTTCGGCTCGGCGGAGCTGGTGGCGCGGGTGTGGAAGACTTGGATGCGGAGGTGGATGCCTGTCTCGCGCGCGTTGTCGAGGAGCCGGGCGAAGTCGGGTAATATGGGATCGAGGGAGGCTGGTGGAGGAAGGGCAGATGAGGTAGTGAGCTTCACGCAGGACGAATGGAGGAAGAGGGCACATACAAGAGTCTTGTACGCTCCAGATAAGGTTGATGAGCCTGACGCGACTTGCGCCGTACGATGCGTCGCGCAACAGCTCTTCGGCAACAGCGAGGGGATACGAGATGCCGCTTCCGCCCGCGACCAGAAGCGCCGCCGAAAAGCTAGCAATGACCGCATGCCCAGGTCCACCTATCACCCGACAACAGAGTCAGCGCTACATATCACACCGAGCACACCTGAACACTCACCGTACGGCCCATCAACGAGCACCTTCACCCTCGGGATTCCACCACCCGCCTCACAGTACTCCGCCCTCCTCGCCATCACCATCAGCCTCTCCCCCCACTTTCCCACGTTCTTACACAGCAGCACGAGGCCCTCGCCCTCGCCCGCGACGCCCTCCGCGCACGACGCGATCGTGAACGGGTGGCTCTCCGCCCAGCCCCACCAACCCATGCCCGTCGTGAGCACCTTCACGCGCACGTGCTGGCCCGCGCGCCAGCCCGCGTTGAGCGTCGGGATGACGAGCCGGACGGTGCTGAGCGCGGGGAGCACGCGGAGCTGCGCGTACGTGAGGCGCGTTTGGGCAAGCCGGAGGAGCCGGTCGAAGAGGTAGAGCGCGAGCGCCGTGACGACGTAGGATGTGGTGCTGCTCTCGTGCAAAATGGTCTGCGGGGGAGTCAGTGATGAGGTGAGGCGAAGATGGGAGGTGAAGAGTACGCACAGCAGGCAGGAGGATAATGGCTGCGAGAACGTGCGAGAAGTAGAAGACCGGATAGAGCAGTTCGCGGAGTATTTGGAGGGACAGGAAGTACAAGATGTCGACGGCGACCAGTGCCACGAACCCCCAGATGATGTTGGGCGTAAGGTTCTGGGACAGCGTGCCTTCAATGCTCCATTTATACACTGAGTGAGGCGATACTAGTCAGTAGGTAGAAGGAGACCGATATTAGATTGGGGCGTACGAAATCCGAGAGAGTGTACGTTGATGGCGATGAATACGAAGCGTCCGACATACCGATGCAAGTAGTTGAGCTACTGATTGATCAGCTTCAATACGAACACTGAGCCAAGAACGGAGACACACCTTCTCGTAACCCTTGCCCAGAAACACTCCCAACAGATTGTTCTTCGTGCCCAGGATGAACGCCACCGGCAACTGGCTGACGCCTACCCACCCCGCGGGTACATATTGCACAAATGGACTCCCCCCCTCCAGCCCAATGAACAATATCAACACTGAATATCCCAGTAGGAGCAGTGCTTTGCCGACCGAATAGCCCGGGCGGAGGGTGGCGCCCAACCATGCGCTGACTCCAGGGAAGATGGACGACCATGCGGGCATATGTGCGGGAGGACGTCGACGCGCACGGTTGGTGGAATGGCTGCCGTCAGAGTCTCGATCGTTCGTACCAGTTGTAGGGCTCGCTGTGGGCTGGTCTCTCGTGAGGTTGGCGCGCCGCCGCGAGGAGAACCGCCGGGCGGCGTAACTCTGCTCGGAGTAATCGTACACTTCGCCTTCCTTCGGCGAGAGAGAACCAGTACGTTGTATGCGCCCTCGTTGTGAGCCAGAGCGGAGGAAGACACCTTCGGACCATGCGGAGAGGCGGAGGAGACGGGTCACGGCCCGGGGGAGAGCGAGGAGGAAGAAGAGGGCGGCGACACATAAGAGCAGGACGTCCGCGAGGAAGTAGAGATTGTTGGGCAGCAAGTCGGCACTACCGCTGCTCGCAGAGGAGGCATCTACGGAGGAGAGGGTCGCCGCCGCAGAGCCTGCTGCAGCGGTCGTAGTCTGTGAGGCCGTGTCAGACATAGTGATAGTGTGAAGAGAAGGAGGTGCAATGACGGTGTATAAGAAGGAAAGACCGAGGGAGTTGGGTGTAGACGAAGGCCGCCACGCGAGTGAAGGGAGGACAACAAGGCCGCGGAGAGGACATGGAGGAGACGGAGCACCCGCACATTCAACGCGACGGACACGCGTTCCAAGATGGCTCGCGGAAGATCTAATCTCACGGACGCACCTTTTGTTCGGCGTGGAAAGTCTAAATTGCATCGGCCAGTGGAAATTTCAAAGGGTCGGACATGAATTGGTAGCGTTCTGCACATATAGCACTGTGTCTGCGCTCACACAACGCTGCGTAACGTTCCTATCAAGGTGAATTTGGGGAGACCGTTGGGGAGACCGAGAGCCATGCAAGGCGGACGAGGCGGTGTAAGATCAAAGGACCAGTTGCGACCGGCTGTACAAGAGCTGAGCCTTTCATTTGGGAGGAAGCAGCACGAGAGCCACGATGCAGCAGGCACATGGTACCGGTGCCGAGGCACGGGCAACGGACGCAATGGTGCGATGGATATCACCTGCATAGTCCAGTGGGCTAATTGGGATAGACGAGCTGACCGGCCGGCAGTGTGAGTTCTAGTGAGTCTGGATCTCCTGCCTGTGAGTGCATAAGTAAGGACGTTTACTCGAATGGAAGACGTTAGGAAGACGTTAGCCGCCGCGCGGTTGAGTAGAATGGCCTGAAGTGGAAGTGTGGCGTCGCGCCGCACGCTCACTGCCTCCGTGCGGTCAACTCAAATCCAAGGTCAGTTCATATGTACTAACCCAATTGCTCATTTTGTGCTCTGCGTTAACATTGATGTCGCTCTTTGACAGATTAATGGCACCCTCCCTCCCTCCAGAGCTCACAGATCACATTATCGACTACCTACACGACGATTCCTGCGCTCTCGCAGCCTGCGCATTGACTTGTCGCCAATGGCTACCAGCAGCGCGCTATCACTCCTTCGGTGCCGTCACTCTCGTCCCTCACAGATGTGAGACATTTGCAGAGCTGATTGCGGTGTCCCCGGAGCTCGCGCTGGCGGTCCGTTCAGTCAAGCTACGCAGCCTCGCGAACGGATCGCGAGTGTGGCATCGCGCTGACTTGTCGTTCCTCACGGCGCTCACCGCTGCTACCGATTTCTTCCTGGACACCATGAGAGTTGGCGACACCGTGCACGAAGCCTTCGTGCAAGGCCTCTCCGCCGTCCGACGCTTAACCGCCCATAACTGCTGGTTCGCAACCCTGTACGACTTCGCGGCGCTTGTATCCTCGTTTCAGTGTCTCGAGTTCCTGTCAATGTCAATTCTAATTGACGACCCTGATGCTCGTGGACCACCGCTCCCGTCCCTGCCAGATAGACTACAAGTGATAGAGCTCGGAGACCTGGAGTGGGACCGCATGCCTGCGGCTGCATTGTTCGAATGGATCAAGGACGTCCCGAATCCCCAGCAATTGGTCGGCATGTCTTGCCATGTTATCTGGGAAGTCTGGCCGACGCAAGCCATCTTGGCCATCTGCGGGTCGCATCTACAGCACTTCGAGCTAGTCATCAAGACTGAAGGGTCTCTTGACAGTAAGCCTCGCATTGATCGCTTACATCTAATGACCTAGACCGTATTTGTCGGCAGGAATATTGGGCAAGGCGGGTTTCTCGCTGTCCGAATGTACGAGCTTGCAAACATTCACGCTCCGTCTATGGCTCGCCGAGATGTGCGTCCCGGAGAATCAGGACCTCCTCTGGATTCCAAGACTGTTCTCTCAGTTGCACGCTCCTCACCTGCACCAAATCACGCTTTCACTGCACGTCGACGACATGATGGACCTGCGCACTCTGGCGTCAGAGAATGCAGTTCGACAACTGACCGAGGCCAATCACGCTGATCTGACAGCGTTGGACTGGGCGAGCATGCACACGACGCTTGCCCGAGAAGACTTATCTTCCCTTCGCAAATTTGTCATTGAAGGCAGAGGACCAACAGACGCCTTAGAGGCATACATTGAACACGAGTACCCCGAGCTGCACCAGCGTGCAGTGATCGTGCTCGCATGAGCATGCGCATACGGTGAATGGCTTCGGGCCAGCACTAGAGCGCGTCATAGCAGACGAATATGTCATAGATAGGTATGCTACATTTCATTGATCATTGACTTCTGCTCAACCCGCATCTATCTACTGCGCCATCAGGGCAGCAATCTCCTCCGGAATGGTCGGTCTCTTGCGCCATTCTGCCTCCCAGCCAGCCGGTGCTCCCTCCTGGTCACCCACGCTGGGGATGCCAAACACACCCGTCACAAGCCAGATATCCTTCTCGCCCGCCGCATGCTCACCCATCAGCGTCGGGAGCACCGCTCTCGGGACCATCAAGTTCGTGTTCGCATCCGTCCGCAGCGCCTTGCCCGTCCTCCCTCCCTGGCTCAGCTCCGCAATGCCCGACGCGCCCGCCTTCGACGCCGCCCTCGTCTCCCCGCCTCCCTCTAGCGTCCCGAACGCCTCGCCCGTCGCCGGTGCGAGCGCCCTATCATTCCTGTCCTGGCCGTAAATCGCGAAGCCGCCCTCAGCCGAGAGCAACGCGCGCTTCGTGCGGATACGGTGGACGCGCAGGTGCCAGAGTGGGGCGTCCTGCGCCGGGGGGACGAGCCACGTCTCGACTGCGACGTCCGGCCAGGGGTACCACATGGAGCGGAGCCATTCGCGCCCGCCCGCGCCCTCGAAGCGCGCGTCCTTCGTCGCACGGCGCGTCTTCCACACCTCGCCCGCGTCGTCGCTCAGCGCGAGCGCGCTGTCCGCGGCGTGCTCCTCGAGCGTGAGGCTGCCCGAGGGCACGCTGTAGCCGAACGCGGACGAGTACGCGAACTTGCCGTACTTGGCGGCGGACTGCTTCACGGGGTACGAGCACTGCTGCCCGGACGAGAGGATGAAGGTGTGCCCGCCGAAGTGCGTGCCGATGTGCAGCGGCTTGTAGAGCGACTTGGTGGTGTTGAGGAGTGACGCGGGGTAGGGCTCCTCGGGGGATGCCCAGAAGGGGTGCGAGGTCGGGAGGGAGAGCGCGATGAAGGACTTGCAGCACCAGTACGGACTGCCCGGTGAGTTGTAGTTCTATGCACGAAGAATTCAAACTTTACAGCCAAAGTGTCAAACCATTTGCCCGACTCACCTCGGTCATGTTTAGGTTTGGATAACAGTAGCCAATGGTAAGCGTGCCATCTGAATTGTAGGCACCGGGCTGCCTAGCCCAGTACCGGATGTTGCGCAGCTGCAGACCCTTCACAACGCCCCATGTGAGTGGTGCAGGCAATTCAACATCTGCAAAAGCTAGGGCGCTCCAGAACGAGGACATAGCAAAGCGGTAGGTTAAGCTTCGTCCGAAAGGTACTCCACGTCCTGTGACCCATAGCGCTCATCAGCTGGAGGTGCCGTGCGCACACTGAGCTACGCACCCTCAGGGTCGAAGTAGTACACGAAGTCCAGTGCAAATTTGCGCGCCCTGTTGCGGAACTCTTCACAGCGCACCGGATCTTCTGCCTGCGCGAGCTTGGAGTATACAAGTTGAGCATACTGGATGGCGAAGGACGACGAATAGTAGTCAAGCTGGACTACTCCCTCCGGACCATCGCGGGACCATCCGTCTCCGATGTAGAAAGTATCGAGATGATCCATGTCTGCTTTCATCCGCTTTCCGTCATACTGGGGCGAGCCGACCTTCGACAACCCGAGGTTGGCGAATACCTATCCGTCCATGGTGAGCCGACATGCGTATGGAGGTGCAAACGTTGGGACATACCCTGAACCAAAGCCAGTTGGTATTAGGCATCTCCTTATCATTCATCCCAGCGAGCCATGCCTCGAAGTTCCGCTTCCCCTCGTCGGGCAATGGGTCCCATAATTGCTCCTTAGCCACGGCGAGCGAGAAGCCAATAGCAGAACATTCAACCATCCGCTGATCTTTGTCCCTCATATTTCCCCAGAACTCTTCATGGTCGGGGTTCGTCCCGTTAGCGAAGCCCCTCACCCATCGCTCGGTACCCGCATAGGTTCCGCCGCCGGCGAGGTACGACGCGAGGCCCCAGATGGGTCGCGAGAAGCCCTCGAGCTGGGCAGCGGCCTCATCGTAGTGCGTACCAGTGAATCCGAGGTGTATGCGAGCACCTCCAGGCGATGTATGGGCAGCAAGCGGATCAAGGACACCAACGAGATATTTGGCGAGGTCATCCTTGGTCTCGAGCGGGTTGGAGGCGAAAAGGGTGGTGTGTGCGAAGTACGACATGGCTGGGGCGACGAGAACCTAGGAAGGCTGCCATTTTACAGCCTGCGGGCTCGCTACTTATGTTTCTGCAAGAGTCAGGAGCACTTGAGGACCGGACCGCTCTACCTGGCTTGAGCCCATCATCGCGTCCTTCGCGGTCCGGTGATTCTCCGTGCCTAATAAACGACATGCGATTTCTCTAATGATACGCATACAAGATTCACTCAGCGGACATGAGAAGACCGCTTGAATGCGCTTGTACGTCGCAGTGGGACAGAAACATGGTTTGTGCAGCGATGGAAGAGGTCGGCGGCCAAGAGGATCTGCGGACGATTGCACATTAGCGCCCACTGGCGGTTCAGAATAGACGCCGGAGCCATTTTGAGCGCTTACCTGTCACGATCGCGTTACGGAACGCGTTCTGCATGCACACGCGGTGACACGCGCTCTGATCCTGACCATCCCCTGCAACCAACCCCGGACGCGTACCTCTGTCTAACCAATACGACTCATTTGGGATGGCGACTTCACTCGTGAACTCTGCACACCCACCTGGACCTACTTACCTCGCATTCGCTCGTGATGGCTCGTGAGCAAGCCCAGTTCTGTACACGCGTAGTCGTCTTGCTCACTTTGCGTCAGACGTGTCTACACCGGAGGAAGCGACACAATCGTGCGGATATGGAACACCAACGAAGGAACCACACAGGAACCAGATTCTGCAGGGGAGGCAAAGGAAGGAGTCACCTGTCTCGCTGCTGGGGTTCGTGGCTCGCGGGTGTCTGTGTCCTTGTCGTGTCTGACAACAACGGGATTAGCACGACTGTTGGTTCTCCGGAAGCAATGATTCGGAGGTCAGGAGATATGCACATGCTTCGCCCCAGCAAGATGGGCTGGTCACCAATGCTGCTGGAGTCGCTATCCGGAGTTTGGCGGTAGACCCGCAGGGAAGTCGAATAGCAGTGACGTCTGAGTGAGTGAGCCGCGCATCTTTCACAATCCCCTGTCTCATGAGTGCGGCTTGACAGTGAAACCACAGTCAAAGTGATTGAATTGGCAGACATAACGAACGTCGTGCTATTGAAAGGCCACACGAAAGCCGTCCGTAGGGCTACATGGCATCCATCAGGCTCTCTCTTGGTATGCCAATATGATTTTATCAGACGCACTACAACTTACATTGTAAAGGCAACATGCGGCGCTGACGGCAGAATAGTGATCTGGGATATCTCAGAAGGCGAAGGAAAGGAAGCCAAGACTATCGAGGGCGTAATTCCCGCCGTGGCTAATACCGAGTACGCGACCTTACTTGCTTCGTGCAAGAAGATTCACACTCATGTGCCATCAGGTCTGACGAATTCGCATATGACTGCTCTGTAGTATGGCACCCTTCTGGCCAACATTTCTTTGTCGCGACGCGCACACATGGTATGTGAGCTGGAACTCTTCTATCGCTGCCTATACACTGAATTGAATCCGTTACCAGAGATCATCAGCATCTCTCGCAACGATTGGTCAAAGTCCTCTACCTTCTCCAATGAGGATGTTTCAGGGACAATCACTGCCCTCGCCCTCTCCCCGAACGGGGTATACATCGCTTCTGCGACCAAGTCGGGCGTGTTCATCTGGTCTACCCAAACACGTCGGCTGCTTTACCGGTGCGTGCACAATGTACTTGATGCACCAACACTCCTGAGTGATCTTGCACATGTATTAGTTTCCAGGATATATCTTCACCGCCCATCCAATTAGCGTTCTCACCCTCGCAGAACCTCCTTGCATGGACCGACCTAGAGGGCGCCTATACGCGTTGGCAAGACCCCATCCCAGCCACCGCTCCCCATCCCATAAAGCCCTCTACTGCGTCAAGCTCTGCCGGCGTACAGAAGAAGCGCGCGAGGACTCCCACACTATTTGACACCGAGGCAGACAAGGAATTTGCGAGGAAGGATGCGGGTGGGGACGTGGACTTGGATGAGGATCTCGGTGCGGATTTGGACAACGATGATTGGATCCTAGATGACCTGGGTGGCGGAATGGACGACGACGCAGAGGACAAGAGGACGAAGGAAGGTATAAAAGAGATGGGTAGGTTTGACGCATTGAGTGCACGACGTCGGCTAACTTACATCTTTCATGCAGTCAGTGTAACCAAGGCACAGCCCGCGTTTCAGCCTAGCTCGACACCCCTGGAGAATAAGAAACGATACCTAGGTGAGGAATGCGACGTTCTGGTCCTGCAAATTGGATGATTGAACGATTCCCCCATGTAGCATATAACATGATTGGAGTCATTGAGGTGACGGACCAAGATACGCACCACATAGTCAACGTTGAGTTCCACGACAAATCTGCGCGGAAGAGCTACCACTTCACGGATCACTTCAAGTATGACATAGCCTCCCTCGGTACGTCCCTAGGCCATATTTCATCAACTTTCCCCCTCAGACTCACCGTTCCACAGGTGAACGTGGCGCAGCCTACGCCTGTCAACCCGAGAACGAGCACTCCGCGCATGTCACTTACAAACCCTACGGTACTTGGGCCACGCAGGGTGAGTGGACATACGAGCTCCCGAAGGGCACTCGCGTTCTGGGCGTCGCGGCCGGAGGCCCCCCACCGACGAAGTCACTGCGGGAGAAATCCGACGCCGATATGCAGGGCAACGGCAATGTGGTCATCGCTACGAGCACGGGCGAGCTCATTTTCCTGACCGGGACGGGCATCGAGCGGTGTATTTTGAGCTTGCAGGGTGACTTCGTGACGATGGTCGCCTCACCAGAATGGGTGTTCATAGTGACTCGCGACGGTGCAACGACAATGGACGGTAAGCACCTATACCCCATGATGATACGACAATGATTCAATTGTTTTTCAGGTTCGCAGAATCTGACGGGCAGACTCATTCAATTCGACGATTTCTGTGTGTTGCAGAAGGATGCCTTGCCCGTACCAAAGCGTCACACGGTGAAGTGGATCGGAGTCACTGAGGAAGGGGTGAGTCTTTGTGACAACAACGGCTCATCGAACGAGCGCTGAAATCTCCTCCAGGCCCCAGCCATATATGACTCTGCTGGCATTCTCAACGTCATGCCAAGATTCCGGCTACCCTTCGCCGCAACCTGGACGCGAGCACTTGATACCAACGTCTTGGATCGACGTGAGGGCAAACAGGAGTCATACTGGCCAGTCGGTGTCGCCGGCGAGACGTTAATGTGCTTAATATTGAAGGTGAGCTACAAAGCCCAAGGGAAATCTCTGTACATTGGGATACTTACACAGATACAGGGGAGACAAGAGCATCCCACGTTCCCTAGACCTCTCATCCAAGAGCTTCCTCTGAAGCTTCCCTTCCACCGTCAAGATCCCAAGGAAGCACCTCTTGAAGAGCAGTAAGTATTGACCTCACTGGAAGTTCGATCCTGTAATGATGAGGGGTTGTGTAGCCTCGCACGTGAAGGAATGTTACTCGACATCCTCCGCGACAGCCTTGGAGATCAGCTTACTACGGACGACATCTCCCGGCGCGAGCTGGCGCTCGACAAGGAGCTCATCCAGCTCATCCAGAACGCGTGCAAGAACGACCGGCTGGCGCGTGCTCTCGACCTCACCAAGCTCTTGCATCACACCGCGTCTTTCGACATGGCCATCAAGGTTGCAGGGTTCTACCACCTCATCGGTCTGCAGGAGAAGATAGAAGCACTGAAGGACGATAGGGAAGAGACGGATCGCCTGGCGGACGCACGCGAGAAACGCCGACAGCGCGCAAGAGATCTAACTGTTATCCCCGCGCCACGGACGGTTTTTGCGGCGGTACCGCGCCAAAAGGCATTCCAAGATTTCAAACCACCTCCCGCGAAACACCGTCCGGGGCTGGAACGCGCGACACCCGTTGTGGACACGAACAGGAATGCTCCTCGCGCCCAACCGCAAGCGATGAGCAGTCAGTTCTCGGAAGACACTGCTGCTTATGGCACGTCCTTCGACGACTCTGTGAATGACTACTCCTTCTCATCTCCGGACGGCAAAAGGAAGCGGGCAGAGGAAATGCAGCCTGTGCGGGACTATCCTTCACCGGGGATGGACAACGCCTCCAAGCGTCGTGCAGTCGATGAGCCGGTACCACTGGTAAAGGCAGGTGCATCAGCTGGGCGTAAGTCTTCACTCTGTGCCAGGACTAGAGCGGTACTCATCGTCAACAGGAGCGAATCCTTTCGCAAGGAAAACTGGCACAGACAACAACCGCAATCCATTTGCACGAAGCACCGACGTCAACAAGGCACTGCAGAAGAGCGAGAGCTTCTTCTCGAAAGTGGACGCCGCGGAGACGGATAAGGGAAAACGTCAGTCATTTCACTCAGTGAAACTGGGCACCTCAAGCCTGACCCCATTCTCCAATGCAGGCCCCCCTGCTGGAAAAGCGAAGGCTAACACCAAGGAGAAAGAGAAGAAGTCGGCAGGACGCCAGACGACGCTCTTTGGCTTGCCCGCGAATCCGCAAGCAGAGAAGAAGTCAGTCGGGAAGAAAAAGAAGGCCTCCGAGAGCCAGGTCGACTCTCAGCAGACCGAACCAACTGACGACAGCGAGACACAGACAATGGACGTGACCATGATAGAGTCACAGTCAGTTGATGACGAAGACTCGCAGCCGCTAGCGGACGAGCCAGCCATGGACGCCCTTCAGACGGAGATAAACCAGGACGCAGACACAGAGGTGAGTCGTTGGCCATTGCGGCAACAGGCAGTTTATTGACGGTATAACCCCTATCGCTTGATAGAATGCTGGAAGTCCGGAACCTATCGAATGGCCACCGTCTCCCACGCACGAGAACAATACCGTTGAAGTGGTTGTAGGTTGAGCTGTCAGCAGTTGCTTGGCGTGTAGATGACCTTGACTGTATCCTACTGTATCGCCCCACTGTATGTATAATGCACATGGTCCAGAACACCCTAGTTGATCATTAACTTTAGAAATGGGACGACACAATGATCAAAAGAATCGGTTGGATTGCTGAGGTTGGTGGATACCCTCGTTAATCATGAGGTCCTACAGGCAAGACAGTGAGCATCAGTGGGAGCATATGACATACATGCACAGACCTCCGGTGCGAATGGCCATTGATCAAACGCGCGAACAAGCAATGCCCAATCTGCGACTGTCAGTCCACGCGGCGCTTTGTTGACTTCAACCCGCTGATCGAATGGCAGGGTCGGATCGGTAAGCGCCTTGAGGAGAATCGATGCACCAGGAGCTAGCGAGCTGGGCACACAACATCATCGTAAGCACAAACTCCAGCACAGTCGTGAGTTGTGACAGACTTGATACAGCGCGTTAAGGGCGTTGACTTTAAGACAAACAGCCGACGCAAGCAATAATCCCACTTATCCAAGGTTCCTTTGGTAATGAACTGTGACGGGAGTGAGTCGCGAATGGAAGAGGCTGGTGCAGTGCAAGGATAACGCTAACCTGGTCTTCATGTGGAATTATGTTCATGGCTACAAAGGGGTGACCAATCCGCTTGGTTATAGGTTTCTTACCTCCCCCCCCCCTTGATGCGACAGGGTGGAAATTCGCTTCGTATGGTTGAAGCTCCTCTTTCAATGAAACATGACATTTCGCTACGGCCTCGGCGATGACAGAAAGTTTGCATCGCACCGAGTTGCCGGGCGGCGCCGCCATGCGCTGACAAACAAAGTGAATCAGTCGTCGGGATGCTTTGGAATCTCAGTACGTACCGTCCTGACCCAGTCGCTCATGAGGAAGCTCATAGGTACTCTACCATACCGATATAGCCATGTCCTGTCCGGTATACAGCGGAAGAGTTGGGCAATCAACTGTTCGCCTTTGATGCTGCGCTGAAGGTGGCTGATGAAGTGCAGGTTTGGATGAACTAGTGCAGCAAACTATTCGTCAGCATTCTGCCCGGCAATGCACCTCGCGACATAGAACTCACTACCGTTCTCCCAGGGTACAGGTTGAATGTCAGACAGTAGGCCCGTATCCTCTAGGTAGGTATACGTGTCCCATAGGAACCCGGAGTATGGGACTACATGTACGCGTGTGTCTACCAGCTCTAGAGCCTTACAATTGTCAATGAAAAAAACCGCAGAATGGCGGGAGCGATTCGACACACCTTGAGATGGGGTAGGTATTCCGCATTGTCTTCCAATATGATCAACTTGCGTAATTTCGAGCGAGGTAGCTCTAGCAGCGCTCTTGACAATGCCCCCGGTCCTAGAAATATGACACGATGCAGCTTCCCGTACTATTGCTTGCTCGAAGACATACCTGGGAAGGCCTCTATGACTACCTTGTCTTCGCCACCTGCTGGGCTTTTGTCACCAAGGAAAGACTCTACAACCAATCGAGCGGTGTCGACTCGTTTGATGCAAGCTCGCTCCTTAATATTGTTGGCTGTGTCGAATATCCGACGCCATTCTTCATGAGGAGGAAGCGATGGCAAGTGTGATGCCGACTCAGAGTATGATCGACGACATGCTCGGGTGAGCGCAAAGGGCAGATTTCTCCAAGCACGAGTCATCTGCATATTTTGAGGTGTTTCGGAGCGACTAGGACACGGCCGCTGAAGATGGTGGGCAAGACAGAGCTCGGGGTTTGCGGCCAGACAGTAACGACTCTGAACTCAGACTGCGGCAAAGGGCGACGTGTCACAACGCCGTGTGACGAGCGCGACATGTCACGCGTCCGGGTCACAGTCGCGCGTCGCGTGGCCATACTACTAGTATCTTACTTCGAACCAGCTGCCGCGCTTGCTCAAGCAACGTTCTCCCGCTCAAGTCTTCGCCACGCCACGTCTGGTGAGACCGATACGGCAGAAGAGCACTGGGCGACCTCCAGCACGCACAACATCGTCGCGGCCATAACACAGCCGATCGCAGACAGGTTGGCACCGGCCGACTGTTCAAGCCATGTATATCAAGACACTAACAATCCAAGGCTTCAAATCATGTCAGTCCTGCACAGCACAACTTTTGCAGTCTATGCTCATGCTTGTCGCTAGACCGCGACCAGACCCAAATCGAACCCTTTTCTCCTAGACACAATGTAGTCGTAGGCAGGAATGGGTCGGGAAAGAGTAACTTCTTCGCTGGTGCGTCGTGTTGGTTTCATCCTCGCCTCTGCTCCTGACTGAAATTGCTTTCCAGCCATTCGGTTCGTATTATCAGACGCCTATACCTCAATGTCGCGGGAGGAACGGCAGTCCCTTCTGCATGAAGGAGTATCTGTGGCCACGACCTTGTCAGCATATGGTGCGTACAGACGCCGTTCCATGTTACAGTCAACGCTCATTGTACGACGTGGCGTGGCAACGCCCCTTTTGCTGTACCACAGTCGAAATCATCTTCGATAATTCTGACAACCGCTTCCCTACTGGCCGAGATGAAGTGATTCTTCGACGAACAATTGGGTTGAAGAAGGACGAGTATAGTCTGGACAAGAAGAGTGCCAGTAAGGCCGACGTGATGAACCTGCTCGAGAGTGCCGGTTTCAGCAAGAGTAATCCGTACTACATCGTGCCCCAAGGACGGGTGAGTGCTCCAATCTACCACTGCTGGTTCGACCTTCCAACCGAGTCCACCGTTCGCATGCAGATCACCGCCCTCACAAATGCAAAAGATCACGAACGCTTAGCCCTCCTCAAAGAGGTCGCAGGTACGAAGGTATACGAACAGCGACGAACAGAATCGCTTCGAATCATGGCGGAGACCGACGCAAAGCGGACTAAGATCAACGAGTTACTGGCATACATCGACTCGCGACTCGCTGAGTTAGACGAGGAGAAGGAAGAACTTAAAGAGTATCAAGAGAAAGACAAGGAACGGCGCTGTCTCGAATATGCACTCTATCAACGCGAACTGGAAGAGGTCACAGAGGCATTAGAGGAAATCGAGGAAGAACGTAAGGGCGAAGTGCACAGTGCCAACGTGCGAAGGGAGCAGTTCACCGAGCGCGAGAAAAGGGCACAGGTGCGCATATCCCAGTGCCCTCTCATTGTCAGGACAATGGGGCTGATATATACTGTGCTGTAAGGGCTTGGAGCAGCGAATCTCGCAGATCAGGACCAGTATCACGACACTAGGGCTGACCCGCACCGGCGCACAGTCCGAGCTTACTGACCTCGTGCGAGCACGTACGGAGCTGGAATGCACCATCGCTGACCTTCGCCTCGCGGCTGAGCGCGCCGGAGGCAAACGTGAAGAGCTCCAAGGAGAGCTCAACAACGTCAAATCTGAGATCAAGGAGCGGGAAGATTCACTAGCTGCTCTCCTACCGGACTGGGAAAGGCAACGTACGCTCGAGACAGACGAGAAAAGGAGGCTGGACGAGGCGCGTGCGCGGCTCGACGCGCTCTTTGCCAAACGTGGGCGGTTGGACCGGTTCAGAACAAGGGCCGAGCGCGACCAGTTTTTGAAGGGCGAGATCGCGTCTATCGACGCGTATCGCACCTCCCAGAGTGCAGCGCTGGATGGCCTGCGGAGGGCCCTGCAGGAGACGCGGAACTCCCTGCAGGAGATTGGGACGAGGAATGAAGACGACGTGGACAGGATCGAGTCGGAGAGGCAGAGGTCCAAGGACCTCGCGGAACAAGTATTAGGTCTCAAGGAGCAGCACGCTGAACTGACCGAGCGACGGAAGAACCTCTGGAGAGAGGAGACGAAGCTGGATAGCTTAGTAACGCATGCTGCTGACGAACTGAGGACTGCTGAGAGGAACTTAGCGAGCATGATGGACAAGGTTGGTCTGAGCTTTGTTCAATTCCGTTGCTTGACTCACGATGTCCTAGGACACCGGAATTGGTCTGCGTTCCGTCGACAGGATTATCGAAAGGTACAACATGGACGGTGTCTACGGTCCTCTTTACCGCCTCTTCGATATCCCAGACGAGAAGTACAACATTGCTGTTGAGTTGACCGCTGGCAACAGGTGATTGCATTCACTCAGTTCTGTTGCGTCTAATTGAATGTTTGCCTAGCCTATTCCATGTCGTCACGGACACAGATGAGACTGCCAAGAGAGTGCTCGACATCATGAACAGAGAGAAGACCGGAAGATTGACGTTCATGCCGCTGAGCCGTCTGAAGTCTAATGTTCCCGCCTACCCCGACGCCCAAGACGCAATACCCCTCATAGAGAAGCTGCGCTTTAATGACGCTTACCTCAAAGCCTTCCAGCAAGTCTTCGGCAAGACCTGCGTCTGCCGCGACCTCACCATCGCTGCCGCATACGTGAAGAGCCATGGCATCAACACCATCACGCTCGACGGTGACAAGGTCGACCGCAAAGGTGCGCTCACCGGTGGGTACCACGACGTGCGTCGCTCGCGCATTGAGGCCATCAAGGCTGTGACCAGCTGGAAGACGAAGCATTCCACGGACGACAAGCGGTTGCAGGAGGTCAAGCGCACGATCGTCACGACCGAGCAGGAGATCACGAGGATTACGGGCAAGATCCAGGTGCTCAGCAACCAGCAGATGCAGGCGCGGCACACACGCGACACCGTGGTGGACGAGATGACCGCGCTCAGCAGGGAGAAGGAGCGCCAGACGGAGCGCGTTGCCAAGCTGGAGGGTGATATTGTCGATCTCGAGACGGAGATTGGCAGTCTTGATGCAAGATTGCAGAGTCTCCGCGCTGAACTAGAGAGCCCGCTTGCCCGCGGCATGACCGATGAGGAAGAACAATTGATCGAGGACTTGGGCAAGGAGGTCGAGCAGCGCCAGAAGCAGCTTTTGGAGATTGCAAAGAAGAAGAACGAGGTGCGGCTAACGCGTCTCTTGCTACCTCATCCGACTCACCGTGTCTTCTGCAGCTGGGCAGCCGCAAGAACGGCATCGAGATAGAGCTGAATGAAAGCTTGCGTCGCCGGAGAGATGGATTGCAGCGTAAGATTGACGCCTTGGGCGAGGTCGAGGCTGGCGATGCTTCCTCTGAGGAAGCTTTGGAGGCTCGCACCCGAGAGCTGCGCGAACTTAATCGTGACATTGAGGACGCAACTAAGAGGTCCAATGGTACCTACGTCCTACCCTCTGCCTCATTGCCTCGCTAATGAACCTGGACAGACGCGGAAAAGGAGATCGAGAAGCTCACGACCGAACTACAGGAGAAGCGCTCTGCTCTGGAAGCCTTGCAAAACCAGCAGTCAGACGATAATCGGGGCATCTCGAAGCAGCAAAAGAGCACTGAGCGGTACCTTGCGAAGAAGCAGATGTTGCTGAACCGAAAGGACGAGTGCGGTCGCAACGTTCGAGATCTCGGTGTCTTGCCCGAGGAAGCCTTTGTCAAGTACACGAGCGAGAAGCTCGATCGAGTACGCCACTTTTCGCTATTTCTTTGGAGTCGAAGATCTGACGTATGCTCTGCAGCTCGTGAAAAAGCTGCACGCAGTGAACGAAGGCCTGAAGAAATTCGCCCACGTCAACAAGAAAGCGTTCGAGCAGTACAACAATTTCACGAAGCAACGTGACCAGCTGCTGAACCGACATGAGGACCTAGTCAAGTCAGCCGGATCGATCGAGGGATTGGTAGAGTCTCTCGACCAGCGCAAGGACGAGGCCATCGAGCGTACGTTCAAGCAAGTGGCGAGCAACTTCGAAACGGTCTTCGAGAAGCTGGTACCCGCTGGCAAGGGGAGGCTCATCATTCAGCGTCGGATAGACCAGGTATGCAACACATCTTCATCTCGGCGATGCTCAATCTGATACATGGTACAGGATGAGGAAGACGTCGAGGAAGCTGACGAGACGCAGCAAAGCTCCATCGACAACTACACGGGTGTCTCTATTAGGGTAAGCAGCATCGGTCGCATTCGCACATGATCACTGACGCGCCCCGGAAGGTCTCGTTCAATTCAAAAGTGGATGAGGGTCTGAGGATCCAGCAGTTGTCTGGCGGACAGAAGTCATTGGTGGCACTGGCAACTGGTATGACTCTTCCCGTCCACTGTGTAGGGTAGATACTGACGAGATGCAACAGTCTTCGCCATCCAAAAATGCGACCCTGCTCCGTTCTACCTATTTGATGAGGTACGAGCACACTAAGTCTCGCACGAATTGTGCTTAATCCTCTCCATAGATCGACGCTAATCTGGATGCTCAATACCGGACTGCTGTCGCTGGTACGTATCGCACGCTGAATCCGTTGGTTCTGGGAAGCTCACGCAATCTCCAGCCATGATTCATGACCTCTCGTCCACTGCGCAATTCATCACGACAACGTTCAGGCCAGAGATGCTTGTCACCGCCGACAAGTTCTACGGCGTGCTGTTCAACAACCAGAAAGTCAGCTCGATCCGCAACATTACTCGGGAAGAGGCTATGGAGTTCGTCGATCAGGTTCGTGTGCTCTCCATGTCGAAGCTTAGTCATTCTGACGGTAGTCTGTGCAGGAGGCGCAAGCACAGTGATACCGTTCTCGTTGTGTTGTATGTATGATATGCTTTCGGCGTTGCTGTCGAATGTACCGTTATGTTCTGTTTTTGCACTGTAGCTGTAGTCACGAGATTTTTCCCGTCCTATCATTATGTGTCGCTGTACCTTCAGTAAATCATTGTATTTGTCGAGCGACAGTGATATCCGTCTCCGCGACAGCCTACCCAGAGGCAAGTAAGCCCAGCCACGGATGGACCCAGGAGCCGAAAATGAATCGGGATCAATACACTCTGTATCTGAGATTGAGCAGGTCGCGTCGCGCCGCCACCGTCACGATTGCAGTAGCGCCCTCACTCGGTGCTTCAACCAGCCACCACGCTTGAGGCGATCTTGTCTTCTCCTCGCTTAGCCGCCACTAGCCCAGGTCGCGCGGACATATCGCGTTGTCCTGTATCTGCCAACTCTATTCTTTCTTGCAGGCAGCGCCGGCGAGGCCGACCTAACACTCGACAATGCCACCGACTTCCCAGTCTCCGAGACGGAAACGAATCCGCAAATACTTCTCTGCCTCGGCTGCAACGGGCGCAAGATATGCAACGAAGCTGAACGCACACTCAGCCACATCGTCTGCGACGCGTTCGCGTCGGAGAGGGTCCTCAACATCCAGCCGTGGCTTCCCTTTCTCGCCCGAGCGGAACAGCGACGACTCAGGCGTCGAGGATGATCACTCGTATCCTGTCTCAGACAATGACCGCTCATTCCGTCAAGCCAGCTCTGAGATTGACAGAGGGAGGACGCCATTGGCGTATGCTTCTCTACCTCCTACGCCTATTACCTCGTCCCCGCCGCTGCAGGCATCCCCGCCCTCCTTCTCTCCGTCCATGCCGTCCTTCTCTTCCGCTGAACTCTACCACGACCCGCCATTCTCAATATGGGATTATCTGCGGGAGGAATTGCTTGCCATAGACTTCGACTCGCATCAGGAGCTGAAATGGGAACGGGTGAGCAACTTTTTGAACATGCCACTTGCCTTGGAGAAGGTAGGCGATGCAACCTACACATGTTCTTGACCCCGGTATAAATGCTACGACCCGCAGATGTTCTTCTTTGGGTTTATCGTTTGCTTCGACTCTTTCCTGTATACCTTCACCATCCTGCCGATCCGGTTCGCTCTGGCCGTGTGGCGCCTGTTATTGAACACGATCACTCGGTCAGAGAAGCCCTTGCCTCCGTCGCAGAAAGCAGACATCCTACGGACACTACTCTTACTCGTCTCTGTTGTCATCCTCGCACCTTTGACCGACGCCAGCAAGATATACCACTCCATCCGCGGACAGGATACCATCAAACTGTATGTCATCTTCAATGCACTTGAAGTACGCTATTCCTCGGGCTCACTGATCCCTTTGAGTGTGCGCTGTGCTAACAACTGACTGTAGATTGCAGACAGGCTATGTGCATCGATAGGACAAGATATCCTAGACTGTCTGTTTTCGCGTTCAACGCTGGAAGTCATATCACATCACAAGAAACCGACATCGTACATATTCCGACCTGTCGTGTTCTTTGCGCTCGCCCTCGTATACAATGGTTCGTCTATTGCGGACACCCGTTTCTGCTTGTCTTTTGAACTCCGCACTTAGTCGCGCACACCCTGGTCATGATCTACCAGATGATCTCGCTGAACGTCGCGGTCAACTCCTATGACCATGCACTGCTCACCCTCCTGGTGTCCAATCAGTTCGTTGAGATCAAGGGCAGCGTGTTCAAGAAATTCGAGAAGGATAATCTTTTCCAGATCACATGTGCTGGTGTGTACGTCGACTTAATCTGTCGCGCGTTATTCACCTGGTTACTACAGACATCGTCGAGCGCTTCACGCTCGCGCTGATGCTGCTTGTCGTGGCATTCCGGAACCTTATCGAGCTCAGCGGGTCGTCGTTCGATCTCAGCGAGGGTATTACGCTGCCGAAGAGCTTTGGCTGGTTCAGGGGCAATAACGTTCTCTGGACGATCTCATACGTGCGTATCGACATATCATACAAGTTCAAGGGGCCTAAGTTCACCTCTTCTACAGCCTGTGTTATCAGTGATGGCCTCCGAGATGATCGTCGACTGGCTCAAGCACGCGTTCATCACGAAGTTCAACCACATACGCCCGTCAGTCTACGAGCGCTATACGGACGTGCTTTGCCGGGACCTGGCCAGTGGGAGCGCTGTAGGCCGGAGGGGAGCGCGCAAGGTACGGAGTGTCTGCTTGAACCCACCCTGTACTCTAGCTGACTATCGAACCAGCACACCTACGTCGACCAATCGCCTCTCGTCGCACGTCGCTTAGGCTTTGCGTCGGTGCCACTGGCGGTCCTCGCAATCCTCATCGGTTCGCAGTCGATCAACCTCCTGATCTCTATGCACGCGGACAGCGACGTCCCTTGGATCTGGAACCGCTCTTACGAGGACATCTCGACCGACGAGTGGATCAATGCTGCGAAATGGACTGCCCTAGCTGTCCTGCTCTGGTTCTGGTACGTGCGCCTATTTATCCTGTCCAAGGCCTCGAGCTGAGCGATCGCGTGCATGTTCACAGCTTCGTCGTTATCAAGATCATCATGGGCGTGCACCTCCTGAGCTATGCCACCCGCCGGCGCGCGGGCATGGAGGCGCGCGAGGCAGCGGACGTCGTGAACGACTTCGGGCGCGACCCGATCGGCGAAGGCAAGGAAGAGCAGACGTACAACAAGGAACTCAAGACAATTCTGGACGATGTCCGCGACGACGCGACACCTGTGCCCGACATCGGGGAGCGTAACCCTGGGGGGAACCCAGGCAAGAGCGGCAAAAAGAAACGGCTGCCATTGGAGGAGATTACGCGGTTTACGATGGTGAAGCGAATATGGTAGACGGGTGGGTGGCTGCAGGAAGTGGCAGCGGGTTGTAGTATATTTACGATCTCATGATCCTGTTTATCCATCCAGTCTTGACGTCTTCATGATATATAAGCTCTGCGGACACCCAGGATTTGTGGGATGACTTGTGTACTTTCCCGGCTATAACGACTATGATAATGGTACATTTCACGACACGAGACCAGACTTTCTACCCTAAACATGAGCACAGAAATCTACACGGCTAGGATACAGTCTAGCGCTACTGATACAATGCAAGGCGGAAACGGAGACGACAAAGGAGCGACAGATATCACGGATAACGATACAGACTGTACAATGCAAGGAGCGGAGGGCTGACGGGTACGAGCGATACATATATGTAGAGCAAATAACGGAGAGCAGGGGGGCATAGCGAGCGAAAGCGGCCGCAGTGCGACGCGACACATCGAAACGAAATAACATGGGCGATTAAGGAGAGTGGTATGCTCGCGTGCGATCGGGCGAGCGCAAATGCGAAGGTGATGTACAGACGCCGAAGATGCGAGGCGATTGAACTGGGAGGACAATGGAGAAAAGACGTATTGTTACAAGGGTCTAGAGCACTTGGGACTTGAGAGAAGTTGATGGAACGCGATCCGGGATGCATTTAGGGACGCGAGTATCCGCTGTAGAGGCCGCCGTAGTCGGACCGCTTGCTCTTGAGCGTCGATGTGTTCGCCGGGGGAGACCTGGTGCTGCCGTACACCGCGGAGGGGTCCGCCCTCGTGCGATCGATCGCAGTCGATGGGGCGTAGATCCTCCTGGACGGCTGCGTGGCATGGGCGGGCGGTACGTACACCCTCTGCACTTGCTCGCTGCTAGCGCTGGCCGGTGGGCCATATATGCGCTTGACATGCTGGGCAGGCTCCGCTGCTGGCCTCTCCTCCCGCCTCTCCTCCCGCCGCTCATGTCGACCTCTCGACCGCTCGCGGTGCTCGTGCTTCTTGGGGTGGGACGACGAGCTTCTGGGCAGCGGCAGAGGCTGGGTAACGATCTCTGCCATAAAGCCACTGGCAGCGACGACAGACGCACGGGGCTTCGACACCTCCACCGAATGGTGGACGCCCGGCAGCTGCCTCAGCTTGGTCGTCGGCGACAGGTGCAACGACGACAACGGCGTGTCGAGCGTCGCGCTCATCCCGACGCGCACGGACCTGGGGAGGCTCGGGACGGGAGGGACGACATAGTTCTTTGTCGTAGGCGAGGGCGGGCCGAAGTTGGTCGGCGTATAGAGCGACGGAGTCTCCGGGAGCTCCTTCTCGAGTGGCACGCCATATGGGTCCGTCGGGTAGATGACGATGCGATCGACCGACTTCTCCCTTCGTTGCGCGATGGACGAGCTCGAGGGCTGGCGGGTCGGCTTCTTCGGCGATGCAACATCCTTTGTGGACGTCCCAGGGCTACTTCGCGAGCTTGGGAGCGGTGCCGCGCCCTGACGGGGCGGAGTGGCAGCAGGTTTCTGCGCTGGTCGCTTGAGGAGCGAGAACATCTCTGAAGGGTACGACTTGGACGACGACCCGGTCGAGCTGCCGGTGCTGATCTGCCGCTGCATGCGCGGGGGCGACAGCGACATCGGCTGTGGCTGGCGGAGTGGCGAGCCCAGCGAGCTCAGGGAGCCCATCGAGCTGCCGCCACTGAGCTGCCTCTGGCGACTCGCCGGCGTCGATGACCCCATGTAGACGTCCATGTGGGGGTACATGGGGGGCGTGGCCTGGACAGCAGGCGCCGGAGAAGCGGAGGGGACGTCCCTCGACTTCGACCTCGAGGTGACGGCCACCTTGTCCTGGCGCGGGATCTTCTCAGTGACCCACTCCTCGCGGTAGAGGTGCGAGTTCGACAGGGGTGGACCAGGGTTCTCGCGTCGGCGCGTGCTGTGCGCAGACTGGTCCCGTTTGCGATGGTCGCGATGATCAGCGACGCGGTCAGACTCGGCTGAGCGACGGGGCGGGAGGACGGCGGGGGACGACATGGTGATGTCCGTGCTCGATGCCTTCTTGTGGATCTTGAGAGGCACCGTGGGCTTGTTGGTGTCGTGCGACGGTCGGCGCCGGTGCTGAGGCTCGCTGGCGGCGTTCCATGCAGCGACCATGGCGTCGCGGCGCTCCATCTCCGCTTCACGCTGCTGCTCCTTCAGGAATCGGTCCACGGCCAACTCCGAAGATGTGCGGTGCAGGCCATAGTCGATAGGCTTCGGGGTCTCCGAAGGGCGACTGGGCGTTCGAGACGACGAAGATTTGCGGGGAGGCTGGGAAACAGTGTGTGGCGGCTTACTGTACGAGTCCTCACGAAGGTTCGTGTTCGTGAGAGGCGGGGAGATGAGCGCACCGCCCTTCGTCTTCACCGAGCCCTTCTCCTTCTCCTGCTTCCTTGCCATCCTCGCCAATTCGCCCGCCTTCTCCCTGACCTTCTCGTCGCCGCTCGGGTAGTCCCTCTCGCCACCCGTCGGCAGCCGCCTCTCGCGCCACCCGTCCTCCGCCCTCAAGCGCGCCGCGGTTTGCTCCTCCGCCGCCTTGCGCTGCCGCGCCAGCTCCGCCTCGGTCATCATCGGCGTGGGCTTGCGGTCGAGGAACGGCACGTAACTCAGCACGGGGAGATGCGACTCGCTCGCGCTACGGCGTACGTGCGCTTTGGGACCCGCGCGCACGCCCTTGATCTTGTTGGGGTCAGGGAGTGGCCCGTATCCCGCGTGGCGACGCGCCTCTTGCAACTGCACCATCTCCTCCCGCGTCGGGAGTCGTTGGCGGGATTGCTCGGTCGCGGGTTCGGGGTGGATGATGGTGGGGCGAGTGGGCGGAGTGTGCTTGGACGTGGAGGCGGATGCCTTCGGGGAGAGCGGGTTGGAGGTTGAGCGGGAGAGGGAGGCGCCCCTCTTGGTTGGGTTCGAGGTCGAACGGTTGAGGATGGCGCCTTGCCGCTGGTTGAGGTGCTTCCAGTCGGCGACGAGCTGGTTTTCTCGTTCGATCTCGGCTTTCTTGTTGCGCTCCCGCTCCCGGTCGCCCGAGAGCGGTCTGAAAACCGGTAAGTAGGTGAACGGTGCCACACTTGGGAACGGGACGCACTTCATCAACGAGTTCGATAGCTTTCGAACGCGTTGCATTCTGTCTCAGACAGAGATAAAGTGTGTCGGTGTTGATGTTGAGGTGTGGGTGTAGTGATGATGAGGGTCGAAAAGGGCAGCGGGAAAGAAGGGTGAGTAAGGTCGTCAAGACGTTCTCGGTTGAAGTTGGGGGTTTAAATCATGTGTTGAGTATGGCCCAAGCGTTTCGATAAGTGGCTTATGTAGACGCAGCGCGGCTTATCAAAGCGGGTAAGTGGCTGTGGCGTCGAAAAGTCTTTGTTCGTTGAGTGCCCGTGGTAACATTTGAACCGCGTGAAACGGGGTGAAGGACCTATGCACTAACCAATTCTATGCATTACGGCCGAGGTAAGCAAATCGATGAAGCGTGCGCCCATGGTGCGCATCAAAAAATTGTACGCACGATTACAAGAGGTAACAAGGGCAAGGCCGTCTGTGGAGGGCCGAGACCTTTAGCGAAGTGCCGGAGGGTTCAGATGACCTGCCTTATAGGGATGAAAGACAATGGGCGCTCGGACCGTGTACGAGGGAGAACAAAGTGCAGTGGCGTCTGAAGGGCAGACTGTGGCCTTTTTGGGCGCTGCCACTGGGTGGCCTCACAGGAGCCACGCAGGCGATGCGTTGGGATGTGCACAGGATGCCATGCCTGGCAGGCGAGGAGGAGGGGAGGAGCAGGATCGACGCAAACCACGACACCTGCCGGAAATGGGGCGCCGGCCTGTTCCGGCCGATCGCAGGCCACGGGAGAATGCTTCTGGCGGGCGTAGGGCCCAACACAGCGGACGACCCTGCGACGACCCTCTCCCTCGGTGCACTCGACTCGGCCTTGTTCTTCCTCAGCAATCAGAATGCTGATCCTGCTGAGAAACAGGGCTGGGAACGGGGGTGCGCCCGGTGTTATCGTATCTTTTGCAATCCCGACGCGGTCGTGCAATGAAATGGACTCACTGAACGCGGTCGAGGGCGGTCACTGAGGAGGCGATGCTCGGACTGCGGACACAGCCCAGTCCGTGCCTGCGGAAACATGCAAGCCGAGTCGCACGCAGCCGCACTGGCATGACTGCGTCGACGAGCGCGCGGAGGAGAATCGACGGAGGCGTCCGCTGACCTGGCGGGGATACGGCTGCGGGAGACTGGACAGGCACGGCGAATGACACTGGCTGGAGCGTGGCTGGAGCGTGGGCCGCAGTGGAAAGCGGTGGCGAGCACTGTGGAGAAATGACCAGCAATCGGGTTGACGTAATCCATTCCCTTTCCGGGACATCATCCATCGCATGCACGTCATATCCGCTGCGCCCATAAATCCCAGCCAGCCGCATCCTCTCCTCCCCACTCTTCCTCTCCGCCAACAAGACATCCCGGTCAGTCGCTCCCCGCCCACCTCACCCTCGTGCCATACTGAACGCTTCCCAGATTTCACGACCCCTCTTCACGACCTTCTTACGACCAACCATGGCTGCCAGTGCCGCTATCCCAGGCCTCTTCCTCACCTTCGCGGCGATGGTGCTGCTCATCTTCGTGCGTAGTCTCATGCTTGCGCTGTCGCGCGTCTACTGAATCCACATCAGGCCTCCGTCTCAGTACCAACATGGAACCCTGTCCGCTTCCTGACCACTACAGTTGACGGTACAACAACCTCGTTCGGTGTATTTGGCTACACCGGCTCGGATACACACATCGGATGGTACTTCCCGTCAGGCGTCGCTGACGGCACGCTGAACGATGGCCTTTTCCACAATCTCACCATTGCCCTCATCCTCGTCCCCATCGGTACGTCCCTCTAGGTCCTGCTCCACTTCCTCGGCTGACACCCCGCACAGCCGCCGGCCTATCAGGCATCGCGTTCCTCTTCGGCCTGTGCGGCGCGGGCTACCACCGCGTCGGCACCGTGCTCATGACGCTCGTCTCCGCGCTCGCGTTCCTCATCACGCTCATCGTCTGGATCATCGAGATGGCGCTCTTCGGCATCGCGCGTGACCACGTCCGCGAACGCGGCGGCGTCGCCACCTACCAGAACGCCAACTGGCTCGTCCTCGGCGCGCTCGTCGCCCTCTTCCTCGCGTTCTTCGCCAGCCTCTGCGGCACCTTCGGCAGCTACCGCTCTCGCCGCGCCGCGTACTAAGTAAGCGCGCACCGGCGGACGCGCGCGAGGTCGAGGCGGAGTGTCTGGACCGCGTGTGGAGAGTTTGAGTGCTATTCGTGTCTGTTCTGCCCTGCTTGCTGCCTGACGCTTGTTGCCCGGCGTGGACGCTTCCTTCCCCCCTATTCGCATCTGTATCGTGAAAAGCGCCAGAAGGTTACCCCAGAGCACGCCGTGCTGGTCCCCAGTCGTACATCGCGTTCATGATCACTTGTGACTCCTGCTTGCACTCCTTGCGACCGTGTCTGCATCTTCTGCTTTAGAGATGCCGTTGTACCTCTACTTCGCATTCGCTCTATGCACCGCCTACATATCCGTATTGTACTATACGAACGCGCGTATAATGTATTCGTAAAGCTATTTTCGCGTCTATTCTTGCGCCTGCGGGAATGGACTTCCGTTATGTTGAGCGGCGAACATAAACCGGCGCGTCCCCGCAGCACCAAAGCAACGTTCATTGAACATGAGTATGCACAGCATGTACTGCGGGATACATTAGCGAAGCGAAGAATGCGAGCACTTGACGTTCTGCGCAGCATCTCAGCGGTCTCAGCGGGCGCGGGGGTAGTTTAGTGACCGGCTCAATGGCGGCAACCAACTTGTGTTGAACTCGACGAACATGCCAACACACACCAGCAACGACCCTTCTCAGCTTTCCGGTGAAAGCAATGAGGAGGGCACTGAGGGTAGTTCAAGTTGTGATGATCCTGAGAGACAAGGTGAGACTGGGATGTAAGTATAAACTGTGAGACACATGTGCATGATCGCTCAGTCTCGCCAAACAGCTCAGGTATCTGAGGCTGCTGGGCCGAATCCGATGAGGGCAATGATTCCGAGTCAGTGAGAGACAAGCCTTACAATTGATTCAATCGGAGTAAGTCGACAAGCCGATCCCATGGTCCATTTTACCTAGCCTATAAGATTCAGTTTAACAAGATTTAGACATTGTGCCAACAGTCAAATGGACCGAAGGTCGTATGTTGCGCGAGTGCATTGGTGAAACGAGGTCCCCGGGACGCGGCTTTCTGAGAACGAGGCAAAGCGTGACGGAGGGTCTGCGGGCACATGGCACACTCAGGCTGCAGCTTTTGACAGGTGCGCTCATATGTACTACTACCCCAGCGGCCGAATGCGAACGTCCGAACTCCAAACCAAAAGGATACAACAAAAGAGAATATATACGGTGCTAACAAGTAGATAGAAAGGAATCGATGCAATAGACACGTCAAAGAAAGAACCTTATCCACGCATCCCCCCACCGACACCATACACTTCCCTCACGTTCACCGACATCAACAACGTGCCAGCAAAAAGCTCTGGCGCGATGTGCAGCACGTAAAACACCGCCTTCGCGTGGGGACCGTTGAGTGAGCCTGGTGCCATGGAGAGCAGCGAGTCGGTGTAGTTCGCCATAGCGGCGAGGCGATAGATGGCGGGTATGTCCTAGGTCAAGTGAGGGTTGTCAGTTCCAGATGATATGCACAGATGAGCGATACTGACAAGGAGGAGACAAATGGCGACCAAGAAGAGTGTGGGCCGTCGAGCGACGCGCTTCGGACGCGTGAGGTATGCCCAGAGCAGGACCGCGATGACGAGCTGTAAGTAGACCACCATGATGATGTCCGACGCGTATCTTCAAACCGAACCAGAACCGTCAGCCCCCTCGACACGAGCCACCGTACACACCGCATGCACACACCTCGTCTGCTGCGCCGTCACGGCCTTGCTGTGGTCCGTCGTCCCGCCGAAGTAGAACCCACTGTACACGCCCCCTAGTGCGAGCGCGGTGAGCCGCATGAGCAGCGTGACGAGCCCCCAGCGCTCGATCAGCGTCCTGCGCTTCGGCTCGTCCTCAAGGACCTCCGCCTCGCGGACGTCGAACATCGTCATCGACGCCGCGGCGCTGCCCTCCGCCTTGGGGGTACCCGCCGGGCGCTCCTCGTCCGCGTCCGTGCCAGACGAGGCGAGCAAATCCAGGGACGGCGCGGCGGCGCTGGCCGAGGGATCGCTCCCGCGCGTGGACTTGAGCAGGAAGACGCGCGCGATGTTGCCGACGTCGCCCGCGATGCTGATGAAGCCCATCGTGTATGCGCTTTGGAGCCAGTTCACCCAGAAGCTCGTCGTCCGGAGGTTGGGCTTCTCCGCCTCCACCGCGCGGAAGCTGAAGTCTACGACACTGGAGAGGGGATGGCGCATGAGTGTTAAGTCAACCCATATGTGAATGATGGGACGCATACCGTTCAATAGCGAACACGGCGGTGGCAATGCAGAAGATGTTGCGCGACTTCTTCGACGTGAGTCTGTACACCACGAGCGGGATTGTAATGGCATAAGCAACGGCAAATACCACTGCAGGAGCGAGGTCGTGTTGGTTGGGCACGCCGCCTATGGGGGAAGGGAACTTCGTAGGCTCAGCAGACATCGGATCCGGGTTGAAAGCGCCAGGAAAATGACCGCAGTGGATGCTGCACCCCTATTGGGGACGCGCCCTTCTATACGACTTTGGCGGTTGCATAGCCTTCACGGCAGTCCACCTTCATATAAGGGACGACCGCGCCGCAGGGTGCATGACATGGTTCTTTGACAGTTGTGTGCAGCCACCAGCTGTCAAAATCGGTCCTCGAGGGGGGCTACTACCCGCGTGGGATGCGATACAGGAGGACAGGTCAACGAAGTACAGAGCGCCGTGACCGCGGTGGCTGCGCCGCGGCGCTACTGCGGATTCTGAGTAGAGGCACATCATTGTCCCTCTGGAGTTGAATGATGCAGTGCGCATTCCGCCATAAGTGTCCAGCCAAGCCGGTGAGCGAGTCAGGGTACAAACTGCTCGCTGATGTGTCGGAATCACCCATCGTCGGTGGAACCAACCTTGTTCTAACCTGCGGTATTTCCTTTCTTGATCATGAGCCCTACTAGACGTGCGGTAACCCGTATGTAGGTCTGGTTTTATGTCGCAACTTGATGCTCAAGGACGATCCGAGATCCGCCCTTTATCAGATCGACGACTAGTTCCATCAGCTGGTAGAAGTGGCTATGAGCGTTACCGCGACGGTTCTGGAACAGTGGGACTCACCTCCTTTAGTACCTTCGTAGCTAGTCCTGGTATATGTCTCACAACATGCAGGAGTTGCGGTATGGTCAGATGGCCAGTCCAACGCGACAATTGCCTGACGACTCGCTGACGCTGTATGCATCATAGGTCGCAAGCAACACGTCTACGTCGTGACGACACGGTGGGAAGTCAGGGAGTGGTTTCGGGTTGCATCCAGCTTCAAGCCTTGTTAGGATCCGGCCACAAAGATGAGATAATAAATGTGGTTCGGATCGCGACAACGAGGGAAGTGGAACGGTGCGTTAGTGAGTGTCCACCTGAGGAAGATGGCCGCACAAGGACGTCGATGCAGGCGTGTACTAAAGTCTGAGATATTTACGCATCTCCGACCCCGCTAACGCCGATAGGAACGTGTTGGGGACGTGCGTTGGATCTGGTAAAGTGAAGGTTGGGGAACAAGATGGACCATGAGCGCTTGAGCGCTTGAGCCTTGGCGTTGAATACAATACCCGAGAAAGGCAATTGCAACGCGGCCGTCAGTTGATTGTTCGCACATTGTTCGCACACCAAATAATCAACGTACTTCTTCTTGCACGTCGACCTCGACTCTCGTGTGCCTCTCGTATTTGCCTATTGGCCGGTACTCATGCACCTACCTCCAGAGCTCACCGACATAGTCATAGATCACCTCTACGGTGATCAGCACTCCCTCAGCGCATGCGCACTAACATGTCGCGAGTGGCTGCCCACGGTCCGCTACCATCGCTTCCACCACACTTCGTTACCTGTGAGCCGCGACTCTACACAACGATTCCATGAAGTGCTCCTCGCATCTCCAGAGATTTGTATCCTGGTGCAGTCGCTCGAGCTACACGGACCGGTCGGATCGGCGGAGGTACATACCTGGGAGAACGCATCGTACACGTTCTTGACGCTGCTACCGGCAGTGGCGAGGCTCAAGCTCGTCGCGGTGATCCTCGAAGACTCTGTGCAAGGCATGCTCGTTACGAGCTTGAGGGGCGTCACTCAGCTCGCCATGTACAGGTGTCGTTACCGGTCGTTCCAGTCCCTGGTAACCTTGATTGGGTCCTTTCCATCCCTCCACACGCTTTCGCTTTCCTTCGGGATCAAGTGGCGTTTCCACTTCCCACTGCCTGCCTCCGTCGCAAGTGATCTCCGGTCCCACCTCCCGGCAGGATTGCGGACGCTCAGACTAGGGGAGCCACGGTCAGAAGACCACGCAAGGTCTTCTGAGATAGTCACTGTCAGGGAGATGCTCATGCTGGAGATCCACACAAAGAGGACGGTACATGTCGCTCAGCAACTGCTCAACGCGCTCAGCTCAGATACCCTCGAGGCGCTCGAGCTGGACGTCGGCGGTACGAATGGACTGCTGAGTACGAACAAACCTTGTACTTCTAAACTTGTACTTACGACTGCATGTCAGGATCTATTGAACGCGAAGGATTCACGCTCGCGCCTTGCACCCGCCTCCGCACCTGCATGCTGCGGGTCCTCCTCCGCTACAGCCCCTCCCACAACAATGACCCAGATGTCCGCGGATTCGTGACGCTCCTCGCTACGCTCGCATCGCCTCTCTTGAAGACGTTGACGCTGTCGCTATACATCCAAGACGCAGAGGACTCCAGCACAGCTCGTAGAGTGCGCTTCGATGAGCTGCAAGCGTTCGACTGGGCTAGCATCGGCGCGATGCTGGGACCGACCAGGCTACCTGCCCTGCAAAAGCTATTGGTAGAGGGAACAGGTGAGATGGCCGTTCTCGAGGATTACATCAGACACGTACTGCCTGCGCTGTACGCCCGTCGAGTCGTACAGCTCGTTCCATACACGAGACGTTGAAGTCGCTATTTCCACCACCAATCGATCCCTTGTCGCAGTCGCCTGTCGACAGACTTTCTATACTTTCTATCGGCAGTGGTCCTCGCAAATAAAATATTGAGGCCGTGAACATCGGCCGTCGCGCACGATCGGTTACATCGTCTATGTGGTGAATTTGCTGCTGCCAATACAAGATGTTAGTGTGCAGCTAAGCGGGAGGCACTGAATGCGTACTGCAGAACGTCTGCGGTCATGCCAGATCAATGAGGTTGCGCTCAAGCAGCCCTGAGCACTGTTCCTCGAGGTGCGAACGCAGAGAGGACTTGTCGCCTCCTCCTCCGTAAACGACGAACTTCTTCAGCCCTGCAAGCTTCGGTCGCAGAAGCTGCGTCTCGATACCCCTCCAGTCCAAGGCGCACAGCTCCTCCCATTGTACGTCCCTCGCCTCGACCGAAGGGGCATGCACGTCCCGCATGATCGCAGTATGGACAGCCAGAGTGATCGTCGTCAATGAGCGAGAGTTGAGCTCTGCGAGCAGCGTGTTGATGTCGGACAGATGAGGGTACTTGGTCCAACGCTTCGAGCTGATGACGAAATGCAGCGTAATGGTCTGCAACTTCTTGCACGCAGACAGGGGCCATGGCGTGTCGTCGGGACGGTCTGCTGATCTATCAGAAAGGTGCAAATGGTACATACATATGCGTTTGCGTACCTTTCAACGTTCTCAACGCTAACCAGTCCACTACTAGGTCCAGATGTTGGAGATTCATGTACCCCACAAAGACATGAGAGATGCCTGTCAGCAGGTCGGTCAAGTGACTGTTGCAGACTCTCCGCATATGAGATGATGCTTCCGGCGCCGGTTGTTCAATGAACCACCATAAGAGACGCAGTTGCAGCTGCATAAGAGCGAGTTGATGTCCGGTGAAATGAAGATACACTCCACACAGGACTGATGGCGATCGCTCAGACGTCGAACACGTCATCGTGCTCGACCATACGGTAATCGAGTCGAGGGAGGGATAGAATGACACAGCGTCCGCGAACACTTGACGGGGTTTAAAGCTACAAATAATAAGACATAGATGCCTGAGCGACGGTATTTTTGACTGTATGGAACGCAGCGCGCCGACCCGAACGGTGTCCCCAATTAACGTGAGCCCAAGGAGGGTCACCTCGACGACGTGTGGTAGTCTCGGGAGACACTGAAACATGTCGCGAACTAAGAAAAAGGGACGAGGACGGGTACTAGGGAAGAGCGTCAAGTGCCGGACAAGCAAGCCTAGGTCCCCAGAAGCCGCGCACAGGTCGCGGAACGTTTCTGCTCTTGCAACAGAATAGACCGCTATATCACGGAATCGGTGGGCTCTGGAGGCGCAGACCAACGCGCGACCGGCCAATGCGCATGCACTAATGGTCGGCTCATCCTGCCAGTGGTATAGATGGTCGAGGATGAGGTCGAGAAGTTCCGCCGGCAAGCGTGGCATTGAGCAGAGGGCGAGGACTGCAGTAAGGCAACAGCAATGCCGTTATTCTCCAGAATATCTGGAGGCGAAGACGGAGAGTAGGCAGGACTGAGAGTGGGACGACCTGGTGGCAGTGCTGAGTGGGTGGGACGCGAGCGACGGCGAGCTCGAGTCACGAGCACATGACGTGCATACATACCTTCTAAAGTACTGCGCAGTGCGCGGGCAATCCACCTCCTCTGACTGGCGCAGCCTCAGCCTCAGCCTCAGGCGTTTTATCACAACCGGAGTCGTCGGATCCTCACTTGGTTCCAGATTGAGTCTCGTAGCTTTGTGCACCATCGATTCCACAGTGACATTCGATTTTCAAGTACGCTGCGTTGCTTGCGTTGTTCACAACGTAATGGAATAAAACGATCGGAAAGTCGCCACGAGGGTGCACTGATGTTCTGTTGACAGCATCTGCCAACAGATTCCGAATCGCTGCCCTAGGCTGCCCTCCGCTGCCGTATACTGTACATCACCTCAACGGTCCAATTTCCCGATGAGTACTTGAGTGCTTACGCCCTCGAACCGACAGAAAGCGGTGCAACATGATGACATCAATGGTGAAATGGTACTTCATCAATTTGCTACTTATGAGATCGACACCAAACCATAGGGCGAGACTGCATAGTACTTGCTAGGACTGGAAATCGAACACCTTCCTCGGCTTCCTTGATCCACATCGTCTCATGAAGTTGTAAGCCGGTGTAGTCGGCTTGTCGCCCGAGCGAAGCGTGCTAACTTACGAAGCGACGACGAACCAGATACCACCATAGTAGTACTATTCTACGCATCAAGTACATCAAGGCACAAAATGATCACTTGAGCTGAGCTTTCGCATCTTCGCACACCTGGTTGATATTGCGCATCAAGTTCCCAATATAGAAGTGATGATACGACATGTCTGGGGATCCTACAGTTGGTATAAAGGTCGATGAGCGTAGTGCTCGCTCCTCAGCTCACTTTTGCTTCTCGAGCTCACCTTGCAAGGGCACTGGTTGGTGAGTAGCTTCAACGCCGCTGCGGTCCGACACTCACATTTCTTATGACCAGTCATTGCTTTTTCCTAACGACTTGACGATCCTTCTCGACGCCTATCCATACTGAATATGCGCTATCTTACTGTTGTCTCTACCGCCTTGATCGCCGCGACCGCGGTGCCGGCATCCGCTCTGCCCTGGGGATTGTAAGTTCTTCCTTCATATTCATTCAACTTTGTCTCACACACCACACACCAGTGGTACCCGCAACGTCGAGCACGACGCGCTCGTCCAGCGCGATGTCGCCGACGAGCTCTACACCCGCGGGCTGACAGCACGTTCTCCATCGAAAGGCGGTAACCCATACCCACGCCCTGGCACCCCCAACCGGCCGCAAAATCCAATCCCCGGTGCACCGCGGCCGTACCCTGGGGTCCCTCATCCGCGCCCGCGCCGGCCGTCGAACACTGGTCCGCGTCCGTCAGGCCCGAATCCGAACGCTCCAGTAAGGCCGAAGCCGCACCCTAAGCCTAGGGAGCTCGACGAGTACCTCCTTGCCCGGGCACCGGAAGACGACGAGCTGTGGGCACGCGCGTTGGAGGATGAGCTCTACGCGAGGACATTCGTCCAGCGCGACGTCGCCGACGAGCTCTACACCCGCGAGCTAACAGCACGTTCTCCACGCTACAACGGTCCACGCCCTCTGAGCCCGATCCGGCCGCAGCACCCAATCCCCGGCGCACCGCGGCCGTACCCTGGGGTCCCTCATCCGCGCCCGCGCCGGCCGTCGAACACTGGCCCGCGTCCGTCCGGCCCGGATCCGAACGCTCCAGTAAGGCCGAGGCCGCACCCTAGCCCTAGGGAGCTCGACGAGTACCTCCTCGCCCGGGAACTGGAAGACGACGAGCTGTTGGCACGCGCGTTCGACGATGATTCAGAGCTGTACGCGAGGATGGATGTAGATGAATTAGATTAGTGCGAGATAGCTTGGAAGTTGTGCATAATTAACCCTCTGCCAGTGGGTTCCATGCTTAGTACGCTTCGCTTCACAAAATGGAAACGTCCAGTTGTTGGTTGGAACCTGTGTGAGCACCTAGAACATCGCCCTCAGTGAGATGCCTGTCCACACGACTCATCGCATAATCGACTACTCACCTCGAATTGCGCACAGATAGGATAGAAGTATTTGGCAAGTCGATATATTCTTTGAGTGGGTTACTTACATTGTAGCTCAATCCAACGCTGTGTGCGGCCCGTCACGAAGTACTGCACCTGTACTTACCGAAATGCAAGAGAGTGATGTGGATACATACGTGAAGGAATTGATCCACGTTGCTTTGCATACACAACATGTTAGAGAACGATGCATGTCATGATCGCTGCCGGTGAGCCTGTTGCAGTGCCAACCTGATGACTCGGAGTCAACTGGGGCTTCGTGGCTATGTTCCAAGCCTCGGCCAGGAGCCCCAGGATAGACTCAAGGGTCCAGGAACCGGAGTGCCACATCCCCGTCCAGATTGCGTACCGGAAAGGAGAGAATGACATGCCCAGACATACGGGCTCCTCCATGTTCAGGTTGCCGAGAAGCAGTTGAAGCGCTCAAGGTGTGCCTTCCAGGAGGCTTCCAATTCGGGCGAGAAGCAATTCTGCGCCACCAGCACTTGTGGCTGAGGAACGTCCCGGCTCAGGAACCCGCCCAACTTGGACGACCATAGTCTTCTCTCGTCGCGACTCTTCGTCTCCATTTGACCTCCTCTCTGATACCCAAGGGTATCGACCTAGGCGTTTCATCTAATCCAAAGGATAACAATATGGCTCCTGACAGTCATGCAAGGGACAATCCATGCTGGCGATCTGTTGAAGCGTGCCGCTGGGCGATCGGCCGGTTTGACATGCCGCCAGTTAGCGTGTCTCGTTCCGTCTCGCCTCCGTCTTCCTCTTTCCAGGTGAGGACTGTTATGAATTCGCGCAGCACAGACATGGCACAGGTACATCACTCGCGGCCGCTGCGGCCGACGCGCCTGGTGCGGCAGATGCACCCGCCGGACACTACAGCAGGCAAACAGGCGTGTCCTGCCAGTCCTGCGTAATACGGCGCAAGGAAGGCGACGGCGCTGTCGTGCCCGATCTAGTCTTCGATCGACGCAGCGGGGTAAAGGGACCACACCCGGATCCCTGGTCATGTTCGACTCGGGTCCCGGTGCCCTCTTTCTGCCCACTCTACATCTTCTCCTCCATGCCCCTGTTGCACGAGGCACGCCACTCTGCGTCCCCCATGGGTGCCCCCCAAGCGATCCGTCTAGCCCCTAATGAACAGCGGCGTCTGGACGGTTTTCTGCCCACGCGGCCCTCAGAATCTATGAGCCCGCTGTCCACTCGTCCACCCGCGACGCCACCGCCAGAGGGAAACAGGGCCCACAGTCTCTACTCTTGCGGTTCTCTGTCTTACGAAGGTGTTCGCTTCTCCACACCTGTCCGCTCGCGCACCATCTCGTCGTCATCCCCCTCATCAGGCGCAAGTCCCTCTCGCCTGCCCATCGGATCACCCGCCCGCAAGTCGGAGCGCCGGATCACCCACAGAGCGCGCCCCAGCGTACCTACTGGCCTCGGACTCGTCGACGTGGAGAAGCTGGCGTTGGCACCGTCACCGCAAGCCGACGCGTCGCGCGAGGAGCGCGCGCAGCGGCGGCGCGCCGTTCACTTCCAGTCGCATGCGCAGTTCTCGGAGGCTCTGCGCCGCACGCTCGCCCAGCCGGAAGGCGCGTCTCCGGAGGGCAAGGATATGTCGCCGGAGCAGACACTCGAGATCGAACAGTCACCGCGCGGACAGCGGGACGTACCTGAAGACGATGACGATGACTTCCTGTATGACGAGGACTATTCCTGGGAGGCGGTGAGTGCTACGTCGGGGAACACACCCGCGCTCCGTAGTGCATCCATGCATGAGCTTGCCGCTGCCTTTCCCTCGCCTCCCAAGACTGCACCCGAGTTTCCGCTCTCGCTCTTCGCCCTCGACCGCGACACGCCACCCAACCTCCCGCTGCCGCCCACTCCGCCGTTCCTACGGACTGCGCGGAGCCCACATGTCTACGCTAGTGGGGGCTTCGCTGACAATCGGATGACGGCATTCGATCCCGAGGAGAGCATGACACGGCTGAAACTGAGCATAGCGAAATTGGAAGGGTTTGGGCCTATTCCGGACGCGCCGGAGCCTGCCTGCTTCTTCGACGATGACGAGGAGGACTTGGAGGAAGTGCAACTCGACAGCGGCCGTGGTCGCGATGCAGGTCAAATAGTGCTGTTGCACAGACCCCCTCCTGAGGACGTGTCCCCGCCGCTCACTCACTCTGATTCGACGGACGCTAGCTCACCATTGTCAGAAATCCATTCCCCGATCACCGACGTGGCTGATCTCAGCTCGCACGAGGTCGATAGTGATGCTGAGGCCCGACTGGAGCGGTTGCTTCGCTGCCTCAACCCGACGAATTTCGCGCGCGCCGGCGTTCCCGCCTTCAGCCCGAGCACCGCATCCTCTGCGACGGCTTCTAGTCCTCGCACACCGTCTGTGTCATCACCCCTGACGCCTCCATCCATCGAGCTCTTGCCGGAGTTTGAGTTTGAGAAGACGCGGCGCATCCATTACAATCAAGGAAAGGGCCACAAACGGCGGTCAAGCTCCCTGTCTAACCCACTCATCTCCGGATGGCAATCGTTTGCGAGCCCGCTTCTGGCAGCTGGTTCAAAAGACCAGTCTGTGAGCCCTAGAGATCTGCGGGATTCCTCTAGCACTGTGACATCCTCCGCATCCGCTTACTCCTCTGTGGCTCATTCCACGTCTTCTACACCTGCCTTTGCTTCGTTTGCGGGACACACGCGCAACCCGTCTGCCGAGTACCGTTCCCGGGGTATCCAGGCCCAAGTCCCGCCAGAGCCAAAGGGTCCGGAGTCACCTCTGCGGAAAGCTCGCAGCACACCATTTATTCGTCGTCCCGTCCGCTACGAGCCTGCACAGCCTATCTTGCAGCAGCATCGATCGATCGCGCCTCCCCTGCCGCCTCTTCCACCCCTACCGCCCTTGCCTCCTGTCCCTCCGACAGCGAGCTCCGCGCCTCTGCCCAGCTCGCTTGGTCTCGTGCGATGTGCAACCCACACCGCAAGCACTCCTCGCGAAGCCGAGCGCACGGCGCGTCTGTCGTCCATGCAAGCCTCCGCGCGCGCGCCATTGGGCTCCGAGTCTGCGGACGGCCACGTCGGGCTCTTGCCGTCAGCTTCATGGCGTCGCGTGCACAACCCGATCGGTACGCCCCCGGCGATTTCCCCGTCCTCGTCCCGCATAAGCCGGTCCTCGAGCCCGCGCACTCCGCCGAACAGCGGCGGGACGGGACACTCGAGCTTTATGCATATTACGCCGGAGCAGCCGCACTCGCGCATGAGCAGGCTGTGGAGTCGGGCTCGGGCGGGCCTCAGTAAGGGGCCTGAGGAAGGGAGAGGCGAGCTTGCCAAGGGCATCGACGGCGGGAAGGGAGTGAAGAAGAACGCAAGATGGCTAAGGGGGAGCGTCGTGCAGGGCTGAGGGGAGTAACCTTTAACTGGCAGGCGCGGACCTTCCTCTGTTTGACTTGGCTAACGGACACGCATTGTACAACGTGAAAGCTTCGCCCATTGTCGTCTGTTGTATTACATCTGTTGTGTTACTCTACTCGTGAACGCACTACCTTACAGTATGACCGTAATGTATACATAGCAGATTGCATTCCTTCCCTACTCTCAACGTTGTATATTCAAGCCTGGTTGTAATAGCTGATAGTATCCTATGACTATTAATGCAAGTTGCGGTTACCTGGTCGGGTCAGACATTCACTCGAGCATCCCCTAACATTACTTGAGTAAGATAACAATGACGGCCCGGTATTCAATCTCAGTGCACTTTGTGCCCAAGCCCGAGCTAGGACTCGGAACACTGACAAGGATATCTGAAGCCAGCGGAGGTTGAAGGAATTGTCTACTCTGCCCACGGGAGACTAGCCTGAACACTGGTATTCAGTGGATGACTCGGAGTGGCGGAAGGAGTGCTAGTGAAGTACGACATTGCCTTACTAAGTAAGCAAATCACCGTGGCGCTATTTGTCAGCGCCTAACTCTACGCCGACTCGATCTGAGCTGACTGAGCTCGATCCTCCTCGCGTCGATCTTGTCTCGCAGAGCAACCACATACACCTGGTGCAGGACATGGCTTTCTCGGGTGCGCTGGTATGTGCTCGCGTCATTTGCTGGTTGATAGTACCTCATAACCTCCTTATAGACGCTCACTGACCTCAATGACTTCATTACCCCGTCCCAAGCTTGTATCAAGCCAGTAGAGCAAACGAACAAGCCAGATGTCAAAGACCCGGGTGCAGCCTCTGTGAGTCTCTCTCAGATGAATCGTTAGGGAATAGACGTTCATTCATGTCCTTTACACCAGACGGAAATTCAAGTCGACTCTAGTGGATCCTACTACGAGGTTACATCCGATGGTACTAAGCAGGCGGGAAGGAGACTGGAGACAGCACAGATAAGCCTCAATGACTGTCTTGCATGCAGGTGTGTTACTTTCCAGACTCTCCACGACATAGACGGTGACCCATGGGCGTAGCGGTTGCATTACCTCTGCCGAATCCGTTTTGATCACAATGCAATCCCACACCGAAGTCCTCAATTTCCTCACCAACAACCCAGACCGGTCTTCTCCCACCCACAAGATCCCCGTCTTGTCAATCTCTCCCCAAAGTCTCGCATCGCTTGCCGCCTCCGTATCCTCGAGCAGTTCGCACCCAGTCGATCTGTCGCACGTTCTCCATCGAGTCAAGGCGTTTTGCAAGGAGGCGCTAGGCTTCGAACATGTGTTTGACACTACCTTCGCGCGCCACATCGCGCTCTTGGAGCATGCGAGAGAGTTCCAGGAACGCAAGCGCGGGGAAGGCAAGCTGCCGATGCTCGCCAGTGCCTGCCCCGGCTGGATATGCTATGCCGAGAAGACACATGCAGAGATGCTACCATTCATCAGCACAACGAAGAGTCCCCAGCAGGTCATGGGTACGCTGGTGAAGGAGTGGATGGGCGGGAAGTGGGGTAAGAAGTGAGTGCACGCCTCGTTTCTCCGCGTTCGCCTTCCTGAATACGGAATAGGCCTGATCAGATTTACCACGTCACGGTCATGCCGTGCTACGACAAGAAGCTAGAGGCGTCACGGCAGGACTTCTACAACGAGCAGTACGCGACACGGGACGTCGACTGCGTCATCACGACAGGCGAGCTCGAGCTGCTGATGCGCGAGAAGAACTGGGACCTATCGATGGCCGTCGGCGGCGAAGACGCGCCCAAACGCACGCTCAAGCTCGGCTCAACATCACCACCAGCCTCATCATCAATGTCCCCCGCGACGCCTCTCGGTCTCGGAGATGGCGACGAGATTGAGTTGCCCGAGCTGATCGCGCATCCAGGCACGAGCTCCGGATCTTATCTGCAATCGGTGATCTCGATGGCGGGCGATGCATCTTCGTGCGAGCTCGCCGTGCGCACCGTGCGCGGCGCGGACTACGAGGAGTACACTGTGGCGGACCGCGCGACGGGCGCGGTGCTCTTCAAGGGCGCGAAGTGCTACGGCTTCCGGAACCTCCAGAACGTCGTCAGGAAGGTCGGCCGCGACGCGGGCGTCCAGGTCGGACGAGGCGCGGCAGGGCGGATGGCTGCGGTGCGTGCGCGCGGCAGGGGGAGGAAGACCACGGCAGATGGGGCGGCACCGGAGGTGGACAAGGGCTACGACTACGTGGAAGTCATGGCATGTCCGGGAGGTTGCGTGAACGGAGGCGGCCAGCTGCGGTCACCCGTGCAAGACAAGGACGCGGAGGGCTATCCTAGAGACTGGGCACAGAACGGTGTGAAAGTTGACGACGACAGCGACACGACTGTCTCTGGACCCAAGGCAAACTGGGGAAGCAAGGAATGGACGAAGAAGGTCGAGGGAGCGTACTGGGGAGGACTGCCCACGCCACCACCAACGCCACCGAATGCTGAACCCGGAGAGCCTAATGGACACCGTCTGCGGCCGTCGGTGAATGCAGACCTCCTTGCTTCACAGGTTTTGTTCGACCTGTGCAAACCAACTGCTGTGTCGTCTCCGACAACAAGCTGGCACACTAACATGGATGACGAGGCTGAAGAGTGGAGACGCAAGTTCTTCCGGACTCAGTACCGGGCTGTCGAAAGCGAGATTATCGGACTGGCTGTCAAATGGTAGACTACCTTGTACTCTTCCACTCCGGAGTCGCACACGACTATTGAAATCATTCAATGATTGTTATTAGAGGGATAACGAGGACCATGATGGTGTGGTGTTGTACAGGATTGATTGCGTAATAGAAATGTGAGAGTGCCGACAGCGATGAAGAGTCAGGAGCAACGATACAGCATCGACAAGGAGACTATTCGAGTTGTAAGGTGCCAATAATGAGGTAATAGAGTATAAATATGCGGATGACGGGCGGGGCCACGGTGGCGTGGGTCGATGCTACCGGCCACCGTTCTGGTTCTTGTACCACGGCCTGCATTCGGGGCAGAAGCCTGGCCGCAGGCCGAGGACAGTCTCTGATGCATCAGGCCCGTAGTACTGACGGACATCTCTCGAATGAACACAGGGAGCGGAGACGCGCCGAGAGATGCACGTACTTTCTCGCATGCACAGTTGTTGCACGGCGTGCGGTGCTTTCTTGAGTGGACACACCATGAGCTGCCGCAGTCGACCTTGGCTTTCTTGTTCTCCTATGAGTTCGTGAGTCGTGCTGGCCACCGCAGAAGGATAGTAGACTTACGATTATGTAGTGCTAGGAGGTGTGGCGTGACGCAATTAGCAACTCACGTATGGGCACGGTTAGCGCGCAGACATACCCCGCACGCATACTTGTATCCTTCGCTGTGGGACAGGGTCAACGGAAGCGGTCAAATCAGGTATGGTCGGGGAACGTACGTGTGGAGATTGCACATCCTGGACAGTGACGAGCTAGATCGCGCGGCGAATCAGCGATCCCCCGGAGAAGACGTCGAAGAGGCACGTACGGTGATGAAGGCGGAGGTAACGGGCGCTGGTGTGCGGGGGCGACGATTACGGAGGCGGAGGATTAATAGCGGGAACGGGGACCAAGGGAGGGTGGGCGATTGATCATTAAGGTCGGAAGGCTTTATAGGAAATGGACAAAGAGCACCAGGCGAAGGACGAGTAGAGAGTATGAGGCAAAGGACGTAGAGTCACAGGACGGCTAGGTGTCGCGCTCCTGATCCGGTCACAGATCGATAACAATCTATTGCTGCGTGCAGGCAGCGTTGCCGGCGGTGACAAGGAAGATCGGTAGGCGATAACTTAGCAGCCACGACCGTTCTGCGGCCAGGGAGACGAACGGGCGAGATGAAAGTCAAACGGAAGGTGTACACTGTGTTCAGCCGCGCGAGCAGCCGTCGCATGACGCCCTGTCGCGACTCGCTCTGTCACAGGGGTGGGTGACAACTCCCCGACCCCGGGGCTGTGGCGGCTTCCTGCTTTGTTACTCCGCGACGTGGCCTTCGTCGTCCTTCGCCGGTCTTCCGGGGCACATAAAGCAACCACAGAGCGGCACCGTTCGCACAGCAGCATGTGGCGTGCAGCGTGGCCCGCGCTGGCCCTGCGGTCGTCGACGTCGAGCATGCGGGAACGACGACGAGGACCACACCCGGCGCCTCCGCCACGCGCTTCGGCACCGCTTCGCCGCTCGGACCGGCGCGCTCGCGTGGCTTAAGCTCGAGCCGGGGTGCCGGCGGGCGGAGCGCCGGGGCGCGTCCGAGACCCCAGTTTCCGTTCCGAGACAGCGACGTCGGCGGCGTGCCGGGGAGCCAAACAAACAACGGCATGACGACGGCCACGGCGAGAGCAGCGCGACGCAGCGTGCGCAATGTCTTCAGGCTCCTCGTCGTCGCCCTCAACCCGCTCGCGCACCCTCCTCTTCATCTCCTACCGCGACTCCAGAGCCTCCTCCTCCCGCTTCCGCCGCTCCCGTGTCGTCTCAAACTACGACGACGCCCTCAACGACGGCGACGAGCAGGAACATCTCATCGACCACGAGCCCGGCCATGTCGCCATAGACGCACCCTTACCGCCGAGATGGTGAATAATCCCCGTCCCGTCCGCCAGAGCCGATCATATCTTCCTCTGCCCGCTTTCTCTCGTGCTAATCGATCGCCGGTGACACAGGGTCGACGTCGCGGACCAGGTGGAGGAGATACTCGTCGGCACACAGGCTAAAAGTATGTTTCCACTCCGTCGTTCCTCTTCCCCGAGCATTTTCTCTAACGTATTTCTGCTAGTCACTGTCCTCGACAAGCTCCACGCGAAACATGTCCTCCCCGGTTTCTCGGACCGGTCAGCTGAAGAGAGGGAGATTGAGGCGGCTACCAACGACATCACCAAAGTAATGTGCTTGTATCAGCTGGCCCGAGTGATACCCACTCACCAACGCGTGTTTTGCGCCTCCGTTTGGACAGGACTTCCGCCAATGTCATGCTCTCATTCAGCGAATAGCTGCAACGCCGAACCACGCCTTCCCGCCTGCCCAATCGGGACGCTCACATCACGAAGACCTCGCCGCAAAGAACGTACAACGTGGCCTCGCGGCCAAAGTGCAGGAACTTAGTGCGACATTCCGGAAGAAGCAGAGGGTGTATATGGAGAGTGCGTGTCTTCTAAGACGTCAACAGTCTGTCCTGTTGACCTTGGCGCCCGATTACTCAACACATCCTCACCGTAGAACTGCAAGGACATGCGATAAAGAACCAGGATCTACTCATTGCTTCGGGTACCATCTCTTCCCGGGGTACGGAAGGCCTCTCTGCTGTCGATGAAGACGTTGAAGCTGCCACTGCCGTGCGTCGCCGCCTGGCGGTTCTTCCTCGGTCGTACCCACGCCAGCCTGCTGATCATCCTGGTTCGTCTTCTAGTCGCGCAACCGCGCTGCTCTTGCGCAAGACATGATGACCTCGGACGTTGATCTGCGACGACGTGACCATGAGCTCACGCAGATTGCCCAGTCCATTGCATCACTGGCGGAGCTTTTCAAGGACTTGTCAGCGATGGTCATAGATCAGGGGACACTCCTCGACAGTATTGAATACAACATTGAGCAGACAGCTGTACAGATGGAAGAGGCGGTCAAGGAGCTGGACACAGCGACAAGGTACGTCGATCATGCATAAACGGCTTACGGCACACGTGTGGGGAACAGCTGCTAACCATATTGCGTTTCTACCTCGTCTCCTCTCAGGTACCAGAAGAACACTGGCAGGAGAGCGTGCATATTCCTGCTTCTGCTAATCATCTTCGGTCTTATCGTCGTCCTCATCTTCAAGCCTCGCCGACATGCCTCATCGGCACCATCACCACCATCAGTCCCGCAAGAGCTATCGTCCGAGGCGGGTTCCCTCTTCCGGCTGCCGATGGGTGGTGGTACGGAGCTCAATTCGACCACGACATTGCTCAGAAGACATCCGGACAGATGAGTATGCACGAGGCACCATCAGCCCGCGCGCTACCATTCTATGTCTATTTAATCTGGAGCGTCTTGTGATCTGCCTACCACTACAGCCTATACCGAACCTATAGCCCGACACTATTCATTTACCACTTTTGCTAGTCAACGACCGCATCGATGTGTCCGCCCGGCGCCAGCCTAATGGCCAGCTGCAGCAGCGTGTCCGATCCGCTCCTCTTTCGACTCCAATAGCGATCGAGGGTGCAGGGAGTTTATGTGCCAGAAGCAACGCTGGCTTTCATATCGCTTATACACCTTTAAGACCGTAAGTGTACGGCATCCGAGGCCAGGTAACAGCGCAGTTCACGTAGGTCCCCGGGAGCAGTGCGCGGCCACCATGAGCGATAGAACCGGAGCTGCCTGTTTGTTCCCTGCTGTTCCGGACGTGCTTGCCGTGTAATTACAGGCTAATTAATGTAGGTCACTACAAATTCAACTTGGACTAACCGCATTGCGCAGGGTAGGCCCGGCGAGCGATAGCTAATAGCTTCCCTTGCACTCGGCCCCGGCTTGCGTTCAACATGCGTACGTAGGGATGACGAGCAGCGATGATCTCGGGAAAGCATCTTGCGCGCGCAGAAGGCGAGGGTTCAAGATTGTGGGCTTTCATGCGCCCCTTGGCCTGTATCTTAGACTGAGGTAAATTGCTACTGGCTCGTCGTGTGGGAAGCGTACGTGCTTCTCCCTTGACTCCTTCACCTACACGTACGTCAGCTGCATCTAGCGTGCGCCACTTACACATACTACCAGCACGCGAAGTGCTCGTGCGTTCATCTGCGCACTAGATGATACTTATGGCATGCGTGCGAATCTCGTGGATGTACACTCTCGCTCAGTAGCGCAGACATGAGTCGGGTAGCACGCGTCATTGTACTTCTAAAGAAAAAGCTAGTAGATACAATCTACTGCTGCAACAGGTAGTACAGGGTGGATACAGAAGAAGTAATGACCGTTGTGCGAGTGAGCGTAAGTTGCCTGGCTTGCAGACATGGTGAGGCCCCATCACTTGGAGATGAGGACTAGTGTGCGAGTGTAGTTGGTCAAGGCTGCCTCAAGCAACCAGCACTTCTTCATCAAACATAGAAACCGATAACCCATACAAGGCCTGGCGTTCACCAGCCGAAAATCCTGTCACGCCGAAGCACCGTCAGCGACAGACCCGCCATGCAAAGCAAACATCCACTTACTCTGAATGCAACTCGACACCTCCGACAGCCTTGCGCCTCTTACGGTCGAGGCTGCGGACTGTGCGCCCGACCGTCTCGCCCAACGCGGGCGGGCCGCAGACTCCGACGACCACCCCCGTTACGCCGTCCACGCCTCCGGACCCGGCGGTGCGGTCGGCGACGCCCTCGAGCAGCTTCTGCAGGCGGGGGCGGCCGGGGGAGAGGGTCAGCCCGAGGGGGAGCCGCTCAAACATCTTGAGCGCGTCGGGCGAGGTGAGGGCACGCGTGTAGTACACGGAGATGCGGAGCGTGGTGTAGGTCGACCGCGCGTCGGAGAGGAGCTGGCCGAACAGCGGGAGGAGGGGCTTCAGTCCCGCTAGACGTTGATGGGTCAGCCAACCTGAGCATAACCGAAGGAACTGCAGTGCCTACCGGGATCGGTGATGCTCCAGACGAGTTCGACGACCCGGGTGCGACTGGCGCCCTCTGCGCTCTTCTGCATGATCTCTTGGGTGGTAGCGAGAGCGTACGTGACACCGCTGCCACCAGCGACGAGCATGGCTCCAGAGAAGCTGGGAACAATAGCATGGCCCGGTCCACCTGGGTGACACGCATAGAGTCAGCACCGGCTACGCCGTGTCCCAACAAGGTACGTACCGAAAGGACCAGTGAGCATGACTTTAACTTTGCGGCTGCCACTGCCACCTTCGCTGACATCGGAACCTTGGGCAATGTCGTAGAGGCTGGTAGTCCAGTCGCCAGCCTTCTTGATCATCAAGACGAGACCTTCCTCGCTCGCGTGCTGTGAGTTGTGCGCGGTCAGCCGTCGGCTTCATACAGCGAAGGAAAGACGACTTGCCTTGCTAACGCTAGCGATAGTGAACGGGTGGCTCTCGGTCCAACCGAGGACGCCCATACCAGTCGAGAAGACGCGCATACGTACATGCTGCCCAGCGCGCCACCCGGCGTTCACAGAGGGGATCTGGATGCAGGTAGCACCGAGCTCAGGGATCGCGTGCAAATGCGCGGTGACGATGCGCGTCTGAACGATGCGCAAGAGTCGGTCGAACCCATAGACCGCGGTCGAGATATATACGTAGGGCATGTCCCAAGGCATGTGGTAGAAAGTCTGTTGGTAGAGTTCAGACATATGACCGCATGCGACAGTAGACTATGAGATGCTCACAGCGACGAGCACGGCAATGGCGGCAACGACGTGGGAGACGTAGAAGAGGTTGTAGTACGTCTGGCGCACAGCGCTGATAGAGAACAGCCAGAGCACGTCCATGCATCCGAGCGCCACGCAACCCCAGATGATCTTTGGCTCCATGTTCGGCGCGATGCCTCCCGGTTCCTGAGACCATTTGGCGACTAGCAAAGTAAACGTGAGTCACAACGACACTGCGTCAAAGTAAGTGCTCACAGTATGCAAGGGCGTGAAGATTCACAGAAAGGACAACAAGACGCCCGACGAAGCGGTGCAAGAAGTTCAGCTGGATTAACCGTGTTCAGCCACCAAGACAAATTCGAAGTGACAGCTCGATCGCCTACCTTCTCGTATCCTTGGCCGATCAGCGTGCCCAAGACGTTGTTCTTCGTACCCAAGACGTAGATCACCGGCATCTGGCTGACCGCAACGAACCCAAGACGGGTAGGGCTCGTGAACAAGTTCACGTCGAAAAACGTGCTGTACATGATCGCAGCGAGGTAACCCGTCATGAGGGTGACCTGCCCGAGAGAGTACCCGGGCCTGATCTTCGTCGAGAGAATCCCCGCGCCCGTCGGGAAGACGGACCCCCAGGACGGGATGTACGACGGGGGGCTCTTCGGGGCGCCCGAGCCGACAGCCATGTTGGGCAACTCCTCGTCCGAGCGCGAGTACACCGACTCCGCGCCCACCCTGCTAGACATCTTCTCCGAGAATGAGCTGACCGACGCGCCGTAGGTCATGAACGACATGGAGCTGCGCGGGATCGAGACGGAGCGGAAGAAGCAGCCGGCGAACCACTCGGACGAGCGCATGAAGCGCGCCACTATGCGCGGGAGCGCCATGAGGACGAAGAGCCCGACGACCAGGAGGAGGATGAAGTCGAACTCGAAGAAGAACGCGGTCGAGTTGAGCTTCGGGGGGGCTGCTTTGGCGGCGGCTGCGCCACCAGATGCTTGGCCAGCGGTCGACGCGGCTGCAGCTGCAGCTGTAGAAGCGACGCTTACCATGGTTGAGGTGGCGACGGACGAGGCGGAAGCGGATTGATGCATCCTGGAGAAGAAGAACGCAGAAGTATAGGCGAACCAGTCACGAAGAGGAAGAAGACCCTGCCAGGGGGGAAGGACAGAGAAAGCTGGAACTGGAGGCTCAGCCTGCGCACAAGATGGGTTGAGAGGATCGCGACGCTCCGTATATAAGGGCCATGGAGTTCAATCTGCAGAACAATCTCCAAAGGCAATTTCCTTTAGTAGAGCACATGCTGACACGGCGCGTCGTGTGGTCCAGGACTGAACAAGCGTACAACCCCGGATGCTATTGATCTGGTAGGCTTGATCGCCCAGCTATCGCGGTGTGCCGACACCCAAGCCATGCGGCGGAGCGTTCGTCCATCGAAGGGTCGCTATGCCTACCGCTATGTCAAGCGAAACCATCTGTATCCCCAATTGTGCCGCGGAAAGCATGAATGTTTCGTAGCTGCTTGGACTAGGCAACGTAGTACGGTGAAGGCAAACGCCACAGGAGAGAGAGAGAGAGAAGTTCTTTGTATTTATACTGCGCGACAGGCGAACATAGCGCGCCAAAGCACAGTGTAACTATCTACAGTAAGTAAATAGAAGATCTGTGGTGTGTATCGTATTGGAGGTGTCCGTTTCGGTCCGTATCTCTAGGAGACTGTGTGAGTAGAGTATTGTCGCGGTCGTGGGGTGTCGACATCTATGTCTATCGTATTACAGTCGATTGCGAATATGTTGGCACTCACAGAATTATTCGACACGCGCGTGAACCTTCCGACTGAAGTTCCCACGCATCTTCCGGCCCATCTTCCGAGTCGTCGAATGACGAATCTCTCATGTATTCTACCAAAACTACAGCAATTTACACTACCACATGTTACTCTATGTGTCTTGGAACAGGTCTATGACATAAAAAAGGAGGATCCATGAGCTGAATGCGCAATAAGAAGTCTGGCGTGTCGAGCACAGAACAATCACGTGCATTATTACCACAATTGGATAGACCGCGTAACAGAACCCAGTTCTACGCATTGCCGTATTTTTCTCCATTAAACCTCACTGCTATGATGACCAGGGACTTATCTGGTAGTGTTATTGTCATTTCCAGAACAGAGAAGCGAAGTTATGCTGCATTATCATAGCTAGAGACACTGGTAAGGAAGCTCGGAACTTTGGGTCGGAAGATTCACGCGCGTCATTGCGCGCGTCAAAAAAAATCCGCGAGTGCCATGATTTCTGCAATCGACTGTAAGGCTTTCCGTCCGTTTCTGAGCATAGTAAAGTAAGCATAACCATAATACCTAACATCCCTCGTGTACACGCCGATTGCCCGCAAACGCCACAGGAGCAGGGGCCAGCCAACTGCCAGCGCGTTCGCTGAATGGGAGAGAGAGAGAGAGAAGTTCTTTGTATTTATACTGCGCGACAGGCGAACATAGCGCGCCAAAGCACAGTGTAACTATCTACAGTAAGTAAATAGAAGATCTGTGGTGTGTATCGTATTGGAGGTGTCCGTTTCGGTCCGTATCTCTAGGAGACTGTGTGAGTAGAGTATTGTCGCGGTCGTGGGGTGTCGACATCTATGTCTATCGTTCGCTGAATGGGAGTGCTGCGGTAGGCTGCGGTGCCGCTGCGGAACCGGCAGTTGATCGTCCTGCAGGAGTTCTTTGGAGGTCCTTTGCAACGGTTGCGGGGAGGTGGGCAAGTTAGCGCGCGGTGTTACCTTCTCAGCATTTCTGGCCGGAAGCCAACCCCAATGCCAAGGTTGTGAATCATTTCTGCACTTACAATGTACCGGTCCAGCCTATGAACGCATGCCGCCCTATGCCGCCAGACTCTACGCTGGCCGTGCAAGGCCGTTGTGTCACTCCGCAGCGAGCACTCTGCTACGGTTCGAGCGGCAGCTCAGGCAGTATCCGCCCAGAGGAACGCGTGCCCAATGCATTGGTAAAGGCCGTGATTGACTATCCGCAAGGGTTCCGATGCACTTACCGCCGGATTCCGGAGAGCGGATCATCCCAAGAAGCCCACAGTGACACTGCGATGAATGCTACGGAACGACTCTGAATGCAAGTGCCGGTGCTTTCCGAGTGTTGTCCTGCTGCGGCCCATTCGTGACACGCGCATCCCAAGCCAACCCATGGGTCGTATCGCGGTCGTGGTTCACAATCAGGCGGGGACTGGGGCGCGATGGTGCGAGGTAAGTAGCACAGGCACTAGCCGAGACTTACTGCTTATTGGCTCATCATGTCGCCACGCAACCTGAACTCCATAGACGTGGTGCTTCCCTCCGGCAAATGTTCGTGAGCTCTCATGCATGAGCAACATGGCAGACATTGATGAGTCCAAGAATTGTTGAATGAAGGGCAGATGTGGCCGTGGGGTACAGAGGGACGTAGCGGACGACAAAGCGGGGTCTGTCAGTCTGAGACTCACTCTGACAGAGTCGCGTAGAGTCGCGTTCGCCCTTCATTGTCAAGCTGGCGCGAAGCTGGAGAAGGCGGCGGGCACTGGTCGATCTGGGCGGAGATAGCCACAGTTCTATTGGCGCCCGTGGACTTCATGCTTACTTGAGCGGACGGCTGTGTCTGCGTTCCCTCCCTTCCCGCCCGCTCTCTTCGTCCTCAGAGCCAGGGCATCCAGCTATGGTCATCACTCAAACCAAAGACGCTTATTATCCCCAGACCCCTGTCTCCGGGACGCTCCTGGTGGGCCCCAACTCCAACTCCACCGACTATGTGAGTGCCACCGCCTCCCATGCCACTCGCGGTCCACTCATCCTAACGTCGTCAGGGTGCGAGACACCGGGATACTGGAAAGCGTAGGGATGAAGAACAGATTGGCACCTCAGTCATTTCTGAGCGCCCCGACCCATATGCGTTCCGCACTGCGTTATTGACCGAGGAAGAGTTGGCTGCCCTGCGACAGAAGAAGGCAGGCAAACGACTGGTCAATTACCAACGCAAGCAGAATGACGTGCGTTTCAGCTATTCCTTGATACTGCTGTGGCTCAAAATCCGTTATTAGCTCATCAATTCGCTGCTCAAGACCATGGATGAACACACGGAGGAGGCCAAAGCCGATGAGGAGACCTCACGGCTACCGGTAAGCGCCACCGCCTCTCCTCACGCGGTGCACATGCCTCATTCACGCTAGATCAAAATCGCAATTTGGGCAAGTCTCATCGGGAATTTTGTTCTCTGCATACTTCAGCGTACGGTTTACACTATTCTCTGAGGACTTGTGTCGCTCATGAGCAAACAGTCTATGCCGCCATCACCTCCGCTTCACTCTCCCTCATTGCTACCTCGATCGATGCGGTCTTCGACTTTGGCAGCAACGTCGTCCTGTACTGGCTGCACAAGAAAGCGTTGTCCATGGACGTCAACAAGTGGCCTGTCGGCGGATCGCGGCTCGAGACCATCGGCAACATCATATACGGTACTGTCCTCCCTCACTACTCACGTGCCTAACGCTCAGTACGACATTGTCAGGATTCTTGTAGGTCTTCATGCAACCCGGTTATCGCAATGTGGGTTGAAGTGCTGCACCTGAAAGGATGAGCTCCGTCAATTTGGTCGTGCTCGTGGAGTCGGTACAAGAAATCATATCGCACCATCACGACGATGACGAGTTCCATATCCCCTCCTTGGTTGCGGTCGGTGCGGCGCTCGGTATGTCCCTTAATATCAACCCTATATTCCGCCTGGTTCGCTGACCTACTCTCCTAGGCGTGAAGTTCCTGCTGTTCCTCTATTGCTCCTCTTTCCGTGGCCGATCAAGCCAGGTGCACGTGCTTTGGGAGGACCACCGCAACGACATCTTCATCAACGGCTTCGGTGCGCAGTGACCTAGTACTGATGCCCGTGTATTCAGCCAGTTCACGGGTATCCCATAGGTCTGCTCATGTCCGCGGGGGGCAGCAGATGGGTTTGGTGTAAGCCCGCGTCCTTGTCCTTGCTCTCCCCGTACTTAACGTCTTATCAGGGCTCGATCCCATGGGTGCCATCATCGTGGGTGCATTTACTCTTCCGTCTAACAACCCACGCTTACGCGGGGACCTGCTAGCTCTCTGTCGGTGTCATGGGCTCGTGGGGATGGACGATCTACCGGCAATTCGGGTTGCTCGCGGGGAAGTCCGCGCCGCACGAGTTCATTCAGCTCGTCATCTACAATGCGATGACGTTCAGCGATGACATTGAGCAGGTCGACACTGTCCGAGCTTACCACGTACGCTGTCCGCCCTTACCCCTCGTCTGTCATTTGCTGATGGTCCCTCGTAACTCGTAATCCAGAGCGGACCTGTACGTGCATCACGTGTACGGATACTGTTGGAGGATGCTGACAGATGGGCATAGAACTACTTCGTGGAAGTGGACATCGTCATGCACGCGGACACGCCCTTGGGGAAGGCGCACGATATCAGCCAGCAGCTGCAAGACAAGATCGAGGTCCTCCCGAACGTCGAGCGCGCGTTCGTGCACGTCGACCATGAGACGACACACGCCCCGGTAAGACTCTCCTCCAGCGTATTGACTGCAGAGCTGATATCGGATACAGGAGCACCGGAAGAACGTCTGAAAAGGCGTCTGTGCGGTTTAGACAAAGGGACCGTCCAGGTGACGACCCTTCACAAGTTATAGACTATCTGGACTTTGCTCGTAAGCGATGATTAATGCATATCAAAATAATCTGCCAAGACATGGTCGGACACTGGCTCCTCAGCGCGAGCGGTGGTGGCAGTGTGTCGTCTTTCCGTCCCGGGCTCGATAGTATCGCTTGCTGACAGTATCCGAGCGCCCATGGCTGGTAATAGGATAGCACTTGCATATTGCAAGGATTGTTTCGGTGGTACGTTTGGTACAGCGATGGAACCGCCACTCGTCCTGTGCATCACGTCAACAGCGCATATAGCGTGGTGTAAGTTGCTGTATATAACCTATCACTGACATACCGCGCTACTTTCGTCAAGGTCAGACCACAGCAACACGAAGTAGCTGATAGATTTGATCTTCTCCCGAGCAGCTGCAATCTCGTTCTCAGCGGCCTCGATGTCCTCCTGCGCGGCCGCCATCGTCTTCTCCGCGCGACGGATCCTCTCCTTCGCCGCCTTAATTTTCGTCTCCTCTTCCACGCGCTTGAGCGGTGCTTCTTCTATGCGCTTCTTCAGCGCCTTGCAGGATCTCCTGTGTCGGAAGTACTCGCGCTGGTTTTTGCACTGTTCGCGGCAGTCTTTGCATAAGTAGGGGCATGTTGGCGGGTTGGATTGCCATGACGTGGAGGAAGGCTGGGCCGTCTGGGACGCATACATCCTTCACTGCCACCACACTTCTAGTAGTAGCGTGTCAGGCAGTGATCTACTCGGATGTATGCGGGGAAGAAAGGGAACATTCTTACCTGGATATTGGGTCTGTGACTTATGGTGGATGTTTTGGGGTTCGTCGACGTAGGTTGAGAATGAGAAACGTTGAGAGGTCGAGACTCGAGAGAAAGTGGGGCAGGCTGTCGCGACGCGTCGCGACCACGTGATGGTGTGTCTCGCTCGCTCTGGGACCCGGATATAGTCACTAAGTTTGAACCTGTAGTAACCTCCTAGTCATATGCAACTACCTTCATTCATCGAAGTACTCTCTCACCGGTGCTCTATCTCGCCAAGTAGCCCATGTCATCAACCAGCACTCGGTGCTCTTCGACCACTTCTTGAAGTAAGCATTAGAACTCGGAGCTGATTCGTACACGAGCTCCATGTCGCGCGTCTGTGCTGGGCTGGGTGACATGATTTAGCTCATATAGAATGTACTCTAATGGTGAGAACTTGGTCCGAATTCCAGATAAACAAGTACAGGGCCCAACGAGACGGCAGTGTCGCGGAAGCGTACTATCGACAGGCGCTCATCGACTTAGGCGCGCGCTGTGATGACGCACTGACGGGTGACCCTAATGGGGACACGCGCCACCAACGCTACTTACACCTGTCCTGTACACGACCTGCACGCCCTCCCTGTAATCTCGAGCTCCCTTCACCTCCCGCTTCAAGTACTGTCGCAATGCCCGGCCCCCGAATAGCTGCCCTCATCACCGTCACAGCCATCGTCGGCCTCGGCACGCTCTCCTCCGTGGTCAACGACTCCTACCTCGACACATCCAACCCCCTCCTCACCGCCCTCCCCCATCCGCTCCACGCGACGCACTACTTCGCAGACAAGAAGAACACTCTCAACGTATACTTCATCAAGCGCATATGGGGCTGGACGACCGTCGCGTTCCTCTCCCTCTTCTTCACCTCCCCGCCAGGCACGCGGAGGTTGCAGCGGCTCGCGCAATACGCCGTCGCCACGGCCGTCTGGCTCGTCTTCACGAGCTGGTTCTTCGGCCCCGCTGTGCTGGAACGGCTCATCGTGAGCACGGGCGGGGAGTGCGTCGTGAGCCTCCCCAACGGTGCGGTCGTCAGCGTCCCGAACGAGTTCTGCTACACCAGGTCGCCGATCACCACCGGGGCGCTCGCGAGCCTCCTCCCCTCCGTCCTGATCCTCCCCGAGGATGAATTCCACATACGGCCGAGGTTGCGGAGGGGCCACGACGTCTCGGGGCACATATTCCTGCTCACGATGTCGATCCTGTTCCTCGTCGACCAGCTCCGCACGTCGTTAGCGTCTTCGTCTCAGGACCGTCAGCGCGTGGGCAAGCGGTGGCCTCCATATCACAAGTACGCTGTCACCTTCAACGCCTTCGTGGTCCTCCTATCCCTGTTCGCGACGTACACGACGAGTGTGTATTTCCACACGCCCATTGAGAAGCTGACAGGCTACCGTACGCTCATCCTATACCTCGGTTACGTTATGTGCTAATCTGCACGTCGCCCAGTTCTCGGCGTCGCTGGATTCGCCGTGACGCAAATCCCTACGCTACGCGCCGAGCCGGAAATTGTACCGGCGACGCGCCGCAACCTCGCCAGTCCGGCGGGCGGTGCTGCCACCTCAAGACGAGACTGAAGGCTGCTAATGCATGTGCCCTCCTAGTAGATGGATATGTTGGCATGAACTGTAGGAATGTAATCATAGTACGCATATAATCGTGTTGTGTAACGTCACCGGACTGGTGATCCTTATGTTCAGTCGTCGGGGTTCATCGCACAGTCGCTGGACCCGAAGAGGTATCTTCAATGAGTCGAGGGCTACAGCATCTGCACCAGTCTATTTGTACAACATCACAACAAACGCCGCCATTTTACATTCGCCTCCATATTCCCCTAAGTAGCAGCACTGCCCACCGCCCCTCTCATTTACACCTCCAGCCAGTCGAGGAACTGCGGCGTGAAGTAGCTCAGGATGAGCGTGCACCCCGCGCGGACGAAGCTCTCCGACGTCTCGAACGCCATCGTCTTGAGGTCATACACGCCCGCCCTCGCGCCCGCGACGACCATCGCGTACTCGCCGCTCACCTGGTAGCACGCGAGCGGGTGGTCGGGCGCAAGCTGGGCTGCGTCCTGGATGACGTCGAGGTAGGGCAGCGCGGGTTTGACCATCACGATGTCTGCGCCCTCGGCAACGTCGCGTTGCTAGAGTGATGATACATATCCATGAGTGAAGGGGAAGGACACGAGAAGGGATATGCATACGATGGCCCGACGAGCAAGGCCCTTGCCTTGAGGCGGAAGCTGGTAGCACTTGCGGTTCCCAAACGCAGGCGCGCTGCCCGCAGCGTCCCTACACACAATTCCTTTCAGTACTGTCACCCGCCCACTGATGCATATACCCACCTGAACGGCCCATATAGCGCACTCGCGAACTTCGCCGAGTAGGACATGAGCGTGCACCGGTTTGCGTAGCCCCCCTCCATCAGCGCACGCTTGATCGCGCGGATGCGGCCGTCCATCATGTCGCTCGGCGCGACGCAGTGCGCACCAGCCCGCGCATATGCGAGCGCGACCTCCGCGATGCGCGCAGCGGACTCGTCGGGGAGGAGCGTGCCCGAACTGTCCGGCCGGAAGAGCCCGCAGTGCCCGTGCGAAGTGTACTCGCAGAGGCAGACGTCCGTGGCGATGTAGAGGTCCGGGAAGAGCTTGCGCAGGACGCGGATCGCGGAGATGACGGGCCCGTCGGGGTCGTCAGCGGGCGTGCCGCGGTCATCCTTCAAGTCCGCGCGAAGGGGTCGAGTCACGTTCGTGCATGGAGGGGCGGGCGGGGCAGACGCACCTTGTTGCACTTCAGCGGGACGCCGAACAGGATGACGCTCTGGAGGCCCTTCTTGACGAGCGGGCCGAGGAAGCCCTCGAGCTTGTTCACGCCCCAGCGGGCCTGCCCGGGCAGCGATGCGATCTCGACGTGCGCGTCGGGGTCGTCGGTGATGAAGATGGGGTACATGAACATGGACTTGGTGAGCTGCCGCTTAGCCTGCCAGGAGCGCGCGAGGGAGTGGTGGTACCCGCCTGCGAGAACGGACCTGTGGATGGTTAATTCAGCTGAGAGGAGTGAGCGGGCGGTGCACGTACGAGATCTCCATGGCTGGCTCTGATGATTTGTGCTTTGATGTGTTGCTTTTTGCTGCTGCGATTGAATGCAGCTTTTGTGGTCGCGGGGATGTGGAGGACGAGAGAGAGGTGGTACGAGGGGTAAGCTACTAAGTATGTAATTAGCAGTCGTCGAGCGGTCGAGAGCGGCACTGTAAGGCCGATCACACGATCGCGATCCGAGATCCTACGTGCCCGATTCAGAGCCGTTCCGTGACGGTGGCTGCCAGAACCCAGTACTCAACCTTCAACCTTGTCTCGCATCCAATCGTTCCGGTACTTTCCTACTGTTCAGCTTACGCTGGACTATTCAATTTTATTCACAACTGGGCCAGTTTGCCTTCGATTTACCAGCTTGCCTGCGCACTCAATCAGGTGACTCGCCGCGCTTACTGGCTTCCGACTCGGAGTCTGTGCCACTATGTGCACCAATACCTCACACATCCTCGTCCATCACGATCTCGCCACAATTTTTCGACTGCAATGGTATACCTCCCCGTGGAAGTTCTCGAACGCATCGTCGACCATCTGCACGACGATACATGGACCCTCGGCGCATGCGCATTGGCCGGTCGCGAGCTGGTCCATGCCTCCAGGATGCACCGATTTCGCACAGTAGAGATTAATAATCACGCAAGAGAATTAACTTTCTTCGACCTGTGCGCAGCCTCTGGAGACTTTGGCTCACTTATCTGGAACCTCCGGCTTGTTGACAATGGCTTCTTCAGCCTTATGACACGCCAAAGAATCCGGTCTCCTCAGGCTCCACAATGTGGCAACCTGGTTAGCGTCGAACTTTCCGGGTTCATTCTACGCGACGGCCTTTCAGCGGCCGTCAATGCGCTGCGTATGATGCACTTGCCGTCGGCCAAGCAGTTGCGTCTTAGTGATTGTTCATACAGCACCCGGGCCGGCTCCTCCACTTCGCTCGCAACCACAATGACATCCCTCTCCTCCCCTATCGATGTGATCTCCACCTCGAATGTAACCAAACAGGGGTGGCAAACTCTCGTGATATTCCCGCCAGCCTTACATACCCTGGATCTCCATTGGACCGGATCATGTCAACTCGCTGCAGTGCGGGTGCAGCTCCGCCTCTTGTGGTGGTTCATCGAGCATCCAGCGGGGGAAGACGTCCTTAGCATTTTGCGCGCTCGCATGGATCTGGGTCGCCTGTTAAAGGGCGTGCTCAGTGATATTGGGCCCGCGGGCCCACAGCATCTGGAATTAGCAATGGACTGGCTAGCATCGAGAAGTACGCAATTGTCCGTGCATGCGTCGTCCGCACCTGTCTGACAGATCAACAGGGCCTGACGACCTCGCGCCCTTTCCCTTGTCTGCCTATACGGGCTTGCAGACTTTCACGCTGCACTTCATCATCAGCTCGAACCGCTGGACCGAATACTCTCATCTGTCCGACATCAACGCACTGCTGGGATGGCTCGACTCCCCGTCCTTGACTACGATCACTCTGGCCGTCCATACGTCGATCATGCGGGACACGCAGTTCCCCTCGGTCGAGGCGAGGGACGTGCAATGGGAAGAGCTGCGCGCTCTGGAATGGCGGGACATGGAGAGGCTGCTTGTGCAACCTAAGTTTGCAGGGCTGAAGAAGCTCGTCATTTATGGAGGAGGCGATGACTCCATTCTGCGTTCGCACCTACAACGAGTGTGTCCGACGTTGCATGGCCGCGGTCTCATCGATCTGGCTTAACAGGTATGCGTACGTCCAGAAATCCTTCCGCTCGATCACACGGCCCTGACGTTCAACTCGATCATAGGCTATCATAGGATGCCCACGACACGCACAATAGCGCCTGCAGGTCGCTGCTCTTGGGTTCATGGCTGCACTAATTGGATTTTGAGAATGATTGTTTGACGAAGATTGGGGACCTGCGCATAGAGTTGGCGAGCCACGCGCCGCTTAGCCTGTCTTGTGCGCGAGGAGGTTTAATTGGTGCCAGTGGATCCAACATTCCTGCCAGAACGGTACTATTGGCATCGAGACTGTAAGACCCACTATTCATGCATGGATCATCAGACAAGAAGAGCACTATGCACTGACTGATCAGTGACGCATAACCGCTGACCGTCTGTGGAAACTGATCAAGCCTCAATGGATGTCCGCCCAACTGAAATCACCACAGGAAGATGGTCGCATCCAAGGATTGCAGCCTATGCGCAAAAGTTGCCATCAGATGCAAGCGGATGCTCCTGCGGATTAACCTTCACTTCTGGGGATACTTGGGTCCGATATCGTTGCCGCTCTGCATCGAGGGAGACGGAGGTACTATAAGGGATGCGTTGTTCGTTGTCTTCGATATGAGACAGCCTACACTGCAACTCGGGCCCCATCCCATCTGACGTATATTACAGTACTCCGCGCTTCTTAGTAGGTTACAATTTGGATGCCTCGACGAACCGTGCAACATGGCCCAGCATGCCAGCGATGCCCGCAACTCGCTGCTCTGCGCTGCCGCACCCAGATGCATCTATATCTCAGGTAGACTAGTTCTCATGAGTTGAACTGTGGATAGGTGTCAACGCCTCTTCGGCATGGGCAGACTGAAGACATACCGCCGTCAAGTATGACTCCGCCACGACACGAGCACGGGCATTTAGGCTGAGCTTCATCTCGCTAATCTCCTTGTCGACCTCTTCCATGAACCTAGGAACACGTAAGTCAGAGCGCAAGGGGATATTCAGCACGCGCATACTGAATAATGAAGTCGACGATCTTGTGCTTGAGCATGGTATCGGTTTGGTTGTTAGTGATGAGGAACGATATATCGTATCCCTTCGAACAGTTGTAAACAATGTTAGTTGTGATGACTCTGCACGTCGGATCAAAGCGATACGCACCTTGACTGGCTTCCTCCGCAGCACAATGAAGCTCTCCGCTCTCTGCATCATGAACCGAGTGAACTTGTGGCACAATACACGCTCGATTTCGTCCGCCTGCTTGATCTTGATGCTCAGTCGGATCGAGTTAATGGAAGGCTCAATGAGCACGCGCTCGTTCTCATTGCGGGAGATTATGAGGGGGTTGAGGAGCACTTCCTTCGATTGTCTGCGCGATCAGTCAATGTCAGAGGGTAAGCGGGTTGGGAGCGACGCTCGCCTCTCACCCAACTTCCACCTCAGGCTTGTTGTGTCGCTCAACGACCTGAACCACAGCGTGTTAGGACGATCGCTCATGTCTAGGTGACGCACAGCATCGTACCTGCGATGCGAAGTCCTCAAGCGTCAAGGCAGCGGTGAGGGTCGATCTTACCGCCGCAAGGTATGGCCTGAGTGTGTTGGACTGCAAATGATACGTCCATTGTTCGTCAGAAACACAGAGGCGAGCATGTCGAGTCGGGCACGCACCATGATGGCTCGGTATGAGGACGGGTTGGCACTGGGCAGGACGCGATTCGAGCGGAGATTGGTCATGTGCCTCATGTCCCTCGACGCGTCTCTTGGGCGCTACCGAAACTTTTCTCTTGAGGTCACTCTTTCCTTCCGTTCAAATTCAAAAATGCCCGTCGCTGTTGCCCTTTGGTGCGTGAAAGATATAGCTCACGCGTCGTCTGCGTGCGTGAACCTAACTCACTGCTTTGCTACAGGAGTCTTGAGGTAAAGCCTGGCGAGGATGGGATTGCATCCTTCATCCCGCAGAGCGACCTCCGCATCACGAACGTTGCACTTGGTGCCGAGCTTGAGGACGAGAATGCTCGTTCCACAGTGAAGATTCATTACAAGAGTCTGGCTGCGCCAAGCGACGATGAGGATGAGGACGAGGAAGACGAGGACGATGATGAGGAGGAAAAGGAGGGTGGTGCACAGCTGGTAGAGACGGTGCTGGCTTCGCTTACTCCTGGGAAGGTATGGGGCATTGCTCGTCACCCGTAGCCAAGACCTGATACATGGTACTTTGTTTCACAGGTCGAGCAAGCCACCGCTGACCTGATCCTGGAGGAGGATGTTGAGGTCCTCTTCGAGGTAGTAGGCAAGAAGTGTGTATTTGCCGTCTCAATGCACTGGAGTCGCTAGACTAACCTCATTGACAGCACCATCTACCTTACCGGCAATTACATTGGTAAGAGCGTGGTGTCATGCGAGTGGCGGCAAATGCTCACGTTCATCCTTCAGACCAGACGCCCCCTGGCGTACCATTCAACGATGAATCGGACGAAGAGGGTGACTCAGACTTGGACATGGAGGGCTACGATCTTCGTGAAGTCAGCTCGGATGTCGAGATAAACCCGGATGAGTTGGACATGCTCAGTGACGACGACAACCGCTTCGAGGAGGTCGCCGACGATGAGCCCGCGGCCAAGCCGGCGAGCAAGAAGCGCCCTCGTGAGTCGGATGCGATTGCGACAGACGTTGACGAGGAGAAGCTGTCGAAGTCGCAGAGGAAGAAGCTGAAGAAGCTAAAGGCTGAGGGTGGCCAGGCTGTCACGACTGCTGAGGAGACGACGCCGGCCGACACGAACGGTGCGTCTGGTCCTGAGAAGGCGGAAAAGAAGGGAAAGAAGGAGAAGAAGGAAAAGAAGGAAAAGGAGAAGAGCGACAAGGGCAAGGAACAGGAGTTGAGCGGCAAGGGCAAGGAACAGGAGTTGAGTGGCGGCATCAAGACCGTTGATTCCAAGGTTGGAGATGGTCCTAAGGCGAAGAATGGCGACACATTGTCTATGAGGTACATCGGGAAACTCCAGAGCGGCAAGGTGTTTGATGAGAACAAGAAGGGTGCACCGGTGAGTGGAATTTGTGTCCAGCGAGGTAGACATAGGCCCTGATGGAAGGATCCAGTTCCGCTTCCGCCTGGGCAAGGGTGAGGTCATCAAAGGTCCGTGCTGTCGTGTGTTAAGTTGTCCGTGCACTCGCTGATGTGTATTTGGCGTAGGCTGGGACATCGGTATTGCTGGTATGCAAGTCGGTGGCGAGCGGAAGGTTATTGTCCCTCCAAACATGGGATACGGCTCGAAGAAGAGCGGACCCATTCCTCCGAACTCTACGCTTACTTTCGGTACGTGCTGAGACACTTGTCCGTGACTGACATTCATGTTAAACTCCGAACAGAGGTCAAGCTCTTGAAGATCAACTGAGCTTGCGACCCCATCTAGCTCTCTAAGTTATCTTGAGTGCGCATCACACCTCCGGGCCTGCCAGGATATCCCGGAACAAAATTCGATGTATGTGTCCGACTCTGCTTCGGGGACGATCTATCACGACACGCAATGACATCACTGTTCATGTTCTCGTGCCCCACATAAGTTACTAACGTTGATAGTCGCATGTGATGAGCAGGTCGCTCAGTGTCTGTGGTCGTGGTGAGGTACTGCAAATGATGCTCACCCGGCTACGCTTTCCGCGGTCGACGTCTACGTCCCGACGGGTGTCCGGTACACGCTACTCTCTCAGGCTTGCTTGCACATATAGCATTGTGAGGCCACGAGACTGACGAAGAGACTTCTCTTATCAGCGGTGTGGCATATATTGCTCAGGAGCGACGGCCTGCCAGGTTGTCCCTTCGAGTCAGTCTGAACCTTCTGCTCTACTATGTCGGTCACTCCCTCCGTCGAGATCAAGTACTTCTACCACGGACGACTCAAAGTCTCCGGAGGAGTATTGCCAGATGCTGTAACTGCCTATCAGACGTTCGGAGATTCCGCGAACCCTTGCATCGTCTTCCCGACCTGCTATGGCGCGCAGCTGAGACTTGACAGTACGGTTTGAGTATGGCTCCTCAGAGAAAAGGCTGATGCGGGAGCAGGTCAACTGTACCTTGTTGGTGAAGGCAAGGTTGGTACTGTCCTGCTCGCTTGAACGCAAATCTCAAAGAGACTCGTCTAGGCTCTGGATCCTAGGAAGTACTTCATCGTCACCTTCGCTCTGTTTTGCAACGGAGAGGTATGAGCTGCTACTCATCTCCGATATACTGCTGACAGTCTATCAAGTCGTCATCACCGTCTAACACCGTGAGTCTTGTGTTTTACATCTAGTTTATATGTGAACGCCGCCCCCGTCAAAGCCGCCACCGTACAACGGGCCCTACTTCCCCCTCGTATCCTACGAGGATAATATGTGCGTACGCCGGACCTACTGGAACGATACCGGACTGATAGCTTCGTCGAAGCCGGGCACAGTACGCAGTACTACAGAGCCTCGGTGTAAATAAACTGTACTGTGCCATTGGATTCTCCATGGGCGGCCAGCAGGTCTGTCGTTGCTCACCGCGCAAACAACCCATCTCATTGTCGAAATCAGGCTTACCATTGGGCTGTCGTGTACCCTGACTTTGTCGAAAGGATAGTTGTTATCTGCTCGTCCGCAAGAACGAGCCCGCACAACAGATGGTGAGCGTCAGACCTATCTCGTGGTGCGGAACCAGTAAGTCAAACGCTGGGCCTTGTCACAGCTTCCTGGAGGGTCCTAAGAATGCTATGAAAGCCGCGAAGGACTTCGATGACGGACATTACAAGAGCGTTCCTCAACACGCCATCAGAGCGTTTGGTCGGGCGTACAGTGCTTGGGCATACGGGCAAGCGGTATGACCCTACGATTTCTCACGAGTCATTGATCTCATGGTGCGATCCCAGTGGTTTCGCCAGCATCTGTATCGCTACGACGGCCTGTACGTGACTATCCAGGGTTTGACCTGCGAAGATATAGCTGGGAACACTGACTTTGGCCTAGATATCCTACGATGGAGGCCTGGCTCCGCGAGGCTTGGGAGGGACGTTACATCATGTACTGGGACGCGAACGACATGGTTGCGCTGCTCCTTACCTGGCAAAATGGGGATGTCTCTCTCGTCCGCGACGGTGGAGACTTCGAGACCTGCTTGCATTCCATCAAAGCGAAGGCGCTGATCATGCCCTGCAAGACGGACCTGTATTTCTGCGTGGGTGGCCCCTTTCCCAGGACGGCTGGTCTCCAGACTCAGCTGAGATGTTGTGAATATAGCCCGAGGACAGCGAGGTCGAAGTCTCTTTGCTGCAGAATGCACAGCTCACTGTAATCGACAGTGTGTGGGGTCACGTCGGTGAGTTGGTAGCGCATAGGAGTGAAGTCCAGATGCTTACCTCTCGGGGGATTGCACAGCGGGAGGCAGCGCCAACCCGACTGACGTCAAATTTTTGACTGCGAGAATCAAGGAATTCCTCAATTAGATTACTTCGTTCGGCGTGCACGTCAAGGGTGTTCCAAGAATCCATTACTTCAGGTTGCCTATGCTTCATGCTTAACTCGCGAGGACGGGAACAACACCAAGCCGCCGGCTACGGAATGAAATAACCGAAATGAACGGAACTCCTGCTGCGACCTCACGGCAACATTGCTTCACGGAGTCAGGATAACCGCGACCTGTTCGCATCGTTTCCTGGCCAGGTCAAACGGGATAGCGCGGATCAATGCTATGGACTTGGTTCAGTTCCCCTCGCGAATGTAGAAGCGTTGCAATCCAGACAGAGTACCACCGATGATGGAATCGCGCATCCTCGCTGACACGTTTTGTATTCACCTGTAGTAAGGTCTTCACGCAGACTTCCTGATCTTCGTCTCAACTCTGTCTCGATCACTAAACAATGGTGCCATTACGACTGAGAACGAGGGTATTGGTCACATAGCCGTCGGCACCTCTGCCGCTTATGCAAACAAGCCCTCCCTATCCTCCTTCCTCTGTTGCAGGATCGTCAGGAACGCAATTCTGCTACTACTCCATCTGCTTGACTTACCATACGCACACCGTGACTAGCGGCCAAGTACATCCTGAAGAGACGCTCACAGTCCTCGTCGCCGTGGAATGGATACTCGGCCCCCAGGCGATAAGCAGCCGCGAAGCCAGATGTGACGGCCAATTCGTGCATATTGAGGACTAGAGGGCGTATCAAACTCGTCAGGGCGGCTCGCAACGAAATAAACACCAGTACACATACTAGACCACGCTCCGGCGAAGCTGATGCAGATCGATTTGTGAGCAAAGCTTCGGCGGAATGACGTTTACTCACTAAGTATGGTTCTTGCCGTTGATCCACATCATCCAGGGGACAGTGCCAGCGTAGTGCTGCCAGCGGTGGCTTTGCTGCTTCCACCACTTCTCGTAGATCTTCTTCTCGGGGGTGATGTCCTTCCACGTCCATAGGTCCTGCGAGCCGTCCCTGTCCAGGAAGATGGTTTGAAAGACGTGCTGCTCCAACGGAGGCTCCGACTGCCCGTCTGCATCCTTGCCCGTACGTGCGCTCGCGCCAACCTCACCCTTAGTCGGATCTTGTGCGTCGCGAGTGATCTGCGCGTGTTCACACTCGTTCCGATGGTCTGACCTGTCCTCGGAGTCAATGGGACCGGCAGGTTTCTCGCCTCGGAACTGCGGCTGATAATGCGTCAGATCGAAGCTCATCTCGATCTTCGACTTGTCTTGAGGATACTGCATGGTGTAGTACAGCGGACGGAAGTTGTCCTTTGCAAACTTGAAGGAATCTTCCGTTTCTTGACGCTCTTGCGCAGACCCACTCGCCTCCAAAGGCGCGTTGTGGGATGGGTCATATTGCGTTTCGTAATACTGCCGAGTAGCGTGATAAGGGCGTACAGCTATCATGTTGTGAAATGCATAACTTGCCTTCCGCATGTAGTCTAGATCATTGTGAGTGATCGTCACGTCGTACAGATACTTGACGTTGCCGAGGACCTTTCGCTCCATCCACGTCGACTGTTTGTTCAACAACTTGAGGCAAGAGTCCGCATCAACAGCCAGGATGAGCTCGTCAAAGAATTCCTCCTCGAGGCTTTCTTGACCATCTCTTGAGTATTTCGGCTTGATGTGAACAGGACCGGAACCATTGGTGCCACCTTTTGCATGGCGCGACATCACCTCGACGACTTCATGACCGAGTCGGAAGTTAACGTTGCCGCGCGAGGCTGCCTCCGTCTTCCAGGCTTCATATACATCATGAAGCTGAATGTTATTGAGTAATGGTGAGACGGTTGGCCGAATGACTGATCACCTTCGGGAATGCTAACATGGTCGGGATGCTTGCGAGCAAACTCTTCTCCGAATACTCGAAGAGGCGCATGCTGGGGTCTTTGAATACCCGTTCCTGGGCGAGATTCAATGCAAAGAAGTACGCCATGAGGGGGGTGGCTTACCAGAATGGCTGATGAAATATAGGGTGTTTGATTGCCCGTCCCGAAGAACAAAGCCACCAAGGGGTACACCATCTTATCACCGAAGTCTTTCGAGAATCCAAACATTTTTAACATCGTGTGGACGGGTATCATAGCAAAGAAAGGCTCGAATTTCTTGATTATGGATAGCGCGGTCCCGAACTTCTTGATGTCGCCTTGGAATTGGGCTACAAGCGACGACGGGAAGACGTTTGTCCAGAAATCTTTGTCTTTGCCAAAGCTTATCCTGCAAGAGGCGTGCGTGAGACAGTAATAAGCACCGAGTGGTTTGTACTTACTGCATCCCAACTTCGGTAGCCTCGAAGCCGAGCATTCGGAAGATCCGTAAGGTATTCGCGAACACGGGGCTACAGCCCTGGACGCCGTCATTGATGTACGCGGCTCCGTACTTCTCAGCGTCGATGTCGATCGACGTCGCCATACCGCCCGCGAAGTCCTGCTTATCGAACACTGTCACCTGGTACCTGTCGGGATGCCTACTCAGGGCATATGCGGCCGACATCCCAGAGGCTCCAGCACCGACGATGCAAACGCGTTTGGGACTGGGAGTAGACATGATGGTAAATGGGGGGAAACGTACAGACCGTCGCCGTTCCTTCGAGCCCACAGAGGCTGGCATCTCAATTTTGCCCAGGTCGACGCCAACCGTCGGCCATGTTCGAACATTGCCCGATCTTACGCCTGCGTCCCGTCCAGCTGGCTACCGTACGTCACCCACGTGACTCTGTGCGATCGCTCTAGGGCTGACGGGGATCCTGGGCCTGCAGTCCGAAGTATGTAGATGTCTGGGCGTTGATGTGGTTAGTACTCGCCGACCCAACGCCTACATGGTGGAACGCACCGTATCATACATAGACGCCGACCTGCATCCCCCCGCACGCTGTTGACATGATGCCCATTTGAAATACCATCTCAATAGGTTGAGTAACTCACAGATAGTCTGCGGGCATGTGAGGAAGGGAGTTCGAATCTATGGCAATTGCAGAAGAAAACAACCGCCAGTGCACAGCAGAGACGGCGAGGTTCCACTGTGGATGGCACGAGAGTGGCAGATGAAAGAGGTGCTGCCGTGAAACGAGCGGCGGGCGCGGTGGTTGTCGTAGACACGTAATCGTGACTGTTCAGACCACGGCGTCTCTGTCCAGGCGTTTTCCAGCGACTCGCGGGGCATCTTGTCGCGCGAGTTTCACGCCATCCCATTGCACCCAGCACAGCACAACACAGCATGCGACGGTCGATACAAGCGGCCCGGTCTTTGCAGAGGCCATTGCATGATTCTGGATCAGTCCAGGGCTCAATTCGACGTGACAGAATGATGCCATGGGCCTTGAGGGCAGAATTCAATGAGAGGGGAGGAGTCGCGTAAGGCCTTTTGATGGCCAGTTTGGCCGCAATGACAACTCTGTCCACCCGAAGTCGTGGACAGAGGACATGGTCGGCGATCAGTCTTCAACACGAGAGTAATGCCACCGTACTCACAAATTAACATACACACCCATGATAGCACTCGCCGGTCCGCCGCAATACAACACCACGCCTCGAACGTGCCCCAACACATCCTTGCTTCACTACTGGGAAGGCTTGCGGCCTGTTTTCAGCGGGGCTGAGGACTCACTACTCTTGAGAGAAGGGGAAGGGGACATAACAATCGACAGAATACATGGACTCCGAAGGAGTACTTCTGCGAGCAGGCCACCGAGACGGGTGCGCCGTGCCAACGCCGTGCGGAGTCCAAATTCATCTCAGCTCTTCAGTCGGATCAGCATCGTGTCCGGTGAGCACTTGCCGGAGAAGTACTAGCGCGTCGATGATCAACGTGAACATGAGGAACGGGTCTTTGTTCGGTGTTAAATGAATGATTCAACGATGCCAACGAGAGTCATTGAACCGTGGTGTCGACCTGGTGTCGACGGAGTACGCATGGGGTCCGATCTCCTTCCAGCGGTGCTACTGCGATTTCGGAACCTGTCTCGTTGCGTTCGGGGGTAAAACATGCAAGGAGCATCAGTATATGCGGTATAAAACGAGGGCTCGCTCGAAGGGGCCGTCAGCGGTGCTCCGAGGACTCACCTCCGTTCCTGCACTCCCCTCTTGCACGTCGGGCACGCTTCTCTCGCCTATAAAGAGAGCCAATGCACCAGGTACGTCGTCTGCCACTCTCCACCAGCTGCAGTCTCTCTGAGTCCAGAGCATCGCCGTGGTCGTACAACGCACGTCGCCAGGTCCCTGATCCTCGACCAGGATGCAGCGCATGCGACCCACCAGTATGTACTCCGTGCCTCGCCGGTAAGCTCGTTACTTGCATGCCCGTATGTTCGATTCGTCTCGCGAGAGATACATGTACTCCCCACGCGGCTCCAGAGAGGAGTCGATGACCGTCCACCGTTCTGGTCGCTCCCTTCTCATGGACCGTGCTCTGGTGCTTCCTTGGGTTCAAGGAAACACTAGGGCACGTACCATGAGAATGGAAGTGGCCAGACCAGCACGCAATTCGTTGATTCAGGTCCGTGAGCTGCCAAAACATTTGACAGCTTAACCAGCGCAGAAGCGCGATACGATACACCCACTGTAGAGCAGTCGAGGTCCCAACCTCGATCGGTCATGTACGCTTTCAGCTTGTAACGCGTTGCATAGTACCGGGAGTCTGTCTGACAGTCCAGTCAAAAGCCTTTCGCCTTCGACGATGTCATGGCGCGGGTGCTCACCGAAATCTGAAGCGTTTCGCATTGCTTGAAGCTTCACTTCGTGACGGCACGCGTCGCGCTTGTGATACCGGTGGGTATTCTCACCACTCTATTCACCATGTTTCCGGTGGAGAGGACACCGATATGGACACATAGGCGACACCGAGTTGGTGAGTCCACAAAACACTGCTTTCCGCTGCTTATGCACCTCGCTGACACGGCGTCAAGGACTCAGCAAATAAGCTCGGCGGACTGTGCGAACAAAAGAACGGCCGACCAATCCTGTCGGTCAACGTTACTCTTCCGGAACGCAGGCGGGGACGGCGATGTCCGTCCGCGAGATACAGATACGTGAACAATGTTCCCCGCATCGCGCTCCCGGGTTGTGATAGGCTCTGCTGATCACTGACCGTGGAATCGAATCACAGCAGAGGCAATCTCCCGAGTCGCGTCTTCTTCGAAGGGGCGAGAGCAGCCTCGGTGACGGAAAGTAGAAGACCTTGTTCGCCAAGTCTTGCGCGCCCTGATGATCCACAGAAGGACGTAAATTTGTTGCTCCGCGTCTGCCAATTCGCGACCAACAGCCGACCGTGATCAAGGCTCGCGTCACGACTCTCACACCTCTACTCTCACACCTGCTCTCGCTCTCATAACTTAACAGATACAGGGCCGCTCGGAAAGGACTGCAGTCGCCGAACTGGTCGAGGAGCCGCAGCGACCGCCGATATGTGTTCAGACAGCCGACGTTTCGTCTGACGGAAGGAGTCTGAGGTATGTGCCATTGCCTTCTCGACTGACCAGAGCATCTTCTGACCGTTGAGCCTGTAGGCACAACACAATTAGATCAATCCATCCGCAAGGAGTAACGCGGCGGAGAGCGATTTGTTAGTGGCCGGGAATGGTTGCGTGGTTGCGTCAGTGCGGAGTATCGTTGGGCCTCTAGCCGCTATGTGCGTCCTTCTGTCAAAGCCAGAGTCACCGACGAGACATGGTCTATGGTCGGACAGTAGGACTAGTGCGTATGTCTGTCATAACGACTTCGATGACCGTCGATATCCTCGTGTCAAGGAGAGTTAGAGCTGAATGCTCCCGGCGTCCGAAGCGAGTGCCCCGACAGAGCTGCGTCAGGATGGAATTGCTTTCGTCTTTATCGTTTCAACTCTCAATATAGGGTCCACGACATCCACGCCTCGGTTCTCATCGTACGCGTCGTACAGAGCACGGCTCAACTGTCACATGTCACAACTTCCCATGACGCCAACATGTTGCCCGAGGGTACACAAGAATACACAATCGCAGCACTACCGAACAATAGACTTGACCACGAGGCGGCAACAACATACACCGTGTGCCTGCTCGCCGATGTCTTGAATCCGCGAAGTAAGCGAAGGTAACCCCGTCCGTTATCACTACAACATACTACGCCCATCTCCCCGGAACAACAGGGACAGAGCTTGTCAGTCCTCCGTCGACGGCGATGTTCTGGCCGTTCACATAGCTCGCGTCATCTATTACGGTGTCAGAAAAGCGCCGTCCAAGCCTACACCAACGAACGACTTACCGGATGCAAGGAAGGTGGCGACGTTTGCGATCTCTGTTATGGTCGTCGTCAACATAGGCTCCATGTGCCATTCAATGGCCGGAAGCCGGACGTACCGTCTGCGATACCGTACCGACCCAAGGGGTTAAGCTGTCCGATCTTTCCTCCTGCGCCCTTTGAACGCGCGTACTGGAACACTCCAGTAGTCATTCCTGTCTCAATAAGACCGGGGCAAATTGAGTTAACGCGAATGTCCGTCTTCGATAGCTGGTTCGCAGCTGTCTGGGCCATGTTGTTCACTCTACACGATGCTCATTAGCATAAGCATCGTGCCGACCGGCCTTGACACTTACGCAGATTTGCTTGCGCTATCTGAAGTCGTGTCAGACAACGAATAATTCGTAGATTCACCCATAGCTTACAATCAACCGTCCCCGCCCCCGAACGTATACCAGCAACTGCACAGACACGTCACTTCAGTCGTATATATAGGCTAGCACATAGGAGACGCACCAGATGCTGTCATGATGATACTGCCACCGCCAAGTTCCTTTCCGCGTGAGGGGTTCGTCTTCAACATAGCCTCAGAGCCGTACTTCAGGGCAAGGAAGCACCTTCACGCGAGAACTCGTGGAACCACTTAGGAAGGTAACATACTTGCAAACTTACGACAATCCATTGATTCTCATCGTGTTCATGAATGTCTCTGCTGAGGTGTCATGCAGGGGTTGCTGAGTCGCGATACCAGCCTGCCCAGAAAGTGAGTTGGGCCGTGTGGTAGCGGCGTACTGAACTCTTCACATTCGCAAAGAACACGTCCAGCCGTCCTTCCTCCTGGAGGGCTTGCTTGCACACTCCAGATATGGCGGCGTCATCTGCCGCGTCGGCAGCCAGAGTGGTGACCTATACCGAACTGAGCGACTTCACAAGTATTGACAATCATGACATACTCACCTTGACGTCAGGATACTTCCCCTCAATCGTGGACTTGAGATTCGGCAGGTTGGTCGGGTCGAAGTCGATCAGGTAAAGATGCGCTGCGCCTGCAGCACATCTGTATACGTATTACGGTATGATACCTTTCACTGAGCTGCATACCTTCATGCGCGAACTGGAGCGCGGCAGCCCTCCTGCCCATACGTTATCGTACCGTGGGTTAACAACCTCAAAGACATGCTAACGCACCCAATGCCAACCATAGATCCAACTCCCGTGATGATGCCTACTTTGCCCTTCAACCTGTATCCCCTCGGCTTCGCCTTGAGCTGCGTCTGAATCTGCTCAAGCCGAGCAGCGGTGCGCTTTGCGAAGTCTCCCTCGGCACGACCAGACACTTTGGCCGCAGAATAGGTCGAATCAGCTTTGGACATAGTCAGAAAGTCAAGCCCTAAGGATCCCGTCTGCTTCAGGGGGTCGACAGTGGTGTAAGGGGAAACGAAGAGTCGAGTGAAGCATCGCGGCCGTCAATATGTGCGACGCTCAGCTGACCGCCGTGTCAAACGGGCGTTATTGCCGTCATAGGCGCCGTGTCGATGTGACCGCGCACCGCATGTGATTCTGATTCATTCCGGCGGTGACTCAAGTCTAATCGCATGCCGTGCGTGCATCACTGCAAAACATCTACAGTAAGTAGCATAGTTCTGCGTTGAGTAACCTAATGAAGTTCAGAGGTGACGAAAAGGAGGATATTCAGCGAATGTCCCAGTTGTAACCGCCTACGATTCGCTTTCAACAAATGCTTCCGTCCCGGGGATGTCATGCAGCACTGTGTATAGCATCCAAAGTCCAGCTTCCTCGGTTATTACAGCGTATACTATCAATTAAGGCAAATGCTCTCCGCGCATGTGTATATATAATGGGGTCTCCAGCCAAGAGCAAGGGCATGAGAATGCGAAAAGAAGGATTGTCAATACCAACTTGTCGACACAATGGGATCGGGCTAATCGATCTGAATTTGACGAAGAAGCCGCATATTCAAAGTCGGCGCCTACGTTGAGTGAGCAAAGTGCGGACCGCTCAGCTCACTTTCGAGCCCTTCAACCATCTCCTCCAGCTGACTACTCTTGTCTGTAGAGCTGTGTGAGAAAACATGGAAGTGGAATCACAGAGCCGAGCCCAAGCAGAGTCGGTTGACTCTTCTGCACAGTACGCACCGCCGGCAGGTATGTGACCTGTAGGGTGCTCATGTTGCACGAAACTGACTACCAGGCAAAGCTCTCGTCAAGAAGCTAAGCCTCACAGACAGGCTCCTAACGCCTGCCATCCTCATTGCAATGATTGTGGGGGTCATCATCGGGGAGTTCGCTCCCGGAGTCCAACCCGCCTTCGACACCGCGCGGTTCGCGAGTGTCTCAGCCCGTACGTCTCCCATCTCACCAGTCGCTCGTCAACTCACCGCTCCGCGCAGCAATCGCCATCGGTCTCATCGTGATGATGTGGCCCATCCTCACCAAGGTCCAATACGAGGCCATCCCACGCATGCTCTTCACGCGGAGCATGCTCGTCCACATCCTCCTCTCGCTCTTCCTCAACTGGATCGTCGCCCCGCTCGTCATGCTGGCCTTCGCGTGGGCCACGCTGCCCGACCTGCCCACGTACCGCACGGGTGTCATCATGGTCGGCCTCGCGCGCTGCATCGCGATGGTCATGGTGTGGAACCAGCTCGCGGGCGGCGACGGGAACTACTGCGCGGTGCTCGTGGTGATCAACAGCGTGCTCCAGATCGCGCTCTACTCGCCGTACGCGGTGTGGTTCGTCAACGTCATGGGCGGAGCCGGCGCGGACATCCATGTTTCCTACGGCAACGTCGCGATATCAGTGCTCATTGTGAGTTCGTCCTCGCGTTTCGCAGAACCACTGAACGGAAAGAGCGCTATGTACAGTACCTCGGTATACCTCTCGGCGCAGGCCTCCTCACCAGACTGTTCTTCCTCTTCTTCACCTCCCGCGAGTTCTTCGCGACGCGTTTCCTTCCCCTCATCTCTCCCCTCGGACCCCTAGGCCTGCTTTACACCATCATCGTGCTCTTCGCCTACCAAGGCCATCACATCCTGCATAACATCGGGCCCACCTTCCGCGTGATCGTCCCACTCGTCCTGTACTTCAGCGTGATGTGGGCGGGCGCGTTCGCGCTGGTGTGGTACCTCGGTCGGCGCGCAGCAGCGAGAGGGCGAGCGGAAGCCGGAACGTGGAGCTACGAGATGGCGGTGGTCCAGAGTTTCACGGCTGGGAGCAATAACTTCGTACGTTCCCTCGGGCTAGGTCTGGTGAGATCCTGACGAGAGCGTGTTCGCAGGAACTCGCTATCGCGGTGACTATCGCTGTGTACGGCGTTGGCTCCGACCAAGCGTTGGCGGCGACGATAGGGCCACTTGTAGAGGTGCCCGTGCTTCTAGCGCTTACATGGCTGGCACTCTACCTTGGGAAGGTGTTGCAGTGGGGCACGGTCCAGCACAGCGAGATGTCGCTGAATGAGGCATCGCGGGAAGTAGCACCTACGACGACTGACGCGAAGGAGAAGGAACAGGTGGATCTAGAGCAAGCATAAGCTTCATCTACAACATCACATGGAGAGGTTTGGACGGAGGTTTTGGCATACACATTCACCTACTATTACGCGTTGAGAACAGGAGCTGTGGCCTGTACGTCCTGATAGATCCTAGTTCTTGCCAACCACTACGCGCTCCTTGTCCCAAGGGTCTTTCCAAATCTCGATATCCTTCATGTGAGCTTTCTGTTCCAAGATCTCCGCGACGGCGTTCGCTTGACCCTCTCCGACCTCAAGAGCGACGAGACCGTCAGCCTTCAGCAAACCACGAGAAGCCGTCGCGAGCAAGTCGGCAATCGTGTGATAGAATGTCAGCCCTCGAGCGTCTTCGTGCGTAGCCTCCCCCTCGGGGTCGCCGATCAGCGCACGCGGGTCCTCCCAGTCTTTCACAGATGGTGACAGCTTGTCATAATCGTCCTTCGTGATGTACGGCGGATTTGATGTGATCACGTCGTAGGGCGGGCGCAAACCACACGCGGCCACGAACGCGGGGTCGCGTATGTTCCCTAAGAGAGGCAAGAACGTGTTGCACGTCCAGTCCCCGCATTGCTCGGGAAGCACAGGACCCTCGGGTGGGATGGTAACGTTGCACACCTCCGAATTGTCTCGCGCTAGTTGAACCGCAGCCTGGGAGAGATCTACGCCTGTCGCATGGAGGGAGCCGCCCGGAAGCAGGTGGCAGAGCAGGATGGGAATGCAGCCCGAACCCGTGCAGAGGTCTAGCAGAGAGATCGGCGCCTTGCCAAACGAGCGAAGACGTTCTGATAGTCGGATGGTCCAGTCCTCAGTCTCTGGACGCGGGATTAAGACTGGAGGGCGCGTGAGGAGATTGAGCGGTCCGAACGGTTGAGTCCCTGACCTGAAGCTCAGTTCACAGTTTACAACATAACTACTCGAGTCGTACTGACCTAGGATATACTGCAGCGGTTCACCTGTGACTCGCCGGTGAAGCATACTCTCGATGTCGGTAGAGCCCGAGACAGTCGCAGGTGACTGCTTGAGAGCTTCCTGCATCCATCGAAGCTCATTTCTGGCCGCCTGCACGCCGGTTGACTGTTTGAGGAGGGCGTCTAGAAGACGAGCGGCCGCAGGCTGTAAGCCTGAGGATGCGGCGGGCATGATAGGGAGTTGTGCGCGTGTGATGTACAGCAAGCCAATCAGCTAGTTACGGCAGCTAACATGGAGAAGCATGGTGCGCGCGAATAGACACACTGACAGTGAGCGTCCGAAGCAAGAGCGCGTAAGCACCGTCACGACCACCGGACGCGTTGGAACTCCGAAATTTCTGCCGCCCTGCCAGTGCCACCGACGCGTCTGAGGACCTCGAGGACTTGCTGACGCGAACGATATCGCCTCTCAAAGCTCGCTCCTTACGCTAATACGCTCCAGTACTTCAGCTCCAGAAGAAACGTTATCGGTGTAAGCGGAAATGCGCCGCACCACTGCCAGAATCGTCGCAGAGAACACGATGTGCTCGACACATCCCACACCTGCGGACCGCCGGGTGCCCGCAAACATAGCAAGACAACTTCAGTCTCTGTAGAAGAAGGTGTCTCGATTGGTTCCTTCATGGTGCTGGCCACGTAACAGTTACGCCTCCCGAAGTACCTTGAACGTACAGACGAACGCCCAAGGTGCTCAGTACACGCAGAGTGGTACTTATGCGCGGACAGGATGTCAGCAACGGGTACTCGAGGTCCCGCACGCGCTGGTGGCGGGGAGCAAGGGGACGTGACGGGGCGTGACGGTGACTGGTCATTCTGGCTGATCAGACCCGCTCGGGCCGGAAAACTGGGCCTCGAAAAGGCAGGTCGCGCGCTCTCTGGCGCTCACTTGACATTGCAGTGATTCGTTGAGTCCGCCTTCACATCCTCCCCCTCCCTCCGACACCACCGCCGCACGCCCTCCTTTATGTCGCCCACATGCTGTCCTCTCAGAACTCGCTCGACGACATTCGCAACGTGCCCACCGCGGTAGCACAGCGGCCCTCTCTCCCACCGTACCATACCGCCTCTGCCTCCACGGTCTCTGAGACCGATCCTCCGACCGCGGTCCCTAAGAAAAAGAGCACCGTCAAGCGCAAACGAACACAGGACGGCACCAGCGATAGTGCAGATTCATCCTCACAACCCACGCGCACGCGCGATGGCCCGAAGAAGAAAAAGGCCAACCGCGCATGCGCGAGTTGCCAGAAGGCACATCTCACTTGCGACGACGGTACGTCTCGTGTTCTACCTTCTCTGGATGTTGCATTCCTTTCGCCGGGGTGCGAATACCTGGCCGTCCGTCTATGTGGTGTGTTTTGCCACTCTCTGCCCTATGCACCCCCACTATGGCATGGTTTGCCTATTCGACCGTTGAGCCACACAGATTCTGGTGGTATAAGCTTCTGCGAACAATGATGTCTTCTATGTCCAATGCAGATGCTGTCACCGATGTAACTGTGAGAACGTCTGCTTCACTGTACATTCGCCATTTCGCCGCAAAGCACCCTTGGACGCTGGCTTCCCAGGCTTGCATGCATTCGAAGTTGCTTCTTGCGAGTTCCAATCACCGCCAGCGCACTGGGCTGCTCTACTCCGCTTGTTTCTTCTTCATGAAGTCATCTGGTAGCTAGCCCGACCGCATCGATTATGCAGTAGCCCCGTGCCATGCTCTCGATGTCACGAGTCTATGCATAATCAATTACATTGACCGCGCTCCTAGAACTCCCAACCTTGTTTGTGTCTTAGTTTGATCGTCTGATAGACTTGTTTCCGCTCTGAGCCATCTGTGCATGATTACTCAACAGGACTGTTTGTCATGCAGCACGCCCATGTCAACGATGCGTCAAGCGTGGAATGGCTGACCAGTGCATGGAAGGTCGCCGTAAGAAGGCCAAGTATCTTCTGGACGCAGAGGAGCTCGGTCAGTCGCAGCCATCCTATCGTCTGCCCGCTTCACGCCCCATGCTCATGATCCTTGCCAGAGGCACTCAAACGCACAAAGTCTGGCGACGGGTCTTCTATAGGCCCCGAATCTGCACCGGTATCACAACGTAAAGCATTTCTTTCTTCTCCATTGTTCATCGCATATAACAGACCTAACCGGTCAAACAGCACCGCCAGAACCGCAATACGCGCCTCCGGACCCCATGTACGCACATTACCCGAACCAAACATCGTTTGGTGCTGGGTCGGAGGGCGCGAACCTCGAATACAGCATCCTCTCCGCCATCCTTGGTAATTCTCCCGATTCATCCTCTCAACAACCTGCTGGAAGCCCCACAATGAATCATGCCGCCCCGTCTGCTCCCTATGGCACTCCTCCTGGCGCCCCAAATTTGGTTGCAGCACGATGGTCAACCGACGCTTACGGTGCGCCTTCACAACAACCGGCAGGGTATGCCTCGAGTGCCGGTGCAGGCCCATCAAATTACGCCGAGCAGGCGCAGCTCGGTATTCAACCATCCGCACCATCCGCACCTATCGCAAACCCCGCGCTTGCCTCCGAGTATGGTGGGTATCCCCCGGGGACCGGGTTCACACCGGGACAGGGGAACCCGCCGTCGCTGAACGTCCAAGGTCAACAAGCACCCGTCGGCTACCCTGACTACACAGCAAGCTCGACCACACAAGCATCCCCGTCATCACCCACCCAGCGGTTTGCGCCGTACGCACAGCGGACACAAGCGGTCGGCGCGTCAATACCCGGGGCAATGCGTCCCGAGCGTGGGGCGGCTTGGGCGACTCAGGCAGGCTTCGGTGCAGGCTCGGCGCTGGCCTCGGGCGCGCAGGGTGGTGCGGGCGTGTACCAGGCTGTCACGAAACCGTACGACTACACGGAGGGGTACCACTTCCTGATGAAGCACCTGCCTATGAGGTAAGTTCGGCGTTTCCGCTCCATTCCCCGTTCCTGCCACTCGTGGATGCGGCGTGCTCGGGTTGCATGCTGAGGGTCTCCTTCCATTCGGCTTAGGTTCGAGAAGAACGACATCCTCCGGATCGTGCGCGCGCTTGCGATCTTCCGACCGTCCCTCATCGCGCTGCAGATGCCGCTGTCGGAGGAAGACGAGGTCTTCGTCGAGAAGTGCTTCCAGCGCTCGCTCATCGTACGTCTTCATTTCCGTCCACTGTGGGACGATCCTCATGGCGTCCCTACAGGAGCTCGATAAGCTCGTCTCGTTCAGTGGCACCCCGACCGTTGCGTGGCGACGGACGGGCGAGATATGCCTGGTGGGCCCGGAGTTCTGCATGCTCACGGGTTGGGAGAAGGATGAGCTCGTTGGTCGGCGGAAGTATATCTATGAGGTGGGTTATTCAGTCGACTGTTGTGAGCAAGGACGATGTGGCTGATCTCTGGGTGCTATCAGCTATTCGAAAACCAATCCGTCGTGGAATACTGGGAGAACTTCGCCAATCATGCTTTCGAAAACACGACACAGAGCGTATACTCACATTGCGTATTACTGAAGCCATCGGGCGCCCCTGTACCATGCACATTCTGCTTCTCAATCAAGAGGGACATCATGGACCTTCCAAGCCTTGTCATCGGTATGTTTTGATCATTCCCTTGCATACAAGCGATGTATTGACCAACGGTGCAGGACAGTGGCTTCCATTATTATGACCGTTCACGGTTCCATTCAGGACATTCAGCATTCCACATTTATCTGTAACGCTATCTCGCTCTCGTCTCACGACCGCTTTCCGTCTGTTCCATTCACCCTCACCTTCGTATGAGCCACAGCGACCTATTTATACGTGCACCGCGCTGCCGTAGTCCCGGGTATTTTGTTGAGACCAAATCGAAAGTGTATTTGCATGTACAACAGCTATTTGTGGCGCGTGAGCACGCAGGGGGGAGACCAAACCATCTACACGAATTATCCAACCAGCAGAAGAGACGCAAGCGGTCCTGTCCGGGCTAAGTAGCCATACGGAAATAAATAGATCTGCGATCACGAACGCTCTGTGCCCCAGCCCTGCACTGCCACCGCACCGTCAAGTGTCCACTACACAGCCTCCTGAACGGTCGCGTACTCGCTCTCGATGCCAGGCTCCATGAGGGAGGCGTGGCCGAGGATGAGGAAGGACGACGCGCCGACGAGCCAGAAGAAGGTGCCGAGGGGCGAGGACCACCAGAGGAGGGGGATGCCGACGACGAAGAGCCCTGTGTAGAGGGTCTTCTGGGTGATGACCTGGTCACCCACCTGCAACGGCTCAGGTGCTGTGGATTCGGATACGGACAAGGGGTCACGAAGTGGGTGGTTTGGAAAGTGGTGAGCGCGAGGCCGAAGTAGGTAGCAAGCCTGGACGCACCGAACTTATTAATTGCGGCGAAACCTCCGATGAGGAAGCCCAGGGAGATGATCAATAGCCAGTTCGTGAGCAGTGCATACACTGCGAGTACTCCGACTATCACGCCATAGTTGCCTGTAGGCCGCCGTCAACATCTTCGGCCCTGCTGAGGCCGCCACGGAGAGCAGCCCGATTTCAAGAAGACGTACCAGAAAAGTATCGTGTGTTGTATGATATGCGCTGCAGGGCACGCAGGTCAGGTTCGGAGACTCCAACGTGAGCATGGCGGATCGACGTACAGAGGTGGCTGTGTTCAAGTCTGCGGGTTTTGAGATACGGTGGTGGTCGAAGAACTCCGAAACCGGACGGAGTGCACTAAGGCGGGTCTCCTGGTCGGTTCAAAGTTCCGAGTAAGCATGCCTGCACGAAGACGGGCAGCCACATGAGGCGTGACACGCTGCAGAAGACGCACCCGGAAGGACTTGACAGTCTCAGTGACACGAAGAAGCGCCTCCATTGTTTGTGCTTTGATGTATACGCAAGGATAGTGAGCTGCGAGGTGGACGAGGGAGAGAGTGGTGGTGGTGGTGGCCGCTTTACAGTGTACAGGCGGGGATGCGGTAGGCTGGTGGGTGGTGGTTCGTGAGTCGTGGAAGTTTGGCCGCCGCGTCGTGTGCCACTGCCAGCGCGTGCGCGCCTGCGGCGCAGGCCGCGCAGTGTCTGCCTTTGTCCTTTCCCGCCATTGTCCTCAGCTCACCGACCCTCTGCGCTGTCAAATCCTCTCCTCACCCCTGGACCGCTGGTCGGAGACTAGAAAATGATACGCAGGGACCCCACGCTCATCGGGATGACGGACGCGGACGTGCAGCAGGTCCGCGACATGGTCGCGGCCAAACGCAAAGCCGAGGCCGCTCAGAAGTGGGTCGAAATATCAGACAAACAATACGCCGCTTTCGAGGCTGGCGCGTCTGCCTCTTCACGGCCGTTCGTCGCAGCAGAGGATGCCAAGAGGAAGAGAGAGGCAATGACAAGGGGGGAACGCCTCGGATTGCGGTGACCACCCTTCCGCTGCCATCAGAAGGAACCGTACGTGTATTTTCCATCTGAACACAGCTCGCGGAGACTGAGTACGCACCGGCTTCAGCCCTGTACACATAGTTCAAGGTGCATCTTGCATCGTCCTGTACTCCTGTACCATATCCCGCAGCGCCTATTGCAGCAACCCGGAGACATCTTTTCGTGAGTAGCAATCACGCTACACAGTACTTGCTATGGATGTGAAGCGTAAGTCCTGCATTATTGTACATGTCGATCCGGATCTTGCGCACATGGCCCAAGCTGCGCACTACTATGCTAGAACAAAGGCTACAACGCGAACGTGTCGCTCCTTTCTGTGATCGTGTGAGTGGCCACAGTAGCCGGCCACTGGCTGCACACCTTATAAGTACGGCATCTCACTTTACTCATCGTCACTCCGCCATGACCACCCAGCCTGCGAGGAGTGATGGTCACGGAACACTGTCCATACCCGACTTGCCCCCGGAGCTCATTGACCACATCATTGACCGTTTCCGAGAGGATGCGGCCACTTTGACCGCTTGCAGCCTCACCCACCGCTCGATGCGCTTTCGTGCGCAATTCCACCTCTTCCGCACCATCTGCCTAACACCCCATCGCTGGACGGAGTACGAGAAGCTGGCGAAGAAGTCGCCACATCTCGGCTGCGCCGTGCGCCGGCTTCAACTCACGCAACCGGTGCCCCTTCTGCTCAAGTTCGGCGTCCAAGACCCTTCTGGATTCGCGCAATTCATCAAACCACAGGTCCAGGAGGCCAACGAAGATAAGAAGATCGTGCCCATGTTTCCGGCAGCCACGAAGCTTGACCTCAGGAGGCTAGACCACACAGCTTTGACCGTCCCGCTGCTTCGACAGGTCTGCGACCTGAATAAGGTGGAGTCTGTGCGGATGCATATTTGCGTCGTACCCACGATGGCCTTCGTTGCGGGGTTCATCTGTTTGTTCCCGCGCATGAGGAAGCTCGTCGTCAGCGACCTATTCGCCAGGGACACGTTCGCCGTAAAGCTCCCGGCGCACAACGCCATCGAGGGGCCCGTGCCGACGAGGTTTCGCCCCTTGGTCGAAACACTGCGCTTTCCCTTGGGTGGCACTCTCGGAGAAGTCAGCTCGATCAGCTTGACGAAGTGGTTGTTCGAGCAGTCGTTGCATGTCCAGCTCACTACATTGGAGATCACTGTGGCGCGCCGGCAGGACGCGGCCACTCTCGGCGCGCTTCTACAGGACCTAGGGCCTCGCATTCAGCACTTGTACCTCGGTGTCGAACAGTTGAACGCAGATGGTGAGTGCCACCACCGTGACTGACTGTCTAACATTGCTGACCGCCATGCAGCTTCTCTCAGCAAACCTCTGACGTTGTCGCGCAACACAGGCCTCCGCACGCTCGCATTCTGGTCCCTGAAGCTGCACGGTGGCGAGGGAACACCCAAGCCGTCGCTCGCATGGGTTCCGCGGCTCCTCGCGGAGCTGAGTTCTCCTGCGATTGAGCACATCTACTTCCGGCTTCGCGTAGGGGGCGCCTCGCCATCTGACTTCGATACCCTCGACTGGGCCGCAGTCAATGACATCCTGTGCGAACGTCGATTTGACTGCCTCCGGAGAGTCACTGTCGAGGTGCTACGTGGACGAGGACTGGTAGATGCGCTGTGGCCTTATATCAAAAAACAGATGCCCGAGCTGCATGACCGCGCGATCGTGTGCCATAGTCATCTATCTGTGGATACCTGACGGGATCAAGGCGCAATAGACTTATTGTAGCGTAAGTATGTCGGCGATTCTGTGACTGGCGTCACGTTGTTAAGACTTATACGTAGAAAGGGTTGCTGTAGCTGTGAATGACTAGTAATTTGTACATCTGTTAGTAATGACCTAGTCGATACTACGAAGTACGGATCATCGTATTCGAAACAATGCACAAACACCTTTTGCTAGTGGATCCCCTACAGGCCTTCGATACAAGTTTGAGAGCGACTGCATTCCGATGTGGCTGCGACGATCTCTGTTCGTCAGTCACGGTATTTCCACGGTCAAACTTCTCTTCCCAAGCGACACCTCTGCGTGTGAGTTCCTTCTCCGGCAAGCCTTAGGCATTCCTGTACTGTTCTAGGCATACGCTGACGGAACTGGGGTGCATATCCGGCCGCTGGCCAGGCTGTCTTTGCAACTGAAGGTGCTCGCTATTCGATACTTATTACTTAGTCGGCCGAACCCCGAGGGAGACGGATTCGGGATTTCACATGACATTGACACGTGCAGACTACCGGGCGAGCCTCAGCCCTGCTTTTGAATTAGCGGCCACGAGAGCTCGACATTCACACTTGTATATATAACTCCTCAGCTCCCGTCCGCATTGCCTCCCTCAAGGCTGCTGGCTGTTGTCTACCACGGCCATGTCTCTACCGCTCCTCGTGAACGGCGCGGATTGCGGCCCCGTCAACCCATTGCAGAGTCTGTCCAAGACATTCGATCGTGACCGCGGTATTCAGCAGGTGACGATGAACATGGTATGGGGTTGAGGTATGCTTGTCTCATATACGTGATTGCAGGACCACTTTGGTGCAGGTCGCGCGGGTTCATCGAAGGAGGTAAGCATGGTCGCATGCACCGGGTTACGCTAGGCCTCACGTACCCCAGGTCTTCCGTTCGCAATACTCAGCCACTGCAGGCTCGAGCCAGGATGCAGCCCGGTTCTTCTCTACGAACCAATTCTCATCTGCCCACGCCTCTCCCGTTCCTGCGTTCGATCTCGCCGCGCTCCATGCAGCACTACCCCATGCACACGCGCAAACACCCGTTCTAACACCACAGAGGCAGGGGCCTCTATCGCCTGTGTCTTCTGCGTCATGGGCCTCGGATTTCCTGCAACAGCCCGGCAAGCAGTCGCCAGTGTCGCAGCTTCCAGCGGCCCAGTCCCCGGTACAGGCGCAAGCTCAGCAGGAAAATATCCATGGCCAACCACAACAGTTTTCTCCCAATGGTATGGCCTCTAGTACGTGCTGACGTGCTTCTTAGTGTGCCTGTATTTCCTGACCGCTATCAGACTTCCGCCCCTTTAGTCCGATGGGATATGGCATGGCCGGTATGTCCATGGCCTCCCCGCCCTTCGCAATGCCTGTGAATGCCCAGGAACCAGTGAGTCAGATTGACGGTGAGTATTAGCGTATGTGTATGTATCATGTGACTGACGCAACGTATCAGCTTCTCATTGGGACCGAGAGTTCCAGTCCCAAGAAGCGGCTTTGACCGCCGCGGAGCAACCACAGCAAGAGGCTCCCGCCCCCAGCCGACAGCACGACGGCGACGAGCTTGCACGCATCGCAGGTGAACTAGTGAACACAGTCGGGGATGCAGGAAACGCGAAGTTCAAGAACAGCGAGTTCTTGGGGCTTATGCGACAACTGCGTGACGGCAACGTCGTGGTTGATGGCGACAAGATGGTGCTGCGAGAAGAGGCGTCACCCAACGCTGCGCTTAGCTCTACCGACGTGAAGGGGAAAGGCCGGGCAATCGAACCTACCATCATGCATTCTGCTCCGGGCATGGGTACACTTCAGGATGCACGCCCCATTGGACATGAAGAAGGTCTTAGGCCCGTCTACACCGAGAGACCTTCTGATCAGCTCCATGGGGACTACCAGGAGAGCCCTATCGATGCCTACCTCCGGCAGGAGAACGAGGAGTACATCAGGATGCAGCAAGAGCATGACACCGTGCCTGCACCCGACACCAGGTACGAGTGGTGGAACACTTCTCAGCGGCCACAGGATGCGGATTGGGGAAGGCTCCAGAGGGACTGGGATTCCTTCGAAGCGACGGTCACCGGCATCCGGCCGCTCGCACACTACCAATTCCAGCCGCACAATCCGTATGTCCTCGGAGAAGCGTCGAGTACGCATCATCATGCAATGCATTCAGATACCAGGAACTCTATCTTTGAGGTGCGTCGGTGGTTAGATTCTCCGTGATGCTTTCCTGAGGTACTAACTACACATTAGAGCGTCCTCGAGCTGGAGGCCGCTGTGCAGCGGGATCCCACGAATGCGTCGCGATGGTATGAGCTCGGTGTAAAGCAACAAGAGAACGAGCGCGAGCAGAAAGCTGTACAGGCACTGCGCCGTGCGCTGGAACTTGATCCATCTCACCTCCCGTCTTGGATCGCCGTCGCGGTGTCGCACACCAACGAGAGCAACAGGCAAGGAACGTACGCCTCCATCTACGAGTGGGTCGAGCGCAACGAGCGTTATCGCTCGACAGTCGAGCAGTTCCGCGCCCTGAATCCCATCAACGACGAGATGACGCAGACCGAGAAGTTCGCTACCCTGATTCAATGCTTGATTGAGATGGCACGCGGGGACCAGAGCGGGGAGATAGATGCAGACATACAAATTGCCCTCGCCGTCCTACTGAACACCAATGAGGTACGCATCGGACGAACTACTCTGCCGACTTGCATTGCCGCTCACGCTGCTGCAGGAATACGCCAAGGCGCGGGACTGCTTCAATACAGCGCTAGCAATACGACCCGACGTGCGTCCCGCTGTTTGCCGGTGTCTATTTGCGTGCTAACCCACGGCAGGACTGGCTACTGTACAACCGTGTCGGCGCGACCCTGGCGAACAGTGGTCGTCCTGAGGATGCCCTGCAGTACTATTACCGCGCGTTGGAGCTGAACCCCGCGTACATCCGTGCAAGGTACGCTCTCTCATCGGTTCGACCGGCCTGCCCGCTGACATTTGTATCAGATTCAACTTGGGCATCTCTTGCATCAACCTTCGGGTGAGTCGCACAAGTAGTCGCTACGGGGTATTCATTGAAGGCCGACGGACGTTTGTTAGCGGTACGACGAGGCAGCCCAGCACATTTTGGACGCCTTGTCCCTCCAGGACAGCGACAGCGTGCATGAGGCGGCCGGCGGAGGCGATAAGCGCGGCGTCACAACGCTGACCTTGTGGGAGAGTCTGAAGACCTGCTGCCTGCACATGCAAAGGCTGGACTTGGCCAACCTGTGTGACAGACAAGACCTGGAAGGTTTGTCTGCGTTTCGTATCCCGCGTTAGGTCCTCATCACAACCTATCCTTTTGCAGCATTCCGGCTCAATTTCCAACTCGCCTAGTGCCAATCAAACGGACCCATGCGCTGCGACGGCTTTGTGCATTTTTTCTCATGTATGAAGTTGCGCGTTACAAGATGTGTGTATTATGTATGGCTCTGGACGCACATCTGCCTCGCATCACCGCGACCTGGGCTATGAGCGTCGATCTGAGTGGCTAATAGCTGGCCGTTGAACAAACCGTGCTGTTTCTTTTACGATGTGACGAAAGGTAGTACCAAGGCCGCAGATCACAGAAGCGGTTCGATCCCGACACAGCTTTCGGGAGCACCCTTGTCGGTCCCGCGTTCTCAGATCGTTCGGGGAGGCATCAAATTCGCTTAGATTGGACTAGTGGCGGCACCGGCGAGCTTGGGGACCCTGGCCGCACAATTCCGTCGGCCCCGCAGATTATGTACGCAGCGCGCTCCGATTGCCACAGGCTCCCCGACTCAGCCACAACGTTCTACAACACCTGCCTAGTGGATGCCTTCCCGCAGAGGTTTACAGCGCGTTCTATCCTAAATTCGCACTGTAAATCTCTGCGGCAAGTCGGCATCTCGTGTGTACCGTTGCTTCGGATCAGTACACCTCTCTTCTAAACAGCTCATTTAGAAGGGGGGTAGGACCCCCCCTTCTAGGTACAAAACACGTCCGTAAAGTTGAGTTTGAGCCTCCGACGAGATTTGGATCTTACCGCCCCGATGCCGCCTGTGCGCGATGCCACTTCTATGTAATGCCTCCTCTGAGTGATGACGTTTCTACGTGACGAGTCGCTTCGAGCGATGATACCGTCTTGTAGCGTACTTCCGTCGTGTAGTGTGCTCGTTTGACGAAGCCGTCTCATACTAGCATGTCCGAGTTCACGCGACGAGGCTACCTCGTAGCATATTCGCTCGACGAAGCCGTCTCGCAGCGGTCTAGCTCGACAATGACAGCAGACAAGCCTCGCCCATGGAACATGCGAGTCAGTGAGATATATATGCTTGAAAATATACAGACACATTCGCACAGCCAGCTGGTGTCTTACGCGACGGTAACGTTGTGCCACAACGGCAGCGCGGCATCATTTGAACTCCGCAAGGTAGCATCCATGGACTTTGAGTGGAGCTACGGAGGCGCACTGCAGATAAACATTCCTTAACCATAAGATTCAAGGCCCGCGCATGCATTTAGAATCACTGGAAAGCCTGCGGGAAGGCATCCAGTATAGAAGTGCCCTCAGGCAATGTTGTAGATCAGCGCCACGGTTGGTCTCAGCCTGTGTGGCGGCTCGGGCATTTGGCGGCCATGCCCTAACACGTCCGCTACGACATCAGTCACGAAGGCAAGTTGACAGAAAGTGACGAGCATGTGCAAAACATGTGAGATCCCAGTTGCCCGCTACGCATCTCAGTGACCGGGGTTCCTGATGGATGGCACTACCGAGTCGGCCATAGTATGTGTCATCTTAGTAACGCTCTTTGAGAGGTCCTCGGGATGCAAGGACATGGACAAGGTGAGCTTCAGACGTCATGTTTATTCAGCGCGCATATATAGTTGATCACTAGTGCTACTACCACGCATTCTGACAGTGGCGCCGAACTGTGCGATATCTGTTCTGCCAGTGCAATGGCCCTTCAGTCCGGTGGGGCCGCGGGGATGAGGCGGTCGATGTGGGAGCCATTGTATTGTATGCCCTCCTCGGCCTCCCATGCGGTGGAACAGCGGTGCCCAGGGAGTTTGCGCCGTGTGGTGGGCGGTCTAGCCGTCCGAATATGTATCTCGACATGATCCAGAGTTGCGATCTATCTGTGTACCCAACATGACCCAGTAGGTCGCCGCGGTACGGTGAGAGCAATGTATATCTGCTATGTAGTGTTGACGACCGTATAAACCCAACAGTACTCATTTATGGACTAGGGTGATAGTTCTTGAACTCTCCAGGAAGCTTCAAGTTGTGGACTCGGAGTAGCGCGCAACCCGCGCTGCCGCACCGGGGTTGTCCCCGACATTGACCATGAACGTTTGAACTCTTGCTGTGCTCCTCTCCACAAGTGCCAAGAACACATACGACCGTTGACAGATGCATCCGCGGACATTTTCGAAAGGCCATGAGACCTATGCGATCAGATTTGAAGAGGGTGGGGTTTCCGGTTCTAGTTCCAGTCGTTCTGGTGTCACCTGGTGGACGTGGGCGCCCGAAGAAACACGGGGTCCTGTGTCAAGGGTGTCCGTTCGGTTTACGGTGAGGACATAACTGGGTCACATCATAAAACCTGTCCATGTCCATGTCAACCCCTGGGCAGGTGAGATGATCTTCTTTACAGAACGGAAGGTTGACGGAACCAAATCAAGTCGGAGAAACGCAGTTACAAGTTCAACATTCACATTAACATCAGTCCGAGTCGGTGCTTTGTATGAGACCGAGGTGCCTCTGTCTGAGTAGACGCGGGTTAACCCATAGTTCAAATCGGTGAATATAATCCTCCCGAGAGCGTGCCACCACTCACTCTGTCTCAAGAGGTGTCATATGCTCGGCGGTCCACAGGACCTGAAACCGGCTTGTGGTGAATCACCACCAGGACGAGCCTCCGCGCTTCGCGGACCGCCCTAACCGGGAGCACAGCACTGAAAGAGAGGGTATGAATGCTGTGCTCTTCGTAAGGGCTGACATGATTGCCGCCTGGGCCCGAGATAGCGGATGTGTTCCCACACACTCGTGCCGTAAGTATTCAGATCGTGGTTCGTATTCTCGATCGAACATCCTCGTTCTCACTATGCCGCGCCGGAAACTTGAGGCCCCGGGGTTCGACGGGCGCGCGCTGCGATAAACCGATAAGGTGTGCATGAGGACGCCGAGAAGACGACGACTGGGGTATCCATTGCGAAAGCTAGGGGGAAAGCAGCATAACATACTACGTACAATACACTGAGAACACGACGACAGGGAATCTGGTTACTACAAACTCGTGAACGGCCCTGAGTGAAATACAGACAAAATGGTCATCGCTCGCTGCGCGAGGTGGAGGTGCTACGGGCGTCCCAGTCGTCGTCTGCTGGACTCAGCCGCGCAGCCGTGGCGACAGCCTCAGCGGTCTCTCGGCACTCAGCTGCACCATCGGAGCGTACTGCGGTGGGCTGCGAGTCAGTAGCGCCTCCGTGACACGGAACGATAGACGTACGGTGTCTCTGTCAGAGTCAGTCAGTCTCAAGTATCTCCGGGAGGGGGATCGGACGAGCACTTACATTCAAAGCATCTAGGCGGCTGAAGGTCTTGCCACATCCGTGACAGACGTTTGCCTGTGCCTTTGCAGTGTGCAAGGCTTGATGTCGCCTGGAATACAAACACGAGGGTCAATGGACTGAACAATGTTGAGAGGTGGCGAGTAACTCACTTGCAATCATGTTGCCGAGCAAAGCCCTTGTTGCACCCGGGCCATTCGCACAGGAAAGGACGCTCGGCCGTATGGGAGCGCAAATGTCCTGTTGAGCGTATGAGCGCCATGATGTTCGACAGCTGAGCGCTACATCCCACCTCTCAAATTAAATCTACGAGTGAACGTGCTGCCACATCCCGGCACTGGACACACGAAGTGCGCCTCGTTGCGGCGCCTACTGGCACTTGCAGCTTGAGTGGCACTCGTCGTAACCTGCTGCTTCTCTACCTGCAGGATCGGAGGTAGACGAGGCAATCCAGCAGCGACAGCTTGGAACCCCGATGTCCCGGACCCCCGAGTCAGAGAGGACAGCGGTGCAAGTGTCGGTCGTGGCACTGCATGGCTTTGGTATGGGGACGAAGTCGGAGACCGCTGCTGCTCAGGAGAGTTACCTCGGGCGTCTCGACCCATGGCCGAGTTTGAGAGGATTGAAGGAAGAGGGGGAAGTACTGGGGGTGGCGGCCGCGACGCAGACATCGTAGGCTGGAGGATAGGCCATGTCCCCGCTCTCAGGGGATATCGCGGACTGGAGGCCGGCTCGTACGGGGGTAGTGTATGTCGACTCTTGAACTCGTGGGTGCGCGAGGCGGGCGCTACTGAGTAGTAGTTCGCGCTGTGCGGGGCGGGGCGGGGGCGATCGTCGAAATCGCTACTCGGCATGAAGGTTCCTGGCTGTGCGCACGGAGGCGGAGGGTAGTGGAGAGTGGAAGATGGATGATAAGGGGTGAAAGCACACTGGGGATAAGTGGCAAGCACCGAAGCAGCTCTCGAGGCGTCCACTTCCATTGTCAGACCGTGACTGACAGTGGGCGTCTGCAGATAACCGTTTCTGATATTCGGATGCTTAGAGGACTGGCGTTCGTGACGGAGGCAGTTGGTCAGAAGGGATGCTATTGACAGTTGGATGCCAGCGAGGCAGGCGTGTGGTCTGCGAGTTCTGCGGAGGAATCAGCCGTGCGGCGTGGAGATGTCAGTGGGCAGAAAGGTCGAGAAGACGGGGTTCATATATATGTGTGCTTTCCCCTGTTTAGCAACGCAGGGGTTGTGCGTACCATTCGTGATTGGGGAGCTGTGATGCGGCCGTACTGCCACTGGGACGCAACCTGCCACATCGGCGCTGGCGGACATGTTCGCGCGAGTACGGTGTCTCCGAGTTGTCTGAGTTCCCTCAGGCGCCCAGGTTCCCCCAGTCCCCGCGCCGATCTCAGATTCCCAAATCGGGCTTGATGGCTCCGCCGGTCAATTCCATGCTGACGTAAACACAGTCTGCCCTCGCGCGTTTCTTTTGACTTTGACGGTGCACAGCTCTCCGCCAGGCCTGGCCAGGTAGCCCAGCTGCGGGAATAGGGCGGCGTAGACTCGGCTCTCCTTCTCCTGTCCACCCGACGAGTACAGCACCCACCACCGCGGTGGACCAGGGCGACCGAGGGCTTCCCGCGTTCAGCGCTGAAACGCTCCCGCTCGGACCCAGGGAGAAGCCTATCAGCGGGTGTTCCAGCTCTGAGCCGCCCGATAATACTCGGCCCCCGCCAGCGTCTCCCCTTGTACAGCACAGACAAGACAGCAGGTCAGTCTATCCGATGCACGCAATCACTACCACTCAATCATCGAAGCACGAATTCACCACCGCAGGCACGCGATATACGGTTGACACAGCGTCGCCAGCAGTGGGAGCGACGCTCCCAGTCGGTGACGTGAGCGATCTGTGGCGGTACCCGCCGCGGCCGTCCGGTGTATAACTACATATCCCCGCGGTCGCTGTCGTGACAGTTCGCCGTCACATAAAACCTACTGGGTCAAAAAGAACCTCTGCGATCAAGACACAGCCGTCGATTGAGACCACGAGTGGTCTGCGGCGAAATGGCAACCACTTATTCATGGCAGAGGCTGCGCGTGACGTACATGGGCATTTCGTTCCAGTCGAAGGTTCAGATCGCCACAGCAGAGCGCGGTCAAATATTCATTTCGAAAATCGCTGTCTCATGTCATCCGGGCGGTGTCTCGCCGACCCTCCGGCTGAAGTGAGCGGCCATGACTTCAGTCTCGCACACAAATACAAGGCGGCTATGGTTTGCATGATGACCAGTATTCATGCACATCGCAGTTCGTTCGCATCAGGTACGCAGACCCAGTGTGGTCAGCCGAGTTTAATTCGACCGCATATCCACATATGTCAAACCACACATAGATTGCGTGTAGGCACAGATATGCGAAGACTATTCTGGGTCAAATGGGGATACAAGCATTCGGTAATGATACAGCTGCGGTATAGTGAAGTCTACTTCGCGGAGTCCGTAGGAATGAGGTGAGAATCGAGCAGTCGACGCCTTCTCATCAATTCCGATTCTGAAATAATTTGACCTGCCTTGCCCGGCGTTGGCGCCTTGCTCGACGGTGAAGAGTCCCGACGGGTCTTTGTCTGACCGACCGGAGTCGTTTGTCCTAGGAGGTCGTGCAAGAGATCAAACCGCGGCGTGGCGGGAAGGCCGCCCTCTGCGGATACGGTGTCTGCGCTGTCCGCGCGACTGGATGACCAACTCTGCCCTCGGTTGTGCCTGTTTCTCTCCGACACAATCTGTTCCACATTCCTCTGCGTCGAGGTCTTATTCTTCCCAGCGTCGGTCTCAAGGAAAGATGCGGGTGGCGATGTCCTCTTCTTTGGTACAATCGTCAAGGCATCGTCCGTCTCCGTCTCTGTTGTATCAGCCTCCGTCTCTGATGTGATTGAGGCCGACCCATGCCCAGGCGGCGGGACCGGCCGTCTGGCTGGCGAGGTGCGTTTGCCGCCCGGCCTGGTAGCAGTGGTTACATTGTTGCGTTTGGCCGTGACGCCCGACCTGGTGCCGGCACTCGCGAACGCCTCGTCCATCCAGTCGGCCATACTGTCGATGACGGTGCGTGCTTCCTGCAAGAGCATGGGCATCTGCAGGAACCCGTGGCTCCACTCCGAGTAGATCTGCATGGTGACCCAGTCCTCATCTCCTTGGGCGGCGAGCAAATCTCGCTCGCGCCGCAGCGCTCGCACAGCCTCCTCTTGGCTGAGATCTCCCTTCGAGAGGAGAAACGACTCGAGGGGCTTGGTGCTCTTCCCCGACAGCGCGGCATCGAGGTCCCTCCTCCGCGCCCGCTTCGCTTCTCGCACCCGTCCGGCAAAAACGAGCGTGTCGTCAACAAAAGGGTCCTTCTCTCCACAGGCCATGAGAATGGGCGGGAATTGCGTCAGCAAATGACTGGGCGCCTTGATCGGGGAGAGATGATAATCGGTCGCGAAGTCGGGATTGCGGTGAGGCCCGATGTATAGAATAGCCATTGCGCGCATCTGCGATTGAACGCGGGACAGCCACCAAATATCAATCGCTCAGCGACGTAATACGACAACACTTGGGGGATTACGCACCATGCTGGGGGAAATAATCCGATCGGAGAAGTAGCCAGTACGGCTGGTCATAGTGAGCCTGGTTCCCAGCTGGACTTGTTCTGACGGTTCTCCCTGCTCGGGTATCGTGGCATCCGCCTCGCACTGTTGCTGTTGGGGGACACGCTCGTCGACTTGGGGGTGGAAGCGCACTCTCGCTTGGATGGGCATGTCTTCCTCTCTCGTGTCCCTGATTTCTGCGCCGTCCTCGACATCTGCCATCTCGCCGGCCTCGGCGTCAGCACCAGGCTCTTCGGCATGTCCCCGGCCCTTCAAGGCCCTCGAAGACATCGTGGAATGCCTCAGTGCCAGGCTGGGCCGCTCGTCCGTCGGCGACGCCAGCTTTCGCAGCGCCTCTCGCCAGCTGCGGCGTCTGCGAATGGCCTGCCTGTCGCCGACCATTGACAGAGGGCTGATGTGCCTCAAATGATCTTTCTGTGCCGCGAGACCGGGGATGTGGCCGGATGATTGCTCAGATTGCAGCACACGCAGGTTGTCGGGGGTCATCCATGACGTGAAATTGAAGTCCAGTGCAGGGTAGGCAAACACCAGCGCCTTTGGGAGGGGCAGCGTCAATTGTGTCTCCAAGATCTTGACCATTACATTTGCAGCGACGTGAGCTCCGCTAGTCAGTCGGGCCCCGCATGTGAGCGGACCTGTTGTGATATGCTATGAGAAGACACTCACGCGGAGTCCCCAGAAATAATAACGTTCAGTCTATGGCCGGACATCCCGATCGCTTTGCCGCCGGACTCGACCAACAGTCGATAGACGTCAAAACACTCATCGATGGCAAATGGGTAGGGATCTGCAAATGCTATCAGCATATAGTTGACCCTGTATTCAATGGTGTCCTACATTCGGGCGCTTTGCCGTACTCGATTGACAAGACCGGCTTCCCAGTCCGAACCGCCCACATGCGGAGACGTTCCTCATGGTGCTCGGGTGTCATCGAGATGAAACCGCCTCCAGGGTAGTCGAGGATAAGGTCGGTCGCGCGCACGAGATGATGCACCGGCGCTGCATAATACAGCCAAGCAGTGATGGGTCTAGTATACGTTGAATCATGCGGCCTGGGTAGGATGATCTTCCGGCGGATGGTCACTTTCGGCAAGTATGTGAAGAAACGGAGCTGGAGGATGGATTAGCATTGGAATTTCAGATGTGAAGCCGTCTGACACCGACGTATGGATTGGTCGTCTTCTCCCAGGTCGTACGGAGCATTTCCACGGTGGGCACAGCGCGGTACTTGCGAAGCTGAAACAAGCCATGGGTCGTCTCGCTCAGTCTCAGCTTCTTGGACAATACAACGGACCGGCGTACCTTCTCGTCGGCTTCATTAGCGTACACTAGGTAATATAGGGCAAATACAACGGAACACAGGTCCTTCATGAATTTGGGTCGTATGGACATTGCCGTGGCAAAACCTGCGTCGAGTGCCGTGCATATCCATGTGGCGCGATAGTATGATCGCGAATACTGCACGGAGGTTAGTAACATGCACATAGATGGGTGCCCAAACACAACACCAACCAGATCCACGAGTGGTTCAGGAGCTGTAGACGGAAGCGCAGAACATCAGTGGCTCATCAGTGTGTCAGAGTGGCGTTGAGACATGCCTTGAAGTCCAAGGATCTTGTCGAAGTTACGCACAGCGTAAACTCCGGTCAGAGTGCTGACAATTAGCTGCCATGGCGTGAAGCGTTCTGAGAGTGCTCGTCAACGCCAAACCTCGCTGCGAACAGGCACAGACAACATACCAAGAGCTCTGTTCGCGCGTCTGAGCCACAACAGGCGTGGTCCGCCGGGGTTACCTCTAAGTATTCTCCATACCCAGAAGACGATGACAAGAAAGACCTGAGCCGTCCGGATTTGGTCAGCTGTGGCTGCAGTGTGGCTGAGACAGCATCTGAGCCTGCACGCACCTGGACTCGCTTCCACGACGGACTGGGCCTACCAAGGAGGTGGTCTATCATCTGGCTGTGGTGGTTCGAAGGCAAGAGAGGTGCGCTTTTGTTGCCGCATGCACACCGCAAAGCACAGTGACACGGAACACGGTCTGAGCGGGCGCATGTGATTCTGAGGGCCACAGCACACCGTTAATGGAAGCATCATGCACCTTTTTGGGTGTGCTGACGTAACTACAGACGCTGCTGTCAAGACACCTTTTTTTTTTTTTTTTTTTTTTTTTTGGAGGGCTCTTAACGGAAACCGGCAACTGACGATTGGTCAGCCCCAGGTTCCAGCCAGCCGGCGGGTTCCCCCGCATTGTGCAGTCCAGGGTAAAAATGCGTTTACGCACGGCCGTTCATGGCCAGTGTGGGGCTCATTTATCCTACATCCCAGATATCGTAGGTGCTAGGATCAATACCCACTAAAACCCTATTGATCTTTGTCCAGTCGTCAGGAAGCGCAATCTCGTCGCGTAAGGTTCCGCACCATGTGCCAGTGACTAAGGTTGGCCATATAGCAGCTCTTCCGTGTCTTTTATGAGTCATGGCGATGTCAAGGTGGAGCCTTCGGTTGAGTGTGCTCCCCCATCTTGCACGGAGTTCAGGCATTGAGTGAGTCCATTGTTCATCTGAAGCGTGTCCAATGGTTCGTTCACAGCGCAGACACCATATAAGGTAGGCGGTTTCAGAGATCAGAATGCGCCACATACGCTCTACAAAGGGCCGTCGTTTCTTTCTTTCAGATATCCACCGGCGCATACCTACACTAAGGATGCCGTTGAGGTCTGGCTTGGTCCAGGCAGCTTGTTTACGCTGCCATAGATTGCCGGCCATCGACCATAACTCTTCTTGGCCTGGGGCCGTACATTCTGTTAGTATGTGTGTCATTGAGTCTACGACACCGCAGTATTGACACATTGATCTTTCTTCATAGCCCGGTATTTTCGCCCAGAAGCGGCCTACTCGGAAAGCGCAATGGAGGCATTTCCACAAGAAGTCTGAGATTGGTAGGCGGAAGTCCTGGTTACGAATGCTTTTCCAAAGGTCCGCGGCGGGTACTAAGCTTTCTGAGATTAGGTTAATGCTGAGTAGTACTGCACTGACAGTCAGCGTTGTGGATCGTCGTTCTGGAATAGAGCGTCGTTGTATGATGAGACGGTAGGCTGTTCGCTGTGACATGTTTGACAGCTTCGCCCCTGAAAGGTGGAGGGTCGGGTCGAGGTTCATGGAGACAGTCTTGAGGCCATTGCTGTCTATGAGGTGCTTTACAAGGTGCCGTCCTTCATCAATGATATGCCATTCTTTGTGTGTGCTGGCCGACCGGAATGAGGTAGGGGCACATCTCTGACGTAGAACGTTTATTATGTCTTTCAGCGCGAGTTTATTGGGCATGCCAAGCCAATCAGTGTCTTCCCAACGCTGTAGGTTCTTACACAGGGCGTCGCGTAGGAAGAGTGATTCGCATACGAATCGGATCGGTACGTCTTTCGGTATATGCTGTACTGAGTAGGCTACTGATGTGATTTCGCCACTTGTTGTTAGGTCTACTATGTTGGCCAGAGGTCGAAGTAGCTGGGCCGCAGTTTGGTGGGCTTGTTTGACCATGAAGATTCCACTACCTTCTGGGGCTATTCGGGTCTCACCATGCTTGAAGAGGCGTTTAGCTTCAAGTACGTACACTGTGATTGTTTGGAATCGAGTACCGCGTCTCTGTCGCATATTGGGAGGGTTCTCGGTGGTGTAATCGTTCATGAATACGCGGAATACTTCGGATATACCTCCACGTTCAGTGACGGAGGGGTTGAATATTGCTTCTCCATCCTTCTTTTTGAAGGCGGCACTGTTGGTTTCGTGTCTATGTTGAGTGAGCGTGAGGCCGTCGGGGGTATGGTCTATCGTCGGATTCCATTTGTCGTTGAGAGAGGTGAGTAGACATCGTGCCGCTTCTACACAATTAAGTGGATTATGACATCCTTTTGCCTCAGCTTCTTTGCATGGTACGCATGAGCATACCGAGGAGTCAGATGAGAGGACCGGGACGAAGTCATGTCTAGCCAGCGACATGATGTCCGATACGAGTAGGACTCGGTGGTTATGTCGCAAACATTTGCTGAGTGTCGTATTGTCTAGACGTCTTAGCTGCTTTGTTGCGCTGATATGGTACCAAACAGGAAGTTTGGTTTTCAGTTCATTGCTTAGGTTTATTGCGCCGAAAGAGGCCTTATGCTTTTTAGCGGTCTTCAGCAGTTGCTTTATATAGTGGGGTAAGGGAGACGCGGCATGCATTGCTGGGTTCCAGTTTTGCAGGAAGGTATTAATCTGTGCCGTGGGTTGGATGGCGCCTGCAGATCGACTAACTTGGAGCGCTATTAGGATATCTACAACAGATGCCCAGTCGGGTCGGGAGTCTGATAGCATAAGGTATTTGCGGAGCCATGTGAGTTCTATGGCTTCGTTCCGTGTACAGATGTCCAGTATTTCTAAGCCGCCTTCGGAGATTGGCGAGTGGATGGTCGCTAGGTTGACTAGAGGGGTACCGTTTATCCCCCATACAAAGGTTCGGATCTTTCTGGTGAGTTCCTTTTCGACTGCGGCTGGCATGCCTTGAACGGTGGTGAGGTATTGAGTCATGCCGCCCGGGCCCATCTGAATTATATGCTTTTTACCTTTCATCGTAGGGTTACATCGGCCCCATCTTATAAGGAATTTGTCGATCTTCTCAAGAGTTGGTATCCAAATGGCGGCTGCACATGTTTGGTTGCCAATCCATGCTCCAAGGATGCGTACCGCCTCACCGTCCTTTGCTATATGCACATATTCTGGGATGGTGGGTTCATTACTCGTAGGGTCGATGCGGCGTGTTCGTGTGACCTGGAGGCGGTATTCAGGGGAGCCAATAGGTATGACTTCTGTTTTGCCTGAGTTAAAACGTGCTCCCGAGGCTGAACACCAGTTGTTGAGGATTGTCCATAGGTCGGACCAGCTGTCGCATTGTGCAAGATAGGTTGAAGTATCGTCCGCAAACAGCGAAGTGATAATTCGATCAGTGAGACCTGGGATCTGGAATCCGCGCAGGTTGGAGCATCTTAGGGCACATGCAAGGGGCTCAATTGCAAGGTCAAATAGTAAGCAGGATAACGGATCTCCTTGGCGAACTCCTCTGAAGACTCGGTAAGGTTTACTGACTTCGCCGTTGATAATGACCACTGTCGTTGCATTCTTGTATAGGTTCTTGATTTTGGTTATAAATGATTCAGGTAGGCCCATGGCTCGTAGTATTTCCCATAGATAGTCGTGCCTTATCCTATCATACGCTTTCTCTTGATCTAATGCGACGATCACTCCATTATCTTCGGTTGCCTCAGCGTAGTCTACCATTGTTCGACACAGTTGAGTCTGGTCTGAGATTTGTCTTCCTGGGATAAATCCAGCTTGATTAGGGTGAATGATGCTTTTTACAACGGACCCAAGCTTGGTTGCCATGATGCGAGTGTAAAGTTTATAGTCAGTGTTTAATATCGTTATGGGTCGATAATTGCTAATGTCCCTCTTGTCTTTCTTTTTGTAGATTGGGCACATCCACCCGTCCGCAAATCCGCATGTTGGGTCAATGCCGTAGGTGTCAATATCTTCAAGAACATATTGGAGGTAAGCATTGCTATTGAAAGATGCATTTTCGTCAGCAGGATCATCGTCTTGGAGTTGTTTCCAGAACTCATATGGGATACCGTCAAGGCCGCTTGCTTTCCCTGTCTGGGCTTTCTTAAGTGCGTTCTTGATATCATCAATGCTGATCTTGGACTTGAGAGTTTCGCTGTCTCGAGAGCTCAGGAACTGCTGAATATTGTTTGTGGCCACAGAGGTTGCCGTTGCGCGTGTATCATCATTCACTTTATCGTCATCATCTGTTTGAAGTGAGTCGTGGTATTGACGGGCTAGTTCCGCCATATCCGAGGAGCGTTTAACATGGTTCTGGGAGCCAGGTTTCCGCAGTGCGTAGATTACGTCTCTCGGACTTTTTTCTTTATTGATGTTCGACCAGTACTTAGTAAGGGTTTCCGCATTAAGAGCATATCGAGCGGCTGTGGCTTCTCGGACATGTTGGTAACGCTTCCGTTCAAGTTCTATGACTCGGTCTAACATAACCGCAGTTTCGGTTTGTAGCGGCACCGAAGCGTTGAAGGCTGGGTCGGCTTGGATTTTATCGATTGCGTCAGACAGTTTAGTGATCGCCGCTGTAAGCTTCGGAGCTTTCTTTTTCATGGTGGTCCTTGCTAATGCGATCGTTTTGTTCTTGAAGGTTTTGTGAATAGTTTGAGCATTTTGTTCAGGTAAGCGTGTTCCGCCATCATGCAGCTCTTTCATTTCTTTCAGGGCGCGGTTGCCTATGACCTTTATATTGTTCATAAATGATCGGTCTTGTATCAGAGCAATGGGCAGCGTCCAGCGTCCTTTACCGATGAATGGAGTTTGTGTTGTGCTGAGCATGGCGGAGGCGAGCCTATGATCTGTAGGTATACCGGAGGATTGTATTTTCCACACTTGTGATGATCGCAGTATCCTCTCGGTCACGTATATACGATCTAGGCGCGAACGAACGTCAGAGGCGCGTTGCGGGAAGGTGAAGTCACACTGTGTAGGGTTAGTCATGCGCCACCCGTCTTTCATATGGAGTCTGATAAGCATCTGTTTTAGATGTTCTGTTGCGGATGGGTTATCCTCACGTGGGGGGAGTCGGTCGATGGGCTCTTCAACAATGTTGAAGTCTCCTAGGAGTACGTCGGGGAGCTTATGTCTATGATTAGAGTAATATTCTTCAATATTGGTCCAGAGTTCCGAGTTAGCAGTTGCGTCGTTTGGGGCATAGACATTCAAGACTGTAAGGTCTTCTTCTTTATGCCAATGTATGGTCGTAGTCATAGCTCGCCCAGGTATAATAGTTGTAGTGTGATGATAGGCCGTATCTACAAGTTCTCTATTGAGAACTAGAGCCACGCCTCCCACGTTGTCGTCATTTGTTTGTCCGGATACAATAAACATTCGTCTTCCGTATAGACGGTGTAGTTGGTCAATGGTTGTACTATTAAGATGTGATTCTTGTATTGCAAGAATACCGATCTTCTCTGTGCTTAGTAGCTGGTTAAGTGCATTCCATTTATTGTTAACGTTGCCTGTCAGGTTACCTCTACCGTTCAAGTTCAGCGTAGCCACATTCAGCGTGGCTCGCGTATTACGGCCTTTCTTATGTTTTGTCGATGCCCCATGTCTGTGATTACTCGAGCGCGTACCATCCTCCATTTGTGGTGTTGCTAATACATCATGGAGGGTTGCCCTGCCGTCCGATCCTTCCGACGATTCATTGAGAGTCATTCGGGCAGGAGGCGATGTCGTCCCTTGTCGTCGGGAGGGAGTGTTACCAGTTGCCATATGAACGTCCGTGGTGTGGTGTTTGTTGTTGTGATTGTGCGCCGCTGCTATCAATCCCGCCGCTACAGCGATCCACGACGGGAAGGGACTGCTCCTGAGCCCCACAGGTGACATGCGCGTTCCTCATGGGTAGAGGAAGTATGCTTAAGCCTCTCGGCGGGGCAAGTCTCCGAGTGCCCCTGGGTGTAAGGAGAAAGTGACGGATTTGTTGGTTCGTGCTAATAGGCTTTCCTGTCCCGCTTTGCAGACGGTCAGTAAATGTGGGCCTTGAGCGCGATCTTCCGTTTTATCAACTTGGATGCACATACTGTTGATAGTTTCGATTTACTCAGTCTTTGGTTGTTTTTTCTTTTTCATCACCTGACGGTCATTGCATCGTAGCGTTTGTGTTTTGTGCATAGATGAGATTTTTAGGCGAAAGTACTTGTGATTTTACAACGTGGTGATACAACGTAGTACGACTCGAGACTAACATATTCAGGAGGTAGGCAGAGCGTAAGAGGAACAGGGAACAGTGGTCGTACTACTTAGAACAAGATAACAGGAGGAGCATGCCAGTGGGTCGGATAGCAAGATGACGTTCAGAAGTTACCATTTCCTCGACCACGGCCACCACGGCCGCGTCCGTTGCCACGGCCATTGCCACGACCATTGCCTCTGCCATTCGTAGCATTTTGCTGCGGCGGGGGTTGTATCATCTGCGGGGCCTGGAGGGGCGGCTCGTGCCAACCAATTGTCCGACGTACCGGACATGCGCCCGTGATGTGACCGAGCGAATGGCAATAGCCACACCAGACTCGGCTTGTGAATGGCTCGGGGTGTCCAGCGATGCTCGAACCAAACTGGTGGCGTTTGAAATGGCTGCTGAAACGCAGCCAGTCGCGACGGTCCGATGTGGGTGGCCTGACGTATATGACCGCAACAGGTTCTGTTGTGTTAGTAGTAACACGACAATGGATTATGTCGACATCAATTGAGTCGAGGATGGCGTTCAAGGCATCGATCCTTGTTGAGCCGCTCCATGTCCCGCCGCGTGAGATGTCACGCGTCAGGACGTCGTAGGTAGTGTCGAACAAGTCAGTATCGAGAAGGGCTCGACGGATGAGCTCCTCGTACTCGGCTTTGGTCTGCGCACCGAATCTGTAAATGAATCGGAACATACCACAAAGATGGGGATTTGTATCGCGCCAGAAGTCGAAGTGGAGGGTTACAGGGGATGAGTTAAGCCAACCAATATTAACAAGAGCCATGATCTTTGATAGAGGAATTCCTCGCGCGAGGTACCAGAACGGCTCCGTATTCATCCCATGAAAGCCGGCGATCGAGTAAGCTGGGAGGATGAACGTTCCGGGGATCAGCAACGTGCGTCGGAAGACGTCTAGCATAATTTCTATTCGTGTACTGACCCCGGGTTCTTCAGTGCCGTGGAGGGGGATCTGGACGGCTAGGACGGCCTCCGCGGCGTCGAGGGCGTTCCAGGATTCGCGTTGTCCAGCGGCCATGCCGCGTCCCCTCCAGACAGTGCTGTCGCCTTGCACCTGGCGCCAGGAGCCGGAGGGAGGGACAATGAAGTCGGGGTCGAGGGCATCGACGTCGAAGGGGGCCTGAGCGTCGTCAGGGTCGTCACTGCTCAAGCTTGGGGAAGGGCTAGGGGCGGGGGCAGAGCGATGTTCTCGACGCTCTCGGCGAAGGAGGAGACGACGGATACGGCGACGAGTGTGAGAGGAGGATGTAGGGACAGGAGTATCAGGGAGTCTGGTGGCGTCGTCCATCTCAACTTCAGGAATCGAGGGCGTTTGCAGCGACAGCCGCGTGGGGCCATCACCGTTGATGCTGTTGTTGCCGACCTCTGACCAGTGGTGACCGCGAGGAGGCGCAAATGGGGTCGCAGGACGTTGAGTCCGACGGGAGACGGGCGTGCGCGGCGTGCTGGACGGGAGCGAGGAGGGAGGAAGCGGGAAAAGCGGGAGGATGTCGCCTAGGTAGGAGAGGTCGTCATCGTCGTCAGAGGTGTCGATGGATGCCCGCATCCTGAGTCCGCTGTGACGGCGCCCTGACGTAGAGTCGCGGCGCGGGGTCTGAGGAGACTCGTTGCTTGGGGGGGCCAGGAGCGCCTCGACAACGTCCGAATCAGGGATGACTGTAAAGTTGAGGTCGGACGTGCTGTCGGCATTCGAATCGCGGCTCTGGGAGGTAGATGGTTCGTTCGTGTGCGCGTGGTTGTTTGTACGTAGCGAGGGTTCAGAGGGGCCCGAGTTGGACGCGGGGAGAGGGGAGGCAGCGGGGGTGGACGTCTGCGCGCGTACGTTCTGCTTACGCGTTTGGATAGAAGGGGAGTCCTCGTTACCGAGGTCTTCCTCTACGCGGCGGCGCTTGCGGGATGCGCTGCCCGATTCATCGGTCTCCATGGGCTGGTCCTCGAGCACGGTGCGGTGTATTACGCTGGGACGTTGTGTGTTGGTCCCAAGACGGCCGGCGGTGGCCTTGGCCTTCCCTTTTTTATGCGACACGACAGTCCATCCTGTCTGCTGGTCGACTGACTCAGTGGCAGGGCGGACGTCTATTCGTTAAGTTAGTGGGATGAGCTGGCATATGGGAGCATAGTGCCTACCCCGGCCGCGGACATTGGTTTCAGTAGCTACGGGGGCGGGAGGCGATGGCGACGCAGGGCCAGTTGGGACTGTGTGGTTGCCATTGGCTTTTGCCTGGGTGGGAGACCCAGCGACCGCGGATGCATAGGATAGGCCAGGGGAGAGCCTCGGCGACTGCGACGACGAGGTCATCGCTCTAACGGTTGTCGGGCTCTAGGGTCGGGTTAGCGTTTTATAGCGTAGTCATCTTTAAGCCTCGTTTTTGTTGCTTACTTCGTTCGAGGTCAGTGTGCGGCCGTCGCGGCCGAGGGGCGGGGTCGATGCGGGAGCTTGGGTCATACTGGTTTTCAGAGAGACGAGCAGGTCGAGTTGGAAGATGAGCAGATAGTAGCGGGAAGCGAGTAAGCGAGTAACGAGCAGAGACTGAGGAAAGGTCACAAGAGTGATGCCGTTTCTTCGAAGTAACTTTGTTATTTAAGGCGCACTGGCGATGCGTTTTGATTGGTCGAGAGACTTGTTCAGATTGAGTTGTCGTGTTATTTGCTTCGCGTAGGCTCCGGCTAGTCAGCTGCGTAGAGAGTGGTGGGCAGTGTCATGTAGCGCGTGTATGCCGACGAGAGGAGTCTCGAATTTTAAAATTTTCCAGACGTGTGGGCTGACGCAGCGGGAGAATGAGACAAGGTAGAGGTAACGGGCGTACTGTTTTCGGAATCTTATCGCCAGGCTGCCCATCATTGCAGCGCGCGATCGCTCCTTCCAATCCTGAGTTTGGCGAGGCCGTGCGATGAGACGTACTGTCGGTGCATAAAGGGGCTAATTTGGTGGCTCTCTATGTCATTATGTCTTCAGCTCCATCAGGGTTGGAGGAGCTGCTGTTTGCGCCGTAGCATATGTCATTTTTGCGTGTAGCAAATACCGCGATGACATCCCGGTATTCTGGTCGTGGCGTTAATTTGAAGACGAGTTCGCCGTTGTGGGCGGTGCCCACGGGCTGAGGCCGGAACCGCCGGAAGATGGAGAGTCAGAGAGGCCGGGAACGTTAGCTGGGGAGACAAGCATCGGGCCGCGGCAATAGGCCACGACGGGACATCTTACGAAGTCATTCGAGCGCGTCACAAGTCAGATCTATTTAACTCCGCAAGCCGTTACATGCCAGGACGTACGGGTACCGGGGCGAACAAACCGGACGGAGGAAGATGCTACTCGTAAGGGTTCAGTCACGGATTAATTCCAACGGGGGAGGGATGTCTCGCGCGTCACATATGTCCTCTAGACGGCCCGAGATGGAGACTACTTCGCGCATCACAGACAGCTGGTCGATCCGGGCCTCAGCCAGGCCGCGGTGGAGGTGGCCGAGTTCGAGGCGGAGGACCTCTAAGGAACGGTCCGTTGCGGCGAGGACGCGGTCCCAGTTGTCGGTCGAACCGCGGAGGGAGGAGAGGCGGAGGGGAGGATCGTTATACGACGGAGGAGGAGGAGGTCGGGCTTCTTCCGCGGTGGCTTGCTCCCTCTGAAGCTGGTCCGGGGACCAGGGGATGGTCGCGTATAGGAGCGGCGCCTCGTTCTGCTCAGAGCGGAGGTTGAGGAACACGCGGTCCAGGTGCTCGATAAGCTCGCAGACCTCGGGGATACCGGACGGAAGGGGGACGCGGGCGTCGCCGTGAGCGGTCGCTAGGGCATACGACTCGAAGAGCATTCGCTGGGGCAATGCAGACGGGTCAGGAGGGATGAGGAGAGCGACGGGGCGGACGAACCACGAGCCAGCGGGCACCATGAGCCCACGCAAGCCAGGCAGTGGCGTGCTCCACGTCGAACCGGGGCTCGAACGTCCCTTCGTACCGGAGAACATCGACAAGACGGAGGTAGCGAGCGGAGTGCGACGAGGTGGTGGGGTTCGGGGGCTGCGCCATCGGTATAGGAACGAAGGCGTGAGTGGGGAGAGAAGGGAGGGAGGGGGCAGACCCGGAGGGAAGGAGGGCGGGGCACGTGAGCTCGGCTGAAGGAGGATAAGTAGCGAGGCGGAGGGAGCGGGGGAGGACACGTAGGACCCACTCTCGGACGCGGACTAGGACTCGGACTCGGAGGCTCTCGACTCGGGCAGACGGCTCGGAAGGAACTCTCTATATTTCGCTCTCGTATAGACTTGTCTTCTCGACGATACACTCGTCGCATACACCTAATATCACTACCCTTCCTTGACTAAAAGTCTACCCTTCCTCCTTACCCTGTACGGAGGGAGCCGAACTCAAAAGCACACACCGTGCGTTTTTCTTTATTGCGCTCGACGTGGTCCGGGTTATGCGTTTGTTCGAGGTATAGGAGTAGTCAGGTTTACAAGTAGCTGAGCTGTTGGTGTGGGCCGATACAAGTTGAGGAGGTTGGGGGTGAGGCAGCGGTGGCGTGTCGTAGGCGCGAAAGCTCTTCGCTTGAGAAGGATAAGGGCGCTTCTCTGGGGCACCTTACTGCCGTAGAAGGTATTGGGCGCTAGATTTGGTATGATCGGCTTGGTGGCGTGTATTTGTAATGAGAAGGTCGTTTGGGCCGGTGGTGGATGGCTAGCTATTGGTTCGGCAATGTGCGTCGTCTCAGCCTTCAATTTAGAGTTCTATGATCTTCTTGGGATCGGTCCAGCGTGTCGGATATAACACGCTGCTAGCCTATCTACTGTGGATCGCATTACAAGGTGTCCGCTTCGTGCGTCGTCACTTCTCCACCTTCTTCGCTTTCTCCAGGCCTAGACTCTATGAGCTCCTTTGTTCTAGGGTTCTTCGCCATGCGTGCGCGCAGGCGCCTGATAGCGCTAGGGGTGATATCGAACTCGTATGGGTTAGAGCCGGGATTTTGGAAGTCTGGTTTGTTACGGAATGCAAGGTGTGGTTCTGGGAGGAGTGGGAGCGTATGGTAGACGAGTGTGTGTGTATATCCGTCTAGGTCGCAGAGGCGGGCCCATGGGATCGGTACTTTGATTTGTAAGCCGTCCTTGCTCCCGGTGAGCCGGAACGTGACCCAGTGACGCATGAGGGTCACGGCTTTGGAGACTCGTCCGGTCTCTATCACGTGACTGCCGGTGTGGAGGGTTATCACGTGGCCTCTGGCCAGCTGCCTGCTAGGCTGGCTCTTAACTATCCACGTCTCTCGCCGTCCATCTTCATCGCGCTCTGGCTGGGGTTCGACGAGGATGTCAACCTCGATGGAATAAGCGGGCTGGTACGAGGTGCGTATTCGGGATTTCTGCGGTTCAGCAGCGAAGACGGTTGACGACGACGTTCCAGGCCGAGTTATATGCTGCCCATCGTGGTATGCTTGTACTATGGGTGATTGGGCAGGGATGCGAAGTGATTTTCCAGATGAGAATGCGAAGAACATCAGGTAAGGTACGAGCGTTTATTTCATGGGGGCCTACCCAGATTATATAGGCCATAACTTGTAGGAACGTGTAGTGCATTGCAGGGGTAGGGTCGACCCGCGGGGGTCACGGGTAGGGGTACACGAGGGTAGGGGTACGGGTAGCCATTTCCATACCCCCGTACCCGCCTGTTACCCGTTATGGAAAGTCGTGCCGCCGGCCTTCGGGGACTCACCGCCAGCTCAGATTTCGATCTGGGGCTATTGCCCTTTATAGCCAACCAGCTCAGGTACCGGTAGAATAAAATATACATTTATCAAAGGGAATGCTGCCGTAAGCCTGAGTCACCGTCACAAGTACTTATTGCCTCAGCCTTCCGACTTTCCCCTCTCCCGAGCCTACCCACCCACCATGTCTGGGAACCGCGTCAGCAACAGACCGAAAGTGCCTACCGAGAAGCGAAGAGCAGCGGAATCACCTACGAGAAATGTGAAGACGTCGAAGAAGCCGCGCACCGAGAGTACCGACACTCAGCCGAGCACGAGCGGCAGCAACCGCAAGGCTACAACGGGCCCGAGACTTTCGACAGCTTCAACAGCGAGCGTGAAGGCCGCGACGGCGAGCGCGAAGGCTGCGACAGCGAGCACCAGGCCATCGACAGCGAGCGCGGGGCCATCGAGATGGCACTCCGTTGAGATCGAAGATGTCGAAGATGTTGACGAGCCTTTGTCGTCGCAGAAGGGGAGCGAGCCAATTGTGCTAGAGTCATCAAGCTCCGACGGCGAAGAGAGCAGCACGACGAAGTCTGCCAACGGTGGAGACGACCTTGACGAGGAGTCAGCCGAGCAGGAACTAGGTTTGTTGTCAACGAGCTGCTGTAAAAGTGCACGGCTCACCCACCTTGTAGCCCGTATGCAGCGGAAGTGGACGGCGCCGGTGTACGCATTCTTTAAGCCGGACATTGCCATCGAATATGTTGATGGACGGCGCCTGCATGCCTTCCGATGCGCGAACACCGGTTGCAAGCACGATGTGCGACGGTATTTGGCCTCGAAGGATGCAAGATCAACCAGTAATCTGAGGAAACACGTACGGAAATGCTGGGGTATAGAGGCTCTTGAAGCCGCGGACCGGATGTCGACGTCGTCGAAGGCAAAGGACAGTATCGAGAAATACAGGCGGACGCAGAACTTGAAGGTAGCGTTCGGTGCGGCAAGCAAGAAGTCGTTCCGCTACTCGACTATTCAGCACACGCCCACGGAGACCCGGTGAGTAGACAAACGCACCGAGATCAATTCCTCCCACCCTGATGCATTGCCCAGCGCGGAGATCGTGCGTTGGGTGGCGGAGAGCATGCGGCCCTTCAACATTGTGAAGGACCGCGGGTTTGAATCCTTGATGAAGACTGGCCGGCCCGAGTACAAACTGCCGTCGCCTACGACCGTTGGACGCGATGTCCGGAAGGTGTTCGGGCGTGTGAAGGAGCGTGTCGGGCGCTGGTTGCAGGTAAGTACAGAATAACCTATACAGACAGGGGGTGTATTCACGCACCGACAGGATTATGACGGCGAATTGAATTTCGCAACCGATGCGTGGACCTCGCCGAACCAAAAAGCAATGGTGGCATTTACGGTCCACTTTGAGCATCAGGGCGCGCCGATGACCATGGTCCTTGATGTCATCGAGGTTGCGAAATCCCACAGCGGCCTGAATCTTGCGACCGCATTCTCCGACATGATACACGAACTGAAACTCGACACAAAGGTTAGCTCACAGCTGTCGCATAACACATTGAGACTTACTCGCGCGTGCAGATGCTCGGCGTGACCTGCGACAACGCGTCGTCGAACGACGTGATGATAGAAGAGATGGAGGCCATGATATTGTCGTTTCGGGGCGCCCGCGCACGCAGCCGGTGCTTTTGTCATATCATCAACCTGGTGGCAAAGATGGTGCTACGTCAGTTTGAGCCGCCCAAACGCAATAAAAAGAAGAAACAATCAGCGACAGACCTTGACGAAGACGAAGATCCAGACTTGGAAGATTGGGACAAAGAGCTGCAAGAAATGATGGAGGACCTCGACTTTGACGACGAGGATGAGAATGCGCAAGGGGCGGATAGTCTCGATGGCTTCTATGACGTCCGTGATGATCTGGACGCCGCAAGCCGGGCCTCGATGGAGGCAGAGGTCCGACCAGTGAAGATGATGCTGCTAAAGGTAAGCTTGACGTGTGGATGCCTTGAATTAGTTACTCACCTTTGTTGTATGCACCTCTCCGAAGCTCCGCAAGATCTCCATGGCCATTCACCACTCAACAACGCTCCTACTGCCGACGTGGAGGAAGATCGTCGAGGAGCTGAAGATGAAGGCGCGCAAGCTCCCCCGCGATGTTCGCACGCGGTGGAACTCGACGTTCAGGATGCTGGACGTCGCTCTTGAGTATAGGGCCGCGATAGACAAGATGACGGAGGCGCAGGCAAACAACCTGCGCCGGTGGGAGCTCGATGAGAGAGAGTGGACAATCGCCGCGCAACTGCGTGACGTGCTACAGGCGAGTCACCATTAGTCACATTGTGGGTCCACTGTTGACTTACCGTATATGCTCTACAATGCCTCTTTGGGTCGCTGCGCGCTCATGCCCTCTCGTCCCCATCTTGCGGTCGACCTGCTTCTCCCGCCCTCCCACTGCGGCTGCGCGGTCTCACCGCCCACTTGCTAACCCACTGTCGACACGCTTGCCATCGTCGGCTTGCCATCTCCGACCATCCGCCCGGCGCCGACTCGTTCTCCCACCGCACTTGGCCCTGCGCCTTTGACTCGCGGCCTTCGGTTGTCAACACGTCGCCCGGCCGCTGCGACTCGCTGTCCCGCCATGCGCCCCGACACACCCTCGCGTTTCGTGGCGGTGGTCAACGTCACGCGCTGCCGGCACGAACAGGTATTCTATGACGCCACGCACTTCTTCTCGCGCGAGGGGAAGGACGCGCCAGGCCTCACCGATGTTATCCCAGCCATGGATATCATCGACAAACAGCTCGCCACTGATGCCCTCAACCACGCCCTCGATCCCGCTATTCGTGTCGCTGTGAGCTTGGGCAAGCGCGCCATCAATCGCTACTATAACAAGAGCGACGAATCAGCGGTCTACCGTATTGCAATGGGTAAGCATCGCGTACCTCATGCGATGTGAATGTACTGACGTTCAGTTCAGTTCTTGATCCCCGCAACAAGCTCCAGTATTTCCGTGACAACGCGTGGCCAGACGAATGGATTACGGACGCGCGGTTCTTGGTGCGGCAGGCCTACGACGAGGATTGGAAGGGCCATGGACTACCGCGTGAGCAACCAGAGGACATGGACGAACCACAGGTGTGTTTTGATGCTACTGTATACCTCCCACTTCACTTACTAGCCGGTTGTCGTTGCACATGTAGCCGCCAACGGGTGTGCAGCCCTCAGCGTCGACCAAGAAGCAAAATATGTTCGACGCCGCGCGCGCAAGCCGCAAGAAGACTGCGGTTCCCATCGCCGATGAACTCGACCATTACCTGAGCTCCGATCCCGATGCGTCCATCGACAGCGCGCTTGGCTGGTGGACTCGCGATGAATCACGGGCGATGTACCCAAGTCTCTCCCGCATGGCCGTTTCGTACCTCACTATTCCTCGTACGTAACACATTCATTGTCATTGATCACAAATCATGGTAACATTGACCACTCTTCTTTCTGCAGCTACATCTGTCGCGGTTGAGCGGCTCTTTAGTAAGGGCCGAATCTTTATCTCACACCTGCGAAACGGACTCTCCGCAGAGTCTATCCGGGCGCTGATGTGCCTGAACAACTGGAGCCACCTCGGATTCATCAAGGACGAGGACGTGAAGTCTGTCACGCGCGAAGATGCTTCCAACGATCCTCCCGAGGACGTGGAGGATGTGTGGGGCTTCTCGGAACCACACAACAATGCTATATTTTTTGTTTGATGTCAGATATCCCCTGTATATAATATGATCTTGAGCTCAAACCCGTGCTGTACTCGTTTGTACCCGTGACCCGCCGTGACCCGCCGTACCCCCGTGAGACCCGTGCCCCCCGGGAGGGTAGGTGACCCCTGCGGGTAGGGGTACGGGTATATGCCCCGGTACCCGGGGGTATACTCGTGCAATTCACTAGGAACGTGACATGTCATACGGGCGTTTGTAGGATGTCCTAGGGCATAGAGTCATAGAGCATGAGGGGACATATTGGTATGCTTGGGCTGAGCGTAGTGTGGCATAGATGGAACATATTGGTATGCTTGGGCTTTTGTGGACGGGGCAGCCGTCAGCGTGGTTTTACAGTTATCATTTGGCTTTATGGGACGCGTTTGATGTGCGCGTGATCGTTGCAGTACACGTGTTTTGGTCGGTTACTTGGCGGTTATGCGTGCCGGACTTCTAGGCGCTCGCAGCCGGGCCGGGTCGGGTGGGCTTGAAGACGTCTGCATAGCCTTAGTAGCTGTGTGAGCTCATCGTGTCCGGTCTTCAGCTCACACTTTTGTGTGTATAGTTATGTCTTTCACGGGTGGTTTTTGGGAGTGGGTGCGGGATTCTGGGTCGAGAGTGGAGGAGAAGAACTCAGGTGCGTTTCTAAGAGGGGTCCGTCATCATTGTCAGGCTCGGTGTTTGACGGCGGTGAGCGGGGGTTTTTAGCTAGCACACTCTAGGGGGATGTAGCGGTCATGGTAGTCCTCTTTGGTCAGCTGGTAGCTTGAGTCGCGGGGTACGGGTTTCGTGGGAGGGGAGGCAGCGTGTGAGGTGCGTTTGTAGTGTGTTTTTTTTTTTTTTTTTTTTTATGTAGTTGCCATCGGCGTCGTCAGGCTCGGTGTCGACGACGGCTAGAAGATACCCAGCGAGGGGCACACATGATGACTGCTTCGGCTGGTTAGAGCAGTATACGGGGTTCTGTGGGTTTTAAGAGGGCAGAGGGCCTACATATGGTCGCCGAAGGGCTAGTGTTATGTGACCTCGGCATTCTACAGG